GGGGGGGGAGAAGAGTGGATGGGGCCATGGGCCAATGGTGAGAGTGAGTGTGATGGGGTATGATGTTGCTCCACGCCAAGATGGCGGCTTGCCTTTTTGCCATGCTCGCCATGCCATGCGAGTGTTGCTTCAGTGGAAATTTAGGACGGAATTCTGGAGGAGACTGCGGCACATCCGCGACCAGGGGGGGTCGGAGGGCAGAGGGCAAAACTGAGGCCTCGCTGATGAACGTGGAACTCGGCGTAGGGATTGGTGAAAAGCTACCGCGCACAACGGGTTCAACTTGGTGAGAGACGGCAAATGCCGCCCAAACCTGCAGATGAGGGTCCGAGATGGTTTCCGGTTCAGTATTAGGTGGCCGTTAGTGTACGGCTGGATCCGAACGGGGGGGTTCTTTACTGTGTACAGAAAAGAGAGAGAAACACTCAGAGTATTATGCGGGCCAGGGGTGGTTTTTCATTTGACCTTGTTCAAAACCCCAGTTCAAGATCGACTCTTGTCTTGTCTTGACTTTTAGATTTGACATCTTGACACGTTCCCAGATGCGGACAGACCAGGAAACTCTGTTTGGCAGGCGGCTATCGAGTTTGGCCATGGGAGATCTCTATTTTTTTGCTTGAAGTATTTAAGGCATATAATAATGCTACTCAATACTACTACCACGCGCGATCGAGGTCACGGCCCTCGTCCGGGGGTGTTGTTTTTCTTTCTTTCTTTCGTCTTCTTCTAGATGAGGCATGGGGGCCGTTTGTATACCGAAACGGGCGTGGTGCAGTACGTATGTGGTATGTGATTTGAGCTATTCAGCAGTCGTAATGATAGAGCATTCTTGGGAGTCAGCACAGAGGAGGCCCGGCATTTCCCAGGTTACACAACTGGATGTGGGCATTAGACAATTGCACATACCTCTCTTTGCACGCAGCTAGCAGCTTGCTTGCTTGCATCATGTAGGTCCTGTATTCGGAGACAAGTTGACCATGCAGGCGGAAGATGTGAGCTGCTGCTGTTGGCGCCGGCAATAAAGAGCTAGCCTCTACTCGACCTCTACAAGGAAAAAGGGACTCCCAGGGTTACTGCTCACATGGACCAACGTGGCGTGAGACGAGAGTAAGATAATAACACATGGAGACGACGATAGCCTCGAACGTGCATCTACATACCACTTAGCGATATCTGACCACGGGACGGCAAGTTCCATCCATCACGATAGCCATGCCCGTTGATATGAGGAACCACAAGGCAACTTCCGAGATTTGGCATGACTATGCCCCGTAGTCTGTGGGTTTGCCGCGCAAACACAAACGGTTTGTGTTGTCTCAGCCCTACCTACCTACATCTACCAACACATACTACAGTACCGATAGCGTTGATATCAACTCAACGGCGCGGCTAGACAGATAGGCAAGGAAAAAAATGGGGGGAAAGAGAGACAGAGAGGGAGAGAGAGGATCCATAGTACATACGCATCGCAGGCCTACCTACTAGGCTGGCTACTAGGTACGAAGCACACAACAAGCGGCGCTGTCGATCATGTCAAGCCACGCTCCCCACCTGTGTGCTTTTGCGGGCGCCCATTTCATTTTCCATGCTGGACCATTATTATTATTTTTGAATTAACCCATGTCTATCTAGGGTTGGTATTTTCCCTTTTTTCTTTTTCTTTTCTTGACGTCTTGTTACCCTTTCTGTTTCTCTTTAGAGCCATTTGCATTGCATTTCCTATTCCATCTTTTTCCTTCTGTCCCGCTCCCCATCTGCGGATCCATCCATATTCATCATATCCTTGTTGTCGAGTCTCGACAACCCGGTTCCCGCTCAACCGTTGTCAGTGCTTATTTCACCCCAGCCCAGCCCAAGCAGCCAGACACTGCCAGTAATAGTAGTACTAGTAGTAGTACCTTGGGGCAGTAGTGGACGTACGTACATTAGTATTGTATTATTTTTTACCTTTTTCAGTTCTCCATACAAACTGCAGACTGTACCTTGGACAGGCCCATGGAAATGGAATCAGCTTGAGTGCCGCACAAGTACCCGCACCGACGAAACTTGAAGTCGTCCCATACTGATTGATGGGCCAGACAGACAGGCTTATCTACTACCAACTCCGATACGTATATAGGAGGAAAAGAAAATCGACTGTCGAATTATACTACTCCCCAGTAGTAGCTTTTGAATTTTCCGCCCTTGAATCATTTATTAGTAGTAGCTACATACCTTACTTATTCTTTTTGGCCCAGCCAGGCTCTTTGGAAGTGAGTGAAAAGGACGGCATCTCGGCCCTCCCTTTCGAAATCATCTGTCGTGACTTGATTATTCGCTTGTTCCAGCTTCACCAATCGTAAGCGCAGGATCCTCCTCCTCCTCCTCCCTCCCTCCTCTTCCCCTTCCCTACCTCTCTCCCTCCTCCTCATCCATTTATCGCTTGTTGGGGGGTGCTAAAGTGCTACTTCCTTCGACTGGATAGTCTAAAAACTAACGAGGCACAGAGGCACAGCACCATTCACCACCACCTTTTCTCCAAAACCCGACTACTTCCTTCGCTTATGTAAACCTCGACTTGGGCGACCTACGACAGCCACGTCTTGCCTGCTGACACTGCCCAAAAACTTCGTCGTCCCCGACACAACATCGCCTTAGAGCGGCGTGCTCTACCCCCATTTAACCCAAATCGCCAGGACACATTTTATTCCCTAGCATTCGCCTGACTGGCTTTTACCGCATCATGATGAGTGCGCCCAACGACCCCCCGAACCAAAATGCGTCGCGCTCCGACGATGAAAAGGGGAGCGACGGCAGCCCGACTGGCGAAGGATACCCCGAGGCGGCGCCGCGACCCATGGGGAACGCAAATGTCCCCAAGCCAAAGCGATTGGCATGTATGATTTGCAGGAAGAGAAAACTCAAGTGCGACGGAAACAAGCCGAGCTGCAGCACTTGCACGCGGCTGGGACATTCTTGCGCCTACGACGAAGTGAGGAGGAAGAGCGGCCCCAAGAGAGGCTATGTCAAGGCGTTGGAGGAGAGATTAAGTGAGTTCAGAGAGGGCGCGCGTGCCTCTTATCCACCCGTCCATGTCTTTGGCCTTTGCTGACTGCCCGGGCTACTATTAGAACAAGTCGAGTCTCTGCTCAAGACAAACGATGCAGTCCCGCCCGTTCCAGATATCTCAAAGTCCACCGCCGCAGCAGCAGCAGCACCACCACCAGTGCCACCCACACCTGCTGCTTATGACAATCGCACTCAGTCGGCACCTGCTACCGCCAGCTATAACGTTGCCACCCCATCGATTGCCATTGCCAACGACCGGGACATGGACCGATGGCACTTTAATGGCGAGTCGCCGCAAGCCGCCAACGTGGAGGAATTCAACTTTGCCGGAACTGGAAACATGCCCATGGGCATGGAGAATATGTCCAACCTACCAAACAATTTTACCTGGGAAATGATTGGGCTGGGGCTAGAAGAACCATTACCGCCCCAAGAGACGATTGACGAATTGTAAGCATCCAACAGCAATCTTGATATATATATATGCCGGCACTTTTCATGTCGGCAGCGTATTACACGCCTATACTGACCTCTCAAACCTTGCAGGCATCAGATTTTCTTTGAAAAAGTACACCCATCGATACCCATGATTCACAAATTCCGATATCTTGCAGCGATGAATTTGTAAGCCTCCAAGTAATACCCCATACTGAAGAATCGCTGCTAACAAACAACTCTATGTAGAGCTCCAAACCAGAGACCGCCCGTCTGTCTGCGATATGCAATTTGGTGTCTCGCATGTTCCATCACGGACAAATTCATGGATCTCCGAGATCTATTCTACCAACGTGCACGCAAATATCTCGAGGGAGACTACCAAAAGGGCTACGGTGAACACATGATTTCCGTTGCTCATTGCCAAACTCATGTGCTGTTGGCTTCTTATGAGTTTAAAATGATGTACTTTCCCAGAGCCTGGATGAGCACGGGAGGTGCCGTTCGATTGTCCCAGATGTAAGTGCTGGATTACGTATTCCATGCAACCATGGCCAAATATTAACACCGCCCTAGGATTGGATTGCACAGATTAGATGGCTCGGGACTCGACGTCAAGCAATGTTTGCCTCCACCCAGAGACTGGACAGAGAGAGAAGAAAGGCGCCGTACCTTTTGGATGGCATTCTGCAAAGATCGGTATGCTAGCATCGGCACTGGATGGCCCATGACCATTGATGAGAGGGACATTATGACCCATATGCCCTGCTCGGAGGAGGCCTTTGAGATGAGCAGACCAGAGACTACCTTCACACTCACCGAGTCCATGAGTCCGTCGGGCGCTGCCAAACTCTCATCTTTTGGCGGCATCGTTCTGATGGCATGTCTCTTTGGCCGCAATCTCATCCATCTGCACCGGCCCGATGCTGATGATCGGGACCACGACCTCAACGGCGAGTTCTGGAAGCGGCACAGGAACATGGACAACATTCTCCTCAACACGTCTCTCTGCCTCCCCGACCACCTCAAACTGCCATGTGGCATAGGCAACGCAAACGTCATTTTCGTCAACATGAACATACACACATCGACCATATGTCTCCACCAAGCAGCAATCTTTAAAGCCGACAAGAATAAGTTGCCAGCGTCGGTCAGCGCCGAGAGCAAGGTTCGGTGCATTACTGCGGCAAATGAAATTGCCAGTATCATGCGAATGATTTCTCACCTGGATCTGTCCTCTGTAAGTCGTCGTCGTCGTCGCGTACATCATGCCTGTCCCGTGTCCAACAAACTAATGTATTCCAGATGAACCCTTTCATCTCATTCTGCTTATACGTTGCTGCACGAGTGTTTGTGCAATACCTGAAAAGTCGGCCAGACGATAGTCAGACGGTGGATTCCCTGCGCTTCTTACTGTCTGCCATGAATGCGCTCAAGAGAAAGAACCCCCTGACAGAGTCTTTCTTGGTCCAGCTCGACGTGGATCTGGAAGCACTCGGCATGAGAATACCAAAACTCAAGACTGTCTTCCCCAGAAGCGCTGATAGCGTAAGTCTCTCTTGTTTTTTTTTTTTTTTAAGTCGTCTCCTTCTGACTAATACCAAATGACAGCCGTCCGTCAACCCGACCGTGGCAGCAAAGATAAGAGCACAAAACTTTGGTACTGAGGCTTGTGAAAAACGCAATGGTCTCTTGGCATACAAGAATGAATGCCATTTTTTGAAGACGACTGGTGATGACGGCAACGCGGCAGCCGCCCCAGACATTGTGCAGCCAACATCGAACTCGGGCATGGGTTCCAACGCCGATTACAATCCAGCATCTCAAATGTGGATGCAGAACGATCAACAACAGCTGCCAACCAGAGAGCAGAGCACGGCACCTGACTCAGGACCGAGGAGCATGTCAAACCCCATGATGTTCCATGCCGGTGCCCACCCATCGCGCACAGGCTATGTCGACGCGTCGAGCAGCAGGACCAACGCCATGTCGGCATCACCACACCCAGATAATTCCTCGGACCGACCAACGCCCAACTCCAGCTCAGCCTCGGAACATCGCAACGGCACATCCGGCCGAACCTCGTTCGATGCGAGCCCCATTGGCGTAGGCCAGCAGCACATGACCACACAGGCCGAGGTCGATGCGGCGGCCGTGGCTTTCTTTTCGGAAACAAACCAGTTCAACATGAACACTCCGGCCCTGAACATGACCGCCGGTCGTGGCTTTGGTATGCCAGACACCCTTCCCGATGGCTCGAACCACGGCTACGCCATGCCGGATGCGTGGAACATGATGCCGGGACAGACGACGGGCATGACGCCCATAGCGGACGGTGTGCTCCGGCATCTCATGGACATGCCGCCCATGGACGCCATGGACTTGGGATGGGAGCAAGGCCAATAGAAAAGGGTCCCTATAATGGTGCAACGAATTCTCTTTTATTTTTTCCTCCCTCCCTGGGCTCAATCTTTTTCTCCCTCCTTTGCTTTCATCTTATTGGCAAGCGTATATTGCGTTATACTTTTGGATTTCGTCATTTGTCATGGGCGCAGAATTACCTGGGACGGCGCAAGGGTTTGAGGGAATACCATCTCCATTACGGCGTTTGATATCTTATCAAGGTTTTACTCGTGCGTCCATGGTTTTTTTTTTTTTTTAATATATCTTTGGTGGGAAAGCTGCCTTGCGTATTTTGAACAATTTACTTTTTGTCTTTTAGGGCAAAAAAGAGTGGCATATTTGGAATTGGAAGGGTAGAATAATGCCGCGTTCACACGTAAGGGTAGCAGACAGTACATGCACACACACACACACACACACACACAGAAAGAGAGAGAGAGAGGTAGATGTATATCACACTCATCAATGAATCGAAATGTTCCCCCATGTCAAGAAACATGTGTAACTCGAAAAGTACAAATGTGCATACGTATACGTGGTGGAGCTCAAACTTGAGTAAATTACTTGCCAGTCATTGCGATTAGATATCTGCCGAGTAACACAAAACGCCGTTTCCATTTCATTTACTTTTTTTTAAACTATTCATACATGTTAAGCACTGCGTGCAACGCTTTTTTATCTCCCTTTTTGTCTTGGGGGGGAAATGAAGTCTAGTGCAAGTTCCCAGTCCGTGATTTCCTTGATGCGAAAACATGAAAAAAAAAATTATTACGCCTTAAGACATGCAACTGAAGGAGAAATGCTGTAGTGGGCATCCTTCCCATTCATCCTTTTCGTTGAACCACAGCCTTTTTTTTTCCCTCCAACCTTGACGGCCACGCAGTACATCAGTGGCACCTTTGGCGGGTTAGTCTGTTTGATGATGCGGATGACAATCCATCAACGTGCAAGACGGCCAAGATCAAAACCTTTGAGATCAAATTATAACCAATCGAATGCCTACGTCGATGCATCCCCAAGGTCTAAGTAGACACTGAGGTTTCTGGAATGCTTTAGGCGACCATTGGTGAACATGGACTTGACGGCCAACAAAGTGCCTCGTGATGAGAGACCAGATGGCAGGTTTGGGAATCAGAATCAAGATCCGAAGCTGATGCTAGCCCTCACGCCGGTCTGGTGATAGGACTGGATACCTTTGGAACAGGAAATCCGCTATGCAGTAAAGGCACGGAAAACGACGAATCGAACCCCCGACCAGATATGCAATGAGCCTGAAGCCTGATCTTGTCCGCCACTCAGGTGGATCTTGGGTATCCGTCCATGTTGACCTTGATCGAGGTCGTGTGTATTGGCAGACGAATTTTCAAACGGCGAGTTTCCCTTGGCCACTGTCATAATTAGGGGACACTCCCGGCGGCATGTACCACACGCGTAGTCGTCTGTCAAATCTATCGGGTCAATCGGATTCGCTGGGTCAATGCCCAGACAACTTTCAGATCCTTCCTTGTGATCTGATAATAAGGGTATCGTTCAAGAATAAAATCAAGTAGTGTAGTGAATAACGCTTGTCGTAATAATAGCAACTGCGTCATTTGAAGACCTCGACCTGCGCATGCCTCGGAATTATCGTAGACTAATCAAGTCGAGACACCAGCCCCAGGGAACCAAGTTTCTCGTTCTTTTCGTTGATAAAGAGACGAAGGAGCAGTTGGTTGGCTCCACAAACAAGAACCAAAAGGAACTTATTGAGCCGTTACAGGTTCAGTGCCGTTGGTGTGCGAGTGTCCGTTGACCATACCCGTGCCATTTGTCAAGTGCTTGGTGCCGTTGACCTGGTTTTCCTTGCCTGCAGCGCCCTTGGTCTGCTCGGCATCAGAGGCGCTGGATCCGTTCTTGGGAGAGAACTCGGGTACCTCGGCAGACAACGGAGTACCATTGGGGTGTGTCTGGCCGTTGATGCCATTCATCATGCCATATGGTTGGAAGCCGTCATGTCCGTATCCTGTGAATTGGGCACCGTTGGGATAGAATCCATTCGACTCAACTGGGTAGTGGTGCTGGTTCATGTATGGTGTGGGGTACATGGTGGAACGGTCATGCTTGAAGACATTGGCAGGGCCTTCGTCAAAGTTGACTTCCTCGTTTCGGGAGCCGGTCGGGTAGACGTAAGTTTTCCACTCCTTGACACGCCTGATGCGGTCGCGGTTGTCCTCAATGCCCGTCACCAACTCGACGTCGGGGCACTCGACACAGGCAATTCGAAGCATGTGCGGGTCAGGAGTCAGTTGCTGGATACGCGTGAAGTTCTGAATCACATCCAAGAAAACATAACCTTGAGAATCCATGCAGCGTCTCAAGTACGAGTCCTTTAGTAGGTTGTTAACCGAGAAGTAGTACGAGAGCTGACGGGTGAGCATGGCCAGGATGTTCTGTTGCTCATACCAGTATGGCTGGGGCGCCATCATGGCAGGCATGGCCTGCATCGCTGGGTCTACATTCCAGTTGGCAGCTTGCACGTTGTTGCCACGGCCATTTCTGCCATTTCCACGGTAGAAGCCACCAGATGTAGAGTTGCGGGATGAGTGACCATTGGTCGGGCCACCAGGCATGCCATAGCCTATGGAGACATTGCCAGGATAAGAGTTTTGGCGGGAATTCATGTGGCCATTGAATGGCTGTCCGTTGGATCCAAAACCTCCATGGCCACGGTGGCCTTGGCCATTGGCGCCAGAGTGGCCGCCTCGTCCACGGTTGTTGCGCTTCTCCGACTTGGGGACATGGTGATGATTGTTCTCTTTGGCAGCTGGCGTGAAGGACTCTCTGGAGGGGTCAGGTCGAGTCTCAGATTTCTTCTCGTTGGGAGTTTCAGAAGCTTGTGATTGGTCCTTGCTCTCAGACTGAGCAGCCTTAACAGGCTCGTCGGCACCGTTTATCTGTATTGTAAAAGTCAGCTGGTGAAACCAACGATTTGATAAATTGGGATGGAGGCGGTCACATACCGTTGGGGTGGTGTTCAAGCCTTCCTTTGCTGCACCGGATGCCTTGCGAGCATCGCGGGAAACACCAGCATCGACGTCGGCACGCTTGGCGGGCGCGGCTGCTGCAGCCTTGGAGCCATTGGCACCATCGAACTTTTCACCGGATGCTCTGGCAGCACCAGAAGCCTGCGTTCTTTCTGCTGGGTTCGACAATCCAGCATGGCCTCGCGCGCCGGTCTCCCGGCCACCACGAGGCGCACCAGTTTTACTACCACGGGGGTTTCGGCTGGGAAGTGGTGTTTCGAAAACTGCGCTCGGCACAAAGGGAATAGCCACCCATTTCGGCTTGTCCTTGGGACCAGAGTCAGCCTTGTCCTCAGAAGCTTCCTCGGTCTCAGCTGGCTTGGAAACAGTCTCCTGTGACTTGATCTCAGTAGCAGCCGTCTCGGGAGTTGGCCACGAGGCAGCATCCGCAACAGACGGAAGTGATTCGCCGCTGGTCTTTTCGAATGCCTTGCCACCACGGGCAGTATGACGTCGAGGAGCTTGCTCTGCAGCATCCTTGGAAACATCCTTCCGTTGGCCCTTATTCACATTGACTGAGGAACGACCAGAGTTGTCAACTTCACTGGCAGCAGTCTTTGCCTTGCTGTCTTGAGCATTGGCAGTGGCAGTGGATGATGTGCGTGCTGGGACAGGCTGGACAGTCTTTGTCTGGGCCTCCTTGGCCCTTTGGACCCAAATGTTGACGGTAGGTATCGGAGCCTCGGATAATTGCACCTTGGGGGCCTCGGGCTCCTTCTCCTTCTCTGCGGTCTGCTCTTGGTCTGAGTCCTTGTCGGCAGCTTTCGACTTCTTGCCCTTTCGTGGCTTTCTGTTATCAGAAGTGTCAGAACGTGCTGATCCACCTTTGACCCGTCTCTCGGGTGTCTCAGCACCCTGCTTCTTTTCTGTGGAGGCAGAGACAGCAACGTCTGTCGCCGCACTCTCCTGTACAATCTCGGCTCCTTGAGCACTTTGACTAGGAATATCCGAATCACTCTTGTTTTGGGAATCATCCGGCGTGACCGACTGTGTGTTGGCGGACTTCACGTCAGCGTCATTTGAGGTAGTCGAAGCTGCTATCGATTGAGAAGCAGCGGCTTCACCAGCAGGAGCCGAGGAATCGGCGCCTTGATTGCTCGTCGTCGAAGCGGCTTGGCTGACGGCCGGCTGGGGGGCGGAAGATGCAGTAGAAAGCTGGCCCTTGGCCGCTTGAGCATATGAAAATGTCGACATGTTGTCTGATGAGCTTGTCTGAGACAGCTTTGACTGTTCCTGGTACGTAGGCGAGAGAAAAATTCTCAACCCTGTTTTCGCACCAGGGCTGTATAGTTTCCGAGGCGAACCAAGGTCACTTCAGGCGAGGTAGCCTCTCTCGGAAGATGAAAAATCGATGGTCGCCCTCTAGGAAGGCGAGCAACGCTCCGCTGACTTTGGCTGAACTCGGCAAACAAAGGGCGAGAAACTCTCGTGCCGGAGGGAATCGGCCGCAAATTAGGTATCGCTCCGTCGAAGTCGTTGGGGAAGTGGTAGACAGCACGGATGCAGACAAGGTGCAGGAGAACCAATAGACGATCGTAAGGAAGGGGAAAATTGCTTCTGGTCGGCTTAAAGTCTCGAATGCGGGGTGCCAAATGAACAAGCAGAATGCACAAGGCAGAAAAGCTTGAGAAAAATGTGTCCCGCGAAGTCAAAGTCTGCAAGCGATTGCAGTGCGCTTGGTGAGATTTTTCTTGGTACGAGTGTCAAAAAAAATTTGGTTCAGAGCGCGGTCGCTGCTAAGGGATTTTTCTGGTGCCGTTTCGATGCGACGCCAGGTAGTGTGTGCTGTATCCGACTCACTGCCCTCGGGTTGGCAGAGCTATTGTCGATTCAGAAGCTTGGGGAAGACGGGTAGGAGGGAGGAAAGGTGGGAGGGGAAACAGAATTTGAGAACAATCCTGAATTCCTGTCCTTTTTTCTCAGAGACCCAACAAGTTGCAACTGGTGACGAAGAACGGAAGTTGCTTCGAAACAGAATTGGTGAATCGCTGAGACGTGGCCTTGTAAGATGTTATCCTGCCGGCTGGCTTGGTGGGAAGGACACAAGACTAAGCAAGAGTCCCAAGTAAGCCTGAGGAGGGAACAAAAAAAAAAAGAAAAAAAGGTAGCGATGATCTGTCAGTGTTCCTGAAATTTCGGACAGAAGCACGGATCGGACCGTCGGTCTTTTCGGTTGCTCTCGAGGGCGCGCGCGTGTGAGGAACTGCTCGTAAGAGGGTCTTTGGGTCAGGTATCCGGCTGGAGCAGGACCTGGGCGAACAGTTGTAAAACAATTGCTGGCACGGGCGACTGTGTGGTGCGGTGACTGACTGGGGGGGAGGAAACCTCAGCGCAGGAAAAAAGGCAAGTGAATCTGTAAGACAGAAAAGCGAGCAGCGTCCAAAGGTTGCTGGCACTGCTGTGGCTTTTCTGATTCTACGATTGACTTATTTGCCCACGAAATTGCTTGTTCCGGCAACACCAGTGCCACTCGAATTGCTTGACACAACAACAAAAAATAAAAAAAGTGAAGAGCAGGATGCTATTAGAGGAGAGGAGGGTTTGTGTGGAGGGTACAAGTTGGTAGCAATTTTTGTGTGCCTTTTCCGCTGCTCAAGCTCGAGGCCCGATAAAAAAAAATTTATTATTATTTTTTTCCCTCTTTACCTACTGGCGCGCTTTTCGATTTTACGGCGCCGGCCCTTGGCTGACTAGGGGAAGCATAGACACAAATTGTGGATTGTCAGGACCCTCTCTTCCGCTAGACTGACCATGACTGGGTACCGAATAGGCCTGAATGGAGTGAGCAAGACGCTGCCGAAGTTTGAAAACATAGTGGCATGTCGCCTAACTTCGGCGAATGTGAATTTTTCTATCAATGAGGGGCAATGCCTTTTTTTTTTTTTCTATCGGCCATTTTATTGTTGCCAGGGCACCTATCGCTGTCCATCTCCTCTACTGTACCTAGATGTACCAAGTATACAATCTTCATCGTCAGCCTGTTCTCCCCTTCTTACTGTTTCTTGCTTACATGCAAACATCGTGACATTTGTTCCTCTCTCGCAGCGTACAATCATCGGGTAATGTCCTAACAGCATGTGTAGCACGAATTCCTTGTCTAGGAGGGATGCGTGCCATATCAATGACATAATGAAGGTGCTGCAACCATCAAACCGTCCCCATCGCCATTGCCATTGCCGGAGAGTACTATACAGTAGGTAGGAATACCCTAAAATAACATTGAATGACCTACAGTAGCTACCAACCAGCATGCAATTCCTTTGACTCTCTGTAACTTTCATCCATGATATTACCCACGTAACGCAGAAAATGCCGACGTCTCTAAATTTAAACCGTCCGTCCGCAGACTTTCCCTTTTCAGTCTCGTCCATGTTGCGTTGTATCATGGAGTTTCAGCTGCTTCTGCTCAACAGCGAATTCTTCCATTCCGTCACGATGCGACACAAGCCTTTTCGGCAGCCCGGCTCAATAATCTTTGGGTGACTGGCTGTCCACATCAACCCCTCCACAGGTTTCCTTGGAGTCGGAGAACGAGGAGGGGAAACATTGCTCCCCTCCTCTCTCTCTCCTCTTCCTACGGTATGTACCGTACCGCACTGACTGGCAATGCAAGTGTCTGGGGCGTCTCGTTTTCCAGAGTCGTGTGCGTGGTGGAGCAGCAATCAATCCAACTGGATTGCGCGAATATCTCATATGAATCCCGTTTGTGTCCACTTCCGTGCTCCGTTTTCTGCTTACGTACATAGTAGTAGCAAGCAAGCAGCACCAAAAATTGTGAAAATAAAACCGAGGTCACCGCAGAGAGACAGAGCCGATTTTTACGAGGGCTTGAGACCCGGGTCTTTGCAAGGTTAGCATTTTAAATTTTATTAACCAGCATGATCATCATCGGCCTCATCATAACAAGGCATATAGGATGATCCTTTGCCTCCATTCATCTATGATAAAAAAATTAAAAAAAAAATAAAAAGTCCCACGGAAAATGTAGGCTCATTCATATCCACAGGTCCACTATGTGTGTACGAGTCGTAGGCCAATCAACTACAAAGTACTGTCTGCCCTCTTGCATATTACATTCTCTCACGTGCGAATGGTCGGAACTCCATGTTCTGACGGGGTTTTCTTTCCGGCGTTTGCATTGTGTCTCTTCCCGCCGGTCGAAATATGCCTGGCACCAAAAAGTCACTCTGTTACTACTCACAGAACATGAGATCGAGGTATCACAGGCAGGCAAGACTGTTGGCCAAGATGACGCACTTCCTGTGTTCCTGACTAACATGGACAAGCGAGACCTTTTGGCGTCTGGGCCCCAGGATGGGATTTCTGGTTCGATGCTAGGCCCTCCGTTGTTGGTTGCATCATCAGGAACCGCGAACCCCGCGTGGCCGCATTGGGGAAACCCGTTCGGTCTTTTTTTCCTTGTGCGCGTGTGGCGATTGTCTTGTTCTTAATGAAAAACGGGCGTGTATTTTTGCTTGTAAGATACCATAAACGCACCGAGAAGATGGCGGACAGAAATCCAACTAGAAATGGAAACCTGTATATGACCAATGTTTCTTTTCTGCTGTCCAATTTTTTTTTTCCAGGGTCCAAAAAGATCTCCACTATATGGAAATGGGCACATGTGTGTGACCTCACCTTCAAGTGCTTGTTCTGGGCCTCCAGCGGGTGCCGAATTGAGCCCGGACCTACGCGTAGTCACAGCGTTCGACAAGGTCCTATCCTATACCCCGGGGCAGCCAATCACCATGCGCACTTTTGAATTATAATGTTTGTGAATAGAACTCGAGAAATTGCTTGCATAACTCTCTTCCACCACAAAGAATTGCAAAAGCTCCAATCTGCTACATTCGAGTCTCGAATGTGAGTCGGATAACTGAGTCGATCACTGATCTGATCCAGTCAGAAGCATGAGGTTCTCGTCATGCAGTCACGCGCAGGTCTTCGGCAGACCCCGTCCCCTTACAAACTTTGCATGTATTCACTCACAACAGAAAGGGAGAGAGAAAAGATACCTACTCACGACCAAGAGTGGGAAAACAAAAACACCAATGACAAATCCCGACGGTGACTTGGTGTTTCTCAAAAGAACCTTACCGCGCAAAAGTCCAGCCCTACCTACGGCATATATGGGCTTTACCCTTCCTTCTGCTTACCTACTGGTGGATCTACATTCCGTATGGAGGGACGGCAGCGCGCCCTCCTCTCAACCTTAAAATACATCGGCAAGTTTCTGGAAGCCTTTTTTTGTATTTTCTTTTTCCTCTATCAACAAGAAAAGATATCCTCTGGTAATTTTAGTTTCTGGCCGATCCTGGGTTTTCTCGGACCTAAAGAATTATTCCGTCGAGCTGGAAAAGGAGGCTGGAACTTGCAGCCTACACTTTTTGAGGCACCAGGCGGGCCAAGTTTCTTCTGGTTCACAACACCATCAGAAGATGGTCTGGGGAATTTTGTTGACAAAGGTACAGTATCTTGGTTCGAAATGCTTCAAAGACGATCAAAAAGCACGTTTATACGAAACCCTTCTTGTATTTTTACTCCGCGGGAAAACCGGGGCCCTCAAGACCAAGAAGAAGAAAAAAAGTTGCCATTTCAGCGTCGTGCATCGTTGCAATTCGGCTCGTATATCACCCAACTAGATAAATGGATATACCGCTGACACCTGTCATCCAACCAAGCCCACAGCGGGAGTTCCGGTTGATGGCCCATTGAACAACACCCCCAAGATATATACATGATGGCATAACTGGCAATGACTTGATTAAAGTGAGAAATAAGAACATGATCTTCTGCCGCATATCCGTCTCAATATCGTCAAGTTCAAAAATGTGCAAACATAGCTGTTTCTTGACTCACATGAGCAAACACGGAACGGCACATGTACTACATACACCAAAGGGGGGCGTCTCTGACGATTTATTTTGAGAATCGCCATCAGCTAACGGTCTGAATCGTATCTTGGAAATCGCAAAACAAGTTCTTGTTTTGCTTCCAATCTAGGTGGTTGAAAATATTCGTCGAGATAATCGACGTGGGAACTAAATGTCCCGTTTTGCGATTCAAAGCATGTTGTGTTTCAAGTCAGACCCGTGAGAAAGAAGCAAAACTCTATAACAGACACACTATACTCCCTTACGTCCGTTAGGAAAAGAGATCACCTGCATTGGGGGCCGGGTCGGATTCCCATCAGATCTTCTTCCAAACACGTCACATTCTAGTCGTAACTTCACAAGTACCATAGGGTCATGCCCGCGAAAAGGAAATGGTAGAAATTTTTGGCTGAAACTCACTTTTTGCAAACTTGATCATCGCATAGGCAGGAAGTAAACAAAGCAAAGCACATATCGTCGTTATATTCGGAATATACTCTGCAAGCGTAAAAAAGGCCCAAAGAATACGGTAACGTGTGCCGTTGACGTCTCGTAGAGAAGCCACTTGCAAGTGAAGCAAAGGCCTCGAGATGTTTTAGAAACGCCAACACGAACCCTTCTATACCGATTTGATGCTTGGAAGTATACAACCCCCTTGACAGCAGCAGACAGATATGCACTTGTGTACATGATCCAGATTATAAAGTATTTTGTACAGTTGGATCAACGAGCGAAGGATGGATGACTCATACCATGTCGGGGGACGCTGTTGCCTAGGTACATGATCGTTGACTCTGCGCTTGACATTGCGTCCCGGCTTCGCCTCGCAGATCAGTATTGATTGGGACACGGGAGTCACACATGCACAAGAGATGGGTTGCGCCAGAGACACAGTTTTCCCTGGCTTCGAATGTGGCTGCAAGTTCAAGACGGAATTGGCAGTAGTTGATACCATCACATGCAGCGCCGCTGTCAACCTTGCCAACACTACCAACCTCAAGATATCTAATCGGCATTCATTCTTTTTGCTAAAGGTCAAAGTAGAAATACATTTTAGGCTCCCTCAAATCGTACATGCGAAATATGTCAAGGACTTCGATCAGTGAAGGTAGATTAACCAGTCATCCAGGCAGCGGCGCGTCGGGCACCGAAGGATGTGGCGAGGCGCAGGCCGCTCGAGCCCATGGGGAAGTAACTGACAAGATACCATATCAAGCAGGCCAGCTGAATGATAGCCGCAATCAGGGTCAAGATAGAGTTTCGCAACTGGATAAACATGAGTGAAATGACTCGGGTGGGAATGATAATGGTCTTTGGTAACTCACGCCCATGGAAAACCATATCGTCAAGAAGATAGAGCCAAAGTAGGCTGCAGTGAAAGGTAGTCGGTTACCGGAGAGGAGGTGTTGGATGTAGGCCATAGGCCCCATCATGGCACCCCATGAGCACAGGAACAGGACGGAACCAAAGGACCATCTAGGAGCAAGAGGTGTCAGTAACACAGCAGCAGAAGGGGTTTGGTCAGGTTGCAAAGAAGGAGGCATTCGGGCGGAGGGATCGTAGAGCATCTCGGGAGCTATCTCCCTCCAGTCGATCACCCGCTGGGAATGCAAGATTGAGTGCATATGCAGAGCGGCTCGCTGCATAGGGCAACACGACGGCTTCAGTCGATATGTTGATGGTCCAGTCGGGCACTTGCCTGGTTGACCACATGTTCAAGCGAAGCAGGGATCGGATAGGGCACGAGGGAAATCAGGACAGGAACATCTACTAGGCACTTACAGCGTAGCGAACTTTCGAGGCTTTGCGATCAGGACAGGCCAAAGAGCAAAGCAGAGAATAAAGCAGGCTGCAGCAGCAATGTTGCAACCACCGAAGATCAGGAGGCGATCCCAACGGCTCACTAGGTGATAAGATCGAGATCTCTGGTCAGCTTCTTATCTGAACATGGGAATTGAGAATGCCCATGTGCAAAAATAGACCACGAGATGCGGCAGCTAGTCCGACTGCGACAGTCGCACATGGACGTTCTTTGATAGCTCCACAAAATCATATAATATCCGAGACGGAGGCGGGCAGGGGAACGAAAACAGGGCAAAGGCGCAAGAAGGCGTAGGCTGTATCACTCACAGGCGAACCATCCCTCTTCTTCCTCGCGGCGAGTGGGAGCTGGGAGCGGTGCGCCGGCGCCCTCGGTGGTGGGCAGTCGCACATATCCGCGGTCGCCGAAGGGGTTCAACGACTGGATGGAGGATAACAGGCCAGACTGTTGGCTCGTATTGACGGGTATGTCTGCGTCGCGACGGGACCAGCCCAGCGAATTCATAGACTCTCGGAAAGACGCCGAAGCCATGGTGTGTTGAGTGTGTTAATAATGGATGGATGCGTCTGGTCGAGAAGGGTGAGCAGTAGCAGCAGCAGCAGCAGCAGCAGCAGCAGCAGCGGAGCCAAGCTGTCGTTTGTGGCCTCCGAGACACGACGTCCTAACCTAGCTCTTTCTTGCTTTGGCCTGTCTGCTTTCAAGTAGCTATATCCCGGGTTCCGCAGCTCGAGTCGGTCGTGGCGTGACGTCGCGTTTTGATATGGGTCGGATTCGTTGAGGGTCCAAGGTCGCAGTCGATGCTCATCCGGGTGTGTCCGATGACCCTCCCTTTCGACAAGAAGTTGGCAGTGTATGAGGCTATGGGGGGTTTGAAGCAGGAAGCGTCGTCGTCGATAGCACTAAGGGGATTGGGGTGGGTGGGGTCAAAATGTGGCAGATGGGCGCGTGATGATTGGCTCCAGTCACGTAAGCCTTGTGTGTGTGCGCTGATGTTACCATGCTTGTCACTCTATCAAAGCTGCCGCGGATTTGACGGCTCCTACCCCCACAACCTTGAACCTGAGAACCTGGTAGGCTTCTTCTCATTGCCCATCTCTTCTCTGCTACCCGCCCACTAAGGCATGTATGTAATGTATATGTAGGTAGGTAAGGGTTTTGGAGACATACATACATACAGCTTAAAAAGGTGGTGTGTTAGAGGCAGTTATCGACTGATATGCACGACACCCACTAGAGCTTTGGTATGAAGGGTTCAGGGTGAGAAGTGTGTGGATTTCTCTTTTGTTTGTTGACTGTCTTGGTTGATCAATCATCAGCACATGATCCCAAACTGACTGGTGTAAGTCGCATAGTGTGTGGAGTTTGATACCTTCGCATTTTATGTAGGTATGTATGCGCGAAGGAGGATGTTAGACACGATGATACATACACAATTGCTCCCAACCTCCCCTCGTCCGTCTTTCTCTTCTTCTACTACGTTGCGTGGTGCGTATAGCGGCTACTTGGTTCACGATGACCGTGAGAAGGTATTCCTTACCTTGATATTGTTGGGCTTTGAAGGAGTGTCTAATGCGTGCGTTACCGTGTATGTCATGCTTCTCTGGCATCTTTCCATGTCACCGATGCTTGTCGGTCGCCGGGCGTGGCTTTTATGAGGCTCAGTCCATGGCCGACGCGACGCCCGCGTGGCAAAATATTGGTTGCAGCCTGCTGATATATCTGGGGGGCCTGTTTGAGGCCTACGCAAGCTGATGTCTCCAAACATGTCGCAATAGAAATACCACCATGTGAGCAATTCGCACGACACCCTCTTGGTCAACATTGCCTGCTTGCCAGATTCATGAAGCGCCCGTATTTCGATATGCACTAGAATGTTTACTTCCTTGTACTCCACACACACACACACACACACACACACACACACACACACACGCTGGAACGGGCGGGAGGGAGGAGCTCAAGTAAACCGCAGCTTATACGGAAGTAGATAGGTAAAATGTATGTACATAGTAGGTTGGCATGTAGTCTGAAGCTAGTTCAATACGTACAGTATGTTGCCTTCTTGTAAGTGATAGCGTACATGGCGGCGGCTAGCTCGGCAACCAGATCTGTATATATGTGATTTACTGCGACTGCCACCACTGAGAAGCTAGATACCTAGATAGTGGAAGAGAGCGCCTTTTGGGAAAGGTAGCATCTTGTTTCTAGCTTTTCTTGAATACTGCCTCTATCCTGGGAGCTTTTGTGCCCAACACTACTTTTACAGGCTCTCATGATCGCACCGTGCCGAACGGACACTATCGAACCTTGCCCACCGTCCGAGCCCGAATTGATGGAGACTTGAGGACTGGGGGCTACCAAGTGAGTTGATTGGTCATCGCATCCTGGCTTGCATCTTCTCATGCCGGTATGCATGTATTACTGTATGTATGTATGTTGTATGCATGTACATACAAATGTTTTGTGGTGTAGAAATGGGATGTACGTGATGTATGGGCATGTATGGATCGCCGTCGGCATGGGGCTGTTCGGCATTGGCCTTGTCGTGCATGTTACGAAACGTTTCTTCCCGACGTGCTGTCGATCTGGGGAAGCACATCCAGAGAAGCCGAGTGGCCTGTTCCCTCCTCGTTTATCAAATCAAGAGCTACGGTTATCTGGACGTTCTACATGATGCAATGATGGTGGCGGTTCATCCGTTCTCAGGAGTGGATGTGACTGAACTACCATACATAGCTACATTTCTAGGAAGCTTGACTATTACCGGGCTCCAGTGAGCGAGAACCATGCGCTTAATCGGGAGCACTACTATCCGCGAGGACTAATATTAGAAGTTCTTGAGAGTGAGCGATCTTGCCAGCGGCAGCAAAGACAGAAAAGAAGTATCCACAGGCCCGTAAGCATGAATGAGATAACCTTTGGGGCGTCAGAAAGGTTTAATTGCCCTCTTCGGATTCGGGTACCTTTGAGTTGTGAAAACACTCCCAGATGCCTGGGTGGTGGTTGGGCGGTTGGGCGGTCAGCACTGAAAAGATGAGACTAGCCTCAACTCTATACCGTTGCTCGTATGCCGTGGCTGACGAGATCCGAGCACTCCTTCAGGCACAGCTTCACTTATGTTTTCTACGAGATAAGACCATCTTTCCCATCTTTCCCGTTTTTTTTTTTTAACACTGTCGGTCAGTCAGTCAGGTCTGATTGGATTCGATCAAACCTGTTTTCTTTGTGTGTGTGCGCGCGAGTCATATAGGCAGGCCTGGCAATCATGTTGGGCGGGTATTTAGGCTGATCCACGATTGACTTCCTTGCAAAGATACATACCATACATCCATCAGGGAATGTTCTTATCTGTCAATCTTGGGAATAAATGCCATATTTCCCAGCCATGCGCATTTGCCATGAAGAAGCAGGATAATAGCGCTAATCCCAAGGCAGAAGAGGTGTGGTAATGTGTCTCACCTAGGTAGGGTGGCTGACTTTCACCGCGTCACGCGTTTTAGTATAGTGCCCTTCTCTTTTGAGGTTCCCTGGTTGCTAGCCGTCCGAGATTGCCCTGTGTAGTACAGGCCGTGGGATGGGCAACAACCCAGCTTATACATGACAAACGCGAAAATGGTCCGGTGCGAGGGCATCTTACACTCACAGCACACCACTATGGCCTAGAGGAATTCCCAATGTGGGCTGCTCTTGCTTAGACAGCAGTCATAAGACGCACCCGGTAGAGCGCGAAGGGGCTGTATGTAGCTGGCGGCTTGGAAGAAAAGCCCGATCGACTATTTGTGGGTGTCATCGAACGTACTCTCTGTATTTGTAAAGGTAGACAGATATAAGAATCCGGTACTTATGCTATCGCCCCCTTCGGAGAGTTCAAACCGCTCGAAGGAACGAACGTACCTCTTAATACTTTCAACCATATATCTACCTGGCCTACTTGGAAGGGAAACAGACTCACTCGTCTTTTGCCTTTCAGTATCTACTCACATCTCACACTTGATTATTTGCTGGATCGAACGATATCCGACTTGCCGAGACGGTCCTAATTATAGACGACATCATCCTGCATGCGTGGCTGCTGCGAGAGAGACTCCCCTATACTCAACGGAGAAGAAGCTCTCAAGGACGCCCTCGTCGCGGCAACGGAATATTACTTCCGTCTCAGCCATCCCCTACCTGCATAACCGCGCAAGACTTTTTTGTTTTTGCCCTCTCTGCAGTTACATGGACCAAAGAGCTTGGACTGCTTGGAACATCATAAATCTTGGGCTTCAAGACACGACACACTTCAAGTCTTCAAAGCAATATTCGGGGAGGATTTCTGACAAACGTGCAACACGGCTGAACTCTACGACCGCCAACGCCTCAAAGCAGCTTTATTGGAACGCCATCTCACCCGCGTCTGGCGATATACCTGTCCCTTTCTCTGGCGGAAGTGGCATCGGCGGCGATATATCATCTCACCCGGGGATTATTAGCGACTGCAACCGCTACAGTAGCCGCGAGTTACCTCACGAAGCGGGCCGATTTCGCGACTTTTATTAGACACCACAAGCGACTGGCATCTCGAGCATAACCTACCCACTGCGAGGCCTGGCTTTGAGACCACCCAAGAACGCCCCAGATAGATTTCCTACTGCGGCTGCCGAGCTTGGATCGTCGTACGAGCCTCCTCACGCGTATCGCCGATCTTTGGATCTTCAGGGTTCTCCCGCCTGCTTATTGAGGACCCATAGCGGGATCGGCGAGAAGAGGAGACTTGCTTGCCTTGCATACTTCGTGCATTACTGCATTCTCTCCCCTCATCCGCCCAATCACCACTCGCCTCTCCTACCGCGCTGCACTTGCGGCGAGACACAGAAATACTCTATCAAAATCCCGATCGGTCAAGATACAAGACCCGGGCAAGTTCGCTTTTGGACATTTAGGGTTGAAAGAAGGCTTTGAAGCTTTCCCATTGTCGAAAGCCTCCAGCGATCGAGAGTGGATAATAATCTGTCGGCACCTTACCTAGGCCATTTGTGCTAGCTAGCGGGGAGTCTGCCAAGTCTGCCTTGTTCTGAGCAACCCAAGCACTGTACTTTGCCCCTCCATCCCCCTCCCCTCCATTTTCCCCTCCCATCAATCGATTAGGTGCCATCACACCAACCCGAAAGAGGGGGTACATACATCCACCACCCTACCACACCGCGCCTGCAGGTATTCCACACCTACCTACCTACGCTACCTGCCTCCTCTCCAAGTTGATCTAGTTCATCACTTTCAGAGGGTAGAACGAGCTTGCAGGGGCCTTGATCCTCAAGTTGCAGCTCCTTTACAGCGGACGCAGCCAATCACAGTTGCTTTCCCACCCCTCGGCTTCCCTAAATCGTGTTCCAAGGAACCAAGGGTCGCGCGCCGCCAGACAACCGAATACCTTACCGTCGTCCTTCGACCGCCTTTGATTGATTGAGAGGTCTCACTCACCGCGACTTTGAACCCATCCAAGGCGTTTGTTCATTACTCGACAACATTGCCTAACCCGACCAAACAAACCACCATCCAATATACATACCGGCCTGCGAGACTCGGAACCGTCTTTTCTCTGCGAGACAAATCAATCGATCGCGATACATAATACCACTATTGCGCTCAGCTTCTTTTTTTTATTTTCTCCGGCCGACTACTCACTCTGGACGAGGCAGTAGCGTTGTACCGCATCATATAACCACTACTTGGGAATACGAAATATTCCAGTGAGTATCAATAACCTGTCCTATATATCCGTCCACCAATATTTCGGTGACCAGTCATAACTGCCTGGAGGCAGCCATTTAATCATTTGTTGATAAGTCTCGTCTCAGCTCCCGTCAGCCCAAGAACCCAACCATTTCCAAGTCCGTCCATACAGCCCATTCCCACCCACCGACCGCTGCCACCACCAACGATACCGGGGGGCGGAATCCTGAAAAGAAACCTCAAAAGAGTCAGTCAATCCATCATCCTGGCCGCGCACTCGACTCAAGCAAGTCAACGTCGCTCCCAGCTTTGCCCGCCCTGACTGTAAAGTAAGTCACCGCCCTGCTATTCTCTTTATTTATTCTTTTCTCGTGAATTCATTTCTTGATTGCACTTCGAGACTATTTTCTCCCAAGAAATCTTGTCTTTTCTTTTTCTTTTCTCTCCTCCTTCCCGGACGCAAAAAATCCGCATTTGCGCGCGCACATCTTTTCCCTCACACACCTCTTTCCCTTTTCCGCTGCATTCCCTCCACAAAAACTCCCATCCCGTCAGCCTTGACCCGTTTCGTCTCCAACTTTTTCTCCACGACCGCTACTCCGTCCCCATCTCTCCATTCAATACATACATAGACTTTCCTCCACCGCCCGCACCCAGCCCATTCATCCGTCACTTCAACAATCCGATCGGATTTTCCCAAGGGGCCCAGCCCGTATGCGCATGAGCCGAGAGTCCTAACATACTCCTGTTGCAGCCGAGTCTAGATCCCATCTGATCCGAAACTCAACTCGGCCTCCCTGATCTCCATACGACAGTGGAAACGACACATCAATAATTCGTGCAACCATCGGCTTTCATTGCCTCCTAGCCGAATCCAAGCGCCCACCATTGCAACCTAACTTATCTTCCTTATTTGGCGACACGTTTCTCACCACGCCTGTCTGTACCTTTCTCTGGCCTCTGTCTGACCTCAGAAGGCGCAGCAGCAGTTTTGGGCAATCCGAACAAATTCCCCGACTGTCTTCGGCTTTGAGCCCGCGATTTCGCCGCTGCTGACTCGATCGTTTCCCCCCAAAGACAATCGGTCCTGCACCCATTCACATCGATAGGAACCATCCGTCTCTAATTCGACCATACACCTTACGTATCGCCTTTCACCGCACGCGCGACAATTATTTTTCGGGTTTCAAGCCTTTCTACTGGCCTCGGTTCGCTTGCGCGCACAGCTTCGTGAATCATCTCTGAAAACTGTATGGCATAACAGCCGAAACCTCCGCACAAAGACACTCTCCAACCTGGTAAGTTGACTCAAATTTATACTTCTATAATTATCTCACCCATGCACTTCCTTTCCTATCCAAGAACCCAAGAGACATCAACGACTCAGCATGATTCATGCTTCGGATGAGGCTCGATCGATTGCTACCTCTCTGAGGAATGCGGGGCAAACTGCTCCCAACGATCTGTTGCGATAAATGACACCCGCTGACATGGTACTGATATCGTCGCAGAAACCAAACCACCACAATTCACATTATCTTTACCATTTTGTTTGATCTGAATTGATCGATCTTGTCATCGGCCATGTCTTATTCGACCTACAACCAGTTTGGCGGAAGCCCAAACATCAACCCCAACGACCTGCAAATGTCGGGCGCGCATGGATCGGCATTCTCCAATAACTTCAATGGAGGCTCAAACGGCTTTTCTAGTGGCTCGGCCCTGTTCGGCGACGAGGAGCTCCTGGATACGTTGAATAGCCCGACAGAGCAGACACCCCCAACAATGCAGGGTCAAGACTTTAACGGAATGAGCATGGGTTTCACACAAGATATCTACCCGTCGCAAATGAATGGATACTCGAACACTCCAGACGGCGACCCCATTCAGAGCCCTTTTGTACACAGCTATGGTGCTCAGACCCAATTCCACCAGATGCAGAGGCCGACATTCGGCGCGTCATTGCAATCTCCGCTCTCCTATTCTGGCTCGCCTCACACTGCGAACGACGCCGAGGGTGACTTCCTGAACGCAAAGCCTCGAGCTCGGCTATCGCAAGCCCAGGCCCAGGCTATGCAGCGCAAGGCTTCGAATACACGAAGCCCGCTTACACCTAGCACAGCCACGGCAATGGCAGGTCTTACCGTTGGTTCGCACGAGTCTCCGGCCTTCGGCGCCCAACCGATCAGAGCTCCTCAAGCTCACCACGAAAAATCGCCTTCAAACCAATGGATGGCTACGCCCAAGAGTCTGTCGTCATTCCCTGGATCTGGCCTGTCCTCTCCTTTGCAAAATGGATATGCACACCCGCATCTAGCTGGCATGATGCAAAACGCCGGCCAGTCTTTACCTGCCAGGATGGGCGGTCCTGGATCGACCGTCAAGTCCCAAGATGACAAGAGAAGGCGCAGGCGCGAGTCACACAATGCCGTCGAGCGCCGGAGGAGAGACAACATCAATGAGCGCATCCAAGATCTAGCCACACTCGTTCCAGGTCACCGACTGGACGACGAAAAGATCAAGAAGCTTCTGACGAACGGGACGCCGCTGTCTCCGACACTGACCGGTATGGCACACCCTGATCAGGCCACATCTGCTCTCGCTGGGCCTGGGGCTAAGCGTGCCACTGGTGCTGGAAGTATCACCACGGGTCTTCCAATGGATGACAAGGACAAGGGTCCCAACAAGGGTGACATTTTGCAAGGCGCTGTCGGATGGACTCGAGATCTCATGTGGATGCTACACCTCAAGATTCAACAGCAAGAGGAACTCGTCAACACAATCCAGGAGCTTGGTGGACACGTCCCATTTGAGATGACTGAAGATGAGAAACGCATGCAAACCGAGCTCATGGAGGTCATGTCGGCCATGGCGAGCAGACCAGGCAAGAGTGAGGCCCTTTCGTACACACGCACAGACGGCTCGGGCTTGAGAGTGCCGCATCACACCGACTACAAGGGCGAGCCTCTCAATGGGGCCACCGCGATGGATGCCATCGCGGTTAGTCCAGACGACCCCAGCCCAGGTGATCTCGATGCTGAACTCGCTAGCACAGATCACTTCTGGGGCGAACCTGATGATCTCAAGGAGGAAGATGAGTACACGATGGATATGGTCATGTAAGCTGATGCTTACTTGAAGACTCTTCCCGTGTTTCGTTTGCTTGCTTTGCATGTTCAGTCTTCTTGTTTCCCGCCTTTCTGGCGAAGATACACTTGGGATGGACCGGTTTCTCATCTCTCTCCACTTATGGGTTGTGCATATCGCCGGTGACGCCTTGCATCGCATCAGGGTTACATCCATGGCTGGGAGCGAACAGGCGTTTTATTTCTTTTAATTCCCATGCAGCAGTTTCTCTCTGGACTTTTTTCCTATCTCGTCATTGCTTTCTTTCTTTTTCTCCCATATTGTTACTTACATCTTTAGAGCAATCAATGGCTTGCCGTTGGTTACAGGGGATTTCTTTATTCATTTCCTTAGTCGTGGGATCGGATTTGATTTTACCATGATACCTGAGACGCCATTGGTCGGAGTTTGTTAGGGCATTTGCTATACCTCGTCATTCACCAGCGTTGCTTTGATCGCCAGAGTTCTTCAATAAGACCATTATCTTTGGAGCGTTACTGTAGCCTCGTCCACGGACTCGGCATTATATAGTTGTATCTTGATTTACAAATCTACTCAATACTCAGAAGAAACCGTGCCATTACCCGTGCTCGCCGTGTACACTTTGTTAAGTGAATTTATTTGGAAGAGTTGTGAAAAAGGATACATGACCCAATCATGCTGCAGTATCATGTTGTCGTGAATGAAAGATGCTCGCTCTGTGTAGGCCGAAAAGATGGACGCAAAGTGGTTATGGTAAGGGGTTTGCACCGTGCGTGAGCTTTGGGTCGTTCGTACTGTACAGCTCTGCGTTTGCTCGGGGGTACCTACCTAGCAGATGAGCTTATCACGAGGCTGGCCAATAGCCTACTTTGTTTTCTCCTCATCCTTACTTTTTTGAGGTCCTGTTGCCGCAACCTGAATTACTGACCCGAGATTGATCACCTAAAGTCAAGTTGGCTTCAGTATCAGATGTGGCTTCACACCTGAAGGATCGCTGAGGCAAGAAGGCGGCCGCCTGTTTAGCTGCGCAATTGAAGGATCCCAGAGGGCATAGACGGGCGCTAGGTACAATAGCGATGTGATGCACACACGGCACGTCACATATTATATCAAGCAACCCTTCACCACTCAATGAAGCTGTGGCAATTCTAGTTTTCGAGTCTGGAGTCTCTCTCCATAACTTCAGCCGAAGTAGACAAGGAACAGGAAAAGCCGGGCTCGTTTCAGAAACACTCCGAGGATGGCTGCCCCAATTGTGCCTACCCTTTCCAACTTTCTCGGCGTGGCTCTGGTGATCAACAGATCGCGCGATGGTCCGCGATTTGTCTTTCACTACCCGCCACGAATACCCGCCATCAATGCGCACTCGTCATCTTCTGGTCGCGGTGCCAAAGCAGCTGGTACCGACGACGAACTAGCAGATAATGACGACGACGTGTTACTTGAGCGCATTGCCAATGTTGCCATCGGCGCTGGCTCGCAACCGAAGGGCGTGGACCTCGCCAACTGGAACCATGACGACCACCTGGAAACTGAGAACGGCTCGCAAATCGTGCCCTGGGAACACGTCGGTGGCTTTCCCACCCGGGATCTGGAGAACATCCTGACACCCGCCCGGGCTTATCATAAGAAACTTTTCTCCTTGAGCCTAGACCAGCTATGCACCGTGAGCTATCCCATTTATGTACCCGAGAATGGTCTTTGGAAGAAAAAGAAGCGGCAAACAAAATCGCAGCTCAGTATGAGTGGAAAGATGAGTGCAGCACCGGGCGATGACGGAGAAAAGAACACAGGCAATGGGGAACCGTCGATACTGGCTGCCAGCATTCCTCAGATTGAAACACACGACCTGGCAGACGATCCGGCCACACAGGACGAAGGAGATGCGCACGATGACGTGGGGGCAGCTGAAGAAAAGAGCGAGGAAAAGAAGAGCGGAATGACCATGTTCAATCTAGTCTTTCTTCTCAACCCGAAGAAACATGAAGCAAAGGAGCTTGTTGAACTACTCCACTTCCACATTCTCCGCAAGATCAACAAGGCTTACAAGTATGCACAACAGCGAAGCGATTTCGTGTGGAAGGAGTCCAAGAAGATACTCGCGCTCAAGGACAAGGGCCGGGAGGACAAAATTAGGATGACAGTGCTCTGGCGCCAAATACTCGAAACGTCCTCCTTGGCGGCCTCGATGCAAGACGTTTACGAATCTGTATGCGCCAACAGAATTGCAGCATTGCAACTCGATACGCCCCAAGGGACTGTGACTCATTCCGTCCAGATACCCGTGCCATTTCACCTACCAGACATTCCTAGTCCTGATGATCCCGAGGCTGAGAGACTGAGAGGCTTATGGATAACGACGGCGAATAATTTTGCAGACCTGGATATAGCCGCCATTGACGACCCAGCCTTTTTAGACAAGACATTTGCTTTACTCCTCTTACATGACGAGAAGAAGATCATCGCGGAACTCCAAAGCGATCCGGATGAGACGACAAATGGAATGATAGAATTTGTGCGCTTGAGTAAACCGACATTGTCATTCCATCAGATCGGACAAGGTCCGACACTCTCGCCGGCCCAGGTTCGTCGATATGCGCAGCATTTCATCTTCTGGCGGAGAGCCATTGCCATCCCGCCCCTACACGCCAGGGACATCTACATTATGTCGCCCAACAGCAAGACATCGGCACTACCGACGGCAAGTCAAGCATGGGCTCGGGCATTTCCACTCGCTCCTCCGCTGCCCAGTTTTCTGGCCGAGCTGAGCATGGCCCCAAGGCCGTATAAGCACTTTTGCCCATCCAAGAGCCACCGTCCACAATATCTCCAGATGCTGGCGTGGCTAATGCGCGGAGGTTGGGTTACACAGTTGTGTACATTTGCCTACGTGGTCGTTTGGCCTGAAATCCAGTACGAGGTCGAGTACCAGATTGAAAGGGATGAGATTAAGAAGACCGAGAGCGCCATAGCTACTGCTGCATCTGCGTCCGAGCACACTAGCGACAACCCTTCGTCACCAGAGAGTCCGCCAAGTGATGAGCAGGGTCTGCTCTCAGCCGAGAGCGTTAGAGCGGCATCTGAAGACGCAGAAAAGGGCAAGACTCCCCAGCTACACTCATTAGCCACCTTTGAGCCTATCCGGTCCCGCCCGACGACGCCCAGCCTACGGGATGAAGACCTCAATGACAGTCTCATTCTGAGCCCACCGCTATCCGCAGCAGCGGCCACCGACATGGAGCGATCCATCTCGTCGCTACCGCCACTGTCGGATACTCAGGAAACGCCCGTCAACCCCAACGAGTCCATTGCCGAAGCGGCGCGGCTAACGCGTCTTGCGGACCGGCGCACGCGGGATCATGCCGACCGCGCCGCGCAGCACGCCCGGCGTCCGCATCCACGCGCGACGGACCACCCATCATCCAACAACGCGGCGCACCTGGCTCACCTGACGCCTTACGTCATTGTCGACGCAAAAAAGGCCACGGGCAAGGAGAGCATGTACCTCAGTGCTATAGGGCGGCGACTCCGCGACCCGCGCGTCCGCGCCAAGTGGCCCGTCTTTTGGAAGTACTTCAATGGCCACTCGGCGCTCGAGCGCATCGCCCTTATGGAGGATCTCAAGAGGAAAGAGGCTTGGTCTCTCTTGACTGGCATGAGCGAGCACTTGGTCACGGTCAGGCATTGGTAGAGATTGGACAAAAGAGTTCATGGAGTTGTCTGTAAATCAGTATCATGTATCAAATGTCAGAAGTGGAATCAGTATGCAATTTCTCTATTAAACAGTTATAATTTTGTATTTTATACTTTGCGCCAAGCAAAGAGCCCCTTTGCAATCGACAGGCCCTCCTTGGCCTTGGACGCAATGGAAGCGCGCTCAGCGCGGCTGTTCTCATGACGGATTTCGTGAGCGACGGCATAGTCGTCATCGTGAATGGCGTGCTCGCGCTGCTCCTTGCTCTCAAGGCGAGCAAGGTCGAGCTCACGGACCTTCCAGGCGCGCAGGAGCCAGATAAAGACAAAGGCTAACAAGTACATGAAGCCGATAAAGAGCTGGGCGCCGCGGTACGAGCGCTGGCGGATCTCGAGCACAATGACCTCGGCAAAGGTGGCGGGAAGCACAAGCACGACCCAGGTCAGTGACAGCGCCGAGGGCAGCAGCTGTAAGCCAACGACCTCGGCGAGGACGGGAGCCGCCGTCGCCCAGATGACGCCAGCACAACTTCCCGCCAGCAGGGCAAAGACAATGCAGGTCGCGAGGGTAAAGGAAAAGACCCAGAGCACCAGGCACAGCACGCCAACAAAGGCCGTACAGAGCCCAGCTACGTTGAGGCGGCCGACAGCGTCACTAGACACGCCAATTATGGGTCGACCTAGGCCTTGAGATACTATAAGGGGGTTTCTTTGTAAGTTCATGTCCAAGATATGAGAAATATGATACATACAGTTGAGTAGCGCTCCAACGAGTGAGGCATGCGAAGCCGAGAGCCCGACGTACTGGGAGTAATCCACAATGCTAAAGATGAGCGCCGTATATGGGATGAGGGACAAGGACATCCAAGCCAAGTAGAACAAATACGAGGGCCTCTTGAATAGCTTCCAGTTAAGGGCAATATGGACTGACCCAACAGCCTTGTTCCTGTCTCGGATGAGGAACCCACAGATGCAGTTGACGACGAAGCAGATGATGGCCAGGACCCGAAAGGTCCAATCAAGGCCAATGGAGGAGATCATGGCATTGGTTCCGAGCGAGTAGGTCAACCCGCCAAAGCCCGAACCGGCGGCGGCGCAGGCATTGGCGAGGGACCGTTTCTTGGTGAACCACTGCGATGGCACCGGTACCGATGCCACAAAAATGAGGCCCATGCTGCAGAAGAAAAACAAGGTTGAAATATTAGTGTTCTGGACCGCAACTGAGAAGAGGGTTTCCTGCAGGTACACACCCTACGCCGAAGCAGATACCCTGACTGAGGATGAGATGCCATAGCTCGCTTGTAAACGATGCTCCAATGAAAGAGGCACTGCAGTGTTGCGCGCACTCTGGTTAGCCAGGTTCTTGACTTGCAGATTTCGCCTTTGAGTCCTTACGTCTCGAATACCGTGCCCAGCCATATGGTCTTTCTCGTGCCGAAACCTTTCAGTCCTACCAGGGCTGTAGCAATGGGTGAAACCAGCAGTGCTTTTCCCACCCAGCTACATTAGCATTCTTGGAACCATAAATTTGTTTCTTTCTTTAGCGTCAACTTACCAATACCGATGGACAGTCCTCCTACAAAGGCAAAGCCCAGGGAGCTCGCCCCCTCAATAGTCTGATTCCTGAGATAATAGGCCAAGAAGACGGCATAGGACTGTTTTGTTTTTCTCATGTCAGTTGTTGAGACTCAGACAATGTCTCAGGTGTACTTACCGAATTCAGTCCCCAGGTGTGAAAGTTGAGCAGTGCAGCTGCAGTCACGACCACCCTGGACAAGCCGCCAAAGTCAACATTGATTTCTTTTTCATCAGGAACGTAACTATTGGAAAAGCAAGAGAGAAAAAATAATATTGAATGGCAATATCTGTATTGATAGCAAAGAGGGTGTCACGAACCAGCCATAGCCTCCGTCCTTCAACTCATTGGTACGCGATTGTGGTTCCTGCGTGGTGGCGGATGTGGGTTGGTGCGCCTCGTTGACAGACGGGACTTCGTCCATAGTATCACGTTCCGTCTTCTGCTCCGAGTCACTCATGGCGCCGATGGGGTCTGGGGGAACTCGTATATTTGGAGTGCCCAGGCTGCTTTTTCTCTCTTGCTTCGCGATCAAAGCTCATCGAGAGAGACGGGTTAAGCAATTCCGCAGATTTTTTTTCTCTCCCCTTACCATAATGACCGAGATTGACTCCTCCCTGGTCACATATCCGCGCCCTACTGCGAACATCGGTCGTCGGCTCAGGATCCGAGGCAGATCCATCCCATGCTCGATCCATTCGCCGGGAATAACGAATAACGTAATAGCAAAAGTCACCGGCTCATTTTTTTTTTCCTCTTCTCCCCTTGGCTGCCCTCCCTCCTTTTCGGCCTCCCGAGTTCCCATATGGACCATTCGGCTAGTCCACCCACTTCTTCTTTGCGGCGGCTTCTAGTGTCGCCAAGGGGGAGCCATGGCCATAGCCGGAGATGCACTTCCCCCCCGCGATGGGCGGCTCACCATTGGTTTGCAACGGTTGGGCGCGGCCATCGTTTGGTACGTGAGTATGTTTAGTTTAGCAAGTATGTAAACTGACGGCGCCCCTGCGTCATCGGGAGGCGAGAGACAACATGGCAAGCATGGCTAGGTTCAAATGCCGAAGCAAACGAACTGCCTCTGGGTTAGAGTAGGCGTGGAAGAGTTCAAGGTTGGTGTCATTGATTTAGGGCATGTCATGGTCCAGGGGGAAAGGTTTTTGGGATGTTGTATTATGATTCTGAGTGAGAAGTCAAATCTGCGGCTTATTTTGAGACCTCGAGGCGACACTGAGACGGATATATAGTACCAACAGACGGTAAAGTGCTCTCAGCTTTATCCTGTTTTGTTAGCATGCAGAGTGTCTTGTCTTGACCTTTGCAGCACCCGCAACGGCTTCGATTAAAGGAGGAAAGCAAGAGACTCCATAGTCGGAAGGATCTGATGATGATGTTGGCAATTGCAAGTGGGCGAAACCCAATATTATCGATTCGGTACGACCGAGAGACCTTCAAATCCTTCTCATATAGGAGAGTCGCACAAGAGATCCAGTGTACAAGTATACCCCGGCATATGCACAGCTAAGCAGTTGCTTTATCAGCAGTTTGTGTGTTCACTGACGTGACTTGTGGTTGTGCACAATGCACATTGCTTTTCCCCCTCTGTGCCCCTCCCTTAGCTTCGCTCACCGCAGCGTGCACATGTGATGAAAGCTCCCGTTAACAAAGACCGCCAACTGCGCCCAACACATGCACTAAGACAGAGTTACTGGGGCCAACCGTCGCCCAGGGCAACGTGGTGCTTCCTGAAGCCAAACACGAAATTCTAGCGCTTGCGGTTAGACCCATCCAGCGATGGATTTGCTGAGATTCTGCTTGCAAGGGTGGTAATCGGGACATGGGTCAAGGGAGGACTGGGGAAAGCTTTCGGCAGCTCTGATTCGCGACGAAAAACACCATTCACAACACACGATTCGCCGGGCTTCCATGAGCAAAGGCAGAAACGGACGTGCATCTCGAATTGGGACGGCCGTTACCTACCTAACCTTGCCCACCTAGACCCAGATTCAACACCCGGCCACCTCCCTTTTTTCAGCCAGCAAAACCGCACGCAGCTTTGCCAGCAGCCAGAATTGTCTGTTCAGGCGCTGGGTTGGTTACAGGAGAGTGGAAGAAACCAAAACAACCGGCCACTCAGACCAGGTCTCTTCCACATCATCATGCATCTATGCGCTGCGCTGCGCTGATGCATTGCATAACCTCTGACACATTGACTCACACATGGGAGAGACATACCTTGATGTTGATACTGCTGTATACAAAGCATACCTACTAATACCTAGCAACTCCAGAGTATCATAAACACATGCATCTCTGGAACCTCTCTCTTTCTCTCTCCACACATGCCAGCTTACACATGGTCCGAACATAATATCTACAGGCATCACCCCTTTCTCAGGCAACCTGGAGACGCCCAGTAGCTAGTAAACAGCATCGAATATCTACCTGCCCAATCCCTACCAAAGCTGCGAAGCTGCGAACCTACTGCTTCCCTACAGGATTTACATCATCGGGCCAATTTCGTGTTGCAGGAACTACTTATTGATTGTTTTTTTCCTTCGCCGCCATCAAACTCTACCTTCTCACTACTTTTGCAGTCGCCTGGTTTTTCTGGTGCCTGGTTCCCAAGGAGCCAGTAGATCGTGCCTCTGCCTCGATCAGAGACAAGGCACGAGACTCGTTTGAGCTGCTAATCTCAACCTCACAATAACCCAAGACAACGCCAGGCGCTTATCAAGATGATGGGCAGCATTCGTGGCAAGTCCAAGGACAGGACTTCGCCTAGAAAGCCCTCTCCGCCGGAACCGTCCTATATGGATAGTAAACAGTTTGGTAGGCGCTGATGCACTTGCAGCAACGACATATATTCCAAGTCGCCAACTGACATGTACAAATAGCCTCTTATCTTGCCAGTCTCCGTGATAACCGGGTCACTCGGCCTGGTGGAGCCCGACCGCCTCCTTCTCCTTCTGTAGCATCAACTGCACGCCTCAACTCGGATCGCATAGCGCCAGGTCGGCCGTCGATCGGTGGCTCGACAATCAATACCGAGGCTTCGGCGCCGGCAAGCTCCAGCCACTTGCGCTCACACTCCGACATTGCCAAACCATCAAGCATCCGCCCGAGCCTTGTCGGCAGTATGGCATCGCGCTACTCGACGGCGTCCGGCAGGGACTACTACCCTGAGAAATCCAGCCCAACAAAACCGCTGAGACCTGATGAAGTTGTTCCTACATCAACATACATGGAGCGAGGAAGTCGGTGGATGGAAAAGGAGGAGGTCTTCTCCTTGCGCACAGCCCTGGAAGACATGGATCTGAAGGACGCGCAAAAAGAAGCGCAAAAGGAGCACAAAGAGGGCGAGGCGTCGGGCAGCAATGACGACGAGAGTCGACTGTACAATGCCGCTCTCGACGAGGCCGCAGAGCTTGTTTGGCAGCATCAGAACGGCATCAAGCCCCGAGAGCCCGGGGCGCCGTACTCCTACAAAACTCACCTGCGAGAGAAGAGCTACGCTTATGCTCGCACCGCAAGCACGGGGCCACACAGTCGTGATGTCGCCGCCACCGGCCTGGCCAGAGATGGCCCTCGGTCCCGCTCCGTGTCTGGTAGTTCGTCTGGTAGCGACGGAAGAGCATCGTTGGAGAGTCCTCGCATGAGCTTGGAGGATCGACGCCAAGATTCCATGGATTCGACGCGATCCAAAACCTATGGCAGTTTAGCCCAGAGAGTCGCTCCCAGCGGCCGGCGGCGAAGTAGCATGAAGCGCAACATCAGCGGCGAGGTTGAAAAGCCTTTCTCTGGAGATCAGATCTGGGAGGAACCGGAAGGCGACGCCGCAAATCTGGCCACCACAAAACCTATCGATAAACCCGCTGAAGGGGTAGATCAACCTCTTCGACTGAAGCTACGCAACTCACCCAACAAAGTGCAATTTTCTCCTGACACGTCTCCCGAGAAGGATAAAGAATCCGCAGCATCTGCCCAGACACCACCCTCGCCTACCAAACCCTTACAAAGGGTGGAAATTTACAAGAACCCACCTTCACAGTCGAGAAACCCAGCCTACACCTCCAACACCCAGAAGCCTGCAGGCCCTCGTGTAAATGATAGCATCAAAAAGAAGAATGGAGTCGAGGTACGTGGTGATGATATCCGTCAAGCCACAAGCTTCAAGCTGGGTGATCGCAGTAGGAAACTGCCCACGCCCTCGGCTGTCAGTGACGCTCCTGGGCGCCCAATCGTAAGCTTTGATCAAAACTGGAAGGCCCCGGAGGAGGCGGCTGCTGATAAGTCCCCAGAGCGTAAGAAAGAGCCCAGCCGCTTCTCCGTTGGGAACCGACAAGATCAAGAAGGATCGGACGCCAGGTTCCAGCCCCAGCCGAACACACAAGCTTCACCAAGTCCGCCTATCCCTAGTTTCTCATTTACGCCAGCTGCTCAGGTCCCGTCATCGTCGTCGCTCCCGTCCTCTAGCACACCGTCCATCCCAAGTATTTCGGTAGACGCTCCGGGTAGTGGTGGGTCAGGGCCCAGTATTCCCATGATAATCACGCCAGACGACAACCCAGCCCCGCCGTCCATAACTGTATCTGGCGAGCAGGATGCCCCTTCCATCCCTATTATAGTCACACCCGATGGTGACGGCAGCGCGGCTGGACCAAGTGTCCCAATTATCGTAACGCCGGGAGATGGAGGTGATGCGCAAGACAGTGGTGCGAAGCCCTCGGCGCGCCCATTGCCAACGCCGACGAGGAGGAACCCATTCATGCGTGCCAACCGTGGCTCTCAGGGCCACTGGTCTGCTGCTCCAGGAGCATCTGCTCGCGCCACAGCCATTTGTCATGAATGCTCTTTGCCCATTGAGGGGCGTGTCATCACCCTTCGCGGCGGAGGCGAGCGGTTCCATCCTCAGTGCTTTAGCTGTTACACATGCGGCACTTCACTAGAGGCACTAGAGATTTCTCCAGAGCCGGACTCCTTCCGGTCTGCGCGTCTTGACCGTATTGCCCGACGTGCTGCCGGCGAGACCCTGCCTGAGGAGCCCGGTCAGACCATGGCCGAGGACGGCGACGCACGCCTGCGCTTCTTCTGCCACCTGGACTGGCACGAATTGTTTGCTCCTCGCTGCAAGACCTGCACGACGCCCATCTTGGGTGATCACATTGTTGCTCTCGGTCACCACTTCCACTACGGACACTTCTTCTGCGCCGAGTGTGGCGACCCCTTTGAGCAGGGCATGACGCACATTGAAAAGGACGGCTACGCCTGGTGCGTCAAATGCCAGACCAAGCGGACGGAAAGGCGCGCTCCAAAGTGCAAGAGATGCAAACTGCCCGTAATTGGCCAGTATGTACAGGCTCTCGGCGGTGAGTGGCACGACGAGTGTTTCCGCTGTGGTACCTGCGGCGGCGGCTTTGATGATGGGCAAATCTTCCCTGTGGCTGACGGCATTCGGTGCACGGCATGTCGTATGAGGGAACTGAAGGCTTAGAAAGTGGACGCGGTGGACAGAGACAAGATTCATGGGAGGAGGATTTGGCTCAAACTTTGTTTGGGCTAATCCACAAGACGAGTCATTCTCATCTTTGGGGAACCATGTTCCACCTCCCACGCGTCTTTGGGGAAGTTGTGCGTGGTTGTAATTATTGCGAATTTGTATTTTTCACTTGCATTGCGAAGGAAGGAATGGCGCGTTGGAATTCTTGTGATTTTATTTTCATGGTACCCTGGTAGGGAGGAGGGAGAGAGAAGCATCAATGGTTTGGATGGTAAACGTGAATGGTATGGTGGAAATTGTTTGGCGTTTTTTTGTCATTGCCTGGATGCGGTTTTGGCCTTTGGATGAGTATACGGTTGGTCAGCGTAATACATGATTTGATTCTTGATTTTCCCAATGCTTCCTCACCTCATCGCCGAGTGCCGACTTCTGGAATGTCCTCGATATTTTCTTGCGTGTTAAGTGGCGTGACAGGCAGAAAAGCCTGCAAAACTCAAAGCACACAACATGGTCACACGGGGAATAATTGCCACTCCAAGAAAGTACTCAGGACAGGGGGAAATGGTATCATAGCACGGCATCAATTAAGCCGCATCGTCATTATTGCGTTTCGTGAATTCCTCTCTGAGAAAGCTGGGAAATATACCGGTCCACCTTTCGGTATGTGGGTTTCCTTTGTCGCCCATACGCCTCGAGATAGAGAAAACTCCCTTTCCCTTAAATCAGATCTACTACATTGCGGTGAATGCCTCCAATACGCCGCGATCGGGCACAAGTGCAACAGGTTGGGCATGTCTTTCCAAATCCAAACAGTTCTTTCGGATTCCGCTCTCCCAATTGCAAGCTCGTCCGAGAGAAATCAGGCTTGGAAGCCACCGACTTGCTCTTGGTGGACTTCGAGCGAGTCGCCATCCGTCATCTCCAGCTGGATAGAGCATTGTCATTAGCATGTCTTTGCGCAAGTAGTGTAGGAGAGTCAAGGCCAGAGAATATTAAGCCTAAGAATTGACCGAACAACGATTCCGCCATAGATACCTATGAACCACTTGGTAACTTTTGGACCAAGCGTGGCATGGACCGATGCGTCGGAAAGGACAAAGAGACGAATAACTTGGCTTTGAGCAACTCACAGTGTCGGGGGTATCGGTGGGCTGGACGCGCTGGCCCTCGAACAGGAAGCGGACGGACGTCATGCTCTTGCCTTGGCGTTCGCAGAAAGCATTCATGAGCTTTTCAAGCTTGGTACTACGCTTAATCTTGAAGAAGACCTCGTTATTGTTGTCTGTCACCTTGATGTTGAGGTGCTCGGCGCCTCCAGCGGGGGCCTCGGAGCGCTCGCCGGCGGGGCTGCCGCTCTCGTTCTCGCCAGACATTGTGGTGGTTCGTTCGTTAAGGTTGGTGAAAACGTCTGGGAAAGTTTATTAGTAAGGTCGCGATTCACCATGGGTCTTGATTGCAATGTGAGACGAGTGATGGCCGTAGCAGCGCTGGAGACTTGAGGCAGAGGAAGCGAGGCCATGGAAGCCTTGCGACGGGGGTTCCGTGAGGAAACTGTGCTTCATGCCCGCTCTTGCTTGGGAAGTAGGCAGTCAATGGAATCGCTTGCGCGGGTGTTATCGGCGGTCTGCCACGCGGAAGCCACATCTCTCGCGAAGAGAGAGGGAAAGCAACGGTGCGCGACTGAGTTATTGGCCTCCTCATTCAGCTTGCTCAGGCCGTTGGGTTGCAGGTCGAACGAAGGCACGCGGGTACGTTTGGAGGTTGAGAAGCAACTTACCGAACAAAAGTGAGGAGCTTTGGTCTCTGGCAATTTACAAAATCTGACCGGAGTGAGAGTTTGCGGGCTTGCGGAAGAGGCAAGAGTTCTAGGACTGGTGTAAGAAGTCTAGTTAAAAAGTAGGTCTCGCAGGCGATGGAGGAATAGAAAAAAGTTGAGGGATGGGATGCGATTAGATGCGCGAGGCGGAAGGCGCGCGATGCTAACGCGGAAAGCCTTAATGGAGGGGTTGCAATGAAGGCCATGGAAGGCCGGAGGGGGCTGCGGGCCAATGAGCAGCAGATATGCTAGGCCTGGGTTGAGACCCCCAATTCAGGACGTTCTTTGTTAGGTGTCTGCGCTGTAACATGGTACGCCCAAAGGAGCACCATTCATCAGGGCTCAGGCATCCTCGGCCTGGTGCAAACATTGAGCAGTACAAGGTAGCAACTGAACACCAGGCTCTGTATTAACGCCACATATTCGACGTGTTTCTTTCTTCTTCTCTTTTTCTTCCCATACTCTTGTGACCCTTTCAAGTTGAAAGACGAGAAGATCAGAAGGGGAAAAGACAAAAACGTACGATCAGGATTATCAACAAGATGATGATCAGTCTGGCTTGGATAATGGGTGGTAAGTGCGGGATGGAATGATCTTGGAAATGAGCTGTAGAATTTACCGGAGTTGTGTTGTTGGCTGCAGCTGTCTTTTGATGACCTACAAAGACGAACAAAACAGTTGCATTCTTTGTCAATGATCAACTTTGGTAAGTGCTAGCTGAATAAGACTATATTTCACTGGAGTATTTCGTTTGTGTATTTGCACACGAAAAGACCACAATAGCTGACTGTAGGAAGGTGAAACCAGAATTAATCTTTCACTTTTACCTACATTAAGGTATGGAGGAGGTAAGCATCTTAGATGTCAGGGTACCCGGGCTCGGTCCATATTACATCATACTACCCAGTGAATTCCAGCGGGATACTTGAGTAGATCCACTACATATTAGAGCTTCTCTTGGTCCAAAGAATCATCCTGCAACATTGTCATTCAGTGATATATTGTGAAAACGAGAGTTCTTTCTCGCGCCTTGTGTCTTGACCTCAGATTACCTGGGCAGAGCGAGTCGACTCACGAGCCGAAAAAGAGTCACCGGAGGAATCGGCAGGAAAAGGGCAACAGCCAAACCATAGGCAACAATGGTTCAGTTGTTCTCCGCTTGGCAGGGTCAACAAGATTCACTGACAACCTTCTCTAGGTGTCCGAGAAGGATCTGAACTCAGAACCGCCATGCCACCCGAGAGCAGTTTGTTAGCCCTTATCAAGCATCAACAAGACTAGATGATTGCTGACAAGCATTTCCAGTGTGCAATTCAGGGTATGGAATCCAGTGGCTGTCAAGATGCTCGAGCGAGGTGAGCTGACTTGGGCAGATTGCTTGACCAAAAATAACTACAAAGAGTCCAAATGTCAAGGCCTCATTGACGCCTTGTACGACTGCTGCGACGCCTTCTACAAGAGAAACGGCGATGGCGCCAGCACCGTCAGCTGCCCCAAACCCGATTTGTTGCGGCTCAAGATGAAGCAAAGGCAAGAGGAGAGGGACAAATAGAGCAATTCAAATTCTGCAGCAGGGTAAAGAGATAGAATTTTCTATCGTACAGCTGCCTCGATTGCAGGCAGCATTTTGGAAGACTCGGTTTGGTGTAGAGAGGCACTGGCAGCGCTTTGTGTGCGCGTCAACACACGAGGCGAAAACTCTGCGGACAGAAGGTCCGAAATCAGTTGGAATAATGTATCACCCATCCATATGTCCACCCGAACAAAGACATAGGTAACTTTAAGGAGAGCGACTTCCTTCTAGGCGATCATTGAGCGCGCAAGAGACCCTTTGGGCCTGGATAAGCATTGAAAGAAGTATGGCTTATCCCGAGACTCTAATATGAATGCCGATGACATTTTGTGGAAGAAAGAGAAGAAAATCCCAAAGAGGCGCGAAAATTTGTGACTTCTTATGGCTGCCGCTGGCCCCAGTTGTGCCCCCACTTTCCAGCCCCTGGTAGCGCCTGTCGCTTAGCGCGTCTACAGCGCCTGCCCTTGAGTGCTGGCATGCCAATGAGCGGTTGCTTCAGTGGAGACACCAGCAAACGCGCAGCAGCAGCAGCAGCAGCACTTTCGCGTTGAGCCTGCCACTTTTTGAGCTTTACCTCAAGGCTGGAAGGAGCTCAATCGCAAACCTTATTGCGAAATAGCTTCAAAACACATCGACGCCCACGACACTCTTTTCCAGCACAACCCACGTTCTTGGACTGGCAGAACACCATTGATTCGTCATTGAATTTCACTCTTTCCACTGAATGGAATAATTGCACGGGCGCTTGTCCGAAGCTTGTGAGCCTAGGCACGTACCACTGTGCAAGTCGCAACAGCAGTCACGGTTCAGAAATAAACCTGGGCAACTTCACGACAAGGCCTTCACTACTACTGCTTCCGAATCCTGTTGGGCAGGCGACGCAGCTGCCAGTTCTTACAAGATGGCGGGAGGGTCAAATGTGAGCTTACTACGGGTCAAGAGAGGGCGACGGAAATTCTTTGCTAACTGCTGCTTTGGCAGCGTGTATCTGTAACAGCAAGCGGTAGCTTCAACTTGGACGAACACATGTACGATGACGAGGAAGAATATTCAACGGAATTCAGTAATGATGCCGAGCAATTCGCACGCGCACTAGACACAATCTCGAACTTTGACGGTCCAAGAGCGGAAAAGCGGATTGCGATCCTGAATCTTGTGGATAAGTACTACATGATCTCGCGCGAAAAGCTTGAAATTGCCCGCGATGCCACCAACAGCCGATCCAGAGTACGAGACCGTGGCTCTGAGGACAGGTACAGCCAGGACTCTATGGACGTGGACCAGGCCAATGCGGATGTTCTGGAACTGTCGGACGAAGAACTAGCAACACTGGAGCGCGAGACACAGACATGGGATTTCCTACGGCGCCTGTTGCCGCTGCGATACCCGGAAAAGAAGACTGTTCAGCTCAAGCGTCGGGAACCCGCCAAGATTGCACCAGGTGCCGATATTTGGGAAGAGTTCTTGCAATCGGATGTCACCGCACAGGAGCGCAAGCAGATACTTGAAGTTCTCCAGATCACGGCCGATGATTCCGGGGCTGACATTAATGATATGGTGCGAGACCTTCAGCAGAACGCCGACCGAGGCGACATTGTAGCCCATGGCTGGTTACACACGCGATCAGCCATCAAGATGCAAAAAGGCTTGAACGGATGGACTGGCCCACTGGACCCAAACTCTCAGCACGTCACCGACTCAAGTGGTGCAAAATCCCTCGTGACTCAGCTCGACCCAGATGTGATCACAAGACAAGGACGAAAACTGCAACCTCAAGACGAGTACTTTGAACGTGCCATATGGCTGGGATGCTACGAGCTGCTTCGAAGGGGCAGGAGCATTTCAGAAATTCGCGATTGGTGCGTCGAGAGGACCGAGGTATGGCGTGCTGTGAGTATGTCGGCGATGCCTCTGTCCGAAGATCGCAACGAGAAAGGCTCCATATCAAATCCCCTAGCTCTTTTGCTGTGGCGAAGGACATGCTACGCATTGGCACGATCAGGCGGGACGGACGATTTCGAACGTGCAGTGTATGGTATACTGTCTGGTGATGTCAAGACGGTGTCACCAGTCTGTACTTCCTGGGACGATCATGTCTTTGCACAATGCAACGCTCTTTTACGGTCTCAGTTTGACTCGTACGTACAAAAAAGGCTGCCACGGGATACTACACAGGCTGTCAGTCAGCTCCAAGCCTTTGATGCCGTCCATGCCCACGGAGATACTGGAACTGTGAGCGAGGCTTGGCTCAACACCCTCGAGACAAACGAAAATACTGCCAAAGAAGCACGGCTTCCCATCAAGGGCTTGCAATCAGCAATCATCTCGAATACTATTGACCAATTCATCGAGAACGAAGGTCTGGTACTAGGAAAGCAAGCAAATCAACATGAAAAATCACGTCTCATCCCCTCTTCAACCAAGTTCCGGGCGAGCTTGGATTCTGAAAAGTATTTCCCCTTGGCCGACCAGAATGGACTGCGTATCTTGGTCCATGTATACTTGCTTTTAGCAGAGCTAGAAGACTGGCAAGGCGATGAGGCCGATGCAGAGTCTAGAAAAGTTCAGGAGAACTCTCTGGCCGCTTACATCAGTGCCCTACGTCTTAACAGCATGGTTGAGCTACTGCCGCTATACTGCTCAAAACTCAAAGGCGAGCGGGCTTTTTACACCCTCAGTCGCAATGTCAGTGCAGTTGTTGACGTGGAAGACCGCAAGGTGTTGCTGAGAATTATGGAAAAGCTTGGCATGGACATTGCCGAGTTTGTGGTATTCCAGCCGCACTCACTACTGAAGGAGCATCCCGAGGAACCCACTGACTCACTTTCCGCCGGTTTCAAGCTGCTGATGGATGAACCACCCACGGTCAGGTTCGGTCGCCGCCTGATGCCAGACTTTCTGGGTGAGACCTTGGATAGGCTTGATCCTGTTGACGAGCAGCTTATACAATCCCTCGAGTGGATGCTGCTCGTTGATGGACTGTGGGACGAGACTTTTGCCGTGGGAGTCACCATCTACAAGCGCTTTTTGAGTAAGTACAGTCATTTTTCAAAGACCATGGCGCTCCTTGACTAACTAGTGTCTAGAATCCTACAATCTTCAGGCAGCTCTTGCGCTGTCTAAGCGAGTGACTTGTGCAGATATTTTCAGAATCAAAGCCGGCGTTTCGGTACCCGATGACAGCAATCCATTATGGTTCGGCGAGGCAGTCGAGAGTGGCCAGTTCGCCGATGAGGTCGGCCAATTTGGATCACTGACCGTGGCTCGTAACTTCTTGGATCTCGAATCCCTGATGCGCGCCTTGGACTCGATGGAGACGGTTGGCGCTTCTGCAGATCTGCAACTTGAGTAAGTCGTGCCAGTCTTTTATCATTAGTGGTGCATCACTGACTTTGCATTTAGCCCCACGTTTGAAAGAACGCCTGAATTTCTGCCTACCCTTGGCGGCCATATCAAATTCGTCAAGGCATTCATGGTGCCTATTCTCCAAAATTGGCTCCTGGAGCGTGAGGATGGTACGTTACGTTTCTACCGCATGAGTTACATGAACACTGCTAACCTTGCCACTCCCAGATGATCCCGACTTTGATCTCCTGCGCGAAATGTATCTTCCAGAAGTGATATTGGGTTACGTCAGTGTGCTGCACTATGGTGGCACAAGCCTTTCCCGAGACAGCTTACTTGAAGCCATGGAGCTCGCAGCCATGATTGCTGAGAAGGACTCGGGTATTGCACCCGTGATGGTGAAGAGTGGTCGCATGAAGGAACTTATCGAAGCGTTTGCAAATTGCTCCAAGGCACTAGCGATCAACAGCGAAGACAAGCGCAAAGGAGGCAGCGGGTCCAACAAGAAGTTCAGAGAAATGGGCTGGAACAGGGAGCTATGGAGCATCAAGCGATGAGAGCATATCAAGTGGTCTGAAGGGAAAGAAAGGAAAAGCTAGTCAGTCATAATTCTGTGCAAGTCGGTAAATTACTAGGACTGCAGGTCCCATGCACAATGGATCAAGAGTTTATTACAGGAGCAAAGTCGGCTTGCCCTGTTGATACAATCAGAGCCATGCATTTTGCAGTTTGCAGCTTCTCCATTGCGATACAAAGGTAGAGGGTATTACTGAGGGACGTTTGTCCGACTATTTGCAACGTATGCTCCTAGTATATGTGAAACGTTTGACCCTCTAGCCCATCCCGTTTGATCACCTCGAGTGGGTTATTACCCGATATTTCATAAATATAGCATGCTCCGACGTGAATCCAGCCTCCTCCGTCGGTCTTCCTCATTACCACCGGAAATCCACAACTGTCGAGCACGCAGATATAGTCTCCGGTCTGAATCGAGAGCGGGATAATGCCAACATAGCAAGTGTCTGTCCAGAAGATTTTATATTTACCAAAATTATCCATGGCCCACGCCAGCGCGAGAGCAATCTCTGGCGTCGACACTAGAGATAGGGCCTCGATTTCGCCATGCTCGGCGACAAGGTTGATCAAGTCATTAAGATACTCCCACATGTAAAGTGCGTCCTTTGGTTTGAGTATCTCGGTCGTGTACGGATTGATTCCCCACAACATTGTAAACATCATGGCCTGCTCCAGGCTGCAGCCCGTTCTGTAGTCCTGCTGCAAGGCCTCTGTGGAATTAATAATGAGGGCCATGACTTTGCGCATGGCACGAGCAAAGCGTTTCATGCGTCCCATGAGGTCGTCGTAAGGTGGTGTACACTCAAAGTACCCCGAGACGACGCCGCATACCGCGCCTTGGACACTCATGACGCCTTCGGCAGACAGGAGAAACGGCGCCGTCGAGGAGGCCGGCTCATCATCATTGTCAAAGGGATCTGAAAACCTGTAGGCTCCTTCCCACGGGACTGGACATTCGGTATGATAAAGCATGCTCAGGTCCGGTAGCCACGACGGCAGTCCGACGACGCCCTCATCTCCTTCCAGCCACCATGCTTCAGCGCCGAGATAAGAGTGTTGTAGCATATCAACCATGAATCGCTGCAGAGCTGCCGTGTCATGAGCGAGTCGCTCGTGCTCGAGTCGAGCCCATTCTAGGTACACATTGCGAACTGGGGCAGTATAGTCGGGCTGGATAGGTAATCGCAGCACGGCGGCGAGTCCGTAGACCATGTCGCGAGGATTCGTGGCCGTGGCCTTGCGGGAGAGATCGAGCACATTGGAGGGCAGGGAATTTGTGGCGTCCGAGGGCAACAGCTGCTGTAGTTCATCAACTTCCTCCATGACGTTGCCAATGTGGAAGAATAAACCGTCGGACAGCTTCTCCCAGAGCGCCTTGTCGATGTTTTTGGGCGCTGCTATCTTTAGTGGCCTACTTAGATTCCGCGCAAAGGGTTTGCAGAGACTGGCAAACTGGGTATAATCTCGCATGGCGATGCGTGTTTTCCCGCACAAGAACTGGTGGCAGTCTTGGTCCTGGGCAGCAAGGACCATCTCCTACTCGGCAAATCAAGGTCAGTATCGTTAATGTGCAAGCCAGTACTCCAAGCGAGCGGCTGGCAGGAGAGACAGGAGAAGAAACAGAAAAATATTCCAACGACTACTCACCTGATACACCCACATTCGTTTCCAGTAGACGTTTGCGTCCAATTCATGTATGGCCTCCCACGCTTTATTTCCATACAATCCACCACAAGTCTCATCTCCATGTAGTGCAGATATGCTATCGAGTGCTTTGACAAAGATTTCCATCCGTTCAGTGTCCACTCCCTTTGAGGAGTCCTGTGAGGCACTGCTTGATCCACTCTCGGAATTTGTCTCTTCATCCTCTTCATCCTCTTCCCACTCTTCCACCACATCGGATTCTTCATCATGCTCGGACTCTTCATCATGCTCGGATTCTTCATCATGCTCGGATTCTTCATCATGCTCGGACTCTTCATCGTGATCGGACTCTTCATCGTGATCGGACTCTCCATCATCCTCGGGCTCGTCTTCGTCACTTGTTGATCCCATCTGTGGATCAACACCACCCATATCTTTGAAAGTTTGGACAGTTCCATCTATGATCCGCAGCGCTAAATCGATTCTCTTTTCATCAGGGGGTCCAAACCAGGTGAAAACGTGCTTGGCCCGGCCGTAAACATCTTTCATGAATGTGACTTGCTGAGCCCGCTCCACAAGATCATCTTGGTTGATGCAGAGGGCGTCGACCCATATGCGCAGCGGGCGCCCATCGGGAATCCCGCGCAACATGTCAAACTCTTTAAAGTACCACAGCGCCGCGGCCAGATTCACCGTCACGTCCATGACCACGCCGTCCACGAGGACCTCGGACGTGATCCCGGCGTCGCCCCACACGTACGACAGCGCAATGAACTCGATATCTTCGGCCAGTAGGGAGGCCGTCTCGAGCTTGCCCTCGGGTCTCCTGTCGTGAGCATTGCGAGGCGAAAGACTGAGCAGTCTGATCTCGCGCTTAGTCGGATCGAGACGCCTGTTGTAGCTGGCAGGGCGGCGTGGTCTGACTCTTGCGCCAGCGACATAAAGCCGGTTATCGTGGACACCCACGGGTGTGCTCTTTACCCGCTTGATTAAAGGACGGACACTCATGTTTACATCAATGTGCTTCCGTAGGAGCCGCGGTTGCTTAACATGCTAGGGGTTCATCCCAGCTACTGCGAGGATACCAGCAGATGTAGAACGGTAAAAGAGGCAGAGACGAGTCATATAACCTCGGTGCTATATAGAGACTGCCGTATATATAGTCGCAATGTCTGACCTTTGGATGTAAGAACTCATAGAGCTTGGTCGTCCGGATCTACTCGTGCGGCTGAATAAAGAACGTATCAAAAGTTGCCAAGTCTCCTAGTGCCCACCATGCTAGTCTAGAGACTTAACCCATGTAGTCAAGGTAGACGATTAGCTATCATATCGCTGTATTTACACTTCTTAGCCAGAATAAGTGCAAGTGGCTTTCTGGAGATGTCTCGAAATTCATGTCTATCAACTTTAATATATTATCTGAACTCAATTTGCAAGAACTAGTGTACATGTTTTCCATTAGGCGCCTCTTATTTCGTGTCGCCAAGGTTCCTAAGCTTGAGTCTCGTTTACGTGTGTTGGGTATATGAGACCTGAGATGGATATTAGAATCATACCTCTCTTTGGACTGTCAATGCTGAAACAACAACGTTACGTGATAGAAATGGCAAAGACGAAACAGATGGGTTCATTTACCTAGTTGTGGATTTTCCAGAAATGGACCACCGTGAGATGGCCAATGCTGACGAGCATACTCGGCAATCGGATCCCACCTCCTGCATTCATGAAGGGTTGTGCGATTCGCTTCGAGCTTTCCTGTACGACGGATTCGTTCATAGGTGTTTATGGTGATGTCGGAGTGGCACATAATGATTTGGCGCAGCATGTCAATACAGTGCACTATAACAAGCCCTGTCAGAAGCGGTAAACCAACGGCGAGGGTATAATTGTTTCCATACGTATATGATCACGTCGAGACTCTCGGTCTTCGAGAACATAGTACTCAGGAAAAGCATACTCTCGAATGTAGTTCTGGATTGATTTGTCAGACTAGACACTTGGACAATGGGGAGTAGGTAACCAACAACGCAGTGGAGCTGATGGAAAACACCCAAAGATGCGAGATACCCCGAACCGTCTCTCAGCGGAACTGAAGTTCTGTTGACGCGCTCCAAGTCGGCCTTTTGAACGACAATATTGGGGTCTGTTTAATCCAACGGAATTAGTACGGGGGCATTGGACAAGGAGAGAGCAAGGCTGTACTCACTCTGGGCCAGAGCACTCCACGCGCGATCGACTGGCAGGCTCGGAAGTTGGCGTATAGGATCGAGCCATGTCGTGTTAAATGGTCTCTCTTCATAGGAGACGACTGATCTTGCCGGCGCTATCAGCGTTAGCAGCTTTCGGGGCTATAGTCTTGGTGTTGACGGTATACAATAGATCAAACCGTCCTCATGATATTCGGTAATCATGGCCCATGATGCATAAGCAAACGTTGCAAGATAGATGAGTAACAGGCATACGTTGATGCCAATGTAGATGTACTTGGTCTGTCGTATTTTCCTCTTTGCATCATGAACAACCGCTGAGTAGCATACCTGTCTCTCGCACAAAGCTGACCAGTGATGCAAAGCCTTTGCCAGCAGTTTCATTTTGACAACACTCGGGGCGGTGATGACTTCAAGATGTGGTATACCATAGCTCCAAGGGTGCAACAGGCTCTTGGGGTTCTATCTGGCAGAAAGGTGAGACGAGTTTCAAGAGAGTCGTGGGACAAAAACGCCATGGCTATCCTCTGACCTTGATTGACCCTGTGCATGGCCGAATAGCGGAAATCTTCCACCGCTCAAGAGGCAAATTGACAGAAGCAAGGGCACAAATCACTCCAAGTATCTGCATCGTCACAGATTGTAGGACGACACCCACTGTGTGTCTATGATATATGCCTCAGGGACCCCAAGGATGGACTGGGTGCTTGCACAATTCTTGGCAGCATGCAGATGCATGCGCTCTTGTACCATCACATCACTAAAGACAGCCTCTCTGCCGTGACTTTTCACCGCTTGCAAAAGTCCTAGTGGCGCTATTCCATCTGATACTACCATCTAGACTGAAAGTATCACTGCTTGGATTTGACCGATGTCGCTCCAACGTCCTTTTGTCCAAACACCTAATTATCTTCTACCAATACGTATGACAGTATCAGAGTCTATACCATTATGTCTAGGTGAGCATCTTATTGGACTTTCAGAGTGGTGGCTGCAGCAGCAATACGTTTGAGAGCCTTGCAGGGTCTACTTTGGCAACGGCATAATCTTTCATGGTAGTTCTAGCTTTTATTGCTACATCATATTATTCCTGTATGATTGGTTGACGGCGCCTTGTGCTTCAACGTCCACTCGACAGCATCATCCCAACTACGACACGTATGAGGGATCCCCCATCCATCAACACTGGCAAGGACCTTACCAGAGGGACTCACTTCAGCCCACTCCAGTGTCATATCTGCATTACACATGATAGCCTGGCGGATGTAGTCGAAACAATGACCAATATGCTCTCCGTGATGCCTCAATGCTGACTCGTCCGTGGAAGTCTTGATTCCTATTATGGTTGGATCTTGATGATTGAGCGCAGAATAATATCCATCACGAATGAGCCCCTGTGTGAAAATGAGCATAGCCCTCAATCTGGAAATAGAGGATGAGAGCGTGGCATACAAGACAGTGCAGCTGGTGGAACATGGACACTCCATATCGGTCTGGGCCACCATCTGTCGGGATACCTGCGCGCAGATTATATTGTTGTGGATCATCCACCAGAACAAAACCTCTGCCATCTAGACGATTCATGAATTAGTTGAGGATCCTGAAGCAACGGTAGATGAAAACAAAGACTGACCTGGCATCAAGTTATCCCACGCCGCATCGCTCTCGGGAGATGGCATAGCCATAAAGATGTCGTTTGCCTCGAAATGGATGACAACCGTTTGGACTAGAAGCGTCAGTATTAGACAGCCCCATATGTTGACACTCAACGTACGGTTCGGAAGGAAGACTTCTGCATTATTGAAGCCCTGTATCGCCCAAATCACGATAAGTGCAGAGCCTAGTAGCAGAACCACTGCCCATATCGCCCATCTTTTTGACAGAAAGTGTTTGAAAAACCCTCTGTTCTCATGATTGCCACTAAATTCTTGCGATATGTCATCATCTGCTGATGTGACCTTGTGATATTGAGAATAAATAGAGGCTGTGCCAGTCTTGTGAATAACAGATCCAAACATTTTTTATTTATTTTTTCAGATCTGAGAACAAGGGACGGTTTGGTAGAGCCGGTGCTTGCGTTGAAAGGCAAGTAAAGACCAAATAGAGGCTTCAGATAAACGCAAAGAGAAAAGCCCACGACATATCGCTGTCATATTGAAGCCATGGTCCCACCACGCTCACCGAGACTCTATCGCACGGTCTTGGAGCAAACCTGGGAATCCCGCCTCCTCTTGTGAATCCTTGGGCCGACAAACCTTGATGAGCTGAAAATCTTGCCACTTCTGAAATGCGTGGATCATCCCGTGAAGTGATTGGCATCATCATTCGTATCATCGCGGGCCAGCAGAGTGCACAAGGTCTAGAGACTGTCACGTACATGACGCGATGCATGGTCTTCTCGTCTTCTCACATGATTGAATGGAAATATTCTGTCACTGCGGAGGGTATCACGTACATATGCACGGTCGTTCAGCCGCACAAACCGCCAAAAGTTCCGCGCCGTCGTAGCGATTGATGCCGGCAAATGACCTGCTCGCTTGCCTGCATGGCCTTTTTAACCACTCACACGCAGTTGGCGACATTGCAGAGAAAGCTATAGTAGTCTCACAATGGTTGCCCTTGATCGCGAATCACAGGGAATGCAACAACGGCATGCAATAGCACGCAACGAATGAGGTGCAACGTTATGCCTTGATCATGCAGCAGCCAAAAGTCTATTATCCTAATGAAAGTGACAAAAGAAAATATTTGCTTGATCATCTTTCGTTGCATGCGCTATGAAGATCGAGCTCAGGTCAATTGATGTATCAGAATGAACCAAATCATGGCTAAAAGGTTTGACTCTAGCCAAGAGCCATTGGCATTTGCCGGCACTTCCAATGAGCTGCCTCGTCATTCTGCTTACATCTTGGGCCAACAGCACTATCCAGTCACGAACTTTCAAGTCTGCCAAGACAGCTATACTCCCGCACCAAGGAATCGGCAAATCGGACTTTCTCAGCAAGTTGTCAGTAATGTTTGGTGGCGTGGACAAAGTGCCCGAGGAGCTTACTCCAATCCACACGGCAAAGTAGCTCAAGACTATCCGTGTAAATCTGATCCAAGGTAACAAACAGGTCTTCCTATTGTCATACAGAGGATTCTAGTTGGCTACCCTGGTGATTGCCTCAATATGTGCCTCCATAAATACCTAGATTATGTAGTAATTATAGCATGAAAACATGTAGGCACTCAGGCCAGCATCTCTCGAGAAGCGCGATGGGCAATTGCCCACTTGAGGATGCCATCCCAATCCCGACACTCATGATCGACACGAAAGTTTGGCCATGGCAATAGATGATCTCGCTTCCAGTCGTAGGTGGTGAGAGAGATGTCTCCATAGCACATGATGTACTGGCGGACGGTATCGACGCAATCCATCATTTCCAGGGGAGAGATTTGCGATTCATCCGGATAAAATTCGCGAAAGGAAAATCTTCGCATCACATCCAAGCAATACAGGCCATCAAAGACACCAAGGGTGACAAGAACACGACCAGTACCGTCTTCTATGGCGATGGATTCCTGGTCTGTCAATTCGTCAGGAAAGACTGCTAGTGCACGATCTAAGATTGTGTCAGCGCAGTTTCTTTCCGCCATCACATGGAATATCTCCTCACATTGAAGCACATTGTTCCATGCCTCATCGACCTCGACGCTTGGGAATCCCTTGAACATGCTCACAGAATCAATGTTTACGTCCATTGCGGTTCGCTTGTAGTCGACTGCTACTCGGGCAGGACCTGGGCCATGAAACCGTCAGTATTTAGAGACTTTGCCAAGTTGGGAAAATGTCATGGGCAACAGACTGTGAATCAGGCTGACTCCGTATGGATGAGGACGATGAATGGCACTCATGGTAAAATACCACAAAACACCAAGTAATAAGACGATAGAAACGTGCCCAAATGCAAAGAAGCTGAAGGAATGAATGAAACGTTTCCTTCCGGCATTACTATGATTCGAGCTGCCATGCTTATCGAGCAGGGCATCAGTGACAGAGTCGCTACTGCTTCTGTCCGTGTCTTCATTTTCACAGCTCATTCCGACGTTGTGATGCTGACCCATTTGAAAACCGTTGATTTAAGGACTGGGAAACGCAATGAATTTGATGGGAAAGTGGTTCAGTCTTGACGGGCTGTGAAATGAAGAATGGTTTGGTTGAGATTGGCTCGACCGCACGGCAGCTCATGCCTGCTTGGCGAGTATTCTATTCGTAAAATCTGCCGCAAATCCATGTTATTGGTTGTTCTGCAATTGCTTTCAAGTATTTTATGCAGAGGGGAGGAAAAGAAAAAGAAAAAAGAAAAAAAGAAAAGGAACGCTAGAAACATTCTCCGTCTGCTCTCCAAAATTGTTTACCTACCTACTTGGCACGTCTATTGCGCAAGGAAGTCCATGTTTAGTATGGCTACACTTCACATGAAACATATCTCACTGACTCAAAGATGATTAGATTTTATTCATTGTCAAGTACCAGAGATTGGAAATCCGATTTCTCAGAAGCTTTGTACAGAAGACTCCAGTCCTTGCAGTCCCGTTCAATCATGCCATCAACAATGTCCTTTCCGTTGCTGTTCATCAGGTGTGGCTCAAACGTCGAATCCGCATTACATAGTATGGCCTACGATGCGGCAAAAAGAATATCAGTCCCCGTCCTGGAGGCTATACGCACGTACGAAATAACATACCTGTCTCAGATAATCAAAGCAGTGCAACCAGTGGAGATCGTCATGTTCTGTGTGCATAGCATGGTCCTCATGGGCAGTGTCTCGCCTCATAGCCTTTAGTGACTGGATTTCTTCTCCTAGGCCTTGCATGGCTTCCCTCAGCATGACAAGACAATGGAGTTGATGAAACATGGAGATGCCGTCGCGTCTGCGCGTCCCAGTCTCGTCCAGCCACGCAAAGTAGCCGCCGTTTGGAGGCCTAGTGTTCTTCCAGTAAATGTCGTATTCGTGGCTGAGGTTCTTGAACTCGGCGTGCTCGCGGAAGTTCATGACAATGGAGCTTTTTTCAACATCTTGGACAATATGGTGGTAGTCCTGGATCAAGTGAGACTTGACCGTAAGAGTAGGTGTGTAAGGAATATCACTGCGCAAGAAAAACACAACTATAATTGCCAGTATGGATATGGAAAAGATGGAAAGTAGCGTTTGGGTATTTGGCAGTCGAGAGCCCTTCATCTTGGATAACGGTATGCGCCTCATGGAAAATAATGGCGCTTTTGCGGCCAAACTAGAACTTGGAAAAGAGGCAGGAGACATGATGTCTATGACCACAGCTCCCACTTGCTATTCGCCTCCCAAGAATGGCCACGATCCAGATTCGATCACATCACCACAGCACTTCCCTGAACAAAGTCCTACCGTTGACACACGGTTATAGTTAGGGCTATCTCACCGGACTTGGCTATGCACAGAGTGCATGTCGGCAACAGACGGTCTGTCTTATGGACCGTTGTTCCTTGTAGCAGCGCATAAGAATCTCGAATTGTTGGTAACGGGCATATTCCGCGCCCGACTTCAGCTACGAGCTACAACTCGTGCATGTGTAACCAAATGTGCGTCCACTGAGCGGGGTATGGGCACAACAAAACTAGGGTTCGAAAAACTGCGAACATGTGCTATAACATGCGGTCAAGAAAGGCAAAGATCATCTTCCGCTTATCTAAAGTTGCACCTGTCGGGACTGGAAGTAGGGATAGGACTGTTTGCTTAATCACACATTTTGCAGGCCGTCCCGTCCTATTGCCACGCATCGATACGTAACCAATCAATAAGCTCTAAACAACATGGAGCAACTCTATACGACACTATGCAACAGTATCATATGACTCGACATTTGGAATGTCACATCTTGATGTAACAATAGACATTCACTTGATAGTGGCGTCTACTTGTTGCTTCTCAATGCCGGTAGCATTTAGGCTTTTCAGTCAGATTCAGGTTGTTGAGAGTCGACGAGCAGGAGATCACTATTCTAGTCAAGCCGAGAATGTATGCTTAGAATCACAAATCTATTACTTGGTGTAAATTTCACCCAACAGCTGATCTGAAGCCAAGCCATTTTCCAAACATGTACATTTATTAATTACCAAGGATTGATTTCATGAGGGAAAGTCTACATAGATAGTGCAATCGCTCTGCCAAACAGCATCGCAAACCTGCCCGTCCGCATCTGTAGGATAAATCTTCGACCTTAGTGAATGTCATCCTCTCTCCACGAAACTCCTATTTGAATCAAATTTTAGTTTTTTGAGTAGCTGGTGGAACCGAGAGAACATACCTAGGACGGGGTGCGTGATAATGGGCCCTATGAGACTCGGCACACTGTGCTCTTTCGCCCAGTCCGTCAAAGCATCCCAATTTTTGCATTCATGTTGGATCTTGAAGTTCGGCCATGGGCGCCGGTAGTCGTCGATCCAATCAAAGGTCTAAACGCGCGAGTCAGCGATACAAAATTTCAATCACAGGCGACATACGCAAATACTTTACCTGCATGGTAATATCGGCATTACACATGACTACCTGACGGAGGTATTCGATGCAATGATTGACATGTTCTAGTTGCGCCGAAGGGCTATGCCAGTCCTGATAGTAGTCATTGTAGAGCTGCTTGCGAATTTTGTTCAAGCAGTGAAGGTGATGGAAGACGTTGAGGTTGACAAGAAAACCGCCCTCGGCGTCGTTCAGGGGAACTGATGTGCGATTGATGCGTTCAAGATCTTCCGCCTGGACTCGGGTGTTTGCGTCTTTATGATGGTCAAGAACTGAATTTTAATCTCGAATAGCTCTTGGGCATGTATGTATTACTCACACCGCACGAGGTCGCCCCAGGCATCGTCGATCTCTGGCTTGGGGTCTCCCACATAGATGCTGGATCCCTTGAGAGGGGCATCCAGAAACATGGTCTCCCAAGATATGGCACCCTGGGCGGGAGCTTTTTCTTGTCAGTAGTGGAACTCATGAATTGGCCATTGTCGGGTTTAAAATACTGACAATAGACAAGTTGGCGACGTGCATGATTTGGGGCATAGTCCAAGGTAACAAAAACGATGATGGCAAAGATGATGGAATATATAAACAGAACAGACAGGTGAAAAAACAATGCTGGATAGCTGTTGAAGCGATATTGATGCGGAGCAGAGACTGGTATCATTCCCTCTTTCTCTATCAGGGGATCACCATCAAGAGGCTCGCAAGCTGGCAGCGAGAACGCCCGCGATCTCTTGGGAATGGTCCACATGTCGAATCTGTGTGAAACTTTGGCAGAATTGCTAAGAGACTGGATGTGGGAAAGAGACTGAGGAGAAGGAAAACACAAAAGTCTTGAAGCGACAAATTGGGGCCCCTCACGTAACGTATGATGTGGAAACCAGGGAGAGTACACACAGACATATCGAGGCATCTTTTGTAACTTACTCCAACAAGTCCTACATACAAAAGCTCAGCGATTCCGTCCTGTATGCTGCATCTAGACCAGCCGCAATGTATGCAGGGCTCTTTCCGCCATGCATAACGGGATGGGCTAAGAGAAGATCAAGGGTCCACGAGACTTTGATCCACCAAATCAAGCATCACCTGTTGTTCTCACTACATGGAGTGAATGTAGCATCATTCAGCGGTGCATGTCGTGCAAAATGCATATTTGGTGGCTGCTTGAGTATCGGATGAAAGATCCCATTCAGCTTCTTCACCCTGCATTTTCGTGTACAGACCCCAACAGTGGCAAAGTGCGGAATCCTTGGCTTGAGCAAGACGGAACTTTTCGAGGCATGTTGACATGGAAGCTATGTTGTCCATGGAAGAGCGTAAGAGGCACAGAATGAATACAGCAGAGCGATGCCTGGCTGAGACATTAAATATATAAGACATCGCTTTCATTTCGTAAACTATTGACTGAATTCATAGTCTTCAACTTTCCAAAGCATCACTCTCTTTGCAATACACCATCAAGTCCTCTACCCAAGAATCACAATGCAGCCTTCCAGCCTGTACTGCCTTTTGGCCGCAGTCGGGTTCGTTTCTGCAATCGCCATTCCCTCGGTCAATCTCGGTAAGTCACAAGTCATTGTTTGGTAGACCTCCATGATCAGAAAAAGCTGTTGACCCTGGCAATATTTAGAGCGCAGTCCCGTCAAGATTGATCATGGCAAGCGGCTCGAGGATCCGGAACTGGTGTCCAACGAGTACTTGAACTATGACAAGCGCGGTAATCCCATTCAGGACGGTGACGAGTACCATCATTACAACAACAAGAAGCGCAGCAATCCGATTCAGGACGGTGACGAGTACCATCATTACAACAACAAGCGCAGTCCCGTTGAGGATCCCGAAGTTGTATCCAACGAGTACTTGAACTATGCGAAGCGCGGTAATCCGATTCAGGACGGTGATGAGTACCATCATTACAACAACAAGCGCAGTCCTGTTGAGGATCCCGAAGTTGTATCCAACGAGTACTTGAACTATGACAAACGCGGTGAAGTCATTGAGGGCGCGAACGGGTACTATAGTTACAACAGGAAGCGTCGTGAGTTGATGCAGATCAAAGTTCCATATTGAGTGCCACATGTATTGACCAGAACGCCCAGACGACTGAAAACTTGTGTGGGGCAAACAGAATTGAACACATGCCACAAAAGGGTCATGGGGATCGAAAGCGCAGCAATTGTTTGTCGCCGCTATCTTTTGACGGGCTACAATTGCAACAATGAGATTTGTGCTATTGGGCTTTCAAGGTCATGACACTTGACTTCAACATCCGTGTTGTGCTCCTAGTTAGATACCTGCCTCTAATATGAACAGCGATTCAACATCAAATTAATGGGCAATGGAAAATCTTACCATGATGCGAATGATACATGTTGCTTGAAAAAGCGTTTCTTGGTCTACTCATGAACTTTACTCCGCATAATCATTATACAACGACACAGCGGATAATGATGTGCGAGTAAAAGTAGAGATGTGAATGAAGACTACATGTGTTGTATGTGTGAGTGTGTAAGAGGTGGGTCACGATTCCAGCGTATACTCGGCTCCACATGCCGGATAGGGCACATTCAAGTACCTAGGTTAGAGGCTTGGGTTTAGTGGATCCAGCCATCATCATATGTAGTACGTTTATGGGTCAGCTCCCGACTTTGCACTATTATATCAACGACTACGTCCTTGCAGAATTGCGACGGATGTACTTTAGAGCTGGATATTCCGATACTCGACTACATCAACAGTCTAAACATCTCAGCATGCTCACAAACTCCCATGTTCCACCTTTACGGCCCCGCCAAAACCTTTTGCCCAATCCTGACCAGGTCGTCGTTGCTCAGGGTATCCTTTTCCAGACCATTCACGACCTGATCCAACAAGGCGGCAGCCACGTCGCGCAGCGCCACCTCTGGTATCCCGGGGACATTGCGACGCTCCACGCCGGGCGCCACAATCATGCCCGGCTTGGCGACTGCGGCCTCCACGGTGGCTCCCGATTGCTGCGCAAATGCGAGCGTCTTGACCTCGGACGCGCCCTGGTCTCACGAAGACAAGAAATCGTGAGCCCTTTAAAGTTCGAGACGGATAGATGACCAAATGGTAACGAGTTGGAGCAAGGAAAAAAAAAAAAGTAGGGTTACTCACACGCGCCAGGCCATACTCGCTCATACCACGCTCCTTCAAGAGCGGGTGCACCTCGGCCGGGGTCCGAGGCGTAAAATGGCCCGTCATGAGGATAAAGCGCAACGGCTTGCCATTTCCCTCACCACCACTGCTTTGCCGGAGCGACGCCAGCGTCTGCAAAGCCGTGATTGCATAGTCGCACGAGATGCGAATGGCTTCGTCGTGGGGCACCGTCTGGAGTTTCGAGGGCGTCACGGCAATGGTCCTGATTTCCTCCCGTAAGTCCTTTCTGCTCTCTTTTTCCCTCTCTTTTTCGATTCTCTGTTGTCATTGGGGGACTGCTCACCAAATACACGCGTCAACATCCCTCAATTCCTCCTTGACGGCATCCGGGTATGTTGTAAAATCATCACAGACGACCGACTTGAGTCGACCCTTGTCCAGGTCCACCGGCGCTGGGGTCTCGCGGCGACTCAGTCCGACGACCGAGTCCACGTCCTTGTTCAGGAGAGCCTGGCGGACGAGCTCCGTCCCCACAAAGCCGGTTGAGCCACCGATGACGAGTTTCATGGTCGAAAATAGGTGGTAGTTTCACTGATTGTCGATTGGTGGTGTTTTCTTTTGGCTGTGTGTTGCAAACGGAGTCCAAGTGCTAGGCTGGCAGGTGATATGATATATACCTAGCATGTTTAGTGCGCGGACAAAGCGGCCGTTGCGAGCTTAAGACCGGATCCGCTAGCTGTGCCTGTGAGATTTGTCCCTTGCCAACCATGAGGGTGCATAATGCTATTGTGTCCCTTGTTGGAAAAGCAACAATCCCTCGCAATATCGGCGCAAATTAATCGCCGCCATACTGTGACTGCCTTTGATCTTTTCCTTCCTGGTACTAGCCATACCATGAGGTGATCAAGGGGTATGAGCAGTGTAGCGAGCGAATGTTAGCACGGGTGACCATGAATACGACAGTCTTATACAATGGAAAGGTGGGTGTGTGAATTGATACCATGTTTGGTATTCTCTTGATTGTTATGTCATACAAAGAAGAAGCGGACGACGCCACTGCTATTCAATATTGGTATCTAATCCCCCAACCCATGCTGAAACAAGACCGTCTTGGACTCGTATGTCCATGACCTTCGTTTCCCCTGGATGCACGATTACACGCCACTCAAGACAAGAAGGAAAAGTTTGAGGTATCAACCCATGTCAAGGAAACAAATGATAAAAAATGATAACTCCTTTGAGTTCGCCATTGCCGCTCTGGTCCAGAAGGTCAAGTCGTATTCCCTGACCCGGCTCCGACCTTTCACCGAAAATAACGCCTGAAAATGCTCACGCCGATGGGTATAGGAGAAGTATGTCCGAATGTCGAATGAACTTGTGTTTGTGTTGTAGGCAAATTGTGATGCCTGTGTAGTGTCGTATTGTTTAGCCGTAAAGGCGATGATGGCCATTGGGTAGAATCCTTGTCGACCTATTCAATAGGGTCCTCCTCAATGGCTTCCATGGGCGGGCGGACCGACTCGGGAGCTGCTGTGCCATACCACCACTCATCATCCATGGCAGCGCCGTCCTCCCGAATCAACTCTAGCATGACTTGAGCATTACGCTTGATATCTTGTGGTCTCTCCACAATTCTCCTCTGCATTATGAGGCTCTCCGCGGCCGGTGCCCAAATGTGCTGTAGAATCGGGACATCCGGTGTCACCAGTCGCGACTGTTCTCGAGGCAATGGTCCCATGGGCATGCCAGCAGCCATGCTCGTATCAAAGACGCCGCTGTCCGTGGGCCTTCCTGGTCCCCACGCGTCGCTTAGTCGCCGGCCAGTATCTGAGCCTCGTCGAGAAGGTATAGTGAAAAGCGGAGGAGGAATCTGCTCCCCCGTGTTCATGGCCGCGGTGTCCTTCACATTGAAACTTGATTTCTTTCGGTGGATGCCCATGAATCCGCGCCGGGATTTTGTCGTCGAAGGTTCTATTGGCGGCGTGTGCTCAAATGGGGTCTCCTTCGTCAACCCATTGTACCATCTGTCCACGGCCCCCCTTCGCGCAGAATAGCCCTTGATTTCCCAGAATCTTTCCACCTGTCGCAGACCTCCTACGCACAATGCCGCGGCGTATATCTCGTCTGCCGGCTTGTCCTTCAAGTAACCCCTGATGGTTCGTTCAAATCGTCCCTGGTACGATGGCGGCCGTAATCGCCGAACAAACGAGGCCACAACTACCGGGAATATTTGGTGTACATGTAATAATGTCTTGTCGTCGTACATGCCCATGATTTGTGCTTCGATGGGGTTGATCGTGTACGGCATCTTGTTCAGTCCATATCCATGTTCTTGCACAAATTTGAGGTGAAGCTCCCGATATGTTTCGAAAAAGTGGAAAACTGTAAACAGGAGAGGTATCAGTCTGCGACGCATGCGTTCGTGCTGCTGAGCAAATTCCCGTCGTTGCGCATCTGTCTTCTTCAAGAAGATCTCCTTCATGATCCATTCGCAGATTAAAAATGACAGCTTCGCCGCCACGTGGAGTCGATGCCATAATCCACACAAGTAGTGGAAATTGACGTGAGGTGCCTGAGGTACCGGGTAAAGTCGCAATGCGTACGCCGGAATGTGATGTTCTATATGATGTCGAGTGATCGGAAGCTCGTTGAGTGATACCATTTCGTGAAATGACCGTGATGCCACGCGCATACTAAGTATATCTGATAAAGGTAGTTGTGCAATAATTTGAATCTTCAGTTCGTTGGGTAGCCCAAGGAAGAGTTGGTCGAACGAGGCACTGTGAAGATTTAGTATTTTGGGGACATGGGCACTAGACACGGGGAACGCAGACCTCTTGTTGGTGGCATCGGTCGATATGCGCCGGTGGTCATGGTCCACAGATGCCCGCGAGGGAAGGATATGGCGTAAATTGAAGTTTCCACGTTTCTTCTCTTTTTCCTTTAGCTCTTTTAGCTCGTTGAGCGTGTACTGTTTTGTTTCCTTCGTTCTTCCAATGGGAAGAATAAAGGTTGAAGATTGAGAAATGGCAGAGCCATCCAGAGACTGCGCTTGTTCCCTCCCCTCGAGCTGTCTAAACTTCTCAAAGTACCGCTCCGAGGCGAATTCGGTGACGTGAGGAGGATCCATGGCGACTGTTTATGGCGTCGAGCAGGGCGCTCAACCGAGGCACGCATGCACTGGTGGCGGACGCTCGACTGCCCCTTACAGGACAGGAAAAGCCAGATGAACTAACGGGCTGAAGGCGACAAGAACAGGCCGAGAACTACACATGTTGAGACATGAGGTAAACCAGGTGCGACGGTGTTGGGCAGCAACTGATCGATCGCCGAGTGTTCGAAACCGACCACGGAAAAAGAGCGTATAGTGCCTTTACTTATAATCAGATCCACCCGAGGACTAATTTTCGTATAGGCTCGCCTAACGCTATCGTCTAACCGACTCTATACAGATACACAACCCCAGCAGACGCAGTGACTTGTCCTGGGTATGGTGTCGACGATGCGAGAACAAAGTCGGAATGTGCTGCGCGCGACTCCTGATTTCGAGTGAGACGACTTGACCCCAAGGCCACGGTCCAGATCAGTTGAGAATGCCACCAGAAAGTTGACTCGTCCCTATTGCAGCAGTGTGCAAGCGGCCGTCGTGACGATTGATGTTTTCCGTCGTGAAGAGTAAGGTAGTTAGCAGTCCAACAAGACGGGCGATTCCAGGTCAGGTCAGTCGCAGTTGGGAAACCGCGGAGATGGGGGCCAGATGGGAGAACGTCGGAAGGAAGAACTCAAGATCCTGGGCCGTCGAAGAGCAGGATGTTGTAGTTGGGCAACCCAGTAGGGGAAGTCAACCGATGAAAGAGGTGTGTGTGTGTGAAGACAACCAAAAAAGAATGGTAATAAGAAGAGTTGGGAAAAAGAGACGTTCTTTCAGAAGCCAAGGTCTCGTTCCGGGGACACGAATGGCTGGCTGAGGTGAGGGAAACGGACGTCTTTACTTTCTGGGGCGGCAAGACGAAGGGAACCTTAGACAGCAGAGGCCAGCCAAAAATGGCCAGGCTTGGCTTTCTGTTTCTGCTGGACTTGGCAGCAGTGCGAGTGGGCCTGAGGGACTGGGACAGTGGAGGAGAAGGGGAAAAAGAGGCCGAGAATGGAGAAGGGGGGTGTGGGCGCCACTACGGACTGAACGTGGGTTTTGGCTTGCTGCCAAGTAACTTGCGAGGGAAAAACTGGAAAGTCTGGAGTGGGAGGCGATCCGAAAGGGAAAGAAGCGAAAGAAAAATAAAAGAAAAAAGTCCAACCTACAGGCAAAGTAGGTACCCAACTTACCAGGGGTGTGGTTAGTTGGTTAGCATGGCATTTGCTCGCGGCAACCGTTAATCTGTTCGGCAGCATGGGCGGCGGCGGCGGCGGATCGTGGGTTACTGGCAGATGGGATGGGGGGCGTGCAGTTTGGATAAAAGGTTCCAAGCACTGGGGAAGACACTGGGCGTAAGCAGATCAGGGGGAGACCGCCGCTCCCAATATCCACCACTCTCAGTCATCAATCTTTTTAATGTGTGTGTGTGTCTGTGTATGTATCCAATGCAGGCAATTTATGTAGTGTATGTCTGAACTGAACAAAGCAACGTGACTAATTACCATGTAACTTGAATGTGATGAAGTGCTCTATATAACGTAGTATAAAGCATATGCCATTATAGTCCATTATAGAAGACTGATTGACTGTATGTATGCGAACCACCAACCAGCCAACCAATGTAGGTGGGATTGAAACAAAAGACCTCTTCTTTTGGCCATCGATGATGTCGCATGTCACAGCAAAACGATTCTAGCCGTAGTGGTGGACAGTAACCGCGATGAGATGAGCACAACTGTTTCTGCCACGCGAATGGAGGTGCCCACTCGAGCCACTCTTCCTCCATTCTGGGTGCTGGCGGGTGTGAGGGTCGATGAGAGGGGCTTTCCGGTTGATCAAAACGTGGAGTACGGGCCTGTCCTTGTCACTTCAGCATCGCATCTCCTGGAGTCGCTGGAGTCTGCTGGAGATGATCTGCTTATCTTGTTATTATTCGCCAGTCATATGTCTTTGCCCCAAATGCGTTTGACATTGTTAGGATCCGGTGTACTACTTGTGAATCTATTCGTGATTACTGCAAATGTGGCACGATTCAGAAAGAATGGCCGAGAATGAGGTTCACACATTATACTACTCGGTCGAGGTTGAATGCACCACGTTTTGCAACTAATGTACCATGTGCTCACGCACGATATAGCATGTGTAGTGGCGCAACCCTGCTGCAACTTGCGATTCTTCGCGTGCAATGACACGAGTTGATAGTCTGAATATAGGAGCCGCGCCTCCTAGAGTTTCTGCTGCTGCTGCATGCTCGTTGCATTTCGCCACGGGCCGTAAACTTTACTTTTGCAACGACACAAAGCTTAAAAGCAGTGCATTTGAATCATTGCTCGAATATTACCTCTAATAAAAGTCTCTCTCTGCTGATCTAGGTATTGCTGCCCTACGTAGAAGATCACTTTTACAGGGCGAAAGTGAAAGTGATGAGTGAGGCTAACAGGGCAAGACTGGCCAAGTACCTTAACTACGGAGTACGTACAGCCACCACGTCTGGCAAAGAGAGAGGGAAACATCGGGGAGAGGGAAAAGAAAGAAAAAAAAGTCTGTTCCTTAGGTCAGAGGAGTGTCTCGAGTGTCTTTCCTCCACGGCGATTTGGCCGGTCAAATAGTGGGGTGGTGACAGCACGATCCAGCAAGTGATGTCCCTGTTTGGGCCCGTTTGATAGACACCAGAAATGGTTGGTACATGCTACCCGGTGCCTACTCTAATGTACACACACCCTAATCAGAAACCCGCTGCCACTTGGTTCTCTTTCCGATCTTTTTTCTTCCATCTATTTTATTTTACGTATCTCTAGTAGTATTGCATCTCGGGTCTGATGATTTATCCCCTCCCCTTTCCCGCTGGCACTACTTCAATCCCGCACCTCCTCTTTGATCACAAGGGTTCCCGTTGCTGAATAATGGTGCCATTGCATATAGTAGTCGGGCATATTCTATCGCCCGTCATAAGAGCTTAGGTCCGCATAAAACACGGATGGCAAGCGATGGCAAGAAATGTATGCCATGCTTGTCTATGTCTCAGCTCATCATATCGCAAACGAGAGTAGTCAAATGTTGTGTCCTATCATCGAAACTCTATACTATATCAGTCATAAGGCTTTTCTGTGCCTTGCGGCTGTATTAAAGGTGAGCTTTATTTTGGAATAAGCATATCTCGGTCCTTTAATACGTTTCTTTTTTGGACGGTTATACCTAGTGGGCGTCTGTCTGCATTGAATTCGCCAAAGGGACATGTAGGTTTTCGCGTCGTGTGAGGTCATACTTGATTTATATCGTCTTGCATCCAGCCGCGATTTCAAGGAGCTTTGATCGAATTAGGAATTAACGCAAGGGTACTGCTCCATTGTATTCACTGTTACTGGTGCGCTTGATGGCTACCATCTGTCTTGCGTATTAGTGGTATTCGCTCACCCCCAATTGCCTCTCCATGATTTTTTTCGTGTCGAGGCGTTTGCGAATTATGTTATGCTTGGGACTGGGCCCTGGGGTTGCTGCCGCTTGTGCCCTCATTCCCTACACTTTCATATACAAGTGGCATCTGAAAATTGAAAGCTTTCGGGCCTGCCTTCCCGTGTCAGCTTCGATGGTATCAAGACCTGTGCATGACTCAACTATATGCATGTCATTGCTCTAGATGTACACCCTCCCCTTGGAGCGAATACTGTGGAGATGATGATTAAGCTTTTGCCGGCGCCCTTCACCTCTCTATCTCTTCTGACGCTGAGCCCTGATGGACGGACGGCCCAAGCTGGTCAGCAATGACCGGAATGGGACCGAAACGAACCCGAAGAAGAGAGTCTCTCCCTGGAAGTTCTGGCAGCAAAAAGGCTCTTCCGAGGCGCCGTGAGTGTCGCCGAACATCTTTTGCCTGACTGCCCTCCTACCTACCCTACCTTTGTACGCAGTAATCCTGCCGAGTCATCTACTTGGACGGTCTGGAGCTGCCATCCACCTTAGAGCTTGCTTTCCACGAGCAATGTTACAGATGGTAGGTGCCAAACAAGGAGGACCGATGCCAAGATACTACCATGGAGCCTTTGGTACGCGTTCGCTCTGCGTGTGTACATGGTGGTGCAACGTGATGCTGCTACTACAGATAGATCTTTCTACAGTTGGCGTCGCATTCCCCTAAATGGCAGAGAGCGCCTGGCGAGATCAGTTTCTGCAACGTACTATATTATTACATAGGCCCTGCTCGAAAGCTCGCCAGTCGCATACGAGAGACAGCACCAGGGGAGATCTGCAATGAGAGTTCGGCACTTCTCCTCCAGGCATTTGTTTTCCCTTGACTTGCATCTCGGCGTTACATTCGATAGACTGACTGCCCAGGCCGCGCACACCATGCTACTGCTAATAAGGGGTGTGGCTGGTTGGTCGAGTGGGTGTGGTAGGTAGGTAGTGTGTTGTGAGTGGTGATTATCAGAGCACAGCATCGTCAACAGCTTCGTCGAGCTCATCAGCGACGTCGCTGTTTTCTGTGTCCCCTTTGCGGTCTTATTCTGTCTTTCAGGATCACGTTGATACGAGGATTTTTTCCATTCTTTACAAATGAACGGCCGAGCAAGTTGCTTTGTGGATTCAGATAGACCCTCTATATGGATCCGGAATTGATCATGTGCACTCCTATAAGGCCGATGTAGCCGTCAAACTCGGCGTTACTTATTGCGTTATCTCGCTGGTCGCAGCGTGGGACTTTGCCTGGGCAGCACCGCGGGCACTGTTCTGCCGCCTGGACAGAGAAGTGCGCGGCGGTGCTCTCGGTGCACTCGGTGCTTCCTAGGGGGGTTTGATCGTCATGTCGAATGGCATCATGGGCTCACCCGGGGGATAGAAAAGAAACAAACCCAGCCAGCCAGAGCAGACAGAGCTGGCTGGTTGAAGTTCCATGGTAAGGCAGCGAGCGCCTCAGCGCTATGAACCTAGCTCGAAATGATGAGCAGCCCTATGGTGGAAAACATGGTCTCTTTGGAAAGATCACCATGCTAGTCGTTACAGTGCTGATGAATGCTTCTACACCCAGCGTGCCAGATGCTCTCTCTCCCGCTTGTGGAGGCGCGAGGAAAACTGTGTCTCTGATAAACATTGCTCCAAGTAATAAGCTGTCATGTGTGTCTCAAAGTGAAAGTCTTCTGCGGATCTGGAGAGGGATCCAATGGACAGCGAGAGAGAGAGAAGGGCCCAAGAGTCCAGACCATTTCGGCCACTTGCTCGTCTCGGGGGTCACAGAGAATTCCCCGCGAAAAAAAAGGGATCCACCAAGAGCGTCCCTACCCCGGCCCTTCTCCGGCCATTCTCAAAACATTGGAACATGATTTTTTTTTTTCTGTCTTCTCCCCTCGCTCTTCTTCCCCTAGCGATTGATAATTTTTCATTTGATTGGCTCTGGTTTCCCCTCGCTGTTTCTCGAGAAGAAGACATTCAACAAGAACCAATCTTTGCTACCCAGCAATAGAAACCTTGATATGCGACTGGGTGCATTCAAAGGAATCCCCCATGCTATTAGTCAGTTACGGACCAAAGCCAGTCTATACTTGTTCATTGTGTGTGCCTTGGTTGTTCGGCTTGGCCGCGAGTGCCAGTGTCTTCTTCTCAATTTCATGATACTCTCCTCTTTCATCATCACGATTGTTGTTGTGAGAGCACTTGTTACATAACATCACGATCAAGGAGGGTCCATTTGCTCTTTGATCCTCCCTCCAGACGTCAGCCGTGGAGCTGCGAAGGGGAATGAATGACCGATCCCCGGCCGTCTCTTTTTCTCCCATCCTCTCTTGAGCATTGTCTCGGGTTGAGGACTAGAATCCTCGCTTCTGCGGCTGCTTCTCCAACCCTTCTGCTTGAAACGGTATAAGATCACCGGCTACGTTTCCTTTTACGGCAGTTGGATGGCAAAAAGAAGAATTACATACGTAGTACTGTACCTACCGAGTGTACCCTATACGCACTACTACTGCAACATCTGTAAGCAAGCAGAAATTAATAACATCACGTAGAACGCAACATGGCCGAGTTTTGACATGGTCAGTCAGCGCTTGTTATAGTTGCACCGTTGGAGCCTTGATGGCTTCATACTAGTATACCTGGGTTATAAAGCGAGCAAAACTACTATAGAGAATGAAATGTGAACCCATCCCCCACACAACCGCGTAACAAGCGACTTTTGTGTGTTTCTTCTTGTCAGCTTCCAGTCCCTGGAAACTGACAAGAGAGTGTGTCCACTCGAGGGATGGACTTCCCCGAGCCGGTCTTTTTGCTAGACCTTGCCATGTGTAGAAATCCCGAAGCGAGTAACCATTCAAGTAAGGGTGCTTGGGCCATTTCGGACCGTCTCGCCTTGGGGGACCGGAGGATGGTGGGAACTCTGAAAGCGCGTGGGGAAAGTTGCAAGGTTCCGTGCCTCGTTGGCTGGCTACGTCCGGAGCAGCTAGACAGGGTTGGCCTCGCAGCTGGAATCCGCAGTCTAACGGACCTGGGGAAAGGGTCATCATTGTGGAATCGTGGCACGGTAATTTCGCGGGGGAACCTTTTCTTTTGGGGCTGGTCCTCTCGCCTCTTTGGCTGCTTGGGTCCCGAAAACTAAAAAAGAGAGCAACCAGAGAGCTTCGAGAACACCGATGTCATTGTCATTTTTGGCCGAGGATACTCCTTGATAACTGGACCTTTGAATGGGTCCTCCAAAGTCGCTTAAGCCCAAGAGTCCAGCATCCCGTCCTGTCCTGTCCTTGCTCTGCCAAAGCCGCCGACGCCGGTAATGCAATCTTCCACCCGACGACGATGCGGCTGCAATCCCCTCTCAGCGCAGTATCGGCCTCCAGCCTGACGATGCCTCCGCGGCTGTTGTCCGTAGCTCAAGTGCCTCGTCTCGTGGTGGAAGAAGAAAAACGACTGCTTGCTACTACATTCATGTATTCTGACATCTCCGCAATCCTCATTCTTCCCACTTCTCTCCCGCGCTCTAGCCTAGGGAAGGACCGTCACCCGACTCTGATGCAGTGACGATTTCTTTCCCATCTCACGAGACTTCAACTGCTTAGCCCAACACTCAATGTCACAACTCAAACAAAATCTTTGCTGATCACGGACTGGGTATCATGCGAATGACGTCGGCAAGCCTGGGTCCGACGACGAAAAATTCCGCCGATTATCGTGACACAAAAACTGTTCGGTGCGACCGACCGGCTCCAACAGCATCCATTTACGTACCACCATCGGAGGTCTCCCTGCGCTATACAGCACAATGCGGGAGTCAGCGTCCGCTTAAAGAAAAGCGCCATCTGCTGAGGGTCGCTATTCTCTCGTCACTCTGAAGTTTCCTCAGCAAAGGACCATTACGTTTCATTATATACAAAAAGATCCAGGCGTGCATCCGCACTTCCGTGCCACCGAGCTTCTCACGGCAGGAACAAATATCCGTTCTGCCGCTATTGTGCCGTGTTATGAAATGCTTGTGCTGTGCCTTAATTCATCTCCGGGACCCTTTGCGCCGGCGTCTTTCGGATCATGAATTTTGCCAGTCGGTAATCTGTATATCCACTGTGAAAACTTGACTTACTTAAGAGGACAGCACTACCAGCTACTACCCATTCATTCAAAGCTGTGGCTTTTTTTTTCCTCCCTCGAGCAATACTACTAATACTCATATGGGAAGAAGTTGTTGTTTCACACAAGTCTTTGGCAATCAGATCTCGCCTTTATCGTAATATCTTAACGCCGAATAATCCCGATAAGGGCCCTCCTCACGCACGCATCAACCCAATCAGATGCTGGTCATACAACCAGGGACAAAGTGGGCAGTCAGCAGATTTTACAGCTCAAAAATGCTGCTCCCGGGGCATCAAACAGAGGATCCCTTCCGTCCGTTGGTCAGCTCATGTAGAACCTTCCGCGTATTCGTATAAACCTGTGAAAGAAAGAACTTGTGTGTAAGAAATGCCATTCATATAGTTCAGGTCCATGGAATTTTACCACGACTGAGAGCCATTTCCATTTGAGTTGTGGTTTTGCATTTGGTCATGAGAAAGTTAATGTACTCTGTTATCAGTGTTCCCAGCAATCTGGCAACGCACAGAGTAATGTACATAAGGCACAGTTAACCCCTCTTCTCAAGGATAGAAAAGCCTCACTCAATAACACCGACGAGGTGGGACAAGTTGCTGCTGATGGATGGGCCCCAGCAATTTTTTTTTGGGATGATATGCGTGCACGTCTCTAAAAATAGAATCACCCAGCTGCCCACGTTTGAATGCAACTCCAAAGAGGGTTTATCTCAGCGCAGATGGGGGAAAAAAGAGCCCCTGATACTTGTCGGCTACATGCATTGGTTCAGCTGTTTCTGCTGGGTAAGATGCAATCTGATAGCTTCGCGGTCCGCTAACCAATGTCTTTACTGCGTACCGGTAAGATGATCCTCGTCTCCGCGCCAAGATGTTGAGCAATTCCCTTTTCAGTCAGGGGATCATGCAGCCTAAACAAATCATTGTCGACGACTCTTTTCTTCCTCTTTCTCTTTCAACTCTCACCTTGCTTCCAATTCTGTTTTGAATTCCCACCCCGCAGACAAAAAAGGAGAGTACCACCAGACTCATTGACTCACCTCTGGAAGGGGGAAATCACTCTTTGAGGTGTTGACATGAGGAAAAGTTCCCAGCTGATTGCGTGACTCTGGTGAATGCTGTCGGCTGGAACTTGAATTCCTCTTGTGTGCCACTCAACTGGAATCGTGAAAAGCCTTTTCGCGCTTTTTGCTCAAGAACTCGCCTTTGAAAGTCTGAAGGCAAAAAGAAAAGAGAGAGAGAGAAAAAAAAAGAGGGTTTCATTGACTCTAGAAACATTCCCATCATTCTGGGTCTGCCGGCTGCCAATGTTACCGTCCGGGCGGAAACCCAAGCAAGTTGTGTGAAGAAATTCTCCCTTTTCGGCCTGCATATTCAACATACCTTAATCTGCCAGATATAACACACCCCGCGCCTTACCTTTACGCGAGGCCGACGTTATACTATCCAATCTCTTTGGTATACTTTTGCGCCAACCAAAGTAAATACAAACACGCATTATCTTTCAAGGGGCAGGCAGTTTGATTCTTTTTTTGGTGTCACACTGCATTTTGCCGGGTACTATTTTTCTTTCTTTCTAGAATCTGACTCGGCTTAAGTTTGGGGCCAACCCCCCATCCTTCCTTATCAATATCTGCAACCAGGCAAAAAGGAAGGGGCTATGACGGCTTCCGAGAGCGCCCCCGCGGCGCCGGGTATTGAGATTCCGGACTTTGCGCCGCGCGCGACCACGGCAGCGGCGGGGCTGGTGGAATCCCCAGGGACGCCGTCCTCGCCCAACGCGTGGGCGCGTTTTGAATTCGAGATGGGATGCGGGAACGAGGGCACCAAGGTTCTGGTCGTTGAGTGGGATCCGGCGGCGGCACCGCGGGACAAGGACGACAGCCATGGTGACCAGCCAGTCTCGCAGGGCGGCAGCAGCCCCCTAGACGACTGGGAGGTCTCGTGGGGCGGCAAGATCCCCCGTGCGCGGAACCAAGTCAAGGAGGCAGACGGCAAGTCGACGTTTCGCGTCTTTATTCTCATAGAAGACGATATCCAAGTGCCTTCGGTGGTTGCCATAACGCAAATCTCGACGGGGCGCACGCTGCTGGCGAGGCCAATGCCGGCAATTTATACGCCAGCGCTCGGTGCAGATGTCGCCAAGGCTGCCGGCAGACGAGGTGTCCTTCATACACAATGGTGAGTTCTCACAAAGGGGGGTTTGTTTCCGCGGTGAACCACTCTTGTCAAGCTATTGACGGTGGGAAAATTCCATCAATCTGCAAACTCATGACTGACACCAGGTTGACAGGGCCGAGAAGAGGCTAAAAGAGCTTCAGCTGGAATACGACAGGGAGGTGCAGGATAACAGCGAAGGTGTGGGTGCCGTCATGGCTTATACCGACCTTACCTGGGTTGTCGAGCACTTTGGTCTGCGCCACCCTTACGCCGTGGACGGCCTGGCGCCCCAGGAGACCAAGCATCCGAAAGCGGCCCAACCTCCCAGGTCGCCTGTAGGAGGCAAGCTGGGCGAGAAGCTGCGGGGACTCAAGCTGGCGACGAGTCCCTCGGAGCTGGTGAATACGACAGGTAAGATATTTCCCGGGGATTTGAAAAGACGCCAAAAAAACAAGGAATTGTGTTTTCTGACAGTATGTACGATCACCAGGCCAGAGACAAAACCCACACTATTTCACTCCCGGCAGCTCAGGGACGACGGGCACAGCCCGATCGGGACGCCTGGTCACGGCCATAGCGCCGGGAGGAGACCCGGGATCATCCGGCGTGGCGTCGCTGGATGCCATGGTCAAGAACACGCAGTCGTCGGCTGCCCCGGTGCGGCCGCCTCCGAGCCAGGCGACCGAGGACGAGCTGTTTGCGCTGCCCATGAGCCCGAGGAGTCCCGAAATGGAAATCAGCCCGTTTAGCTTGATCAAATAGAGAGAGGTATAATTCCAGCAGAAAGAATCTCAGCTTTGGGAGAGAGAGAGCAACAATATAGATCGGGTAAGCTCAAGCGAGGCAATGGTGTCCGGGCCAGGTATATCCGGTGTCTCGATGATTTGGACTTGACGCATTCATTTCTTTTTCTCTGCGACCATTGCCAGGAAAGTTTCCCATTGGTCGCCGGCATATGGGCTTGGACACTGAGTCGCGCTCGACTTCCTCTTCGGAAGTATAGCATTTGAGAAAAAAAGGCTTGGGTAGAGTTCAATTCGCTCGTGCGAGCGGGCTCGAAGTCATTGGGGTAAATAGGTAGGCTTCCGGTTCTGGACCCCCAATATCAGGCCCGTTTGCACAAATTATAGACTTCTACGATAGCCACAAATAGCGGGCACCATGTCCAATGGAACCATATCATCAACCCTTTTTATGATGTCTCAATAGTCGTAAATCTAATCGAGAATCTATGTATAAATCTTCTACTATGCCCAACCTGGCCAAGAGTCGGCCAATAGTTGCCATTGCAGCACGCCATTCCATCAGTATGAATGAGGGCGGCCATCGGACCGAATCGAATCCTTGCCTTGCTCTGCAGTGTCTCAACTCATCATTGATCCCGCGACATACATGGCTCGTCGGGCCTTTTTGATTCGTTAAGCTTCCTAAGCTTATTTTCCTCACTGCAACCTGCCGCGTTTCGGGCGGCTTTTCAAGAACGCTCAATGCGTGTTGACCGCCCTCCACAGCCGTCTTCTGTGATCAATCGGATCAATCTAACCGCAGCATAGACCTCAATTGGGCCCAGATCTCTACTGTATGAGCGAGAACAGCGCACTATGTCACTCTTACGGGTGTGAGAATAACAGCGACCGCGCAGATGATGTGTTTCCTCCCGTTTCTTGTTGTACCGATGCGCTGTAAGCGCCATAGACCTTGAGTGTAGGGCAACGTTTGTTGCTGACAAACAACCATGGACAACATCTCTTTGGATATGGCCGATGCTTTTTGTTGTTGCTTGGTAGCAAGGGCTGTAGTAAACCTTCAGCGTAGTAGTGGCACCGTCTCTGACTCGGGGCTTGTGACTTTATGGTGACTTTATCCTCATACTGGCTCATCGCCAGCCACCAACACGCCTCTCGTTCCAGCGCTCCTTTCTTTCCTGCCTGAGGTAGAACAGCTTCCTGTTCTCGCGATACTTTCTGACCCATTCATTGACCTCGCGCTCGGTAGCGACATTGTGGTCGCTGCCATCACCATCGAGGAAGCTCTCTTCCATGGCGGCGCAGACCATCTCCTGCTCCTGCAGACCTTGGGTGAGGCGCTGGTACAGGCTAGACGGGGCAAAGGGCGCCAGGGCCACGTCCATATCGGATTGCTTGGCACGCCATTGCCGCTCGAGTGCGTGCGTCGAGAGCAACTGTGCCTGTGTCGACGAACGCTGATGCGCCAGGCGGCCCTCGAGCTCGACCAGATGCTGCGCTAGGGTAAGATTTTCCGTCAGAGCTGACTGCAGCGCCGCGTGCGACTGCGTCAGGGACGGGTGCGCCGTTGTCGGTGAATGTGTCAGGGCTTCGAGGAGGCTTGGGTTCGAGAGGATTGCTGCTAGGTCTTGTTTACTAGAGTCGCATATGTTAGTACTGTAAGATAGCCAGTCGTCTCTACTCTGGAACTGTTCCATGACAAGAAGATGTGCAAAGATGATGCACGTAGGTGACATACGATTTATCCTCCAGGAACTTGGGTAGCCATGATTCGCCTGGGTCTGGGATCTCCTGCGGAGCTTGCTGCTCATACCGTCGACGTTGGCTATCGTGCCGTTGCGGCGCCGGTATGAGGCCAGATGCGTCCGTGTCTATGCCCTTTCCTTTTCCATTAGGAGTCGCAAACCCACTGTCGGTCAAGGGCGATGGGCGCGGCGACTGCGATATCGAAGGGGTGCCTAGCCGGCTGGCTTCATGGCTGCTGGGCTTTGGCGGGGGTAGCGGCGGTGGGGGCGTTGGTGAAAACATGCCGGCTTTGGTAACGTTTCCAACGTTGTTGGTAGATTTGTGTAGCGAATATATGGAGGGTCTCGCTCTGAATGCTTGAGCATGTCCTGGTGGAAACGATGGTGAGAGATATAGAGTAATGGTGATAGATGTATGTAAATGAGACCTAGGTTAGTTGAGTGCCCGCCCAATGACGGAGAGCATGTGCGGACAGCTCCGCCAGCCAGCTAATGTAGTAGGTACAGTGGACGACAGTTCCAGTTAGTGGGGCACATCTGATAAGGCATGACTACATACCACCACATGTACAGAGTAGTACCTAAGTTAGCTATTTCAAGTTGCAAAATAGGACGCAGATATAATAAATATATGATCGGCCCAAGAATCGAGAAACAGGCATAAGAAGTGCATGCATGAAGGATTTTACTATTAATGGATTCAGCAGTATGCACTACGTTCAAAGTCTAACTCCGGTCTTTGTAAAGAAAACAACGATCTGTACTCTAGAATATGTAGGTATCTTCAAGCCAACCACTGATCCGTCCGAGGTGGTTCCACGGTGCTGCTTGTTGGATTTCAAAAAAAAAAAAAAATCGATGAGGACTGCGAAACTTCATGCTACATTCCAAGCTTCTTATTCTTCTTTTTCTTCTTTGAATCACGGAGTCAGCTTTCTGCCCTTGATTGCATGAACACGAGAGCCTGCCCACCATGGGACGGGAATAAATATTCGAAAAAAGCCAGGTGAATTCCATGTGGATTTTAGACTATGACTGCCAAGAATGAGTCAACAACATTATCAAGACGACGAAGCTATGGTACAAGATATGGTACAGCATCCTAAGGGGACATGATTTATTACTCAAGTCGACGTATTTAGGGCATAGCTAGTGCACAAACCTTCTCATATATCCTCGATATTGATACCTGAATTGTGTTTATTGCAAAGCACATCTCCCACAACTTGATTGCCTCTCTTCCCGAAGTTACCATCGGCATCGAGATCTTTAACGAGATCCCGAAGCTGCAACTAGTGCTGCGCAGCAGTCTTCGCACATGGCAATCGTCTGTAGTTCGGTATCCGTCGATTTGCCGGGGTCTTCCATTTCTTTACATTGGACTCCGGTTTCTTGTGCTGCTTCACAAAGCACGATACTGTATGGATTGGGGTGTCTTTCGCCGTACAGATGATTACCTCTTACTAAGTTATGATGAGGATACATTAGTTTATGCCTTCTCGTGTTGCTTGTATGTGAGTTTGCGATATATCATCGATTTGCAGGTGACGGCGATGTTTCGTTCTCAATGCCTTCTTGTCATACACATGGCAAAAAAGAACAAACAAAGTGGTGGGGTAAGCGAGTCACACAGTTTGTGTACTTACGGCATCTCTGTCTCTGGAAGTATTGTGTGCACATGATGAAGCTGTTGCAAACTAGTAAATCTGGAATGAAGGTATTGATGATTGTTCTGACCGATGGGGGCAGATGTTTATTTTTGACGTGTCGTAGAAATTCTGGTAAATTCTTGATGTTGGTATCGGTCAAGATCGATTGGAAAGATATTGATATCCGGGTCTTTATATAGATTTTCAAAAGTGAGGCAGTGATTGACATACAGGAGCTCGCTCGCAGGGAAATCTGTTACTGATTGCTCTTCCATTGGGATGAGTATTGAGAATAGGACATCAAAGTTACCATCACAAACTGCCGAAGTTTCTGGAGCAGATAGCAACTGATTTGCGAATTCATGAATCACTCTTTATTCATTATTCTTTCAGTAAGTTCTTGTCATGGATCTGATGGTGTATTGTGCTATATGTATAGAGTCTCGGTGATGAACATGCCAGTTGGCGTCTAATCATGAAGGCAGTGTGTCGGAAGCATGAGAAAGCGTATATTCGCAGAAAGCCATCAAAGTGGTTACGCATCACGATAATAACACAAGTATTCATCAAAATAGCCAAAGATAAACTGAAGATTCTTTACAAAAGCCATATATGCGGTAATTGTTAGGAGGTACATCATGCCCGAGGGTACATGGCATATTTATTATCGCGAAGTCTAGGTCATAGCCAGTGCAATTCTCCTCAGATCCTCCAAGCCTCGGTGTTGATAACCGAATTGCTTTCAGTTCTGACTAAAACTGTCGTAACTTCGTTTACCATGTCCTTGACCCTGACCCGGCAAAAGGCCTTGATTCTGAGCTCTTTTTCTCGCAAGACATGATTGACACATTGAAATACTCGCTATAATGGTGTCCGTATGTTCACCAGCGTCGTCGGGCATGCACTGAGCTCCACCATTGAGATATGCTTCAGGGCACATTTCGAGACCTGGCTTGCTCGTCCTATTGACATGACTGCGGCACAATACTAATGAGTCAAATATATTAGCCATGTAATCTTCTGTAATTCATGTACCAAGAATAATCAACACGTAGGATCGAGTTGTGGCTCATACGGAGGTGGGGGTTTGGACAGATGGCGGTGAAACAGCAAGTACCAGGCGCAACAAAACATTTCCTCCATGGAAGACACGCGATGACTACCATACTTTCCAAACTTACAACAGAAATGACAACTATAAAATTGCCAGCACATGGTTGTCGATAGTCTTATAGATGCCGGGGGATAATTGTATAGATAGGTGAGACTGTCGTCGTACAGGGAACGGTATAGATGTGTGGTGACAATCTCAATTAAATGGGAAAATTGGGAGAATGATGACGCCTTTATATGGGCTGCGTGAAGCGACGTAGTGGTTAATACACATCACTTCATTCACACGAACTTGCTATGAATAGTGTTGTACGTGTGATGAGGCATGGTCTGGACGTAGCTGTGACTGGAGTACGGACTTCTTCTACAACGTACGCCATCGTGATCGAATCGCGGACTCAAATATCTATTCTTGGAGATGGGTTTGGGTCACCAAGTCATTTGCATCACTTCGATACTGCAGAAGCACAAATCAGATTTGCGCTTCTCTATATTTACAAGAATCAGCAACCTTGGATCTCCCATCATCGCTTTACCCCAGAAACTGTGAAATGTCTGTTACCATCTGCCTATTTGTGACGACCAATCGGCTTTGGAGGTATGCTGTTTCCTTCACTGGTGGTCAAGTTGAAGCAGCGCTGAACTTCAATGAGCAGCCACGCTGAATCCAAAGAATAAATAGAAAAATAAATAAAAGAAAAGCTCGTTCGAGGTAGCCTGACAGAGTCACGGCTCCAAGTCCCTGTCAACTGCAACACTACTTGTGAATAACTGACATAGGCTATTTTCAAATATCCTGGATGTTTGCTAGATATAGCATTGCATCAATACGGACGGTATGACATTAGTTTCCCGTGTGCCTATTCTTTTACTGTGTGCCCATTCTCTAAGCCTGTGGCCTGAAAACCTCCAATCTCGACAGTTGAAATTTTAGCATCTCTCTTGGAAGTGTCAAGTTACTTTGTCTTTTCTTACCTTGTTTGGAAAAGTCAAAGTATCTGCCTGCGAAATTCAATGAAGTATGAGCATCAGTAAGATCCATTTTTTGGACAATACCAATGCGAATTGCAGCGGTAGGTATAATGTAGTCTTTGAAATGCAGCGTGGGCTATGACTCTAGAAAATGGGTATTGGTGGCCCCCGATTTGACTTCTTGGCCTCTCTATCTCTCATGAGTTGGCCAGATATTGTATTCTTGTTGCTGCATCTCTCCCTCTGCTTGTGACAAGCAGAGGGAGTTGGCCCTAGTCCCTGATACTCCATCTACTGCCGTGTGCCAGGGGTAAACTCATTGCTTTCACCTCAAGAACCATGAAATGAAACCATTTACATGAGCAATCTCCAAAGACCAAGAAGTAGTGCAGCGAAACCAGTGCAGACACCCATGAGCCACTGTAGAGTTTGGAACTTGACCTGTTCCAGCTTCTCGCGCAGAGCAGCAACCTCCTGCTCAATCTTGGTTTCCGTCTCCTTAATCTTCAGCTCTTGACTGACCGCTTCCTCCCGGATCCGGCCCTTTTCTAGGTTGAGGTCGAGTCTTACTGACGCCTGCGTTCTTCCGATCTCGTCTCGCAACCTGCTGTTCAGCTTTGTGATGTCGTTTGTTAAGCGCTCGTGAGCAGCGCGCGTAGTGTGTGATTCCGTACTGTCGGCGGAGAGGAGCTCAGACCGCAGCTTGGCAAAATCAACCTTCTGTGTATATGTTGCCTTTGCGGCATCTTCGCGGAGAACCATGGTACGGGTAAGGTTTTGTATGCTGTCTTGTCTCAGTCTCAGGCTGGATCAGGGTGGGTAGGGTATTAGGGCGGACCTCTCCTCAATCACATCGTTCAATACTTTCATCATGGCCGCTGCCTGCTCTTCTGTGAATCCCTCACCCTGAAGCCTTTGAATGAACTTCAAGGTGTCGAAGTGGTGGTCTCGGGCTCGTGGGGCTGTAGCATGGAAAGCCCTTCTGAGGGCAGGACTTTGGAGAATCGCCGAGTTCTTTCTGGTCCTCTGAGCTTGGGGAGAGGGGCGCCGCTGTGTATGCATGCCCGAAGATTGAGTCGGTTGCCATGATCTCCGTTGAACTGGGAAGGCCGTTGCGCTCCTCAGCACTGACGACGAACTTGCTGGTCCCTGCCAGCTTAATCGAGGAAGAAGGAACTTTGGTAGACTTTGGGCTGCATGGATTCCAGGTTGCGCCATTTTGGCAGCGTAGTGTGAGAGCGATCCGACCGTATGCGACCTATTGTGTTGAAAGTGCAGCAACAATTGCTCCTCATATAGGCCAGGTAGAAGCCAGCAAGGTCACGTAGCAGGTATCGGTTCATGTGAACATCGCGACTTTCCCCCTCGGTGACGCTAGAGGTACCTAATCAGCTCAGTTCAAGTGGGTCCTTTTGATCTGGGCCCGTTTGGAGACTCAAGCTGCCGGCCCGGCAATGCGGACCCTAGCCTTGTTGTGCCTGAGGCAGCTGCGGGCCGCTATGGGCAAACAAAATCTGATTTGCGCGCTACGAAATTTGGAATTTTCTTTCCTTTTCTCTTCATTAAATATGAACAACGCAAAAAACAACATTCTCGAGACACGATATTTGGTGCGAGGTAGCTCTACAGTGGCCCACGAACACTGAAGTTCTCGGACAGAATGGAGAGAGAAACCCAACGAACAATCTTGGGTGCGATGCTTCTCTGTCCTTCGGGGCGGTGGGAAGGAGCGCAATGATTGAACGTACATGATGACATTTTGGAACTGGATTCAGTTGATGGCTAAAACGACACCTTGCTATATGTTTGTCGACGCCGATTTTTGGAATTATCTCAACTTTTGTGCGGTGATATCTTTCTGAATGATCAAGACGAGAGTGGGATTGCTGCTGTTGCCCGTCGTGACATACGAGGGAGGATGCTCAATTTTGCTTTCCACTGAATCGTTGATTTCCGCACCCTGCTTTACCTGAACAATTGATGTGCATATGATTGCCATGGTTGCCCTCATGCAGTTTGGTCCATGCCTCTTCGTTGGTACTGAAATATGCCTACGAAGTGAGTTGGTACTTGACCATGACCAGAAAGACATGATATGCCATGGGCTGGCCTACAGTCGCTTTGCTGAGCCCCTGTCCCCCAGATGGCCGCGAAGATTCATGGAAGCTCGGGAAGTTTGAGGGATGTCCATCGGTAATCTTGTGCATTTGTTGCAATAAACCCACTTTGCTCGTCGTGAACAGAGATCATCATATGGTGAATGTACGTAATGCAAGGATACTGGTAGGCAAAAACGGCTTGCCGCCTCATGCACTGATCACTGAGCCAAATTCAGGAGCTTCCATTCACCCCCCCAGTACCATGGTCCGTGCTTTCTTTCATGTTGCCAGCAGCCGCAAGCCCACACCTGCTGGTTGGCTGGCACTCATTGGGCAGCGTCCAAGCAGCAGCACTCAAAGCAGTGTGCAGCAGCAAGTAGGTACGTAGGTACGTAGCTTGGCGGCGCGCTGGGCTGGGCTCCTTTCAATGCGAACAGGTAATGCTCTTGCTAGCGACTCCAAGGAAACCACTCGATTTCCTGCCCCCCAATACACAACAAACCTCATTTCCTCTAACTCCGTAACCCTCCCACACTTGCCAATCCATTTGGGCATTGTATACTACGAGTTGCGGCTGCCATTTCATCTCAATCTCACGATCGGGAGACAGGCACTTGCATTTCCGTCCGTCTTTCTCTGCCTTCTGATGACCTAGACAAGCTCAAGCTACCTAATCAACTCCTGGCCGTTTCTTTCTGCCTGCACCTTTGCACACAAGGCACATAATTTCCGCCCATTCCTTTTTCCTTTTCCCTGTACACATTTCGCGGGACGATTTACGAATCTTCACGAACCTTCGTTATTCAAGCGTCCCGTCAGATCGCTTGCGGTGCCTCTCGCGACCAGCTTTACCCCTGGAACAAGTCGAGTTCACCCCGTCTTCCCCATCCTGCCATTGTCATCTGCTCAGTCTAGCCCATGCAAACCTGAGCCATGGCACAAGCGCTCCCCATCAAGTTCCAGGAGCTATTGATGCTCGGCAATTCTGGCGTCGATGCTACTGCCATTGGATTCAACACATGCGTAAGTTGCTGCACCTGCTAGCTAACGCACCTACGCCATTCAAGCTAACCTGCCACCCACCCACAACAGACATTAGAGTCCGACTCCTTCATTTGCATACGAGAGAAGAAGAGCGAAGCCGCCCAGCCCGAAGTTGTCATTGTCGACCTCAAGAACGGCAACAATGTCGTCCGACGCCCCATCAAGGCCGACAGTGCCATCATGCACTGGACGAGACAGATCATTGCTCTGCGCGCACAGTCTAGAACATTGCAGATCTTCGACCTCGAGGCAAAGCAGAAGCTCAAGTCGGCTACAATGAACGAGGATGTCGTCTTTTGGAAGTGGATCAGTGAGAAGGAGCTGGGTCTGGTCACTGAGAACTCCGTCTATCACTGGGACATTTTCGATCCGAACCAGGCTGCTCCTGTGGAGGTCTTCAAGCGAAACCAGAGCATGAGTGTAAGTGACACAGACATATAATCGACCGTGTGCCTGTCTATCCCATGATGGATTACTCGGTCCGGTTCCTGCTTTTGGCTTCCAGAGCTGACCACAGTCTAGGGCAACCAAATCATCAACTACCGCATTAACAGTGACGGCAAGTGGATGGCTATTGTCGGCATCTCCCAGCAACAGGGTCGTGTCGTCGGCGCTCTCCAGCTATACTCTAAGGACCGCGGCATCAGTCAAGCTATTGAAGGTCATGCTGCTGCGTTTGGCACTCTTAGACTGGAAGGCGCTCCGGCTGACACCAAGGTTTTCACATTCGCTGTTCGAACCGCTACCGGCGCAAAGCTGCACATCGTCGAAATCGATCACCCGGAAACGAATCCGGTCTTCCAGAAGAAGGCTGTTGATATCTATTTCCCACCTGAAGCTACCAACGACTTCCCGGTAGCCATGCAAGTGTCGCAGAAGTACGGTCTCATCTACATGGTAACGAAGTATGGATTCATTCACCTGTATGATCTTGAGACTGGCTCGACTATCTTCATGAACCGCATTTCCAGCGAGACCATCTTCACGACAGCCTCCGACTCCGATTCCACTGGCATTCTCGGTATCAATAGGAAGGGACAGGTTCTTTTCGTGTCTGTGGACGAGAACAACATGATCAACTACCTGCTTCAGAACCCCGCCAACACGGAGATTGCCATCAAGATGGCTTCAAGAGCTGGTCTTCCTGGTGCGGATCAACTTTACGGAAGACAGTTTGAGCAGCTGATGCAGGCTGGAGACTATGCCGCCGCCGCCAAGGTTGCTGCCAACTCTCCCCGTGGCTTCCTGCGGACCACAGAGACCATCAATAGATTCAAGAACCTTCCACAGGAGCCTGGCAAGATGTCATACATCCTCCAATATTTCGGAATGTTGTTGGACAAGACGACCCCGCTCAACGAGACCGAGACGCTTGAGCTTGCTATTCCTGTCCTCGCTCAGGGTCGCAAGCAACTGCTTGAGAAGTGGCTTTCAGAGGGCAAGCTGGACTACTCGGAGAAGCTCGGTGACCAAATTCGTGCCCACGACATCAACCTCGCCCTTGCTGTCTACCTCAAGGCAAATGTTCCTCACAAGGCTGTCGCCGGACTTGCCGAGACTGGCCAGTTTGACAAGATCCTCCCATACGTGACCCAAACTGGCTACCAACCAGATTGGATCGGTTTATTGCAACACATTGTTAGGCAGAATCCCGAAAAGGGAGCCGAATTTGCCAGCTCGCTGGCCAACAGCGAAGGTGGCGCACTTGTCGATATTGGCCGCGTAGTCGATGTGTTCCAATCGCAGGGCATGATCCAGCAGGCTACCGCCTTCCTACTTGATGCACTCAAGGACAACAACCCTGAGCATGCCGAGCTGCAGACCCGCCTTCTGGAGATGAACCTCGTCAACGCTCCCCAGGTTGCCGACGCTATTCTGGGCAATCAAATGTTTACCCACTTTGACAAGGCTCGTATTGCTACGCTCTGCGAACAGGCTGGTCTGTACCAGAAGGCTCTTGAGCTCTACGAAGATCCCGCTGCTATCAAGCGTGTCATATGCGGAATTTCGGGTACTCCCAACTTCAACCAAGAGTGGTTGGTCAACTACTTTGGCCAGCTGTCTGTTGAGCAGTCTCTGGATAACCTGGACGCTATGATGAAGTCCAACATCCGCCAGAACCTTCAGTCCGTTGTGCAAATCGCCACCAAGTACTCTGATCTTCTTGGACCGGTCCATCTCATCGATCTGTTTGAGAAGTACAAGACCTTCGAGGGTCTCTTCTACTACCTCGGCAGTGTAGTTAACATGTCTGAAGATGCGGATGTGCACTTCAAATACATTGAGGCGGCCACCAAGATGGGCCAGTTCAACGAGGTGCAGAGAATCTGCCGAGACAGCCAGCACTACAACCCCGAGAAGGTCAAGAATTTCCTCAAAGAAGCCCGCCTTCCTGAGCAACTTCCGCTGATCACTGTCTGCGATCGATTCGACATGGTCCACGACCTGATCCTCTATCTGTACCAACAGCAGCAGTTTGAGTCGATTGAAAAGTATGTCCAGGGCATCAACCCCGGCCGAACTCCCCAGGTTGTTGGCGGTCTGCTCGACGTGGACTGCGATGAAGCACAGATCAAGAGCCTTTTGGCATCAGTGAATCCGGCTTCCATCCCCATCGACGCTCTCGTTCATGAAGTTGAGACAAGAAACCGTCTCAAGCTGTTGCTTCCTTTCCTGGAGGCTACCCTGGCTGCAGGCAACCAGCAGCAGGCGGTCTACAATGCCTTGGCCAAGATCTATATTGACTCCAACAACAACCCTGAGAAGTTCCTGAAGGAGAACGACCAGTATGACACCCTCAGTGTTGGTAAATACTGCGAGAAGCGTGACCCCAACCTCGCTTTCATTGCCTACCAGAAGGGTCAGAATGACTTGGAGCTGATCAATATCACCAATGAAAACTCCATGTACCGTGCTCAAGCACGTTACCTTTTGGATCGGTCTGAGCGGGAGCTTTGGACGTTTGTCCTCAGTGAGAACAATATTCACCGCCGATCTGTCATTGATCAGGTTGTTGCCACTGCTGTTCCTGAGTGCAATGATCCTGCAAAGGTCTCCGAAGCTGTCGCTGCCTTCCTCGCCTGTGATCTTCCTGGTGAGCTCATTGAACTGCTTGAGAAGATCGTGCTGGAGCCTTCTCCTTTCAACGACAACGCCAGTCTGCAGAACTTGCTGATTTTGACCGCCGCCCGTGCTGACAAGAGCAAGGTCGCCGACTATATTCAGCGACTGGACGCTTACGACCCTGACGAGTGTGCTCAGCTGTGTATCAACGTTGGTCTGTACGAGGAAGCTTTCGAGATCTTTAAGAAGGCCGGCAACCAGACAGCCGCCGTGGCAGTTCTTGTTGAGCACGTTGTTAGCATTGACCGTGCCGCAACTTTTGCCGACGATGTTGATCTGCCCGAAGTCTGGAGCAAGGTTGCCAAGGCCCAGCTTGACGGTCTGCGAGTTAGCGACTCGATCGAGTCTTACATCAAGGCTGGAGATCCTCGCAACTACGAGGAGGTCATTGAGGTTGCAACTCATGCTGGAAAGGATGAGGACCTCGTCAAATTCCTTCGCATGGCTCGCAAGACCCTTCGCGAGCCTCCCATTGACACCGCTCTTGCCTTCTGCTTTGCTCGGCTTGATCAGCTGGGTGAGCTCGAGGACTTCCTCCGTGGTACCAACGTTGCCAACGTTGAGGAGTCAGGTGACAAGGCTGCTAGCGAGGGCTACTACCAAGCAGCCAAGATCTTTTACACCAGCATCTCGAACTGGGCCAAGCTCGCCACCACCCTTGTTCACCTTGAGGACTACCAGGCTGCTGTTGAGTCTGCCCGCAAGGCCAACAACATCCGTGTGTGGCGTGAGGTGCACGGCGCTTGCGTTAGCAAGAAGGAGTTCCGTCTTGCCAAGATTTGTGGTCTCAACCTGATAGTGGATGCTGAGCAACTTCAAGCACTTGTCAAGCAATACGAGGCCGAAGGATACTTTGATGAACTCATTGAGCTTCTCGAGTCCGGTCTTGGTCTGGAGCGTGCCCACATGGGCATGTTCACCGAGCTTGGCATTGCCTTGTCAAAGTACCATCCTGAGAGGCTCATGGAGCACATCAAGCTCTTCTGGAGCAGAATGAACATGCCCAAGCTCATTCGAGCCTGCGAGGAAGCTAACCTCTGGCCCGAGCTGGTCTTCTGTTACTACCACTATGACGAGTTCGACAATGCCGCTCTTGCCGTCATGGAGCGTGCTGAGAACTCGTGGGAGCACCAGCAGTTCAAGGATATTGTTGTCAAGGTTGCTAATCTTGAAATCTACTACCGAGCAATCAACTTCTACCTTGAGCAGCACCCTTCGCTTCTGACAGATCTGCTTCAAGTCCTGACTCCCCGCATCGATGTGAACCGGGTCGTCAAGTTGTTCCAGAAGTCCGATAACTTGCCTCTGATCAAGCCGTTCCTCCTGAACGTGCAGCACCAGAACAAGCGCACTGTCAATGATGCCATCAATGACCTGCTCATCGAAGAAGAGGACTACAAGACGCTGCGTGACTCTGTCGAGAACTACGACAACTACGATGCTACGGACCTTGTTGGCCGCCTCGAGAAGCATGATCTCGTCTTCTTCAGACAAATTGCAGCTAACATCTACCGCAAGACAAAGAGATGGGAGAAGTCCATTGCTCTCTCCAAGCAGGACAAGCTTTACAAGGATGCCATCGAGACTGCAGCCATCTCCGGCAAGTCGGAGGTGGTCGAGGAGTTGCTCCGATACGTAAGTTTCCTTCATTTTTCGCACCACCGATATCAGTCTGCTAACTTACTTGATTCCAGTTCGTCGACATTGGTAGCAAGGAATGCTATGTTGGCATGTTGTATGCTTGCTACGATCTTATTAGACCAGACATCATCCTTGAGCTGTCGTGGCGTCACGGACTCCACGATTTCACTATGCCCTACATGATCAACATGCTCTCACAGACTACCAAGGAGCTTTCTCTGCTGAAGGCTGACAACGAGGCTCGCAAGACCAAGGAGAAGTCACAAGAGAAGGACGAGGAGCAGACACCAATTCTTGGTGGAAATCGCCTCATGATTACGGCTGGGCCGACTGGTGCAGCCTCGCCCGCAGGCTTTGGCCAGACCAATGGCTTTGCGCCCCAGGTTAGTGATCCCTGCTATTTCTTCCCCCATTGACATGTTTTTGGGGTAAGGGCCCAGACATAACTTTGTCTGTTTCCCAATGTCTGTCAATTAATTCTTGATTTGGCTTCCTTATGACTCGAAATGAGCATTGACTGACACCTTTTGTTGAGTAGCCTACCGGCTTCGGCTTCTAGTCAGCACCAAGGCCGGCTGTTGTCCTATCGCCCACTCTTATTGCTGTGCCTACCTTTTACCGGGTGTTTCACCAGGTCTGTGATGCGGCAGACGGACAAGTTCTCATGCCTGCTCTCGAGTAGGTGTGCGGCCATACGCGGCAGGAACTAAAATAAGAAGGGGCCTCGACCACTGTTTTGTTAGAGGAGATGTTTCCATGAATAATAGGCATGAATCCAAGACGGAAGATGTGACGCAGGTACCATTTGATGGCGGTATCGATCTACGGCGGAAAGGCGTGGATTGATGGTAACTCTCCGTTTCTTGGGCGACATATGATTAGAGTCAGGGGCAAGGAAAATCAAGAGTTTGCGTCTGTTCGGAAAGTTACAAAATTACATACGCAGGAAATGTATGTGTATGATAGTGAATCGAGTTTTCTTGTATGTTACTATGTTCCACTGTTGCGACTTGAATTCGAATTGTGAAGTCAGTGTTACACAAATACTGCAAAGTCATTATGCCTGAGTTTCAAGACTTAGTGATGATGTGTGCACCTCTAGTCTAATTAATTGATTAATTCAAAAAGAAGTCGGTTCAAAATCATTATTCCTGTCGAAAATAGAAGACGCGTAGCACGTGACTCCGTTATAGAGGAGAGGAGGCTTGGAGCTATTGAATGCTGGCTGCTGCTGCTGCTACTGCTGCTAATAATGGGTACTTTTCAGCTCGGAGATCCACCTTAAATTTTTCCCGCTTGATGGGCCCCCCCCAAAAGCCAAAGGCAAGCATATCGGAGCCAACGTTTTGGTAATCGCCCAGTTGACTTTCCACACGAAGCCTCAGCGAGCCGCGACCGCAGAAACGAGACAAGACACCATTTTCCGCCCAGTCCAACCCGACGACCTCGACACCTCAACCCTCATACAAAATGGCCGCCTTCGTCAAAGCGATCAACGCAAAGATCCGGTCGAACCCGACCTTGAGCTACTTCTGCTCAACCCGTACGTAGCATTTCCTCGTCGGCCTTCCTCTCTGCCGTCCAAATATCTCATCCCCCCGAATTGCGGACCACAGCGTCCCGTTAAGTCCGGACGAGGTTCAGCAGCAGCAACAACAACAGCAATGCGTCTGGAACATGGAGCGCTTCGTCATGCAGAGACATTGTCAATTGCAGCCGTGATATTGTTACAAGGTCCTTTGACTTTGCAATCCGGCCATGTCGTGGCGGACCGGACCCCATCGGCATCGCTAGATAAGGGTCTTGGTGTTGCGCAATTGCTCTTGCGAGGCGCGGAACATGGCAGACAATAATTTCTTGCAATCGCCTTGACACGGCGCAAAGATCGTATGAGCTAATTGGTACTTCCCGCAGACTTCTGGGGCCCGGCTTCCAACTTTGGTATCCCCATTGCTGCCATCGCTGATGCGCAAAAGTCTCCCGACCTGTACGTTGCTTACCCCCGATGAGCTCGCTCTACTTGGGTGTCATCCTCTTTCTTTTGTTCTGTATCATGTCTGCCGGGGGAAAAGAAGCATTCTTTGCTAAACTGCTATACTTGCTCTTGCGCAGGATCTCGGGCCAGATGACCGCCGCCCTGACCGTCTACTCGGCCACTTTCATGCGCTACTCGCTCGCCGTCACTCCCCAAAACTACCTGCTGTTTGCTTGCCACTTCATCAACGAGTGCTCGCAGCTGACGCAGGGCTACCGCTTCGTCAACTGGCACTACTGGGGCGGCAAGGAGAAGGCCGCCCAGGGCGCCCTTGCCGACGTCAAGGACAAGGTTGTCGAGGCTGGCGAGAAGGTCCAGGCTGCTGTCTCGAAATAAACAAAGAACAAAAAACGACAGTCTTGTGTGAACGGCAGACAAGAATGAGTTGCGGCTCAGTCAATATCAAGATTTAGCCGAGTACAACAAACAAAGCGCGGCTGGGCATTATCATAAGATGAGAAGCTCAAAAGTTTAGGACCGATGGTGGTGGATTGGCAATGTCGGATCAGCAAAGCGTACGAACATTCAAACCAAAGCTGGGGCAGAGGCCAGGATGAGAAGAAATGGCTTCGATCTGGATATAGACCGACTCGATAGACTACTCGAGGAAATCCTTTGGGATGAGTGGTTCCTGTATTTTATATTTTCCTCGTCCTAGACTCGATGATCTCTCTCATTGAGCGGAGCGTATACTATACATGTCAAGTTTTCTATCGTTGTCTCGTCTGGGAGAATGCAGTGCGGATATATGATTGCTCCACGAACCATGCGCCGAGACGGCATCCAAGACGGCAAAATTCCATTCCGGAGCAATATGTCGGAAAATGTTTATGATAATGCAAATAATATTTTAGTGATGAAGCAATTTCTTAGACGAGCAGCTCTTCGCGAGTCCCGTCCCTTTCGCAGATCTGCGGAGGACCGACATGGAAAAGCTGCAGTACCAAGAGATCCGGTGACATTCCGGTGGTGTTTAGGATTTTCTTCCGTTTGAGCGGCTTGGTAGTAATACAGACCTACGTATGCAGCATCCATCCACCATGCATATATATGCCCGCCCCTTGCCCAGCGGGACAGGGGAGGGGTTTACACGGTGAACGATGAAGAGAACCGGTGGGACAAAAGAGGCACGGTGGTTAATATGCCGTCTATTGTTTTGATACTGCTTGCATTTGGCGAAACCCGAGTTCTTTGCCGGTAGCCATAGATCAGTAGGAGGGCACAATCTTTAGGCCGGCCTGAACATGTTGGACGTTGGAATGAGCAGTGTTCACTCTTTGTCAACAGCAACATGAACCAGGTGCGTTCAGGGAGTATACTAAAAGTAAATAATAGAGGCATTGCAGAAGAAAAAAAAGAAGAGAAACAGGGACAGAAAAAGGAGAAGAGGAAGAAAAATATGACGCACCTTCGCGCACATAGCAAAGACGCGAGAGGAAACGGTTTGGTGTCTTTTTTCTCATTACTACCTAGCCTAGGCCGAGACCCCCCACGCCGAGGTGAGGTGAAGCTCACCATGACCTTCACCGATCCATGTTCAACTCCACCGTAGCTATGGTTGCACAAGGGAGGGGCGGGCATAAGCAAAAAATAAAAAGATGTTCGCCATAGATATTTTCGATCATCACACACGAGACGTCTTGGTTGGTCTTGGTTGGTTTTTCCGCGCAAATCATTTCATTTGGACGAAAGGAAGAGGAGATGTTATCTCGGCGCTTTTCTGTTTTCCTTAGTGGCCCCCACGCCCTCCAACATGGGAAGTTCCCTTCCTTTCTCGGCGGTCGAGGCGCGCATCTGGACTTGTCCACCACCATGTCCATATGATGGAATACACGTTACGGTCAAATTTCTGTGATATTAAACCCTCCCCCCCAACGACGGACCCTGGACCGGGCTGCATGACGGCGGAGGGGCCCGTCTAGTTTGCTGCAGAGCATCATGACTTGGCGTTTGACTCATGGCCTGCCAAGGCACACTGGATCTGACTTTTTGCGGTATATACCTTGCCCATCTATCGAAACGAACAATGTTCCCTAAAGGTGGGGACTACGCAAAGGAGGGAGGGCTGGGAGTAGTGGTAGTCAGAGGGAAAACAACAAAAAATGTCTCAAAAGCAGGGCCCGTTACTTCAGGTTCGTCATGTATCCCCAGCCGAAGTCGGCCAAGAAGCTTGGTGCGGAAAGAAGACAGCGAGTGCGGCTGAAGTGTGCCAGCGACTATTTCCAGTAGAGTATAGCATCATGACCACGGACCGTAGATCCAAGGAGAAGGGAGTGGGAAATAAGAGAAAAACACAGGATCTCTTACTTCATTACCGGAGACACAAGAGGCCAAGGTCGATTGAAAACAAAATTGCAGCGCTTCTCGGCAGCGTCGAAACAAGAATGAGAACTTAGAAGCAATACAAAGCATGCCAAGAGACCGCGGATCGCCCCGAGGGAAGCAGTACCGTGAGAGCCAAGAGGGCGCAACGCCCAAGCAGCACTCTTGGCGAAAGAGACACGAAGCATTCCGCGGTGGGACAGATATGAAGCGCGCGCGCGCGGCCAAGGCTTGGCCTGGATTGAGCTTTGAGCAGGTGATGGGAGAAGGGGGGAAGGAAGAGGGAGGAGGTGTTTTTGTTTTGTGTGGTTGTGTTGTAAAAATGACTATGCGTTAATCATAGTAGTATGCAGTATTGTATACTAGTATACACACACACTTTACAGGCTGACCGCATAGGACGGCGTCCCACCGTTCGTAGATGCTAAATGGTTGATCTTTTGTCTGTGAGGCTTGCAGATGGAGTAACCTTGAGAGAAACTAAAATGGAGACGGTCTGGACGTGGTGGAAAACGCCGCGGCCGGCCCACGTCACAGACATACCTGGCCAAGGAAAAGCCGAGTGATGTCGTATTACCGAGATTTCTGTTCCCACGGACGTACGGGATTACTCTTCCCAGCAGCTACGAAAGATAGAGAAGGAGAGATGGGAATAGGGATGGGACGAGAAGAGCAGAGGACGACGACGAATAAAGGCAGACGACGGCAAGATTCCCCAGAACCCTCCCCGCTTCTTTCCCGCCAGGCACAATGAACCCCGGGAGAAACCCGCCAACGGTTTGGAGCAAAAACAAAAAGAAGTCGAGGCTAAACGTTATCCTCGGCACAGCCTCGCAAAGCACTCGGCTCCAGCCCTCTCGCTTGTCGGAAGATTAAGTAACGAGATATTCTTCAGGGCTTCGAATCTATCTTTCTCGGGACTATATGTACCTAGGCATTCGCAGCACTCGGTAGCTACGGCACGAGGAGCCGATACGATAATCTCGAAGACAAGAAGCCGCGGCGATGAACCCCCCTTAAAGACCCGAGATGCCTTGTCGTCGACGAGAAAGCATCGGGCGTCGGGTCAAGAAAGTTGTTGTGTTGTGTGTTGTTTTTGCTTTGTTGTGTCTTGAGCTGGTCCGCCATGATCGATGGTAAATGTGCCAATTCCCATTGGAGGCGGGCGGCCGGGCAGCTATCTGTTGAATCTGGTTGGCCAATCGAGGGGAACGCCCACCCCTGCAACTAAGGCAGGTGTAAAAGTTGTAAGAGCTACGTATGTCTACGTGTGGCGGCACTGTATCGTTGCTACTAGCTAGGCTGCAGATAATACTCTTATCTTGATCGCCTCAAGGTTTCACCGACGTCAGGGGACGAAAGAGAGAGCAAACCCAGATCCCTAGGTTAAATTACTGAGTCTTGGACAGGTACAGGGTCTGAACTCCAATCTTGCAGTTGCTGCAGAGCACTACAGAGTAGTCTACAGAATATGACCGAGAGGATCCTGGATTGCAAAGGTGGGAACGTTGTCATTCCCCGAAGAAGCCGTGGCAATTACTTTTCTTGTACGCCATGAATCGACAAAGAAAAGGTGTGACAGGTCTGGCAATTTTTGATACTACAACCTCTTGCCAAATCTGTTTGACAACTGGTAACATGAATGAGATGGAGGAGGTACCAGACCTAGGTCAACTATGTAGCCTAGGCACTGATGGAATGGTGTTAGCGCTATTGTATACGTACCTAGTAGACGGAGCTATTCTCGACCCCGCCAAAATAAAAGCAGATCCCCACGCTCATGGTGGGAAAAAAAGAAAAGAGCTCCCCGCGATCGCAGCTGTGACACAGCTCGGTTGGATACCCCGAGCGTATTGATTAGCATGTGCCGTGACAAAGCGGATATCCCGTCCAATAGTCTAGGTCCAGCTGTTGCTTCTGGTAGCCAAGGTGTTGGGAAACCCTCCAGAACAAGGACCGAAAGAGGAGGAGAAGGAGGAGCAAACCAAAGCCGTCTCTGCGTCATGATCGAGTCTGAATTTTTCTTTTTCCTTATACGGTGCTCCGTATACCATCCAGCTCGAGGGGGCCTTTTTTGGCTCAACAACCGACAACGGGCGGACAAGTATAACACCGCAGCGAGAAAGCTCAGATTGTCTGGGACAAATGTGAACGGACATGTCTCTCCAGGATCACTGGTTGGACTGGACCCCATGTATGCGCGCCAACTGCTTGGTACATATTCGACCAGGGTAGCATTGATGCCACTGATTACACACGAAGGTATAGCCGGAGCATGCTCTCTGTATCAGGCAGGGATCGCAAGAGCTGCGTACGACGTTCATAATACAATTTGGAAAATCCCCTCAGATTAGCTACACTAGAATGGTCATCCACATGGGATGCTCGGCGGTGTTTTGCGCTGCTGCATCGAGGTAACGGAGTACCTTGCCTACCTGCTCCATGTTCTCCTAGCCGCGTTGCAGGGCCCGTCCAAAGAAAGCTCCATGACCAACCAGCCGTCCATCCCTGGATGTACTACTAGTATTTTATTTTATTTTATTTTTTTATTCGAGGTAGGCAATGTAGGGAAATATGATCGAGGGTGACTGTGAGTGTGTTACTCTCAACGTGTGAGAAACATTGGACTCCCCTTCCTGGTCAACCTCCTCCTACATTGAATGAGACTAGGTTAGTGCTCAGCGGTAGCCAGCCCGAGGCAGCATAAGACCCCTTCCCATCCCCCTCCTTCTTCTCACCGATCTTGTTGTGCTGCTGTCTTTTGCCTCTTCCTCCTCTTGATCATCATCACCTTCATTGGATCGGGCAAACATCTATTCCCGAACATCCATCTATTTGTGTGGCCTTGTGCGAGTTCAAAAGACATTGTGTCGCCGCTGGTCGTTGGTCAAAAACACCAGTTGCCCTTTGTCGATAGCTCGGGCTACCATCACCCAATCACCCCACGTTCCTGACCCTTACCTTGTTAAGGTATCTCACCAAAGACCTGCGCCCGGAGCAAAGGAGTTAGGTTTCACAGTGGGCACGGTTCACTTGTCTTGCTGCTCCTTGTCTAGACTCTAGCGCTGTTACGTCAGACTCGAGCCCAGCAATCGAAGCTCTACCTAGGTCCAGATAGCTGTTCTGTCTGTTCCTACAGCGAGCCAATCTACGACGGTTTACTTTCAAAGAGGACGCCGGCCGGTTCTAATCTCGATTGCCTAGTTGAGCTGTTTTCTCAAGAAATCAAGCTCTTCGATTCTTCTTTTCTGGCCGATTCGGCATATTTCCGCGAGGTCAATTGACTTTCCTCTCATCACCCCACCAAAGACTCCGCCCTAGCTTCGCTCTTCGCCAGAAGCTCCGGCTATACCACCAAACGAACAAAAAAACAGCATACAAACAGACAGACAACATGGCTGACAACCAGGACCTCAAGGACCTTAGGGCGGCCAAGGAGGCTGCCGGTCAGGATACCGAAGATGTCTTTGAGGAAGGCATGGCTCCCAAGGAGGCCCAAACGATTCATCACATTCGAGCCAACAGCTCCATCATGCAACTCAAGAAGCTGCTGGTCGCGAACCGTGGCGAGATCCCCATTCGTATCTTCAGAACGGCTCACGAGCTGAGCTTGCACACCATTGCCGTCTTCAGTTACGAGGATCGGTTGAGCATGCACAGACAAAGTACGTTCTTCTCATTTGTTTCTGAATTCGGTACCTAGCTATACACGCCCGGTGGTGGGGTGTTGGCAGTGGCGCACTGGGCCAAGTTGAAATCAAGGGAGTCAATCATTTGTGAGATATCTAGACTAACTCTTCTCGCTTCTACAGAGGCCGACGAGGCATATGTCATTGGAAAGCGTGGCCAGTACACTCCTGTCGGCGCTTATCTGGCTGGCGCCGAGATCATCAAGATCGCTGTTGAGCATGGTGCTCAGATGATCCACCCAGGTGAGTCTTCAGCGGCCAATCGACTTGGCGGGGCACCCAACTTACACACATAATACAGGTTATGGTTTCCTGTCGGAGAATGCTGAGTTTGCACGAGGCGTTGAGAAGGCTGGTCTGATTGTAAGTATCATTATAGTCGCACCTCTATTGCATGTTGATTCGTCGAGCTAACAAACCCGTCTACTATAGTTCGTCGGACCTTCCCCCGATGTCATTGACTCGCTAGGCGACAAGGTTTCGGCTCGAAAGCTTGCGATCGCTGCCAACGTCCCCGTCGTCCCCGGAACTGAAGGCGCCGTTGCTACATACGAGGAGGTCAAGGCCTTTACTGACCAATATGGTTTCCCCGTCATTATCAAGGCTGCCTTTGGTGGTGGTGGTCGTGGTATGAGAGTGGTGCGCGACCAAGCCAGCTTGAAGGAGTCCTTTGAGCGAGCAACCTCCGAGGCCAAGAGTGCTTTCGGTAACGGCACAGTCTTTGTTGAGCGATTCTTGGACAAGCCCAAGCACATTGAGGTTCAGCTGCTGGGTGACAACCACGGCAACATTGTTCACTTGTTTGAGCGTGACTGCTCCGTCCAGCGAAGGCACCAAAAGGTCGTTGAAATTGCACCGGCAAAGGACCTGCCGGTTGCTACCAGAGATGCCATCTTGGCCGACGCTGTCAAGCTGGCCAAGTCGGTCAACTACAGAAACGCCGGTACCGCCGAGTTCTTGGTCGACCAGCAGAACCGCTACTACTTCATTGAGATTAACCCCCGTATCCAGGTCGAGCACACCATTACCGAGGAGATCACTGGCATTGATATTGTTGCCGCACAGATTCAGATTGCTGCCGGTGCAACGCTGGCGCAGCTCGGTTTGACCCAGGACAGAATTTCTACCCGGGGTTTCGCTATCCAATGCCGAATTACCACCGAGGATCCCTCCAAGGGTTTCCAACCTGACACTGGCAAGATCGAGGTATACCGATCTGCTGGCGGCAAGTAAGTACTTTGTGCTCCTGGGATCTTGTTTCCCTGTCCCATATTTTGGCTCGGGCAATATCTTTGCCTATAGCTCCAGCACTTGCTGGAAATTGATACATGATCCAAAAGAGACCAACAAGCTAACATAAATTGAAAACTTTAGTGGGGTCAGGCTTGACGGTGTTAGTAAACTCTTTCTTTTCTGTTGTTTCTTATCTATCCTTGGTTCTCTCATGATGAGATCCAACCACTCATTTCTTAGAAAGAGACCACTGACACTTGCTGCAGGGTAATGGATTCGCTGGCGCTGTTATCACACCTTACTATGACTCCATGTTGGTCAAGTGTACTTGTCTGGGTTCCACCTATGAGATTGCCCGCAGAAAGATGCTCAGAGCTCTTGTGGAGTTCCGTATCCGTGGCGTCAAGACAAACATTCCTTTCTTGGCATCCTTGCTTACGCACCCGACCTTCATCGACAGTACTTGCTGGACCACCTTCATCGACGACACACCTCAGCTCTTCGATCTCATTGGCAGTCAAAACCGTGCCCAGAAGCTGCTTGCATACCTTGGAGACGTTGCTGTCAACGGATCCAGCATCAAGGGCCAGGTTGGCGAGCCCAAGTTCAAGGGCGAATTTATCCTCCCCGAGCTGCTCAACCCTGATGGTTCCAAGCTCGATGTTTCCCAGCCTTGCACCAAGGGATGGAGACAGGTCTTGTTGGAGCAGGGCCCCAAGGGCTTTGCCAAGGCTGTCCGCAACTACAAGGGCTGTTTGCTGATGGACACGACTTGGCGTGATGCTCACCAGTCATTGCTGGCTACTCGTGTCCGAACTGTTGATCTCTTGGGCATTGCCAAGGAGACCAGCCATGCCCTCTCCAACCTTTACTCGCTCGAGTGCTGGGGAGGAGCAACCTTTGACGTTGCCATGCGTTTCCTCTACGAGGACCCCTGGGACCGTCTTCGCAAGATGAGAAAGCTTGTGCCCAACATCCCCTTCCAGATGTTGCTGCGTGGTGCCAACGGTGTCGCTTACGCCTCCCTGCCCGACAATGCCATTTACCACTTTGTAAAGCAGGCCAAGGAGAACGGTGTCGATATCTTCCGAGTATTCGATGCCTTGAACGATATCAACCAACTCGAGGTTGGTATCAAGGCCGTCCAGCAGGCCGGTGGTGTCGCCGAGGGAACTGGTAAGTTTTTCACTCAACTACCCATAGCGGAACGCCAAATTTGGTTTTTATTTTCTTTGCTTTCTCTTTCTCTTTTTTCCTGCATTCTTTTTAATATTTTTTTTCTATATTTTTTTTCTGTATCTTTTCTTTGCATTTTCTTTCTTCATTTTTTGTTTGCATTTTTTGTCTGCATTTTTTATCTACATTTTTTGTTTATATTTTTTATTTGTATTTTTCATCTGCATTTTTTTAATAAAATAAAAAAGAGAAAAAAGAGAGAGAGAAGGAGAAAATATCAAGTCAACTAAACGGGAAACTTTTACTAACTATTTACTCTAGTTTGCTATTCGGGAGACATGTTGAACCCCTCGAAAAAATACAACTTGGCTTATTACTTGGATCTTGTCGACAAGCTGGTAGCTCTCGACATTGATATTCTTGGAATCAAGGATATGGCTGGTGTCCTGAAGCCACACGCTGCCACTCTTCTCATTGGTGGTATCCGCGAGAAGTACCCCGACCTTCCCATCCATGTTCACACTCACGACTCTGCTGGAACTGGAGTTGCTTCCATGGTTGCCTGCGCCAAGGCAGGTGCTGATGCTGTTGACGCTGCCACCGACAGTCTCTCTGGCATGACCTCGCAACCCAGCATCAACGCCATCATTGCCTCTCTTGAGGGCAGTGAGGCTGACCCCGGTCTGAACCCTGCCCACGTTCGTGCTCTCGACACCTACTGGGCCCAGCTTCGCCTGCTCTATTCCCCATTCGAGGCTCATCTTGCTGGTCCCGACCCTGAGGTGTATGAGCACGAGATTCCCGGTGGACAGCTTACCAACATGTAAGTCTCTGGAATGTCTAGTGCACTTCTCGATTCGTGTGATTCAGAAAGCTGATATTTTGACTATAGGATGTTCCAAGCCCAGCAACTTGGTCTTGGATCTCAATGGGCTGAGACCAAGAAGGCCTACGAGCACGCCAACGACCTTCTCGGTGACATTGTCAAGGTCACCCCTACTTCCAAGGTCGTCGGAGATCTCGCACAGTTCATGGTGTCCAACAAGCTGTCACCAGAGGAAGTGGTTGAGAGAGCAGACCAGCTTGATTTCCCCGGCTCTGTGTATGAGTTCCTCGAGGGTATGATGGGTCAGCCCTACGGTGGATTCCCTGAGCCCCTGCGATCCAAGGCTCTGCGCAACCGCCGCAAGTTTGACAAGCGACCAGGTCTGTATCTCGACCCTGTCGACTTCAAGAAGGTTCGTACAGAACTCGGCCAGAAGTGGGGACCAATCACCGAGTGCGATCTCGCTTCGTATTTGATGTACCCCAAGGTGTATGACGACTACAAGAAGTTCACTCAGCAATATGGTGATCTCTCTGTCCTTCCCACGAGATACTTCCTTTCCAGGCCGGAAATTGGTGAAGAGTTCCACGTTGAGCTTGAGAAGGGCAAGGTCCTCATTCTCAAGATGCTTGCCATTGGTCCTCTGTCTGAGAGCACCGGTCAACGTGAGGTGTTCTACGAGATGAACGGCGAGGTCCGACAGGTCACCGTCGACGACAAGAAGGCCTCCGTGGAGAACGTGTCCAGGCCCAAGGCCGACCCCACCGACAGTAGTCAAGTCGGTGCCCCGATGGCTGGTGTTCTCGTGGAGCTGAGAGTCAAGGATGGCTCTGATGTCAAGAAGGGTGACCCGCTCGCTGTTCTGAGCGCCATGAAAATGGAGATGGTCATTTCTGCGCCACACAATGGAAAAGTCAGTGGCTTGCAGGTCAAGGAAGGTGATTCTGTAGACGGAAGCGATCTGGTCTGCAAGATCGCCAAGGAATAAGCATACGGAGGGTATATAACTGGCTCAAGGCCAGTTGTAAGACCTTCAGAGACGGCTTGACACGACTATTTCTTTATTGCAATCAATGGAGTGGGCATCTTTTTAAGCGATGGGCTGAGAATAGTTTAGTATTGTGGATAATTGACAATATGTTCCGAAAATTTGAGCACTGCCGAAGTCTTATGATTGTATACTGTAGTACAGTGATGGTGACCAGGCAATGCTGAATTAGTTGTTTATGGCTTCGTGCTAGGCACAATGGTCATTCGAAACTCATTATTATATCAGGCGACATCATATACTAAACCAAGCATATAAGGAGAAAAAAAAAAACTAAAGTACGAAAACACCGAAAAAAAAGAGAAAGACTAAAAAGAGAGAGAAAATAAGGAAAAAAAAAGAAAAGAAACTAAAGAGGAAAACCGAAAAAAAGAAACTAAAGAAAGAAACCAGAGAGAGAAGCCAGAGAGAGAAGCCAGAGAGAGAAGCCAGAGAAAAAGACGAGAGAGAGAAGCCAGAGAAAAAAGACGAGAGAGAGAAGCCAGAGAGAGAAGCTGGAGAGAGAGAGATACGAGAAAAAAAATTAAAAAAAAAGAAAGAGAGAGAGAGAGACCAAAATAGAAAAAGAAAAAAAAAAGCCCTTAAAAACAAAAACATAAAATCAATATTGTCATTGAAAATGAGTAGTTGAATTGGTTCAGAACATTATTTATTTCATTTATCATCCGCTGCGAAATACCTCAGGAAGTCTCTTTTCATGGTTTAGTCCATTGAACTGCTCCAGACGCCATTTCTCCTTGAAGTATGCGTCCAAATTCATACTGGAAACATTGCAGCAGCCCAAACGCCAAGGTGATGGATCGAATGTCTCTGTCATATGCGAGTCAATTGAATCCTCCCCTACATCAATCCTCTCAAGCTGTCCTTGTCTTCCTGGCCATCTCGTATCAAGTGGCTCATTATCTTCTGCCAGGTGGGTTGAATCCAGGAGGCGCACCGCCGGAGAAACCAGGAGGAGGAGCAAAACCTCCAGGAGGAGCGAAGCCAGCAGGAGGGAAACCGCCAGGAGCACCGGGGAAGCCAGGAACTGGGGGGCCGCCTCGGCCTGGGAAACCTGGGGCACCGGGAAACTGAGGAGGGAACTGAGGAGGTGCTCCAGCACCGACGCCAGCAGCAGGACCTGCCAAGCTTGCAGGAGCAGCTCCGCGACCAGCAGGTCTTGCGACTCCAGGGCCTGCTGTGAGTGCTGTAGGAAGACCACCGGTCGTCGTCTTGCCGAGACGTGTGCTGGGATCTTGTGGAGGAGGAGACTCGACGGATAGCGAGACAATCTGGGCGCCACGGACAATGGTCAAACCGAGGGTGCGCTTCTCCTCTGTCTCGATGGTTTGTGTCTGAGGGGTCGAGCCGCCAACGGCAGCAGGCTTTGTCGTCTTGCGCTTGAGCTTGCGGAACTCTTCCGTGTCGGCGAGGACGAGGTTCATGTGCTTGTCAAAGGCCAGCATCTGGCCAGTCATTTGGCGACCGTCCAAGAGAGTGACTCTCATCCGGTAGTTGATCTGTCTCGGGGGTTAGTATATTGGTATTGCAATTGCGCAGCGTAGTTGCGTCAAGTCGTCGCGAGAGGAGTGTAGGTACGTACGTAACCGGCCTAGATATTTGAGTCTTGTCAGCCTGCAAAGTCAACCTTGAGATACATGCGCGTATAGAACGGGAAGCTACTCACCATCTTGCCCTGTTTGTTCGACATGGTGTCAGGAGTTTGCTCCTTGAGGGAGCTACTCTTTCTGTGCTTTCAAAAAATTTGGCTTCTTGTTTTGAGGTAGAAGTCGTGTCGCGGCACGTCTTCTTGCGAGTCCTTGATGGCGATGCTGAGTGAACAGAATAGCTTCAAGATCTCGACTTTGGGGTATGGGGAACTAGGTAGAGGTCAAAGCCGCGAAATAATTCATGAGGCGCGTTTAAGCAAGGCAAGGTAGCGGGCAGCAGCCTCTCGAGGCTGAGAGTCAAAGCTCAAGCCACAATGCCAATGGGGAATTGTGGAATTTTGGAGCTCAAATCAGCTTAAGCGGTTTGAGGTTTAGCGCATCTCCGGCTGGTCGTCGCCAACCCGGCTGCCCTCGTCTCTCTCTCCAAGGTGGGCACGGGCCAATCCCACAAGAGGGTACCAAAACCCTCAAAATTTTAGCAACTTTGTCGAACTTTGGTCCATCGCGAACTTCTCGAAGAGTCAATCTCCATCGATCATCAACCACAGCGACCCATCTCCCCACGGTCACTACTAACCACCAACAGCCAAGATGGTACGCTACGACTCGCGAGATGCTCGATTTCAAAGACGCCATGCTAATTGTCGATGTAGTCGTCCGAGAAGGCCCAGAACCCCATGAGGGAGCTCAAGATCCAGAAGCTCGTCCTCAACATCTCCGTTGGTGAGTCTGGTGACAGACTTACCCGTGCCGCCAAGGTGCTCGAGCAGCTGTCTGGTCAGACTCCCGTCTACAGTACGTTATTACTCTCTCCCCGAAATTTTTTCTCTGTCGCACGATCTAACAAGTTTTCCCTCACAGGCAAGGCCCGCTACACCGTCCGTACCTTCGGTATCCGCCGTAACGAAAAGATCGCTGTCCACGTCACCGTCCGTGGCCCCAAGGCCGAGGAGATTCTCGAGCGTGGCCTCAAGGTCAAGGAGTACGAGCTCCGCAAGCGCAACTTCTCTGAGACTGGCAACTTCGGTTTCGGTATCTCCGAGCACATCGATCTCGGTATCAAGTACGACCCCGCCATCGGTATCTACGGTATGGACTTCTACTGCTGCATGACCCGTCCCGGTGAGCGCATCACCCGCCGCCGCCGCGCCAAGGGCAGAATCGGTGCCTCCCACAAGATCAACCGTGACGAGACCGTCAAGTGGTTCAAGTCTCGCTTCGACGGTATTGTCCGATAAATGCTTTACCGGCATTCTCGGGTTGCTGGACTGGGCGAAGGAGTAAAAAAGACAATTGAGGCAAAATGATTACGGCGTTGGCTGGATGGCATGGGTTGATATTTTTGCATGGAAACACTTGCATTCGTGTACATCGCACGAGATAACCACATGCTCTGCGGCAGCAAGAGAGTGGCCTCGTCACACATCAGCAGACTGAATCAAGTCAGCTACGGCCTCAGAGACCGACCGGCATCATGCCGGCTATTTCCCCGTTGCATCTTTGGGCTTTTGTGCACATGAGCGAATTGAATGAACGCCGAAAGGCTATGATAATTTGTTCTCTATTTCTTCCTGGTCTATCATGATAATTCTCAACCTCTCTTGACCTTGTGTCTCGTGCAGTTCTCTGTTCTGTCATGCAGAGACCATGCAACTGTTGTCTCTGTATCAATTGTTTTGATGTGGCAGCAGCCGCAGAATCATGGTATCATGATGCTTCGAATGCTATACACAGATAAGACCTGGTCTCAACCATGCCATCGCTATCATGACGACGGTGGACCACCCAACCTGCAATTGCTTTAGGAGTACCTTTGACTAAACTGAGGGTATTGTCCCGAGTCAACAATATGGAAGTGGAGTCCTTGCTGCATTGGCAATGCTCATGACGATTGCATTCCGTTGGACAAACTGTTGCTGCCGATCTAGATTGCAGGCGAAACGGTAGCCGAATTCAAGTTCACAGCTTCCAACAACATTTATGTGAGACGTGAGCATGGTAAGAAACATCATAAGTGTCACTTGTCTTGCAAACCACCACGCCAGTGGAGAGCAATATTGAAATAGACGTATTAAGAGAATTTATCGCACTTCAACTACTGTCAGCTTTCTGGCTTCGTGATTACTGAGTTATACCCATCTTGATGCTTCCATCGTTGTGCTCACTTTGCCTGGACACTTGAACAGTTTTGGTATACATTAGTCCCCGAGTCAACATTGAGCCGACAATCTGCCTATACTTAGAATGCATATGATCAACCTACTTCAAAATCAGTCAATCATTGATGAATTCCAGCAGTCAGTAAATCCCTCCTCTGCTGTCGTGAGAAGGGAAGGCGCGAGCATGAGTGGTATCAGGTTGGTACAATGTGGTGGGTTGGGCGATCGTGCCTTCCCCAAAGCACATCAATGCAAGAAGTTGCCTTACCTGATTTTTTTCAGCCTTTGCACAAATCTTCCAACTTCTACCAGCTCCTGAATTTCTGATTTTCTTCCGTCATGCGCTTCGCCCTCTGAGACACTCAAATTGTCGGATTCACTCTGGTTGGACCAGTAGCAAGCCCTTTGGTCAGTGATTGGTCAGCTCTCCTTTCTTTGAGCCATCGTTTCGTCCACACCTTCTTGAGACTGTTGTGTCTCGACCAAAGGCGTACGACATGGACGACGAGGAACACCAAGACTCGCCAGAAGCAACAATGGGAACGCTGCGCAGGGATACACCTCTTCCGCTGCCCGTTGAAGATCCGCCAGAGTCATCAACAGCGGCAACTCCGACAACAGGTCTGGGCTCGGCTACTGATGATTATGATCCAGACAACCCAGGCAATGGTTTGGACAATAGTGACAACTTTGGCGATGACGAAGACCTACCTTCGGCTCTGCAATCCATGTCCCAATCTTTGAGAAACAGCCAGGCAACCAGACAGCCTTTCCAGAGCCAAGACGAGCTACCCGATTCACGCCCTGAATCTATAGTATGTAAATCTTTTTCAACAATCTAATTCGGTCAAAATATAGCTGGCATTTCTGACATCTTCGAGCAGATCGATGCTTCTGAGACAGACGCAGAGCCTGAAGATCCTCCGAATTTTTCTGCTCATGATGTGTCTGACAGCGGCAGTCTATACGAACCGAGCCAGGAAAAGGGTCGTTCGGGTCGGAAGAAGCCAGCTACACGCGCACAAACCAGAGGACAGCAAATCAATTCTGGTGAGAAAGAGTCATCCGAAGCCGAGCGAAAAGGCAGTTCAGCACGCAGATTGTACGAGAGTCGTGCTGCTCAGAAAGCATCCGAGCAGAGCGGATCCGCAGGTACGAAGCAGAAAACTCAAAAGAAGTCTGTCGTTAGGGGCAGGATCGCCAAGCAGCCTTTTACCGAGGACGTGGATCAAACCCACAACGAACAAGCCCCTGAGACTGCCAATTCAGGAAGAGCAAGTGGTGCGAAGACAGCCAAACAAAAGACTGCAAGTTCAGATGCACAAACCCACAAGAAGAAAGCTACAGTGGCATCACTGCCGAAACACGATAATAACGACCCATACGAGATTGATGAGGATATATCGCAACAAGCCCCAAATGAATCCAAGACCCGTCAACAAAAGAAGCCTTCCAGAAAATCCCAAGGCAGCCGAGCCGGCCGAGCTCAGCAAAACCCTGTGCCAAAGAAGGCTTCTAGACGCAAACAGAATTCCAGACTCAAAGAGCAACAAGAACAAGAGGTTTTTGCGATCGACGACATTGAGGACTCCACAGCGGATGATGTTCAAACTCATCTGACACGCAACGCAGGCAGTACCAAACTCAAGGACAGAATGCAGCTAGACGACGAGTCAGCAGTTGCGACCAAGAAGCAAAAGATTCTGGAAGTGGACGACCACCAAACGCATCCGACAAACCATGACCATGCCGGGGAGCAAGATCTGACAAAGCCCAAACAATCTATGATCAAGAAAGTTAGTACCAAACAGAATGGAATTGAAGTGGCGTCTGCCAAGGCTCAACAAGATGTTGTGCATTCAAATGGACATTCTGGCGTCACACAACATATGAGCCGAGTGAGGGTATCTGATGGCAGTGTTAACGATGCTCTCTCAGAGCCAGACTTCACCGGCGTAGGACTTGAAGGAAATACCCCCTCGGACAGCGATGATCATCATTACATTGACGAGCAATTACTCCCTCCAGCTATGCCTGATCCAGAGCATGAAAGAAGTATGCCAGCCAAGAAGAAGCTGCCATTCCGAAAAAGGGGCGAGCCTCGTCAGACAAACTCGAGTAGTCTTCTAGAAGACACGCCTTCGCACAAAGTTGGTGTACAGTCTAACGGGTCACGTAAAAGAGACAGCATTCACGACGAAGAACTCCATGCTCGCGAATCCAAGAAGGCGAGAAAATCTGCTATCCCAAAAGTTTCAATGCACTACGGGAAGGAGGCGCCTGCAATTAATCACAAAGTACCACAGACTGAGGATGATTGCGACATAATCCCAGCATCGGAGGTAAACATGGAAGACCAAGTCACACATCAAGAACCAAAAATGGTCTCAGGAGTGCTGCCAAACAAGACCACTGTAGCTGCCAGAAATATGTCGTTGCCGGCAGCGAGGAGCATCTCAGAGGCAACAATAATTGAGGAGAGAGTCATTGAACAGCACAAGAACAACCCCCAACGTGTTGCTGCTGATAACAGGCAGGACAAGAGCAACTCCCAGCATGATCTAGATAAGCGCAATGTTACCATCTCGGGTGGCTCCAGCTCTTCCACGGCAAACTCTTTGCCGGCTGAGATGCCAGCTCGACAGAAGGGCTATGATTTTGCCGACGCCTCAGAAAGCTCGAGATCTTTTCACTCAGTCCTTCATCAAGCCGCAGTCGATGAAAACGCTGATCCCCGCCCAGTCCCTCGTCCAGCGTTGAATCGAGATCACCCAATGACAAACCAGTCCCCCGCAACTGATCACAGAGTTCCAGGACAATATGATTACTCTCAGCCCATACCCTCTGGCGGTAAGCAGGAAGCTCCTTTGCTTCACCAAGACACGTACCATTCACAACAAAGGGGTATCAGTGCTAGAGATATGTCAGATCACTCACACTTTCAAAGTAGCAATGTGGTATCGACAGCGAGCAGATTCAAAAGAGGCGAACCTTTACAAGTTCGAGACTTTGCCTTCAAAGATATGCTCAGCCCAAGACGTCATGAGCCAAGAGAGAGGGCATCATCCTCATTGGATCATCTCCATGTTGGCGTGAGTGCTCGACCCGCTGCAAGACAGGCCTTAAAGAAACATGTCAAACCACGAGTTCTTGACCATGATGATGTCTTCTCTCCAGGGACCGATAGCAGGGAACAGAATACCTCGGTGTTTGTTGATGAACTCAAACGGAAGACTGAAGCTCAAAACCATGCTGAAGCGGTTTTACGACACAACGAGAAGACGCATGAATTCTCCGAGGAGCTGCTCAGAGCCCCAAGAAGACATGAAAGTAATGAAACTCACATATTATCCAACATTGAGACTACTGATCGTCATCGAGGCCAGAGGGGTGCAGTCCGCCCATTTATTTACCCCAAAGCCGCGTTGTTTAACCGAGAGCTTGTGGAGAATGACAAACACCGGACCAGTAAGTCTCGAATTCGGACCATTGGAGTCGAGTATCCGGATGTTCAAGGATCTCATCCTTACAATCAACCAGCTGGTGCATTTCGACAAGACACCGGTGCGAGCCTGCCACGACGAATGTATAATGGCCACTCGAGTGAAGGATACCACGAAGACCGAGCAAACTTGGAAGCATCATCAACAGAGAAGCAGGATCAGGGCAGTTCTGAAACAGAAGGAGGAACAGAAGTGGATCGAGCTGCTAGTGATCTTGTGGACACGATACATGCCGTGACTACGGTAAGCCTGGTGCGATTTACCAATACTCGCAACACTGACAAGATCGTAGGCAATCATTGGAAAACTTTATTCTCAGGACGGCAAGCTCAATAATATTGTTGAGGAGTATAATCATAATGGTCGAAGGATTGTTGCTCAATTACATGAACGTCAACAGGAAGACTTGCGTCAGGTATCACGAGTGTTCCAAAACGACTGTCGCGAGATTTCCAGCGCTTACAAGAATACCTTGAAAGGTATCAAAGAGTTACGTAATAAGGTTTCGGCAAAGAGAAAGTTTGTGAATGAAGTAGAGGCAGCGAAACGTGCTCGCTACGAGCACGTTGAGCGTTCAATCTCTGCCGCTATGGAAGAGCTTGGGAAACTCTGAGCGTATCGAAATGAATGACAAGTTGGGGAGAATATGGAGTAATTGCAATATGAAAACTTCCATGCTCTGGGGGGAAAATATCGCTTGTAAGTTCGTGATTGCTAAACTTTGCCAAATTCTTGGGGCGGCAGTCTAGGTTCAAAATCGGGAAGAACAGTTGAGCATGTACCTATTATAAACGAGCTATCATGATAATGAACAATTGCTTGAATTAATTAAATTTCGACTCCAATTAATTGCCTGTGGAACCCCACTTGCTCTTGTTGCTCGATGCAGTCGTCATGATAGTCGACTCGCAAGTCATATATAGTTCAAGCAGTCGCCGAGCAGGTCAAAGTCGTGAAAGGATCGCATCAAGATCAGGTCGTAATTCATTCATCATTATGGTTATGAATAATATCTCATGTGCCACCACTATCTCGAAGCCTGCCTTCCCTTGCTAGAAAAGTGGCCGGCATTGCTTTTGTTATATCAGTCAAGGTATCCCTCGATGACTGATGATGCAGTCCATTTTGACTTTCGTTTTCATCTTCCATGGGCGCACACCATACGTGACTGTTCCGTTTTTGACTTGCCCCGGATCCATCCGTCGTCGTATCCACGCTTTGCTGCTCCAAGGCGCCATCATGGCTCTTCATTGGTACTCCTGATTCCTCATCGGTTGCGTAGCCCCGCAGAAAAGTTGCGAGGCCGACATCGCTTGGGTCTGATGCGGCCGAGGCGGCTCGGCCTTTTGCCCTGTCGACGGCACCAATGGTAGGCGGGTGCTGGTTGGCGGCCGAATTCCCGTCGCGCGCGAGGGAGCTCCAAAGTCCAAACTTGCGGGTAAAGAGCGGCCGCAGCGTAACCAAGTTACCGGCGGTGATGGCCAGCCCTTGCTCGGCCGAGGAAAGAATGGCGATGGTGATGGCGTCATATGTAAAGTCCTCTGAAGCCAGTGTGGTCAAGTATGCGAAGCGGATCAAGACTGCTATACTAGCCCTGCATGACACGGAGTTAGTGACGGTGCTATATGTTGAAATTCGGCTCTGAAGAACAGAGACGAAATCACTTACACCCAACCGAGCCCCAGAATCGGCATAACGGCATATTTGGTCTTTCTGTCCATCTGCAATCCCTTCATCAAGAATATGGGAAAGATGGCATATGTTGCGTCCGAGAACAGCGAAGATGCGCTGTATACGTACATGAGAGCCACGATAATACGGTCATCCACACACCATCCTCCTTCTATGGTCTTGTCCCAAAAATATGGTGCCGGTGTGCATTCGCCAATGGCGACTCCCAGAAAGACCAGCCCAAAGAGAACCGTGGTGACCATGACAAAGTACATCAAGTACCGATGCAGGCGCTTGACGGTCAGGCGCAAGAAGAAGATGCCAATGGAGAGGCGGGCAAAGACCATGCAGGCGTCGTACCAGAGGTAGCACAGCCACCAGTTGCGCATGGCAATGGACAAGTCGGCGTCGGACAGCGTGTCCTGGTGGCGGCCGCTGCCGTGGGCGGCGCTGATGAGGCCGCTGACAATGTAGAGCACGTAAAAGAGCATGGCGACGAGCATGAGCCAGTCGTCGATGCCAAAGGCCCGCACCACAAAGACGCGCGTGTAGCACCGCAGCAGGCAGGATATCGAGGCCAGCGAGATGAACAGCACGTCCATGATCATCAGGTTCGGGCTCCTGTCCCTGGAGAGATCCATCTTTGCTGAATCTCTTTTTTCTTTTTCTTCAATTGATGCTTTGCTGTACCAACCCCCCGGTCTTTGTATCACAATTGATGTATCGGCGTCAACGCCGTCGAGTTTCCATGCCGTGCCAGCAGCCAACGAGTTGCTTGTTGTTTCTGGTGTCCCCGCCAGATGTTGTCGTCTTTCTGAACCCGAACCTCTGTGTAAACGGACTTGTTTGTCGTGTCTATGAGTAGTGAGGAGAGTACTCCCACGAGAGTGAAGACGAATTCGGGAACAGAATCAGCAACTGCCCGGGATGCGGAGGTCTCATCCATTATCTAATGTATGTAATCTACACATTATAGTTGCTCTATACCTAGAGCGCGATAGTTTGGGTCGAAAGGCAACCCCCACCTGCCCGTTTACCTTACAGGGAGGGTTGTGTTCGTGCGCGCGCGTGCGTGTGTGTCTTTGGCCCGTCCATTTACAAATTCATGTACGAAGTACCGCCCCATTCTTTTACTTTGGCAGACAAGGCGCATGCATGCTTGCCGCATGTACTATGTGTATATACGCCAACGATTTAGAGTAGATGCGGATGATCATGTACGTTTACCCTATCAAAAGAGGGGGACCACATTTTTCGCCCTTGCTGCGCGCTCGGCCCGGCCTTGTCCAATTCGGTATGCATTCCGTATAATGCGGGGTCTTGACGGATCGTTGGGGCGGGCGCTGATAGAAAGTGAAGAGCAGCCTCAATTACCCAAGTTGCCCAGGGCTGTCTATTGTCCATCTCTCTCAGCACACAGGCAATTGACAGACATGGGGGCACAAGCAGCAAGGGGGCATTTGACAATCGTCAGCAGCAGCAGTGGGGAATTCAAAGGCCCAGAATCAGACCTCATCCCTAGCTTTTTCAGCTTAGGTTATAATTAATAGATAGATACTACCAAGGATGCTCGGATCTTGCGGCGAGATAGACGCTGGGGCGGGAGACAGTGTTGCGCGTCAAATAGCTTCGCGTGTGCCCTGTGTTCGGCGTGATTTGAATGCCGGGTCGGTGCAAGAAGATATACTGTGCCAAGGTAAGAGACGATATCGTGGATCACAAAATCCACATTCTTCTTTACAATACGCAATCTGATGAACCCTTTGGCGGGGATCGCTGTTGATAAGAGATCATGTTCCACACATGGAATGTAACTGACGGACGAAAATAGTATGTAGCCATGTCGTCAACCCCTACAGAAATCACTTGAGAAAAGAACGCCAAACGATTGATGGCAGCTCAAACAATTTATGATGTGGAATCCTCCCACATCTTTTTTTCCCCATGACACCGCCTGTTTCGGGAGAATCAGCTTGCAAATCGCCCTTATGACCATCCCATGAAGGCACCTGTGCTCCGACTGAGGGCGTTCTTAGGCTTTGGTTGTCTGGGACCCTGCAAGCCACAATATGAGAAAACTCAATCGCATATATTCCGTACTTTTAACGTGTCGTCGTGGCCAAACGATAAAGAGAGACACAGATATTGTACAAGTCAATAGGTAGGTTATCGAAGAGGGGTGGGTATTCGTTTGGGTTTGGTGCACGGGGCAGTGGTGCCTATTCGGGAAACACCCAAGGTTCAGTCTCATTTATTTCCCATGAAGCGCGATAAGCAGCCAGCAAGCATATTGTACACACAAGGCACGTCGCTCATCAATCAACCCCCTTCCCCCCAGCTCCCTTTTTATTCCCTGATTCCCCTACCAGCCTACCTACTACCCACCACCCCAGTATATCTCCTTGCATTCCCGAAGCTGTCAAAAAGTTATGCAACCCAATTGAATTGTTCCGCAACCCGCAGACCCTGGCCGAGCTTGTGCACCAAAGCGGTTTGGCAGTGTGTAGATCCGAGAGTCTCGAACTCCTTTGGCTTGCCTGCTGTCATGGCTTGTTTGAACACTGCATCACTCTTTTTTTTTTTCCTTCTCCCCTTCTGCCCTGCCTAGTAGGAAACCCTGGCAATTGTGCAAATTGTGGGCGCGCGCGTGGCGGCGGCGTTGGGTTGAATGTCCATGGAATGTATGCCGTATACTATTCTGCTTCTGGTCATGATCGGTCCTTTTGAAATATCTTGACGACAGCTTGATCGCGATGTAATTAAAGCTGCAATCCTCCACTTCAGCTTATTAACCGTGTTTCGCGACAATATTGAAAATCTCTTTCTCTCTCTCACCGCCGTTGCATGTCTTATCAAGGCCGCTCTGACCTTATTGAGGATATCCCGTCTTCTAAGCCATAGCGGATCTGATCAATGCGATGAAGAAAAAAGCATCCACCCCCCAATGTTGGCAAAGACGCCAAAGGCGGTGGCAATCATACAGGACTGTGGTTCGGTACAACTTTTTCTCAACGTCAAATGTTTGACATTGAACCTTGGCGAGCCGTTTCTTGGGCACGGACCTTGAGGATATACGTAAACTTTCTTGTCAATACCCGTCAGCGCGCGCCGCCGCCGCCACTTCTGGAGCATTATACTCTTTTCAATGGTGACACAGTCCAAGGGTTCGCTTGCTAAATTAGCGGGCGGAGTCTTGGGCGGAGCCACCAACGTTATCTCTTTCTCGTTATTTATTTGATCCTTTATGCGTTATAAGCGAACATATCAGATGTCTCTTTGTCGCCATGAACCCAAGATGAAAGCAGAGACGCATTGATGATGAGTCAGTCGTCAATGGTGTCAAAGCCACGGGTCAGGGTCAGTGAGTCGCTTCAATAGAAGCAAGTCTTGGCGTTTAATTTTCACCATGTCTTGAAGTAAACATGAAAATGAAGATTGAAATGAGAGAAAAACCAAAAGGTTGTCTAAATAATGCTACAAGGATGGCGTACTGCTGGTAAACTAATCAGAGCAATGTTCAAGTACTGATTCTGACAGGGAATTGACAACAATGTGTTTCAATATATAATAATAATAATAATAATAATTCATAGAAAACAATACGGAATACTGTACCTAATCTGCAAGAATAAAAGCAACTTTTACGATCAAATTGCTCCACAAATGTCAATGCCAATCAACTGTCCAAGGAAAAAGACAACCAGCCGAGTCGACTCATGATTGTAACATATCAAGTAGAGTCTGTTCCCGGCAATACGGAGACGTCTGGACACGACATGCGCGACCGGAACGACGTACTCGGAGACGGCCATTTCGGCAGCGCGGAGGGACTTGGACAGGGAGAACTTTGCAGAATCTACGGCACGATGGACAGGATGGACGACCAACGACAATTCCGTAGAATTGGTGGTTCCTCCCTCCCTGACCATCTGCCGTAACTTCTTCTGCTCCCGTTCTCTCGCCTCTCGTTCCATCTCAACGCGCTGCTCCATCAGCCGCTCGGCTTCGGCAAAGCCAAACGCTTCCATGCACTCGGCGTACTGGCGGCTCCCACCGTGCAAGGTCTCGTGGTCATAAAGGCAGCGGGCGTCGGTCGAAAGCGTCGAATACGCCTCGTTGATCCGGCACATGGTCTCATTGACCTCTTCCTCGTCGTCGTCAACTCCGGCCTTTGCGTTGGAGCCGTTGGCCCCCGCGTGCACCTTGTCCGGGTGAAACTGCAGTGCGGCGGCGTGGTACGCCCTCCTGATGTCCTCGACCGAGGCCGTCGCCGGGACGCCCAGAACCTCGTAGTGGTTCATCCGGGCGTCGTCGCGGTGACTTGACTCAGTCCGTACTTCCTCGTTGGGAATGCGGAACAATAGACAAGCCAGCAGCAGATAAAACAGGATGTGGTGTAATACGTCCCATACGCGGGGCATTCGGGACCAAATGCTAGAGAAGCCAGAGCTTGGGATGCTGTTGCTCGAGGGATGTGGGCGAGGAGCTTCAGCCTCCATCACTGGAAGCTCAACCCGTGTTGGAAGCTCATTGGAATATGAAATCGTCCCTTCAGTAATAATAGGTCGAGACTCTGCTACGGGATACAAAGGCTCCATTACGGGAACAGGTCGAGTTTCAATGACAAGAGACCGAGACTCGGCCGCCTTGCGCTCCTCTCGGCCACTGCCAAGCTCGAAATAGTAGCGACCGTCCAGAGACAGTTGCCAGCCCTTGACCGGGAGACCCTCACCAGCCATGAAGCCGATAAAGTCCTCCTCCTCCAGAAACTCAATGATTTCTCCAAGCCGGGTGGTCGTCTTGACCTGGAAACCCCGAGCCTGGAGAAAGGACCAGATAAAGGAGCGTCGCAGGTCCCCATCGTACGCCTCGCGCTCGCCTGCGTCGGCCGTCAGCGTCTTGTAAGCCTCTTCTCGAATCATGTGCACGACTTGAATCCCATCGGGAATTCCCGCACTCTCGGCCTCCTCGGGAGCCTGTGACAATCGGGAAAAGGCCTGTTGGATCTCCTCGGTCGTGGCGTCGCGAGGTACTCCGAGGACCTGGTAGTAATCCAGTCCTAGTGCCGAGTTCATGTTGTAAGCCGACATGACTGATATTTGTCTATTCTTGTCTAATCCTTATCCTTTGATAGTAAAAAGAAATTGCTGTCTTTTCTGTAGAGAGATGCTTTTTGGACTCTTATCTGCTGGAAAATTATCTCTTGCTCCAAGAGACTCTCCTCTCAATTTCTTTCTTTTACCGACTGATAAAGTTGTATTGTTTGTAGAAGTTACCGTAATGGTGAATGGTGATGCAGGGTTAACCTTGATCCGAAGCTCGCTTTCCTTATATACCTATGCGTGATCTGGTGGAAACAAAGTGGTCTTGTCCCTTGATCAAGGACGTACACGTCCGTGTCATGACCATCTCAATGAAGGAGCGAACAATTGCCCTTGTCGTGAGCTGGAACAAGTACATTGTTTGGAGCAACAAGGAACGCGTTCTGTGAACATATACTACTGTAGGGCCTGGAACGGGACTATGACAGGTCCTTGTCGAGCAGACATTCTATACTCGTCATGTCTGTCGGCTAATACATTTGACTGGAAGTGAGATGGGCAATACATGTAGACATTGCCAATCAAAATTGCGGGAAAAGTGATACGAAGTGGCATGGAAATATATTGGTCCTCGTAATCTCTAATTTGGACCGACTGATGGCTTTTGGTATATACAGTAATGTACATAGCTATGATAGCAGAGTGAAATGCCTTGGAAGCATCTATATTACAGCTTTGCCAGCAAGTCGTTGACAAATACGGGCAATTGTTCAAATGGTACATCTTCTTTGATGGAAAGTCTCCTGCATTGTACCTCGCACACCCTCTCACCGTCCCATTTGCGTCCAAGTAGAACAATGACCGGGTAGCCGATAGTGTCGGCGTCGTTCATCTTCCAGCCAAAGGACTCGGTCCGATCATCAAGGATAACGTCAATGGGTTGCTGCTCGCCATTGCGGTCATGCTTCTGCAGGTGATCATAGACGAGACTGCCGTCTTCGTCCTTGGTGTTGCGCCCGGGGATAACGACAACCTCATAAGGGGCAATAGCTCGGGGCCAGTTGAGGCCCTTCTTGTCCGCCAAGTGGTCCGCCACGGCTCCGACGATGCGAGACACGCCAATACCGTGGCAGCCCATCTGGATGGGGACGAGGGTGTTCTCACGAAGGCGGACCTGGGCGTCTAGGGGGGCCGAGTATCGGGTGCCGAGGTGGAACGTGTGGCCGAGCTCGACAGCCTTTTGCACGCGAAGCTTGCCCGAGTCGCATTGGGCGCAGCCATCGCCGTCGTGGATTTGCAGGAGGTTCAGAGGCTCGCCTGTCTCAGGGTGCTGGGTCATGACTGTTTCGGAATCCGGTGCCGATGTTTCTTCCTCTTTCAAGCCAGCGTCGCTCTGGTCAACCAGACGGATAGTCTTCATACTGGCCTTTTCGGCTTCAGTAGAACGACGCCATACGGCACCGGCATCTTCAATGCTTGGATCCAAGTCGGGCACAATGGCCTTGATGGCATGTGTGTTGATTGCAGGGTGGGCAGAGTCGGACGAAGCTCTAAAATTGACAACAATAAGAGTAGAGCGGTCCTTTGTGAGGCCGTGCCATGTCCTCTGCACTGAAGTCTTGTCCTGACCATCAGCATACGATCGAGGCTTGGAAACTGCAAGCTCTTCATTGGCAACGTATGAACAGCTGTCGCAGCTAATGACATTATCCTCTCCCACCGACGAAGGAAGATGGTATTCATGACTCAGGTCTCCTCCGATATCTCCTGAACTGGCCTCGGCGACCAAGTAGGGGAGCTTCAACTCATCAAAAAGCCGTGAATAGGCGGCTCTGACTTCGGCATATGTCTGCAATGCCGTCTCCACGTCCACGTCGAAAGTGTACAAGTCCTTCATGACAAACTCTCGCCCTCTCAAGAGGCCGTGTCGCGGCCGGAGTTCGTCTCTATACTTGCGACTGATCTGGTAGATTCTCTGCGGCAAGTTTCTGTATGAGATATGAGAGGTGAAGAAGGATGTGATTTCCTCTTCGTGGGTGGGCGCAAGCAGATAGCCAGTCTCTTTTCTGTCGGCGAAACGAAACAGTTCCGGACCATATCCCTCTAGACGACCAGTCTTTTCCCACAGCGCTTGGGATGATATCGACGACAGAGACACCTTGAGAGCGCCAACATCCTGCATGTGCTTGTCGATCAGCTTTTCGAGCTTTTCCATAACCCTTTGCCCAAGCGGCAGCATATGAAAGATGCCAGCATGTGACGGCCGGAGAAAACCGGCCCTGATCAGTTTCGCATGACTATCCTCATGCTCAGAGCCTGTTGTCGCACCTGGTGTAGGCAGCCATAATCGTGACAGTCGTGCACGACGTGTATCCGCGTACTTTGAAGGCGGAGCACTGCTGTAGGATCGTAGGCTCCTTATAGATGCCCCAGCAGTCTTAACTTGGGACATCCATGATGCTCGTGTTGATAGCATGGCTGTCTACCTTCTCATGATCGAGGGCGCTACGAGGCTTGGAGTATCTGAAGCAAAGGCAGTTCTTGGTCTCCACTTTCAAGATGACAATTGAGGATTAAAAGATGACAGGTAGTTTCAATTGGATTATTTTCAATATTGACTTGATCGCATGTTTCCTTATGTCCAGGAGCCAGAAGACCAAGCAGAAAGTGGGTCAAAAACTCTATGCAGAAAAGTCTCATTGGTCACAATGCTTAGCGTCGCTCATATCGATAACCGTATCTGCCCCGCAATAATTTTCTGGTACAGGAACTTTTTTTGCGGCAGCTCGCGATACCTCTGAACTGCTACAATCAATTGCCCTGCAGCGCAAACTTCAGCGTCAACCTCGCCAAACTCGCCAAACTCACGCCATGGCGTCTTTCGACGATAACGCGCTGTCCAAGCTGACAGAAAAGATTGATCAAAAGCTGTCTGAGTCAAAAAAGGGCCCAAAGAAGAAGCAGTCACAGCAGAACCTCAAGTCGCCGCAAAGCAAGCCCGACTTGAAGAGGAAAAGACAAGACGACAAGGCCGAACCTGCCGCCAAGAAACGCAACGACGTGCCCAAGCGTGACTTTAAGGACAACAAGAAAGACCGCAAGAACAAGGACGCAAACCCAAACAAGAATGGCCCAAAGCCGACACAGAATGGCGCATCCTCCTCCAATGTGCTTCTGGACGAAATCAGAGCGCTCGGCGGTGATGAGCAGGACCTAGAGCTTGTTGGGGGTATAGACTCTGAGGACGAGGACATTGGTGGCGGTGGTGGTGGCGCCAAGGGTAGCCAACTTGACAAAGCTCTACAAGCAGAACTAGCCAAGTTTGCTTCAGGGCTCGGCTTCGAAAAGGTGCAGCCTGAAGTGGCAGAGGAGGAGGAGGAGGCTGAAGAAGAGGCCGAACAAGACGAGGAAGAAGAGGACTGGGAGGAGGCATCGGAAGAAGAGGAAGCCGCCCCAAGCAAAGCAAAGTCCGAGAAAAAGACCACGACCGCCCAGTCGATACCTAGAGGCGATTGGAAAACGGTTAGTAAGCCTCGCTAGGTTGCACTCTGTATGACTTTTCCTGACCATGAAATTCTGTCAGATATTTGAGCCTCGTCCCGATTGGCATGCTGTTGAATTGACAAGACTTCCCGAACCCAACCTCGACGACGATGTTGGCCAATATTTCTCAGCCATTGCCGGATTGAAGGCCTACGCCAAGCGCGTCTTGGAAGAAGACAGCACCACCCACAACACCTCTCAGCAATCGTCGTCTTCGCGCAAGTTCATGTCAGAAATCATGTCCTCTGGTACCATGTCTGATAAGACGTCCGCCTTGACACTCGCCATTCAAGAATCGCCAGTACATAGCATCAAAGCACTCGAAAACCTCATTGGACTTGCAACAAAGCGTAGTCGTGGCCAGGCTCTGGCCGCAGCAGCCGCCCTGGTGGATTTGTTGGGACCTGGTAGTCTTTTGCCCTCGGATCGACGCCTGCGCACATTCGGTTCCCAGCCTGGTCTAATTGGCACACTGCAAAAACACCACATCAAGACTTGGACAGATAAGCAGGGCCTTCCAGGTGTGATCAACAAGGCACACCTCGTTTCTTGGGCCTTTGAGGACTGGCTCAAGGAGGCCTACTTCAGAATCATTCAGGCCATCGAAACGTGGTGCAACGATGAGATTGAATACTCGCGGGTCAGATCCATTGACATGGTTTATGCCCTGCTGAAGGATAAACCCGAGCAGGAGTCCAACTTGCTTCGGTTGCTAGTCAACAAGCTGGGAGACCGTGAGAAGAAGATTGCTTCAAGAGCATCATATCTTCTCCTGCAGCTCTTGAACATTCACCCAGGAATGAAGGCAATCATGATCAAGACTATTGAGCAGGAGGTCGTCTTCCGACCTGGACAAAACATCCGAACAAAATACTACGCCACAAACACCTTGAACCAGACTATTTTGAGTAGCAAGGAGCCACAAATAGCCGACTCATTGCTAAAGATTTACTTTGGCATGTTCGTTGCTCTCCTCAAGAGCGGCGATCTCGGCGACGTGGAGAAGTTTGAGGCTTCAGAGAAGCCCGAAAAGACAAAAGCTAAGAAGCGAACTCGTGCGCCGGGACCTTCCAAGAAAGAAATTGAAGAAGCCAAGCACACTCAAGCTGAAAGAGAGTCGGCCGAGAAGCTGGTGTCGGCTATTTTGACTGGTATCAACCGAGCTGTACCATTCTCCGAGACTGACTCGTCGACTCTCGAAACCCATCTCGACACGTTATTCCGCATTACTCATTCCTCAAACTTCAACACCAGTATCCAGGCCTTGATGCTGATTCAACAAATGGCCACCACTCGGCATCTGGCTACGGAAAGATTCTACCGCACCCTTTACGAGTCTCTATTGGACCCCCGATTGATGACCTCGTCGAAGCAAGCCTTGTATCTGAATCTTCTGTACCGGAGCTTGAAGAACGATGTCGATCTTCGCCGAGTCAAGGCTTTCGTCAAGCGAATGCTTCAAGTTCTTAACCTTCACCAGCCCTCTTTCGTATGCGGCATTATTTATTTGATCATGGAGCTGTGGGCGACGTTCCCCGATCTCAGCACTCTGCTGAATGAGCCCGAGGAGCATGATGAATTGGAGGGAACGAACAACACAGACGAGCAGGGCGACGAGCCACCGAAGCCAACCGATGCTTATGATGGCCGAAAGAGAGTTCCCGAATACAGCAATGCTCATCGCAGTTGCTTGTGGGAGCTGATGCCTTTCTTGAGACATTACCACCCAACAGTCGACATTTATGCCACCAGCTTGCTGAATGGCAAGAAGCCAGCACAGAAGCCCGATCTCACCAGTCACACCTTGATCAACTTCCTTGACAAGTTTGTCTACAAGAACCCTAAGGCCACCGACACCACGAGAGGTAACTCGCTTATGCAACCTGTGGCTGCTGCTGGGCAAGGCAGTGTTCTGGTCACCGGCAGGCCCAGTGGCAAGGCTTCCGTGTCCCTCAACTCTGCAGAGTTCTGGAACAAGAAGGTCCAGGATGTTGCCGTCGAGGACGTATTCTTCCACGAGTACTTTAACCGGGTTGGCAAGCCTGCCCAAGCTGACCGTGCCAAGAAGGCCAAGGCCGACGAGGAGGATGAGGAGCTCGGCGCTGAAGGCAGCGACGCCGGCGAGGACGAGATCTGGGAAGCCCTCAAGGCGTCGCGGCCCGAGGTGCAAGAAGACTCGGAGAGCGAGCTGGGCTCCGACTTTGAAGAGCTCATGGACGATGGATCCGATGATGGTCTCAACGAGGATGCAATGGACGTGGACGGCGAGTCAGATGGTGGTCTCGACTTTTCTGATGCTTCATCGCTCGACTTTAGCAGCGATGAAGAAGAGGAGGGCGGTGCGCCAGCTGCCAAGGAGGACAATGGCAAGCCCGAATCTGAGGCCCGCAAGAGGAAGAAGATGCTCAAGGGTTTGCCGACATTTGCTTCGGTCGATGATTATGCTCAAATGCTGGCAGAGGAGGAAGACGGTTTATAGATATAGTCGGAAAAGTTTTGTAGTTATTGCTCAGATACCAAAGAAGCATAGAGCATCAGCTTGGCAGCCTATGATATTATGTTCTTTTACAACTTATTTCGAATAGACACTTTATGTGACGCAGAATAGCCCGCCAGTCTCGTGATCTCCCGCTTTTGTGCACGTTTAGTTAAATTATGTTTTTTTTTTCTCTTTTTTATTTTATATAAAAAAAAAATGCAAACCAAAAATGCAAACCAAAAATGCAAACCAAAAATGCAGACAAAAAATGCAGATAAAAAATGTAGACAAAAAATGCAGACAAAAAATGCAAATAAAAAAATATAAATAAAAAAATGCAGTAAAAAAATATAGAAAAAAAATACAAATAAAAAAATAATAAATAAAAAAATACAATAAAAAATATAAAAAAAAAATCCAGAAAAAAAAAACGCAAGGAAAAAAAAAGGAGATAGCAAAGAAAATAAAAATTAAATTTAGCGTTAATATAAATAGAATCCAAAGAGCAATATTTACTTTAAAATTATTTCAATTGATCCAGGGTATTTATTCATCCATATCAGCGACTTCGTCCCAATCTTTCACATCCAAGACTATTATTCCCATATGCTGCCACTAAATCTATGTATCGAACCACTCGAGGGGGTCCTCCTTGGTAAACAGAGCGCGGTAGCGGAAACCACCATCGGGCTCCTCGATCCTCTCCGTGTGTATAGAGTGCACCTCGGCCTTTGCCTCGGTGCCGGGCTCGGGCTCGTAGGCGCGGAAGTGAATGTAGCAGTTTTGCGAGTCGGCGGCGAGGGCGGGGATCTTGAGCTTGCCAAAGAGAATGTGGCCGTAGGCGACCTGGGCGTGGCGCACCAGCTCAAAGTCGGACTTTTGGAACGACACAAAGTCGGCGTCCGACAGGTGCGCGGCCGCGGCAAAGTAGGGCAGGTCGTGCTTGGCCTTGTCGTGGCGCTCGTGGATCAGGACGCGCTTGAGCTCGTGCTCGAGCTCGTCGTAGAGCTGCAGCGAGGCCTCCTTGGGGGCGTGAGCATCGCCGAGCTGGGCGGTTTCTGCGGTGGCCATGTTTGTTGTTGTTGTTGTTGTTGTTGTTCTTGTTGTGTGTTTTGTTGTGGTTTTTGATGTGGTGTGGTCAATGGGGGAAACAGATGTATGGATTGGCCTTGAAGCTCGAGGGGTAGCTATTCAAGGTTTACTGAGATGGTGGGGTAGCTCGAGCTGGTGTTGCGGGGGAAGAAACCAAAGCCAGAGCAGGACGTAAAGTTGATGTATGGTTCAGTGGTATTTATATCATCACTACATTCGAGCTACCTTCAAGTCCAATGTCATATTTCTCCAACAAGCTCCATAAACTGGATTTTACGAGCATGATTTACATAACGTGACACCCGGTTAATGGTCAATCATGGCATGAGTTTGCAGATCGTGGCGGCGAGCAGGTTCACCAGCTGTACGAGGGGTTCCAGGCCTGGAGCAACGAATCAATGGGCAATCAGTGGATTGGTAGGCTGTGCCCCAGGGCTTGGCAACACCTCCCCCGTTTCACTGCGAATTCATCACAGGCTGGCTGAACTGGGGTTTCCAGCCTGTAATAAGCTCTAGCGAATATCACACAATGGATGAGTTGTCAGGTTTGGTTGATCTCGCAACCATGCCGTGTTTTCCGTTGGCTTGTCTTTTGCGTTTACTTTCTGGTTTTGTAGTAGATGACGTTGGTTAGTATGACATACATGTTTGAGCCTCCTGTCAGCGGCATTGCAGTCATGCAAATGAGCTTGACTGTTTTGCTCATTGTTTCTCTCGCGTGGCATTCATGGCATGAAACTGGCACTGTTCTAGTTCTTTGGTAAAGGATGCTTGTACAAACACACGTGTAAATGTAGCGGTCTGGCAGAAACGATAGTGCGTCTTTCAGAAGAGCTACAAACACAAACTAGACCATACATGTACGCATAGAATGTTTACAGTTTACCTATTATGCAAACCCAATCCACAATACAGGCTGCCAAATGCCTGCTCCAACAGACGTCACAGCCACCAGCGCGCAGGGGTTTAGGCGGGCAGGGTTAGGTGGGCAAGGCAGGCGGCCCGGTCTGGCGGTGCCTTGCAGATCCATCTTTAGCATGACGCAACGTGGACGAGATCCCTGAAAGTTTCTTGTGACGATTAATATGAGCCAACATATCGCAGAGGAAGGATAAGCATTAACCCAACCTAGATAGCAAGGAGTAAAACTATGGAAAGAACATCTCGAAAGAACATCTACTTCTGCGAGTTCATCCCCTAAAGCGATTCTCATCGATTAATCTATTCATGTGTTGTAAAAGTCCGATTTTGTTGGGGCTCGGCATAGCCAGGGAGGTTCAGATAAGTCAATAGATACTAGGTATTCGGCATTTCTCAGTTTGGCATCCACCTTCACGTGCAACTGCAACTCAAAGTGACACCCAAAAGTTATCAGATTAGATCACATCAGCATAATAGAGATCTCCGAAATTCATAACCTATAATTTCTCGGAAAATCTACATGATAGTGTACAGCTTCAATCATCTTTTGCCATTGGACTACCGATTCTATTGACTCGCATCTTGCACGGCGCCGGAGCTATGATCCACCGATGCCTCGGCAACTTCCCAAACCAGTGCTGGTCCGCACTCTAGTGTAAATTCGACTTGGCCTTCGCAACCTGCGATAGTGTCAGAAAGGAGCCGCATTCGCACTCAATGTCCAAGCAGAAAGCGTTGGGGCCTTTTCACTTTGTTCTTTGATAGCCCAGACCCCCGTCCCAACGGAGTCGGATCCACGGGTCGAATGCGAAAACTCCTACGGCTAGGTCGCAGTAAAAGTCCGAGGCGCAAGGGGGCCACATAACCGTACCCAAGAAAGTGCCACTAGAGGTGATAAGAAAACATGAGTGCCGTGCGAGTTGGATACCGCGCCTCGTGCGCTGGACGACTGTCTTCCAGAACTCCCGTGTCCAGGTTATATAACCCCAGTCGTGTCTCGAATCTGTCGTCTCGTCATTTCCAAAGACCATACGCTTCTACCGGTAAGTCTTGGACCATCATGCGCCAAACCCCTTGGCAGCGACGGGCAGCAGTGTATCTAATGTGATTGCTTGCAGTACCTAGAACAGACTCGACGACGAGCTCAAATCCTTCCTATCTCAGACGGACTCTCAACTTCTTAGCCATAGGCATCAGCTGTACCATACTCGGCTTCGCCATGACCGCCGCTCCCGCCATACCCGCCCTGCGCGGATTCCTAACGCCACCGACGGACGAGGAGACGCTCACCATGTTTGTGCCCACAGACGCCAAGGAGGTCGAGATTGAAGCACACATCAAGGACCACTGGCTGTCGCGGCAGATGCGGGAAAAGGAGGGCTTCACCGAGCTGCGGCCGCACATGAAGATACCCGAGCCGTTCCGGGCCAACAACCTGACGGCGGGCGTCCTGAGGGGACCCGGCAGGGTGCCTGTGCCGCCCGTGGCCTGGGTCGAGGCGGGCGGCAAGAGCCTCGTCAGCATCACGTACCTGGGCGAGGAGCTCTGCGGCCACCCGGGCATCGTGCACGGCGGGTTCCTGGCCACCATGCTCGACGAGGGCATGGCCCGCTGCTCCTTTGGCGCCCTGCCGCACAATGTCGGCATGACGGCCAACCTCAACATCAACTACCGCGCCCCCGCCATGGCCAACAACTATGTCGTGCTCCGCGCCGAGACGATCAGGGTCGAGGGCAGAAAGGCCGAGGTCACGGGGCGCATCGAAACCCTACCCGAAAAGGAGGGCGACGCCCCCGTGGTGCTGGCAGAGGCCACGGGAATCTTTGTCTCGCCGAAACAAGCCGCCATGATGAAGAATGTCTTTCCCGTACAATGAGAGCCCCGACGGATGAGGCAAGGACAAAGCGTGTATGAATCTGTACATTATAGAATACCCATATAGATAATCATCAAGTCAAATGCAAACAGAGAGCTGGAAGACCCGGCGAGTCACTGCCATGACACTGCTTGACCTCAATAACCCATGACTTTTGAATGTGCCACATTTGATGTGTCATTGAGCTTCTGATCTATAATAAAGCTGTATGCTCTGGGATTGCATTATAATAGACCTTCAAAAATATTTTCTTTCCATTACTATAAGAAATAATTTTTTTCTTAGACTCAAAAGTTTAAGCTCAATATTAATAATAAGATATTTGGAACGATTTTTTCTCAAAATAGTAAACTCAAGCTGAAATTTATAGAAACGGCAATGAACAACTCTTTCTCTTGTAGAGTATATAGTGCTCCTAAACCCGCTGCCTCAATGGAAAGCTGCGCCTACATAATATGTTTCGACTCATCGAGAAACTCTAATATGAAAACAATCCTTCCATTTCAAAAACATGATGAGCCCCCCAACATCTCATTATCTTGAGAACGGTGAAGGACTAGGGATTATTTGATACCGAGCTCCTAAGACGCTTGCTGATGGGTTCATCCTTCTCAAGATCGTGTTTGTCACGGAGAATGGATTCGAGGTCGATTCTCAGGACGATCTCCATGTCAACATCACTGTCATCATCTCCGTCATCGCCAAAGCCGTTTCCATTCTCAAAATCGTCGTCTCCACTGCGATCGCCAAAGAAATCATCATACAAGCCACCTTCGTGATCGGATTCCATGACGTCGTAACGACCACCAACATTGGCGCCAAATCGGTATTCGCCATCATGCTCCTCGGATTGAGCTTGATTGACTCTGTGGCAAATGAACTGGTAGACAAGGTCACCGTCATCCTTGAAGGCACCCTCGGCGGGCTCCTGCAGGTCCCGTTCTTGTGCACTCATCAACTGATGAATATGAGGATCGAGTTGTCTGATGGTATCCCAGACGCCCTTCTTCAAGTGCCTAAAGAAGTCGTACTCCAAGGGATGGCTGCACGTAAACGTGTGACGTAGGTGATCTTGATCAACGCCAATAGCTCGTATAAAGCAGTTCTTAAGAGGTCCTATGCCAAAAATTTCGGGTTTACTGATTGCAAATGTGTTGGCCTCAAAGGCCTGGTCGCAAGTCTGGGGCATTGTCAGACCCTCTGGATCTAGCGACATGGTCCAGGTGTACTTGTCTCCGATGCGGCGAGTGGATCTACAGCCATCAACCAAGGTCGTGTTGAACTCGCCTCTGCGGTCTTCGAGTACATCGTCTTCCAGCACCCAACCTCGCTCTTCCCACTTCACGATATCCGTGGTATCCTGGTCGAAAAAGAACGCCTTGGTGGCAATCATCTTGTGATCGACAAATGTTGCATGAGGAAAGAGCGAGTAAGCCTTTGTAGACGTAATGCAATTGATATTGCATGAAAGCTGGTTGTTTCTGACTATCTCAATGTCAGTGAATCATCTCCTTGTGGATCTTAGACAATAATAGGCAGTTCGATTTTAATATCCAGAAACTTTGAAAAAAAAAAAAAAAGAAGAGAAAACAAGAAGAGAAAACAAGAAGAGAAAAAAAGAGAAAAAAGAAAAGAAAAGAAAACAAAGATAAATGCTAAGGGCAGAGACATGACTTACACAAGAATCTCGAGGGTGTGCCCTTGGTCGCGATCAATTGGATCCAGTCGCGCCTGCTGTGGCGGGTATACCAGCGGCAATCCAAGACATCGCGCAAGCCTTCAGAGCTGTGGCCAAGCTCGAGAGCCACGCCGATCGGAGTAAAACCGTTCCAGAACTCGTAATTGGCCGAGCCAACTAGGTACTCATGCATTGACTCCAAACCCGATTCGTCGCGAACTAGAATATCGAGGTTGGTGTAGGGCCAAGAGACGTGCTCAAAGAACTGAACGGCAAAGCTCCCGGCAATAATGGCATCAAATTGGCCCATAGCATTGCGGAAGGCAACAGGGTCGTCAAAGAATCGGCTGAGACTGCGGTTAATGTCCCACAAGCTCAAAATCTCGCGTTGGAGGGCTTTGCTTGTCTTGGCGAGCATGAGTAGTGACCTGGCATCGCATTCCAACAGCAAGCGGTCCTGCATGGGAGGGTATTGTGCCGAGAAGAATCGAACCAAGAGGGGCACTTCCCCATCAGCGGGCATGATCTCCATTATGATGAATTACTCTCCGACAAGATTTGCCGATGGAATTCGGTTGGTAGGTAATGGGATTACGCAAGTTCGTGAAGGAATAGAGTTGGCAAAATAGGATGGCTTCGCCGAGAACCAGTGAATTTGACGAGGGCGAATGACAATATTGACTTGACGTCATTTACTTGCTCATCTTTTGAAAGCAACCTTGGCTGCGCCTACCTGTAGGCGAATAATCACTTTGGTGGTGACTGACGGCCGTTTGCCGCAAATATTAAAAAGATAAGCTATACTTATCGGACGGTGGTTTATAATTGGATGACTCCGGGCGCGCCCCACCCGCCGCCTGCTGCCCGCCGCTGAGCCGTGTGATTGTTTTCTGCCGGCAGAAATGAAGCTGCCACAATCAGCAAACGTGCCGCCGTGGGATCTTTTTATTTATTTATTTGAGCCTTCGTCCCGCCGATCCAAGTCACCGATTTGTTCCTATTCGCTAATAATCGCGAGAAATCATCCACACTTTTTTTTATTATAATAATCGGTGGCAATGATTAATCTTGCACCGATTCTTCTCGCCGCACTTAGCGACACTATTCATTTCCCATCTTCCACCTTGTAAGCCTTTTATTTATTTTCTATTCTAATCTCATCAGCAAACCGCCGTTAACCAGTTTCTAATCCACAGGCGCCCACCAAGGATTTTCACATCGTTACCGTTGCCGCTTGTCGCCCCTGCCCCTCGTTGCCCGCGCCGACTTCTTTGTTCCCAAAACGACACATTCTAGTATCTACTTGGTGTCGATGGCGGTTTGGAATGCGGCTCAAACCCCAGGAATTCGGAACCCCGGGGGAGAGTGGATCACGGACCCGACCTTGGCGGTATTGTTGAGAATCCTCGAGTGCTCTCCGCAAACTCGTTTCAAAAAAGAAAAAGAAAAAAAAAGGAAAAAGGAAAAGAAAAAGAAGAGAAAAAAAACAGAGGAGAAAAAAAGGGCAGCTTTATTCTCATTTTATTTCAACCATCTGCACACCCATTGGTAGCTTTGTACTGCACCACCAACCCGTCGGATCAGCAGTGGAGACAGATCCAGGTTGGTTGGGTTGTCCCCTCAAATTTGCTCAACAGGCTGAAATGTAGAGCCATCTGCGCACTCACTTCGACATTAATCTTTTGGACAACCTCGCTCATGACTTTAGCATGAGCAGCATCCCCGATCCCAACCTGATGGGATTTGAGATTCCCTCTCCATTCACGGGTACCCGGTCACCCCGGGACTAGATGAGCAATGGGGTTACTCCCACCCCATGAGCCATCAAGCCAGTCAATCGAGTGCTCCGTTGGAGCCTCCTGAGTGTTCTTCGGAAACTCCTTGAAGAGCTTTGCTCTCACTTTACACATCCGAGTGTTCTCCGGAAACTCCTCAGAGAGCTTTGCTCCCATTTCACAAGTAATTGCCTCCTCGAGTATTCTCCGGAAACTCCTTAGAGAGCTTTGCTCCCATTCTACCAGTAATTTATTTTGTGTACCCTTTAATCCTTTGCAACCCCTGATTCTCATTTATACTAACCTAAACACAGGGAGCACCTTACAAGTTTGGCGTGGCTATCGAGACAGTCGCCATCCCAGACGCCCGGAGCCGATTCTCCGTGGTATTGCCCAGCTGAGCTGGGCACAAAGAATGAGCATAGAACGTAACAAGTCGTTGTTCTTTATACGTGTCATTGACAGCACCCGGTGGACATGTATTCGTTGATTTGGCTTGCCGCCGAATCACGCCCAACATCGTCGTCGAAACCTGCAATTTTTCTGTCTGTGTACCCTTGGTTTCTTTATTGCATTGCTTCGTTTTTTCACCATGGCTTTTGCTCGCCCAAGTTCAAGGAGTTGCCAAAGAAGGACATCAAGGCATATCATAGTGTCTTTGGTGAAGTAATCGAAGAAATTCCCATGTTTGCAGGTTTGCCGCCACGATCCTGCGTGACATGGTCAGCAGCCCCCCGGGATGTCGTTTTTGACCCCCCCTCATCCGCCGACTCATGTCGCCCGGGACTATTGACGAGAAGGTCTATCCCTGATAGATCTTCAAGCAATTCTTCAGCAAAAAAAAAAAGTTCTCAAGAACCCTCAGCAACGCGCCACGTTTGTCTCTCGACTACCCCAACAAGCTCTTCACCTTGAGAAATGCAATAGATGACTAGGTCTCATCTGTACCCTCGCTTAGAACCACCCTTCGCCAGGTCGCCACAGATCAATTCAAACAAATTACAAATGCATAAACATTTCCAATCATTTTATTTTTCCAATGTTATGTGGTGCTTACATTGCGTTTAATGTTTGCTTGTATATATGAACGACAGCTTGAACTTAGATTCTGAAGCTGCATTCCATCTCACATGCTCTGGAATTAGATTGAAATTACTGTATCGATTTCATTGGCTCCTAAAGAGGCTGATTACACTTTTGAATCAAATCTTCTCAGATATTCACCATCACATTACGCATCACCTAAACAAAGCAGGTGGAAAGGAGCCCTTCGATCTGTCAATCAGGCGCTCAATCACAAGCATGATTGAGAATCGACCATCAAATCTTCAGCAGCTGCCAGCTCCATTTAACCTACGGCAATATACTCCGACGCAAAACTACCCAGTAGTATTGCAAAGCTGCTCATCGGACGAATATCCTGTGCAATTCTATCAAGTATACACTCTACCGTCATGACATTTGACCTCGTGGCGCAAATTTGTAGGCTACGGGTTGGCGAAAACGCCAGAGCAGAGTCTGTGGCACACATGCTTCTATATCTCGCTGCATTCGTAACGCAATGCCCATTCCATAGTCTCCAGGACTCTCAATGGCAAGTCTTATAGGTGCCGCTTGATGCTGCTGCTGACCGTGCTTGATTCATGGTATCCTCTGTTTGCATCTCTCTCTCTCTCTTAAGTCCAAACGTGCCATGACTTCATCCCCGCTGACCCTTCTCCAATGCTTGACCCCGGACATACGGCGGCGGCACTTCCCCGACCCCACCGACCATGAGCTCCTCGTTGGTCTCGACCTGCTCGTAATCGGGCAGGGCATTGTCGGGGCTGGCCTCGTTCCAGGTGCCCAGGATATCCTCGGGCGGGAGGTTGAGCTCGCGGCCCAGCTGCGCGAACCGCGCCGAGTACTCGCGCAGGGTGTCCTCGCCCTCGCCCAGCCACTCAATCAGCTCGTCGCGCCGCCGCTGCACCTCCTCGCGCGTCGACGTCGACGCCGATACCGAGTTGGGTCCTCCCGTGTACGGCGGCACGTCCGAGGCCGAGTACGCCGGCAGCTCCGGGTCTCCCGCATTGTTGGTGGTGTTGCTGCCCGACGATGCCTCTGCTGTGGATGGTGGCGGCCCGTACGGGTCCGTCGCCGAGTTTGACGTGGCGGCGTGTCCGTACCTCTGCAGCCATAGATTGTGCTCGCGCAGGGCGGCGCGCAAATGGTCCAGCTCCAGCGCCAGCGCGGGAATCAGTCTGCGCAGATCATTGTATGCCGAGCGGTATTCGGATGTGGATGAGGATGAGGCGTCAGCAGCAGCATCAGGCTCGGGCGCTGACGAGGCCGGTCTGTCTGGGGCCATGGTGTCTGATGTCTCAAAACTCCCGGTTGGGCCTGAGAGGAAACTCTTGTCCAGGTGTCCGAGGTTTTGTTACAGACGCAGGTCAATAAATAGGCATGTAATCCTCGTGCGCGATCCTTTTTTTTCTTGAAGAGCAGAATGTATTGGCGAGGCTTTCAAATATTTGGCTTGGCGTAGATGTTGCCGTCGGGTTGCAAATGCGATTTGATTTCATGGTGGGGCAGTGACAAATGGCCACCGTTCAATGTCCAAAGCGGGCGGTGTACCCCGCCATGTACGTCGATCATCTGTTTCAATACTCCCTAGGTTAGGTATTTTCAGTGTATGCAAGATAGGCAGTGTATTGACCAATCAGTACTAACTTATGGGAAAATCATTCTCTTTTTGAGATTGCTAGTCACAGCACAGTAATTTCATATCACTGAAGTGATATTTTTCATTTGCCAAAGATGTATTGCGAACCAGTGATTCCTCGATTTGGCTTATGTTCATACGGAAAGAAACAAAATTTTGGTTGTTGTCCGTTACAGAGTTTATATCGATGATTTGATCGATATGGTTCAAAACTTGATAATGATGCGGTAGTCCTTGCTCTTCACCTGGTAACTCTACGCTTGCAAATAAGCCTCTTGGTGCCCAATCATAAAAATGCACTTTTCTCCCTCGCATGCACAAGCACGGGGAGGTGCCATGTAAGGGCGTCCGCCGATAGTACATCTAATGATGGCGCCAGCATTTTTGCAGCTGCTGCGGGCCTCGTTGCGATCCTTCGATTCGACCACCAGCCTATGTGCACCTTGTGGCATGCTCTGCTCCTTCTCTCCTTTCTCGGCTTTTGACAGGATTTTGACAATGGGTGCGATTTGAACGTATCCATTATTCTGTGCTTGGTCATTAGTATGCCATACATGTCTTGAAATGTGTCTTGACGTGGGTGCATACTTGTCGGTCGGTGGCTTTCTGGGCCAGGATGCAGCCAGCAAGATTGGTCGTGGCAGCGGGGCATGAGGCACTAGATTTGTCCTTATAACCATCCACTAATCTCTGGATGGCGCACTGAAGTGGTGAAAGGTATGAGGATGTGAGAGAAGTATGCTGCCATTGGCAACTGCTGTGTTGCACTGACGGAGGCAGCAAGTACCCCCTTCACAGAGATGCCGGGTAATCTTGTTGAACTCCGTCGCGATTGGGATAGAGCATTGAAAGCATTGCTCTTCAACGAAGAATCCCTAGTAAGTGCAAGCCATCAGCTTGGGTTGATTACGTCCCTGCTCTCTATGCGCACCACCCGTCGCTACCTACTACCGATTGAGTGGCTCAGTGAGCTTGAGGCTACCGGACTGGGCGACGGCCACACGGCGCCACGCTGCTTTTCGATCTAAGATTGACCATTTGACGCAGAGATATTTGGAGCGATATACCTGCAAACTGATTGGCTGATCATACTGTCAATTTGGTCTATGATCGTGATTCAACACGATATTTTGTAATCAACGCCAAGTGCTAATGCAGGCAGCCAGACTACTACTTGCCGCCGATAATGCTGCCCCTTGGTCGTGAAGGAAGGAAGAATAATCTGTTCATAGTTGCCTCCTCATGACAACGCCATCTTCCTTTCCTGATTGATACTTAGGTCTTCGCGTACACTGGCTTCCATTTCTCACTGGCCAATTGCGTCCATGACTGACCTTCTAGTCGTGATTTCCATCTGCTGTACTTGTTTGCGTCACTACAGAAGTATTTAAATGTTTACCTGGGCGGCCAACCTTCTTTCTCTTTCATCACTTTTACGCATCTCACCTCAAACACCAAAACATCCCACAAACACGCCATTACTACCACGACACTACATTGTCTTTCGAAATGACATGATAGGGCCTCCATGGGCGGTCTTAGCTTCAATTAAGCCGACCTTCGCGTCTCAATGTGCCACAGCCCCGAACACGACCGATCAAGATCAAGATTATCGGCCGCTGGGCGGAGGTTGCTCGCCTTGCTGAAGAACGCAAGGTACTCGGTGAGCGTGCTGGTGCGCCGGTCGAAGAATTAAAGAAAGGCGGCGAGGACGCTGAGCAGGGCACTGAACCGGAGGAAGGAGGGGCTGAGTCTAGAGCTCGTTTCGAGACTGTAAGTAGCCAACACGCCCATGCTTCCAGCCCTATCCATCATAGCCTTTGTGTTTTACTTGCACGGTCATATGCTGACATATCCTGTTTCTTGGCAAAGACAGAGGGAGTCCTTTCTTTGGGGGTCGATGACCAAGAGGAGTCCCAGCCATCATACTTCGTGGCCAAGCAAGGAGCCACAAAGACAAGATTCGTAAGTTGCCATAGTGAGCTTTCGTAATTGTGTGTGCTGGTTACTAAGTTTGGTATGAATGTATTAGACAATGCATCACAACACCCGCCGCCGCTCCCCCCCGCCGTCGTATGCCGAGACCATGGAGCAGCTCCCGGCATACAGCCAAGGTACAATGGATCACATCCCCCACGCCCGCGGCCCGGGATGGGTGGAAACCCTGCTGCTGGCCGCAGCATTTTTTTTGAAGAAGAAATTTCTTTCACAAAAAAAAGGGTCCAGTGTTTCTTTTTATATATATTTGTTTATGTTTTGGACAGAGGGTCTTATACTTCGGGGGGAATATGCTAGAGACTGGATTTGGTGACTGGACGTTGACACTAGACATGGAGACTGGGATCGGCAATAACAGCGCATTCTTCTTCTCAGAATATGCAATGTGGGCTATAATTTGGGGTTTGTGTAGCACATCAACTTTTGGAATTGTAAAGTCAACTTCATTATGGGCAATCTACCGATTAATCCTACATCAATCATATTCTTGTATGAACGAGTGACCAAAACGTCTCATCTTGCCTCCTGCGTACCAATGAGCCGTATTATCTTCTCCTTCAAACTATCTTTGACGCCTCTGATAAGTAGCGCCAACCCGCCCCCGAATGGCTTATGCGGTATTCGTACATCTCGCGAAGGCACTGTGCTATCAAAATCTGGGTACAGCAGCCATCCAGCGAGTCAATTTGTCATCCCAAGGGAAAACCGGGTACACCATCCAGGCAATTTGAGGTATCCTACGCAGAAAAGCTAATGGCACATCAGCCAAATGGTTATGCGCATCAACTCCGAAGAAGAGTTCAGGCCAGAAGACTTGACGGATTAGCATAGTTGATGGTGTGATAGCCATGAGGCCAGCGTATCCAACTTGCATTATCGACGATCCCATGTAGATATCGACCAGAAATATGAGGATCCAACGTCCTGAAGCAAGACAGCCCATCAAGAATAAAAAGAATGCATTGGCTTCACATTGCTTGCATGTTGGATCCGGACCAAAAATTTGCAAAGGCATGGCGTTGAGGATATCTTTGGGTATCACAACCAAAACCTAGTGGGAGGAGCTTGGGCTTGTTAGCAATATGCCAGCATCGAGGAGATATGGGTAGAGTACACACTTGTAATTCTGTTTCGTAGGAATTTCTTGCCTGTCCGTGTTTTTAGTATGGGACAAATTTTGCTCCACAGCATCCGTGGTTTGGGATACTTGAAGAAATATGCGTGGGTAAAATTTATTGATTGATGATGTGGCGAAGGGGAGAGAAGGAAAACATCTGTTACTCACCGGTAGTGGGGGCACGATGTTCCTTTTATGCTCACTCCCCATTGGCTTTGGCCGCAGCGCAAGTTTGGGAATGGAGTTTGATATGTAGGGGGTGTAGGGTCAATACTATTATTGTTTCCCCGGGAACGAATAAGGTGCGAACAAAGCACCTTGAAGGCTGCGATAAGTTCGGAGATAGGTATTAGATCAAAGTTCAACACTACTTTCCGGTAGAGAATCCCACCTGAACTTGAAGGCCAGCTCAGAATGGGCAGGACTTGGGAATGGGTTTCAGAGCATTGGCAACGAACAAGGTACAAGGCGAATCTGCCCAAAATCGCATAGACGACTCTTGTCAAGAGGCACGGGTATTAATAGAGCAGTGTAACACGATATAGCGAGATAATTGTCCGAGGATCGGGTCTAGAGAACTTGTAAAATTGTATTGATATGCAGTACGCCATTACAGTGCGGCGCCAAAACCCGTCACCTCTAAAGTGTGTTTGCCCCAGGAGGCAGAACCTTCAGTCACCATAACAACTTCTAGTAAGTCCGTGCAAGTACTTTGAAGACACTCATTCAATGCTCTCGATTGGGCTAAAGGCTGTGATCTTTCCAATCATGGCAGACAGTTCATCCGACATGATGGGACTTTCAGGTCTTGCATAGCCTTCGGCAAAAGGAAGCCTTTCTTGCTCTGTGAGATGTGTCAGTTTGGCTGCGCATTGCCCTGTTTCGTGTTTCCATGTAACATGGCCGGAGTACAAATGGCTTACCAAAGAAGACCTTGACCCATTTGGTTGGAGCGTTTCCTTCCACTCGATCACCAAATGTGATTTCATAAAGTGCCGTTTCTCCCAGCCCAGCCGAAGAGTTGTTGATGGCCTCGTACTCTGGATTGGCCTCCTTTGCCTTGGCAATCCGAGCCGCGCGCGCCAGTGCCGCCGTCTCGAGACTAATGGTGTCATTGGTAAAGAGCGCCGTGGTCTGGGCCCAGACGGTCGCGTTAAAGTGCAGAGCGTCCCCTTCGTAGACATCGTTTCTCGACATGGACCCGTCGTGCTCAATGGCATTGTGCTTGAGCGTGTCGTGCAGGTGGAACGTCGAGCTGTTGCCCGTCGTCGACAGCGACACGGCCGCCTGGGCGGCGCCGGCGAGCGTCGTTGGGTCAATGTTGATGCCGTCGCTTAGTGCTTGAATCAGCGTGTCGGCATCGATGTTGAGACCATCGCGCGGAAGGTATCCATGGTTGGCGAGAGAGTTGAGCATTGGACAAGGTGCGCGGCCTAGATTGATTATCAGTAAGTTGATAGTACAACAAGTTCTCGGCAGTATATGACTTACTATCAGAATCTCCAGGAGCCTGCCATTCGTGACCTTCTGGGTCGGCCAATACGGCACCGACGAAAGCGAGGATCAAAGGGACTGTGATGAACATTTTGGAATATTCTTTCTCTGTTTCTGCTGTTGTTGTAAACCGCTGGTTGTTGGCGATATCTTGGTCCAAGTCGACTATAACAACAGCGATATCTCCGTGTAATTATAGTATCTCCTTAGCGCTCGGCACGAAGCGAGAATAGGTACTTGGCTTGTATAATGCCAGGGAACGATTCCACCAATTACGGAGCCTTGGGCGGCTGCCACGTTCCGGGCTCTAAAAAGAGCCCACAGATCGCCTGCAACCCAAGATGTGAATTATAATAGCCTGTTTCGTTTATACCTGCAAGATAGATACGTGTTCAAGTATTACAGACCGCTGTCTAACTTGAGCCTCGGCCTTGGCACAGAAACCATGAGCATTTTAGAGCTTGAAATGTCTCAGGATACATCATTGTAAGATATTATAATTGGTTGAAAGGATTTCCCTTTATGAAATTCTTTGTTCACCGCTGTTGCAACTGGTCCCGGTTGCCATGTCGAGTCGTTTCTTTTGCGACCTGAAAGACATGCAATGCGGTAGAGCTGGGAGCGCCACCGCACCGGTAGAGCGAACATATGCAGTGACCAGAGCCACAATTAATGTAAATGTCAAGTATTCGATATCAAGTCACAGGAACTCGTTGGGAGATATCAAGTCATGGGCAGCACCAGTCCATTCACAACGTTCTGCTCGCCCTCGTCTCGTGGCGCGCGGCACGGCGTTGCATTGCGACGGACATTACAAGTATCATACGAGAAGCGGCTCATCGACGCGCCATGTGCTGTAAGGAACTATAACCCCTGAGTAGGGCAGATGATCACCAGTCTACTATTCGTGTTGCAGCCGGTATCCAGTTGGAGGATCCCGAAGTCGTCAAGTGCGGCCGCACGTACAATGGTCTTCCAGGGAGACGGCCAATGAGCAAGCAGATATTGCAATCAAATGCAAGAAGAAGCAAAAATGTAACAGTAGCAAGGCTGCAGGTTAAATGAACAAAGTTCCCGGAGCTTTGGGGTGAATGGATCCGCTTGCTATATCCGGCGCGGATCCGTTGCAACGGCAAGATCCCGCGCGCCATCATGCGACGACGTTTTTTTTCCTCATCTTCTTTCTTTTCTTCTAGTCCATGAATCAATATAACGACGGGTTCTTATTATCGTCCGCAGACCCGAGAGTCCGATGCACTATGCGGAGCTATACTACCTGAGTGATTGCAGTTCTATTGGCTTGTGTAACAGATTGTTTATACGACGCGATGGGTCAGAGAGTCCTCTGGACGAGCGGGAAAGATTGACATGTCAAGTAATATATACTTTCGGGTGCCCGAAGATGAAATCGAGCAAACAATCATTTACTCACGTATTCACAAGGTACCTTGTGATTTGAGAGATGCAATTAGGTGGTGTCAGCTTTGGGTGAGGCTGTTCGCCGATTGGATCACGTATCTTGGAGCTTTCTTTCCTCTAGATCGCCTGAATGACCTTTCGGAATGACGAGAGGAAGAGAAGTTTCATCTCATATTTCCACAAGGGCGCATATTCTCACCAGCTTTGGATATATGAGACCTTCCTGGTGGTCAGCACCAAAATGAGTGCTACGCTGGAACGACGACTTGGCATGGGCTATCGAACACTTCACAGACCATGTATAAATGTTGCTCTGGAGACAAATCGATCGCATTAATAAATGCAACACCAAAGTTGAGCTTCCCATGCAATGCTCTTCAAATTCAACAATCCCTTCCAAACATTGGTGGCCGAATGTACAAGTACATAGAAATGCCACGATCCTCCCAAGAATTACATGAATAATGAACAAAATTCAAAGACGCCCCTAGTACCCAGGCGACACATGACTAATCAGTCTGTTGGCTGATCAAGTGATTGAAGTAGATGATCTCTGATCGGGTCCATTACCATACTGTGCCACCCGTAACTATTGCTTGGAAATCAAACCCCAACTAAGCGCGATCATGTTAGAAAAATGGTAGACTTTTGGCATCTGGAAAGTTTTGACGTACTGGCTGCATTGTTCATCAGACATAGGAGACAAAAGCAGTTTTTTTTTTCGCCCATGAAAAGAGAGAAAAAGAAGAAACTGGGTGCCAAATGCTGTCGCCTTGGCTTTCCCTTGAGGAAGAATGACGGTAGGACACCAGTCGACTTTGCTCGTGCTTCGACCCCCTTAGGGGAGTGGCCGATATGGCCGATAAGACCTAGATCCGTAACCCTGCGGGCCAGACACCCTTTGGACAGCAATGGAGAGCAGAGGAGACGTCTCAGACGAAGAGTCCGATGGGAGAGATGATCGGAGAGAAGATATTGCGGACTCCTCATCATTGGACCAATCTGCTTCATAGTCCAGGCCGGGGTATATATCCTCCTCAAAGTCAAGCACGGGGTACACTATTATGTGCAAAAAGACGGAGAAAGCCACCACGAAAGCGACGCTCGTAATGCCCAAGGCCGTGAGAACAATGGCGAGGGGGTCTGGCATGATGGAAGTGTGAATGACAATAAGTATTGCCCGGGAAAATGAGCCAAGAGTGTGAAGAAATGATGATGATGGAGGAACCACGATGCGGGACGTCGAGATGATCTCTTCAGTAAATGTTGCCAGACAAAGTATGGGATTTCCCAGATGGAACGAGACAGGTGCAAGGAGAGGAGAATAAATATCTCTTGGATCAGCCGATGAACATTTTATCGTCAGATCTTTGCCACCAAAAATCTTGAGTAAAACCTAGTTCGAAGCAAGTTCCGGACCGGTTCACAGAGGTGTTCTCCGAACCTGGCAATAAGCTAAACCTACTTTTCGAGAGCAGAATCTGACAAGAAAATACATCTTGGAGCCTTCATCCCGGTGCTTCCCCTTGTATTCCTTGTCAGGCTTCTGTTACGGAGAAGGCAAATCTACCTTGACTAATCATTTTAATATGGCTCCCTAGGTATGAGCACTAGCCAAACAAGATATAAACGTTTCAAGAAAGTTCTTCACTAACGGGGAAAGATGTGTTTCGGGAGGCTTGATAACAATTATTTGGACTGTCCGATCAGTCATCCGGGCCGGCAGGGTAGTATTTGTATTCCCCTTAGGTGTAAATCATGGGAATAGCTTCGAACTTAAAAACATGTGGCGGCCATCGCATAGTGATCGAGCTCGTTGAATTGATGTTGGGATTAGGACGTCTGCTTTTCGTCTCTCCTATGCGCACATTAATTTCTGATGACTCGACTCAACGGAAATACCAAGTCGTGTGTTTTTTCTTGTCTAAGGTACGCAGTCTATGGTATGAAAAATTTCAAACTCTGGCTGGCTGCTTATCAAAATCTTTTCCGAATCGTATTTGAGATCACAGGCTTCCCAAAACGGAAAACAGATTTGAGAGAGCATTTGAATATCTCGATAACCAAGAGTCCGATTCGGACCATAAACCGGATTGAGCCGCGTGAGTAAGCAGAATCGGTTGACACTTGTTCCTGCATTCAATCTACGTAGGCTTGTCTTTTGAGTCACTGCTGCACGTGTGGTCAAACTCAAAAAAGTGCACCCTCCAAACCCTCGCTACCGGATTCGGATCCCTGGTTGTCTGGACAGTGTGGAGAGGGAACGGAGATAGGTATAGGCACAAATAAGCTTCAATTTGAAAGATGGTGTGCCTGCCAAATACGTCAACGGGCGATGCGGAGACCTGGAGGCTGTTCACCCAGCCCATGCGAGATGATATCTATGCACTGGGGACTGCTATCATTTTGATGTTTGGTGAGGCCCAAGTACGAGTAATTGAAGTCACATTGGCATTTTGTCTCCACGAGATACATGCTCAGAGGCATGGACATTAACCCTCCATGATGGCTCAATCCTAGGCCATTACTCACCAGTGATGTTACGCAGTCTTCCCACTTGGTCATTCTTGGTCATTGAGGCCATTCATCAAGGATTGAGTCTGCTGAATGGTTGACCCGAACAGGGAAAAGACAAATAATAAAGAGAGACTGAGAAACCCTAAGACCAAGTCGACTCCAAAAATTGATAGCTAGTAGCATCCCCATTGAGCTTTGGGGTCTCTTGGAATATATTTAATACCTCCCAAATCTATTCCAACATCAATCTGTACCTGCGGCGTGCCCCACCAGCTGGATAGATTATTAAAATCTCCGAAACTTTACTGATCCACTTACACACCCATCCGGGCAGTACTTCCCCAGCCGCAAAAACAAGGACATGATATTGTCAAGCCACAAAAAGACGTCATTTGCCCCGAGTCACTGATTTGCTTTCTCTTTCTCCTCTCTCAATAGACCGGCTAGCGGGCAGGTAAACGAAAACGGGTGCGCCGAGCCCTCAGTGCCAGGCGGCGGATCTCGGTACTCAATCACGCCATCGCCTTTCCGGCACGGCCAGCCGGGCACTAGAACTAGCTGGGCAGGATCTTTCTTTGGGCAGGAGGTATTCGTGCTGGGGACCGGGATCGGGGGGTAAAATGGCAGTGGTACTGTACTATCATTAATCGTCTCGTCTTGGTCTCTTATAAAGGACAGTTTCTCCAGTTTGCTCGCCGATTTGCATGTGCTGAAGGGAGTTTGCCGATATAAAAATCCTTGTCTTCTGATTCTGTTGAGAAGCCAAATCACCATCTTTTTTTCTTTTGACTACAGAAGAGATATACTATAATCAAAATGGCGACGTAAGTACAGTGACAAAACCTTGCGCGCTGAAAGCGGGCGAGCGAAGGAGAAAAAAAAATACCCCTCCATCAAGACACCACAACCCCACCATCACGAACAATGTCTCTCGTGCAAAGCAACACACCAGAATCAGTGATTCTGTATATAGCTGAAGCAGACTGATGGCGATATTGATCACCAAGATGTCAAAACATTCACCCACCTTGATTCCGCGGCTAACACCTTGTTTGCCCCTCCAGCAACATCACATGGCACCCTTCCCTCTCGCGGCGCGAGCGCAATGAGTTCCGCAAGCAGCGCGGCATGACCATCTGGTTCACCGGCCTGAGCGCCTCGGGCAAGTCGACCGTCGCCACGGCCCTCGAGCAGCACCTCCTGCACCTGGGCCTGTCGACGTACCGCCTGGACGGCGACAACGTGCGCTTCGGCCTCAACAAGGACCTGGGCTTCAGCGAAAAGGACCGCAACGAGAACATTCGCCGCATCGCCGAGGTGGCCAAGCTGTTTGCCGACGCCAGCACCATTGCCCTGACCTCGTTCATCTCCCCCTACAAGGCCGACCGCCAGGTCGCCCGCGAGCTGCACGCCGCCCCCGGCCCCGCCGGCGCCGACGACGAGCCCCTCCCCTTTATCGAGGTCTACGTCGACGTCCCCGTCTCCGTCGCCGAGCAGCGCGACCCCAAGGGTCTCTACAAGAAGGCCCGCGCTGGTGAGATCAAGGAGTTCACCGGCATCAGCGCCCCCTACGAGGCCCCCGAGGCCCCCGAGATTGTCATCAAGACCCACGAGAAGAGCGTCGAGGAGTGCGTGCAGCAGATTGTTGAGTGGTTGAACGAGAAGGGCTACATCAAGACCCAGTAAGCGCTTGAACATTGTCGGGGGTCTTTCGATTTAGCATTTGGGTTGTTCATATGTTACTTTAGATAGGTTCGGATATGGATCAATAGATGGCCACCTCTTTTTCATCATGAAATCAAAAACAAGTCTACGACTCTTGGTTAGCGACGTACTTTGTGCTCTGTCAAGTGCCAGAACATCAAAACATGTTTGGAGCACTTTGGGTGGGTACAGTTGCTCGAGCATCACAGAATCAAGGACGTAGCGTGGACAGGTATATGTTCAAGACAGGTCCATTTATAGGTACTACTTAGACCCTGCAATTTCGCATGCTGTCTTCTCCCCCATTTCAAATCTATAGCTCAATCTCATAATACACATATGCCGTGTACTCGTTCTCGCCAAATCCTGCCGCTGCCATCTCCGAAGAAAGTGCCGCATCGTCCTTGGTAATTCTGCCGCGCTTGTCTCGTCCGAATGCATTGCCACCAAGATGAGAGAAGGTCTTATCCAGCGAGTCCTTGACTTTCTGAGATGCTTTGGACGTTGTCACGATCACGTTTGGCGTGTACTCTAGCGGAAGACCGTAACGAAGCACACTCTCGACGAAGACGCGCAGTGCCATCAGGTGAGCCCAGATCATGACGCTCTCCGACCAGCCAGTGCGCGAAAGTCGGAGCGCCTCTCCCCAGACCTTCTTCTCTTCCTTTTGCACACGCTCAAATTCACGCTTCTCCTCCTCCTTACCGCCCTCGACATACTTGTAGGGTCTCGGGGTCCACTTGTTCTCGCGGCACTTTTGCTGGAACTCGCTGCTGTGCTTCTTAAACGTTGTGGTAGCAAACAGGGTGAATTCGTCGTCCTTGGCAACTTCATAAGCGGACCGAGGTACAACCATGGGCGAGATGTTTTCATAGGTCTTTAAGAAGTCTTTCTTGACATTTGTAGGCACGGCGATGAGGTGCGTCTCGAGATACTCGGAGTCCGTGATGAGGACCGACGGGTCCACGATGGGCGTGAGCGACTTGGTGGCCAAGTTGCCAGTCTGCTTTCTTTCAAGAGTCGCCAAGTTGTTCTTGACTCCGTTGTATTGGTTGAGCTTGCCCTTCAGATCGTTATCGATCGTGACCATCTCCTTTTGCAAACTATCAACCAGCTCGGCAATGGGCTTGTCGGCTCGGTATCGTACTTTGTTCCAGGAGAAGCTCCGCAGGTAGTTATCAGTCGGCTCTTTTGCGGCACATATGGTTAACACCGGAGCTCAGCAAGGGAGGGAAAGAAACAAGGAGACATACTGTCATTGACGGTCTTCTGCTGGTTGATCTTATCCTCATTTCCATCCAACAGCGTCTTGAGCGAGTCGGACACGCGGGAGACGAGGCCCTCGCAGGCCGCCTCGAGCTTGGTCAGGTCATCTGCCTGCTGGACAAGGGCGTCGAGGGTGCCGATTTTGAAGTTGGGGATCTGGAAGGGCAGGACGGTTCCGTTGTCGCCAACGGCTGGCTTGAGGCCTTCGCCCGCGTCCTCGGGAAGCGAGATGAAGATGTATTTTGTGGTCATGGCTGCATGATGTTATAGGGATGATTGCCTTGGTCGAGCTGCTGCGGGCTCTCGAAGTGGGAGCGACTGACGTTGATCGGCTGAGTACACGCGCCCCTGTGATTGGCGGGCTAGCTACAAGCTCCCCGCTGAATCCCCCAGTCCATAGCGGGATCGCTCAGGTAGAAACACTCGCTAGTCGTTACGAAAGACCCCAGCCATCATATTTCTCGAGGTCTGAGCCGTAGTGTCGTAGAAGACAGTTGCAATTCATAAGATTATTTTCCTTTACATTATACGAGAGAAACTTTTTGAAAATGTAAGGCGCTTGATGATTTTATCACCATCTATGAATAGATTCTATGAAATCAGATTCCAGGCCTATAATGGCTTGCGATTTGGCGTCGAGTACTATTGACGTCGTACCTGAGTGAAGCATCAATTTAATTGTTGTTGGTTCCAAGTTGGGCGTAGTTTTGGGCCTTAGCCGGTAGTTCGATACCAGGTACGAGCATAGTTGCGGCAACGCCATGAGGACCAAATACATAGCTCACCTCCTTTATGCACTGGAAATCAACAAGTGCATATGTAAATTGAAAGGACCTCCATTGAAAGAAATTCAATAAGTGAAAACTCTTGAAATGACGCTGTCATTTGGCGCTCAGACGAGTACAAATATAAGCTGTGAACGTTAGCTTGAGACGTGCCACGCGCTAGCCATCCTGCCTCTCTTAACTAGACTAGTTCGGGAAGTGGTACACGAACCCCCAAAGGTCAACCACCGTCTGTCGGTGATGATTGCAGCCGGACATTCAGCAACATCGTGTCATCTCGAATCATACCTCGAATTAATTCCGACGACAGCCTCGAAGCCATCTCCCTCAAATTTGACTTCACTCGTAATATCTGAGCCCTCTTCGTAAATCCGCGCCGAGAATCAAACAGTAGCGACACGACCACTACTGCGACCACATTGCGCGACCCCTCCTGTAGTCGCGACACACGACGTCAACATTGGTTGTTGCCCAGTTCAAGCACACGGCCGACGGGGGCACATATCGTCTCCTCAAATACCCAAAAACCTCGAAAAGAGCCATTCTGTCCCTCTGTTGGGGGTTGTTTGAACGCGACGAACTTCGGGCCCGGATCGTCCTAGAACGCGGCTTAGCACAGAACCCACAATCAACAGTGCTTTGCAACTTCGAACATGACGACGTCTTAAAAGAACACAGTCCAAGAAGTCAGCCCATTCCCGGCGGCACTTCTATATAGAACAGCTTCAAACTGTATGGCTTGAGCACCGCTGCGAAAGGATCAGATGGCGACCGCCTCAAACTCAATGCCAGCTGCTCCAGCTGTTTCTGATCATGCACATGCACACGCACCAGACTCCTCATCTGCCAGTCCACATCTAGCGAACCATCCACAGCAGCTCATTACCACTCCTAATGGCTCTTCCGCGCCTGGTCCAGACGGGCTACTCCATCCCGGTCTTCGCCTGGACATGAGAAATGCCAATGGCGTGCAGCGCGACGGCCGCGTTAGGAATCCCATCCCCAGCAAGCTGAAAGGCAAGACGGATGAAAAGAAGGGAAACTTCCGAGTCATGCATATGGACATATCCAACACAAGCGAAAGCCAGGCTAGATATGATGCCGCCAAGCGCAGCAGCGAAAACACTGCTCTCCAGGCCAAGATGGCAGAGACTGATCATTACGTATCGCATCACAGGAGGGCCAACTATGCCCGAACAAAGACGCTCAAGGAACCCGAAGAAGAGGCTGCTGCACCACCACTTCTTCCTCCACGTACCACTCAGCTCACCCCCGAGGAGGTCAAGACAGAGCAAGCGCGTCTACTCACACTTCTTCGCACCCTCCCTCATGACAATATTGTGAACCAGATATGCAAGGCTCTAGCTTTTTTCGGCGGCATTCCAGATGCGCCGCCTCCCCCAAGTGGAAAATTCCCAGACAGTGGTGATGCGAACGGCCCAGGAAACCTGTTTGTAGGTTGGCTTTCGGAAATATTTCCAGACCTTGACCGCCCGCGTATGCCCAATGACCAGCCATCCGCTCCGGCTAAACGACCGAGAGGCCGCCCAAAGGGCAGCAAGGCAACCAAAGCCAGAAAAGACAAGGGCATTAAGAAGAATAACAGAGGCCCCGATGGAACTGGTTTGAGTGGCCAGGACGGTGACCAACCTGGAGATGACGAAGGCTGGGAAGATGTGAATGACAGCGTCCTCGACGTGAGCAGACAAGGCGAGAGTGTGGAGGATCGTGTTCTATCTTTGCTACAGACGCCTCCGCAGAATGCTGGGGCCTCCAATGCCATGCCAGGGACTGGTGGCCCATCCGGTTTTACATCTATAAACCCAGCATCAACACCAGTCACATCAGTCAAAAAGCGTGGTAGGCCGAAGGGGTCGAAGAACAAAGCTAAGGACCCAAACCTTCAGAATACACCACAACAAGCTGAAGTTGGGGCTGGTGCAGCTCCCACCACGACCAGCACCTTTCAGCCGGCATTGAACGTCGAGTCGACTCCCACAGCACCTGTTGAGGGCAAGAAGAAGCCCAAAACTGGCAAGAAAGCCGCAAATGCCTCTGCCGCCTCTGCCACTCAACTACCACAATCGGCACAAGTAGGAACCAGCACATCATATATACCCCCTCCAACGTTGCCACTAGCGGCCACGAGAAACCCCGGACCTGTCCAGACGGGCGTTAATGGCAGCAATGGAAATGCTGAGGGTATTCATGTACCGAGACAGATACAGAACATGGATGCAGAAATGCCCCAACCGATCAACTCAGTAACACCCCAAGTGAAGGAATCTTCCATTACTGGCGCCAAGCGGAAACGTCAAAACAATAAGCCACCTGCTAAGAGTGCAGATTACGCTGGGACTAATGACCCTGCCACTTCTCACCTGCAAACCAATTCTTCAGGGTTACCACTTGCCTCTGGGTTAGGCATGGACACGCCTCAACGGCAGTCCAACGCTATACCTACGGCTGACATGTCAGCTGCTGCACCACCTGCTAAGAAGCCCCGCAAGTCGAATGCTGGCACTTCAAAGAGGAAAAGTACAACAGGAGCAGCGGGTGAACTTTCTTCGGTTACATCTTCCGAGAATGCCCAGAATCAAACGTCCTCGCAGATGATTGACGACACTACACAAGCACGGTCACAGCCTGAAGGTCTCCAGGCTCATTATGATCGTTTTGCCTCGCTATCCAACAATACTGATCACCAGACTCAGGCCTACTCTGGCCAGCAGCAAGCGCAGCAGCAAGTCCAGCAACAAGTGTCTAATAGCGTGAACACTTCTTCTGCCCCTGTGGAAGGCTTGGAAGCCCATTATGAGCGGTTTCAGTCCGTACAGAACCGGCAGCACAATGCCCAACAACCCGCCAGCGCACGTCAACAGTCGCGGCAGGTTCCGCAGCATCATTCTACACAATCGGCCTCTCCGGTCCCGCCTCAAATTTCCAAGACACCGCAAATGGCGACGCTTCCTTCCCAGCAGCAGAATAGAGCAAGCACAAACACTCCAAACTACTACGCTCAATCGCAGACCCCAGGCTTTATTGTGCAGCAAGGTTCCTACACAACAAACCAGCGCCAGCCGCAGAATACGAGTACAAGCTCTCCAGGAACTGGTCTTGTGTCCCACGTTGCGCATTCTCCCCAGTATGGGACACAGAGTAGCAATTCCCCGCTCTTGAGTAACGACAACACGTTTCGAGGATCCCCGTCGCTGGGGTTTGCGCCTCGACGCACAACTTCTGCCTCTCCGATGGATAACGCTTATCGGACGAACAGCGTGACGGCCCAAGCGTTTGTCAATTCTCGCCAGACTCCTGCGACTTCACATGCGGGAGTTGCATCCACCTACTCATCCTTCACCGACAATAGCTTATTCGACCTTCAAAGCTTTGATTCCGCCAGTGGTAATAACATGGGACTGGGCGGCACGGGGTCTTACAGCATGGGAAATAGTAATGTACAGCGGGCAAACAGCGCATCAAACAATAGCTCGGCTTATGCTGGGACTACCATGACGAATGGAGCATACGATCAGACCGGGCTGAACAAGGGGGCAATGAACAACACTTACCGGGGCCAACCCCGATGGGCATGACGAACTTATGAACTTTCAAAAACGGTGCAGAAATGGCGGGTAAATAATTTCGAAGGAATAATCAGTCTCATGGCCTGGAGTCAATTTCATAATGGCGTTTCGAGTGGGGGAAACCGTGCTTTTTTCTTGGTCGACTTTATATTGGACTTCAGTACAATCAGGTCCTCTGCATCAACGACTGGATACCTGTGCAGGGCCTTCTCTTCTTATGAGCATTTGTTTCGAGTCAGCGTCCGATGGGTCTGTCAAGACTCTTTACGAAGCGATACGATTGTGGCGCAAGCAATGATATACCAACTTCTGTTTCTGCCTCTGACTTGTGCTCTTTGGGCTGGCCTGATGTATTACTAGAGGGGTATATAAATGTTCATAGCGGTAATAGCGAGCTTGCATTGTGCCCAAGCCTTAGGAGAGCCACACGTGATGACCGGGCGTTTCGGTAAGTAGATGCATCATTAAAGATCTATCTTCTATCATTCATTATCGTGTGCACATGATCATTAAAAAAAAAAAAAAAAAAAAAAAACAAGACTACTCCATTCCATGTATCCCCTGACCGTCCATGATATTCGCTGCGAACAATATTGTGCGTTGTCTCCCGTAGAATAATATCAGCATCAACGCAATGCTACGAACGGAGCAAGCGATGTCTGGTCCTCTATATCCTGGTCCCGTGTTGTCGCATTAGACCGCACTCTTCGGCAAGTCTGGAGTAGCACGTCCTGGGGAAGAGGAGTAAGAAATCAATATCAGGATTCTCCCACATGTGAAATGTTGACTGTGTGAATGAGGCTTACCATGTCAAAATCCTTGGCAGATTGTATGCTGTATACATTCCGTCGGAGCTGCGAGAGAAGTTAGTACGATAATGAAGGGGGGAAAGAAGCTTGCTTGATGGATCATCAATTACCTCGACGCTGAAGTCGCCCACGAGCTCCGACAGGGCTATTGATAGATTCGTAGGACTGACATGCTTGGAGTGCAAAGTCTTCTCAGGCATTTTACCGCAATTACTTTTAAAGAATGTCAAAGAAGACGTCTTGTTAATGCCGTGAGTGGAATATTTCAATACATCTGCTTATCTAAATATCTAGCTAATGTCATCATGAAGTTCGACGCAGATCCCACTCTACTTAAATGGGGATGTGTATAGGGTTAGAATTCGGTGAGTATCGTGTCTGTAAATTACGCCAGGCGACTTTGGTGTGACACCGCGTCGTGATCCCGATTCGTGAAACTGACGTGGAACTTTTTACACTTCGTTCTGGCCCAAAGAATCAGCAGCTTTGTGTGTGCGAACTGGCGAACCATGACTCGGCAAGGCAACCTGTACATGTAGGTGGTTGCCCAATGACTGTGTATAACAACCTCGACAGCTAATGGAGGGTGGGGGCGAGGGCTCAATATCGAGCATCATGTAGCTGCAGCTCGCTCTTTCGGTGAGGAAGACCCCAGCTGCAGTCGAATTCAGCCTTTACCCAACGAGAGGTTTAGGTACTATTAAATAGGTGAGCCGACACCAGTTCTCCTAAGTGTCAGCCCACATGAGTCTATTGCACCTTGGGATAAGGCTCCCGGTGTAGCGGGTACTCAGCCCCTTGGGCTCTTTGCATAGGTCCTGCCACATCACTCTCCTCAAAGACTAAGCCTACCTCTTAGACCGCATTATGTTGGGTAAGAAGGCGCAAAGCTGGCCGCAAGGTGTATTGACCTTCTGCAAGTAGAGAAACACAGCCCGTGGAAGAGGCTTTGAGTCGTGAGCATCTGGACACCCACTCACTGCTTTATTCAGAGCGAGACACAGGTAGGACTTGATTAGATTATATCTAAAATGCTGTGCTGATCCACCCGGTGGCCATAATTTGTTACCTCGCGCGTTTCGTTCTCTTCCAGCCCAACGATCTCCACCCAGTCACAACGGCGAAGTAGACAGAGAGTGAGATCGAGAGCCTTGACTCGTTGCAATGGAGTACGAGGCGTCAGCTGAGGCACCAACTCCACCAGTCATACCATGGCACACCCAAAATGAGCTTTCCAGGGCGGATTTAGCTCCTGAACGGACCAAAACCGCGAATTCTGCTGCTCATAGCAGCATTGTTGGCGACGGGGGATACGCGAAGCAACTGGCCCACAGCACGGCAGCTACTCACCAATCATCCCACGATTATGACGAGAACCTGGCAGTGGAAGATGATTTACAGTACATTGGTGGTGGTATTGGGTCGAAACAAGCAAGTGACGATGCACTGGATGAGGACTCAACAGCAGCTGAGCCAGAGCTTCGTGCACCTGACGGGCTCGAGCGCTGTCTTCGGATGGCAATGGTCGATTCAGCCGGAAAAGAGGCGACAGAAAAGCGTTTTGTTCCAGTCGATGAAATTGATCGTATCGTCAATCTCAAGTCCGTTCTCCGAGAGCTCAAGACCGTCAACCTCGGCCGAGACCAAGACCCGAATGACATTGCCCATCAAATCTGCTCCGTCCACGAAGGCAAATCTCCACTCGACGGAAAGGAGACAAAGACCAACAGGAGACGAATTTTTGCTACATTGGCACTGATAAGAGAAACAGCAGCTGTCCAAGAAGTACTAAGAGAAGGCCTCTACGATTGGGATCTTCCTCTGGCACTCGATACTACCGATCGAGGACACCATCGCTTGGCACGGCGAAATGCGGATGGCAGTCTACGCCTAGTTTCGTTTTCGAGAAGCTGGTCCCCATATCAGCATGAAGCCTTCTCGCGATGCCAATGGCAACTCTCCAGCCCATGCTTTGAAATGCGCACCAATGTAGAAGCCAAAATCATGCACTACCGCCTCAATGCTCACAGCATTTTACCGATTACCAAGATCGATGGAGAAGACCGCCATGGAGGCTTTGCAACTGTGTCAAAGATCAAGCTGCACCCGGCCCACCGGAAGTCGATATCGAGAGTAAGAGAATAACAATGTCATTACAAGCTTTTCATTACTAACAACTGTGTAGGATCAAGACTCAACCTCATGGCTAGCTCTCAAGAGGCTTAAATTTAGCACAGAAGAAGCTTTTAAGGCAGAAGTGGCACCGCTAAAAAGACTCGGCAATAACAAGAACTCCCACATCATTCAAGTACTCACCACTTTTCAATACCGAGACGAATACAATCTTGTCTTTGAATGGGCTGATGGCGGCAACTTGTTTGACTTTTGGCAGCAGTCATTCCCCCAGCATCATTCCCCGGCCGGGAACCACGGGCTCGGAAAATGGCTGGCGACACAATTGACTGGATTGGCTTCTGCTCTTTCATTGATACACGAGTGTGAATTCGACCCACTGGCAGCGAAGTATTCCGGATTCAATTCACAAGATGGTCGCAAGAAATATGGGGCCCATGGCGACTTGAAGCCAGAAAATATCTTGTGGTTCAAGGCCACGCCCAATGATGAAGACTCTTCCAACCTGGGTACATTCAAACTCTCTGATTTTGGTCTCGCCAGTTTTCATAGCTTGGAGAGCCGAAAGAGATTTCAACCCGCTGGATTCTCGGCAACATATCGGGCTCCCGAATGCGATCTCGACCGACACATTTCGCAAAAGTACGACATGTGGTCCCTTGGTTGTGTGCTGCTAGAACACCTGACATGGTACCTGCTCGGATATGATGGAGTCACCGCGTTCAGTCAGCGACGAATGCAAGAGTCACAGCCAACATTCAAAGAGGACAACTTTTTCAATATGACCCAGGACCGATTTTCTCTCCAAGGAGGAAGAGCAATCATGAAGAGATGTGTGCAGGAGGTGAGTTTTCACAAGTCGCTCCGACTGACACAGTGTGACTGATTATTCTGCAGCAATTCAACTTGTTGAGAAAGACGCCAAATTGTTCGGATTTTCTTTCTGAGGTCCTTGATTTTGTGCAGGACAAGCTGCTTCGAATGTCCCCTGACCGAAGATGTGAAGTGTCGGAATTTCTCCACTTTACCAAAGACGCCAGCCAGAAATGCATGGAGGATGAAACCTACTGCACCCAACGCCTGAAGCCGATCGAAATAAGGACCGAGACAAGCCTGTCTGAGTTACATGCACGATTATCCCTCCAGACTGGTCAGCATAAAATGGCTGTATATGCATCTGTCAACAGAAGTCGGACCAGCGTGCATACACAGGCAATCCCGTCTGCTTCAAGCGGCGCTGACCTGCTCAAGAAACTTCCAGTGTCCCCAGTGAAGGAGATGGAAACTGAGCAGCCAGGGCAAGAGACAAATAATCAAGAGTCGGCAGACACAGCTCTCATCACAGAAGAACACCTAACGCTCATTAGTAAGAGAAAGAATGACGAGCCAATGGATGGGGAATTTGAGCCAACAACACAGAACAACCCAGAAGTGGCAAACGAGTACCAATTTCTCTCTGTCTCAAAATTGGGAGGGTTCGGTTCCGGTACGACAGGCGAGAAGAGTCCGAAAGCATCTCACGGAGATGTTTCTAGCGCATCCTATGACAGCAACAGCTTGGAAACTGGCACAGTGGGTTACATCCAGAGACAACCGGAAAAGAGCGAATACACGTCAGATGGCGGCTGTCTGGGAGGCTTGTTGCAAATGGTCAAGGACAAGATCCGCCATCCCAGGACTAAACACAGACAGTCAACGACGTAGGAAAAGCTCACATGAAGTACAATACTTGATTTCTGTAAGTTATAGGCAGAGGCGTTCATTGTATATAGTCGCACAGATGTAAATATTGGGACTCATTCTTTTTTGAATCAGTCATAGAGATACCCAAGATAATTTTCCAATTGATAGAAGCTTCCGTATATTTATTGGCGGATATGCTGGGAAAGAAGGGAATCCATTCAGTGCAGTCCCATTGACGGCCCTTCAACTCGTAGTTAGTGGAGGTATCGGGGATTTCTCCTTAGGAATCTGTCGGCCAGCAAGTGGCGCAATAATGTGTCCCACCCGAGCGGCAGGCTGTAGTCAACAGATACCACTTGACTGCCCGAGCGGCTCATCGTGAGGGGTCGGTGCATGCAGCATTGATGGCGACGGTATAATCGAAGTGTGCATCGACAAGCATCAACGGGGAGGGGGGCTATGCTGACACAGCTGGATTCTTTTGTCGGAAATTGGGTCTGGACTCTCAACTTCCCCAGGATTGCGACATAGCAAAGCCGACGTCAAAAGAGTGAGGCTGCGTCTGGCGTCGGAATCTGGTCCGCGGACTGTCCCTTCTTGGATGGTGTCGTCACATTGAGCCCAATCGACCGGTCAAAGATAGCGAAGAAACTCTTGTGGCCAGGATGGCATTGGTGCGACTGATAAAAAGTAGAGGGTAGTCGCATCGCAGTCCCGAGTTCCTTCCACGATCCGCAACTTGAAGTTTCTAAATGAAGCAAGAAAATAAGCCATTACTCGATCGCACTGAACCGAATTGACGAGTCGTCAAACATTACCCGCACAATGGTTGATGTACCCGAGTTGCGTGTGGAGAATCGGCGCGTTAGTGATCCAGCGAATGCACATCGTCGAGCCAGTCCAGCCAATCAGTCCCAGCCAAAGCCAAAGCCAAAGCCGCAGCAGCAGAAGCAGCATCTTTCTCCCTCCAGTTCCCATCCTCTTCCTCCTCCTCAAGTTACACAGAAACCCAAACAAAAAACAGTAGAGCAGCGCCTGAATCTTCGTCTCAGACAGGAACTGCCTTGTTATGTCGGCACGAAATGGCCAATAGCACAGCCTCATATCCTCCGAGATATTCTTACCTCAGAGGATATCCAATCCTTATTGAGAGAGTACCAGTCCAAGGGTAGGCTCTCAAAAAGCGAAGATGTCGAATCACTGTGCAGAAAAGTGCGTGGGCACAGACACCCGAGCTGCATAGTGGTACTGGCCATGCTGATCCTCGTCGACAAAGGCTACACCATTGGCGAAGTGCTGCGCGACCAGATCTTTGACGATAATCTACCGTTGGTAGTCGTTAATCATGCCGATCCTGTGATCTTCTCTTGGGATCAATCCAGAAAAGACTGGAGACAATTGGTGTGCTTTGAGGACGATGATACGTGGGGGGTGCAAGCCAAGCTCGACATCTGCAAGTGGCAGTGGTATCTCAGAGTACCCCGCATGAAAGTTTCCGGACCAAGCTTTGAAGCATATGAAGGCAAATTTGGACCCGACACTGTGTTGCCGTGGAGCTCAAAGAGCAAAGATGGCGAGGTAATGAAACACGATAGAACCACAGGGTACGGGGGATACAGTGCAGTCTACAAGTGCCACATAGACGAGAGGTTTCATGGTTTTCATGAGGTCCTGAAAAAGGTCAGCACCTAGTCGCAATCACTGGCGCGGGATTTGACTGACCACATGACAGATTGGTCTGGGTGATGGGAGAGGCTTCTTCGCTCTGAAGGTCCTCAACACATACACCGCAGACGAGAAGGCCCAAATCTCGAATTTATTTCAGAATGAAAGGCGGCAACTGAGTCGGTTCAATGGCGTTGTCCACAACCATCTTGTGACTCTACTGGCAGCATTTGAGCAGGAAAACACAGAGAAGAACTTCTTTGTCTTCCCCTGGGCCGAATGCGATCTCTCCGCCTTCTGGGAGAAGCAGAAACCTAAACCTGGAGACGCCAAATGGATTGCCGAACAGCTCAAAGGCCTCGTGAGTGCACTGAACGAGATACACAATCCGGCACAAAACTCTCAAAACCTGGGGACACAGGTGTTTGGTCGTCATGGCGACCTAAAACCAGACAACATTCTCTGGTACACACCATACAAAGGCGATCCGAAAGGAATCTTGGTGGTATCTGACATGGGCTTCACGGCGGTGAACAGCGAGTTGAGCCGCTCCAAGCAGACCAACGGAAAGCCTCGTACACCGACATACAGACCCCCGGAGCTAGACATACAGGGGGCAAAAGTTACCCGCGAGTACGATGTATGGTCGCTAGGATGTATCTTCCTTGAAATGATGACATGGATCCTGGGGGGGCAGAGATTCAACAGTGAGTTTAAAAAAAGCCGAATGACCCCAGAGAACGGAGTGAACACCTCCATCTTTTTCACCATGGTCGGAGGCCAGCCCATCGTAAAAAAAGAGGTTGTTCAGGTGAGTAGCATCTTTGAATAATCCAGTATCACTCTGACAATGACTGACTTGTTATGCAGTGGATTGATACACTTCGATCGCACAAGAGAAGCACAGAGTTCATCCATGCTGTTCTTCGCATCGTTCAGGACAAGATGATCATTCCCCGTGCTGACAGGAGGTCGAGGGTGCGTGATCTCAAGACTGAGTTCGATAGAATCAACGCAAAGTGTAAAGAAAAGGCCTCTTACTACACGGATCCATATAAGGCTTCACCCAAAGCGAAGTCATCCTAGAACCTGACGGTCCGGCATAGGTAGACTGACGAAATCACCGAAGACGTACACGACAGAACGGTTGACTCTGGCGTCGGACTGGGTGTTTGGGGTCTTATGAATGTCTCAAAGAACTGATATGATGTCGATTGTCTATGCCTGGAGAAGAATGAATGGTGGCACATATTCAAAATAAATGGGTATTTCAAGATGATCATTTCCGTCCCAGTAACTCCCCTGCTTGATAAAGATATGACTGAGTCTTTGTTAGTTGATGCGCAACCGATGGCTCGCGAAGAGCTTCACAATGCCCCAGTCGCAAAAGATGCGTTTCACGACATCTGCCGATATTGTCTGAAACTGTCCCGCGCATCAAATCTACAGATACCCAGTGCTCCTCAGTCTTCCGTTTAACACAGCCGACAGACTTTGTCAGAACTGCTGGTAATGTTCAAAGCTTGCAGCTCTCTGCAATTTCGTGATTTCATCCTGGATGCGATGAGTAAATTCCGTTTACTTTCAAAATAAACAGTAGACCTACCGGCTTGAGAGCTCGAGGAATTGTGCATTCCCATCGACCACGCGTCCACTAACAAGCGAGGTCAGACATGTATTTGCGTTGAATTGTGAATGCACATACCTCTATTCCAGTCTTTCCCCAACCAAACACGGATTTTAGGAAATGTTTGAGATTTTCTTCTTCGGCATACGTAGCTCGCACGTAGAGCACAGCCATCTTGAGAGGGGGTTGGCAGGCGATCCCAAGCTTCGATGAAATCTCGGCGCCAGGACCGCCTTTTTGACTGCGAGCAAGAGCCAGAGCTACGGATACACGAGTAAGTGACGATGTAAATGAGGCGGTCTAAGATGATGCCCCATTTATATGTGACAACGAGGATAGCATCTCATCCGTACGCAATGATTCAGCATCGACGACCCCGACCGGGTGGGTCGCTGCGTGAGAGGCGGGAGTGCTACAGCAAAACTTGACGAATCAGCGGGCCCCACGACTCCTTTGCGTTACGACTCGCGGGCTTGCCAATTCAATGAAACCATAGATACCCGATCATGAGCCCAAGGCAGTTTTTTGTGAGACGTATACAGAGATGCAAGGCGTGTGGTTCCAGACCAGCTTATTACGCTCATATTGATAGTTTCGGTCACGCTAGCTAGCACAATTTGCCTATATGAAATGGGCACAAGTGTGATGATATCCGAGGATCCACCTCAGGAAGAAAATGGATCGATTCCGGTAGGAGGTTGATTGCAGAAAGAAAGCTGCAATAGCGGCATATTGACGCTGCAATATGCATACATGTCCCACAATATATCTTTTTTTTTCTTCTTCTCGCGCCACCCGACAATTCTTTCTTTTATTCCTTTGGCGAGTTCCGAGGTCTTATTGGTTTGGATGGTGTGGTGTCACACTGCGCCACCGCCCGCTCGCCCTGTCGCATGTTGCATGGTGGTGCATGCTGTACAGAGTAGCATCGCATACTAATACTCTTGAACGACCAGAGCTGACGAAAGACCATCCACGCTGTTTACTTGTGGCAATAAAAGCATAGGCAAAGCAATATGAAGGGACGGAATCTGAAAATGGTGAAATAAAACAAATCAAATCAATCCGGTCAACTCCATATTCCTCAGATTATGGACTGGATTCGCGATCGCCCTGGGCTCCTCCCTGGCGATCTTGATCGCGTCTTCAAGTATGACTCCAGTTCCGCAACAGTTCTGCGCATGACCGAAAACGATAAGATAAGCTTTCATCATGGTTATGATTGAAAATCCGCATGCTGACTTACATATACAAGCCTGCTATATGGTCACTAGAAACAGATGAAGAATGGAGCGAATGGATAAAAAAAGTATTTGTTATTTCACGAGTATACAATCTGCACCATGTGTTGACCGATTCAACAGGAAAGGCCGTCGCCAAATGGCTCTCAGCGTGGTCTCGTTCTTCTGTAGGACACCTCCCCTCTCAATTACACCGTGCTCAATGAAGAGAGAAAGAAACCCTGCTCTGACATCTTAGGTCAGACTCATAAAGCGTGCCAACATGGCAACTCTGGGGCCCCTCAAAAAGGTTGATTCGGACGACTGGCTCAAGCGATTAGAGACTGATATGCCCGGGCGACCAGACATTCTGGAAGCTCTGGGGGAGCTTGCAAAGCGGGGGGAGAAGGGCGCTGGCATGAAGGAAAACGTGCTGCAGGCCCCAACCGGCGGGCGTCGAGGGCTCAGGACGGTGCCGTTTGAGCGCAAAACTTTTGAAAAAGTCTCCCGAGCTTTCAATATGCACAGCTCGATATCTCGCGCCATTAGCCGGGCAGATGTGCCAGTCTTCTCGCATGTGAATGCGACCACGGAGGATATAGCAGACCAATACAAGGTCGAGCACAATACTTTTGGTTGGGAGCCTCTGCAAAGAAGCGGGTTGAAAAATGAAAATTGGGCTGACTCAACTTACAGTATACAATTGTCGTACATCAAACGCCTGGCAAATGGACCTTGGATTGACCGTCACATATTTCCCCGACTGTGAGCTCTCGTTTGCGGTCCTTTTCGGCTGTCATATCTCTACCGAGGAGGAGATCATCAAGCGCTTGGCACATGCTCGTGATGATATCTCCCACCCATTGCTGCTACCAGGCATCGTGGCAGAAATCGAAAGGAAACGACACTTTTACCACGCGGACAGAACAATTGATGAAATTGAAGCTCGAATATTCGACTTGGAAACTCGACCAGACGCACAAGACGGCATGGATGCTGCGGAAATGGCCAAGATCCACAAGGAAAAGCGCACAGCCTGGTTGAACACGACATATACTCGGAACTGCCTAATCAGTTGGCAAGTCCAGCTTGAAAACATGGTGCGCCAAACTGAAGCACTCGATCCGGTCATCAAAATGGGCGGCGACGGCTCTTCTGGCGAGCACAAGTGGCCTGGTGTTCATGGCGAGGTTGCTACGCCCATGCACCAAGATGAAATGAGTTGCGACCACACCCAAAGATACCCAGACGCGACAGCAGACTCTCCGACAACTACATTGGTTGCTCATGACGAATATCAAGAAAAGCGAAAGGCTACAGGGTACAAGATTGCATCGCGCATTCGTGCATTGATTGAAGAATACGATGACAAGATACGCGACTGTACAATGAGGATCGACGGAATGGCCATGGCCACACAATGGGTAAGCCTTTTCCAATTCCACGATCTCTTGGGAACGACGGATGCTTACAATAACACAGGCACAAGGAGAGACCAATTTGGAAATCGCAAAAGCCACGAGTCGAGATTCTAGACATATGCGGTCCATTGCTCTTGTGACGATGGTATTCCTACCTGGCACTTTCTTTGCGGTGAGCATGGGCACACACTTTGCCCCCAGTTCCTCAAAATGATCTAACAGAATTCCAAACTGACTTTGTAAAAGGGTATGTTTTCAATGACTTTCTTCAACTGGTCAAATGATGGTGGCGAACCGATTGTGTCGGAATATTTCTGGGTATACGTCGTGGTTACCGTTGCTTGCACCTTGCTCACCGTGGGTCTATGGTATTATTTCAATATATCCCGACGATCTCTGCGCAAATCGAGAGATGTTGAAGAAATGTATGGGTCATGAAACGAGATGTTCGGGCAGTCCAAGCAGCATTCCATAGCGACTTGGTAATCATGTTGAGGGAGATGCCTATCAATATTTCATCATGAATATTCCCAGAGCCAATTTTCCAGTGAATAATAAATTCATGATTGGCAAAAACTGCCAACAAATCATCACATTCCGAGCCGCGTCTTCTAGGCTTCCCATAGCTTGGGGGCCAAAGTAAGAAATTTGGACTGTACAGAGTACAGCTTTTGATCCTTACTAGGTGTAAATCTACTCTGAATACATGACTTGGATAGTTTCAGGAATCAGGTATCCAAGGGTGAGTCACTGCCGTCAGCAATGCAATGGCTAGGGTGCAGTACCCGGGTAAGACTAGACAGCACGCCAATCACTTGGAACGGCCAAAAATCATATATAGTACTTAACAGCAGAATCCTGCCCCCACAGGCGTGTACCAACTCAAGTTGTTCCTTTTCCTTTTACTAAAAAAAAGTCATCCGTGCTATCTTCATCCTACTGTTCAGCTACAAATCGTCGGACGATAGGGAGTTTAGCCACATAATTTTTGATTGCTAGCATTGAGGGCAACATGCCTTATCATGAGCGAGGGGTCAGAAAGCACCGGATCATCCGTGCACCCGCAAGCATCTTACTCAAAAAAGACACCATCTCTGGTAAGATATGATAGACGGACAAATGACTGAGCAATCAGCTTACCCCTCCTGGTGAGCGAGTTCCATAACGCATGTTTTTTAAATTGTGTGTGCAGCAAGAAATCAATAGTAGTGGCTGATTCAATCATCTAGAGCAGCGCGGAATAGCGGAGAAGGTGCGTTGCAGCACGAATGCTGCTGCATGAACTCAAGGCGGGTCAACCCAAACGATCAATATCTCTAAGCGATGCGCGGATATACGTAGGGCAAGAAGATCAGTGCGATTCCATCTCGTAAACATCTTCGTATCCCAGAAAAAAATGTCTCTACCGACAGGACGCGATTGGAACACGCCTGTCCAAGTGGTGGGATTTACGGGCCGCCCGACATGCTACCAAGCTCGGCCTCTTCGGCTTCATGGACTAGATCTTGTGGAATGGGGATTGAGATTCTCGACATTCTTACAATCTTGCACCTTGTGATCTTTCTAGTCGCCACAACTTCCCCACGCGAATATGGACAATTCCCTATCCACCATTGCCGGTTCTTGCCGTGCGTCGCCCGTCGCACGCAACGTTACCAGGTATCTTACCCCGCGTTTTCTCGCTAGAGCCCGTTGCTCTCGCTCTCACGGATCTGGCCACCCTGCTGCAGATGACCATATTGGCAGGCCATGAGTGGTTATCTCTACATAGTAGACATGCGTGCCCTTGTCTTCCCAGAGCAGGAAGGGAGGCGCTAGCGTGGCACAGCATTGTCTCTCCGGGACACCAGTACGGAAGCGGTTGCCACCATTCACGAAGCCATGCTCTTATCAAATCGGCTGCTATCCAACCGGCCAAGGTTCCCCGCGCCGCGATTGCCTTAAGTTTGCGGCATTGGCAGCTTGAATATGGCTGGAAATTGATGCTCTGAGACCACTTCTCTGCTCAATCTCGCGGAAAGAATCGCAATATTCGACAAGATGGGCGAGTTGGAAATTTCCGACGATTTGAAGACAGTCGATGTACACGAAAAGACCGATGCCTCATCCGAGCGTTGGGAGGCGCCTTCTGAATGGTTGACTCGATTCATCGACGAGTATAGTGGGCGACATGGCGGAGATACAGAGACGTTGCCACCAGGCTCCGATCCGAACCTGGTGGCTGCAGTCATATTCACCATGAACGAAGAGGAGTCCGTCATGGCTCTCAAGTCATTGATTGAAAGCCAGTCGCAAGACTATACCTTTGATCATGTTCAAATGACGCGAATCAAGAATCTGATTAAGGGCAACGAATTCTGCGAGATGGAACATGGCGAGTGGTCCTACGAAGTGTGCAAGACTGCAGGCTTAATGCACAACTGGTCTCCGTATGCTGAAGTCCGCGCTGTGACTATACCATACGATGATCCTGAAGAAGCATGTGAGAGTCTTCGGGCCTACTTTCTCGGCTTCTTTTGGGTCTGCGTTTGTACAGCTGTCAATACATGTAAGTATTGGCACATCCAAAGCCACGATCCTCGCTTGGTGCTTACACGAGTTATAGTCTTCAGTCCCCGACAGCCAGGTATCTCCATTCCGAATCAAGTCGTCCAATTGCTTTTGGTTCCCATGGGCCGCTTCATGGCTTCTGCCCTTCCCGATTGGGGCGTAACTATCCGCGGTACGCGATATACTCTGAATCCTGGTCCATGGACCTCGAAAGAACAGCTTTTTGCTACTATCATCTTCTCCGGAGCATCGACTATCGGCAACTTTACTGGACTGCTCGTGATGCGTCTTCCAATCTTTTTCAACCAGGAATGGGCTGGCTTTGGATTTGCAATTTCACTCGCTCTTGCGAATCAAATTTATGGCCTGGGTATGGCTGGTATCCTCCGTCGCTTGACAGTGTATCCCATCGAGGCAGTCTGGCCGAGCGTTCTTCCGACCCTCGCGCTGAACCGGACCCTCATCAACGCCGATAACAAGCGTGAAACGATCAATGGCTGGACCATGACTCGATACGTGTGCTTTCTCATCGCGAGTGTCGTCTTCCTCATTTACTACTGGATTCCAAACAAGTTCTTTGAAGCTCTTCGCCTCTTCAATTGGATGACTTGGATTGCTCCCAACAACATCAATCTCGCGGTCGTCACCGGCTCGTATGGCGGCATGGGTTATAACCCAATTTCTAGCTGGGACCCTAACGCTTCGGGTTCGACAGCCATGAACTCGCCATTCTTTGCGTAAGCATATGCAATCCTCAAATAAAGTGACCGACAAACTGATAATTTCTACAGACAACTTCAACAGTACGTCATGCGCGTGATTGGAGGTATTGTGATCATGATCATGTACTACAAGAATGCATTCTGGTCGGCATTTCTACCAATCAACTCCAATGGAGCATTTGACAACCAGATGAAGTCGTATAATGTTAGCGCTGTGCTCAACGATGACAATCAGGTCGACATTGACAGCTACAAGACGTATGGTCCTCCGTACTACGCCATCGCCAATCTATTCGTCACGGGCGCCAACTTCATCTACTACACATTCTCCATTGTCTACGTCTTTGCCAAGTACTGGAAAGCTCTCAAGAAGGCCTTTGTAGGTATGGTTGTCAACACAATCAAGCGCCAGTCTATATACACTGGTTTCGAAGATGGTCATACCCGACTAATGCGCCGCTACAAAGAGGTTCCAGAGTGGTGGGTGAGTAGTCACCAGCAGTCCTCCCCCCGGCTCGTGTAACAAACATGCTAACAATGGACAGTATGGCATTGTATTCGCCTTTGGCTTCATCATAAGCATCGTCTCGGTGACGGCGTGGCCTACTCAGACACCCTGGTACTCGATCATTGGCGTTACTGGCGTCGGTGCTCTATTGACGATCCCCTGGGTGATTATTGAGTCTATCGCGACAACAGGAATCAGCCTCAATGTCATTTGGCAGTTTTTGCCTGGCCTCTGGTGGCCCGGACGGCCCCTCCCGCAGCTGGTTATTCTCATGCTTGGTGGAGCATTCGAACAAATGGCTGGCGGCTTCACAGCGGACTTGAAGTACGCTCATTACGCCAAGCTCCCGCCGCGGGCTGTATTCAGAGGTCACGTTGCAGCATGCGTGGTCAATTGCTTCATCTACTGTGCCATTCTCCAAGTGATGCTGGTCTACTTTAACGAGGACAATACTCTGTGCCAATGGAACAACAAGGAGCACATGGTATGCAATTACGCCAACCAGGTGTTTGCTTCAGTCATCTTCTTTGGTGCGTTTGGAACCAACAACATGTTCAAGCTGTATCCCGGCCTCCCGTGGTGCTTCTTGGTCGGCGCCATCCTCGGCGCGGCCTGGGTCATTGGCGAAAAGGTCCTGCCCCGAGTGCGCCAATACCTTCAAGCGAAAATGGACGAGAAGCGATTCCTTTCCTTCGACAAGTACTTCTGGCAACCCTCTGAAAGCGTCATGAGCTGCCTCAACCCAGCAATTGCCCTGTCTGGCGCATTGCAATGGACTGGCAATAACAATCTAACTTATGCGACGCTTGGTATCTACATTGCCTGGTACTTTCAATACTATCTCAAGCGTCGGTACACGGCTTGGTGGGGCAAGTATGCATACATTATCTTTGCCGGTCTTAGCGTTGGTGTCGCTATTTCCGGATTGATAACGACGCTCGTCTTCAGCTTTGGGGCTGGTAAGAATGCATCATTTAGCTGGTGGGGGAACAATGTCGCACAACAGGGTTTGGACTGGCAACTATACAATAACAATGCCTCTCTCTTGCCCTTACCCAAATCGGGTTACTTTGGTCTTGCGCCTGACCAGTACCCTCTCGACTGGTAAATCAAGCCGTGCTTTGTAGCGGCGATGAGAGAATCTACTCGTTTAATTGTAGCATATTATGCATCTGCGGCATTCCGCATCTATCCTAGATGATAAATTTGCGGTTTTCAATGAAGCCAACCAAAAATATGGGAACGGATAGAATTACTGTGATGTCAGCTGTACTCACCGTGTTTAACCCACTTCAGCATGACTTAGTGGACCATTCTATTTGCGGTATCGAGAGTACCAAGAATAACATGATATATAATTAATAATCGTCGCCGTCGCCGTTGTCGCTATTGGCAAAAATGTTTTTAATTATTCTGGAGCTGGCAATTGGCATATATGTCTTTTTTTTTTTGTGCCTGCGTAGGGGACTAACCTAGGTTAGTATTATGGACAATACCTAGGTATGGCTGCACTGGCTGCACAGCTACATATTCGAGCATCAGGGGGAAAAAGAAGGGGGAAAAAAAAAAGGATCACCGCGGTAGAAAGGTTTTTTTTTTCTTTCTCCTTTTTTCAATGCTGCGATAGCATTAAATTTAACGATTGCATTCAGCGCCCGTAAATGTTGCGTGGTATCCTCGAAGTACCGCGAAATAAGGCGATATGGGACTATACTCTATATTGAGTAAAACACGGTGAGTATAGCAGACATTACGTTGATTCTTCTCGGTCCCAAAAAAAAAAAATATGCAAAAGAACTGCCAAAGAGAAAACATCATTTCAACGCCGAAACGAACCTCCCTAGTGTTGATCCATACCGTTCCAAGATGATAATGCAAATGCCTGTTTTGTGTACGAGAGTGATGTGTTGGCGCCTAACTTATAACCTCTCATCCTGTGCTTGAATCATGGTAGTTTCGATGTCTCCTTCTTTGTGCCAGATTCCAGCCAAAGCCTCCAAGGGCTGATGTTATTGGAAGACGAGGACCAGTAGTTCGGCTCTGAGACTCACTCCGAAAATTTTTCTTCAAACGTTCTAGTACTCCGCGTTTTTCGCTTGGGCCAGAGGTTATCGGTGGTTGGGAAGCAGTCTCCGAAGGTTCTCGAGCTTCCTGCTGCGGGCCAACTGTACTCCCTTGCCGGTCCTCAATAGTTGCTTCTGGGTCCTTGTCCGGTGAAAGCACTTTAGGAACTGTCATCATGTTTGGTGTTGGCGGCTCAATGGATGACGTAGATGTCGTATCTGTCTGCATGGAGCTGCCAGGTCTATAGCTCGCAGTAGTAGAACTATATGCAGCTTGTGAGTTTCCTTGTTCTTCCCTGTGTTGAGATGCATGCTGTAGAAAACTCTCAGTGATGACTTGGTCACTCTCCGGAGACTGTCTTTGTCATGATCCAGGCCATATGTACACTATGTGGCAGCTTTACCGGTGCTAGCATTCGTCATTCGGATTGGTCTCGATACGCCAGGACCAAGACGGCACCCCTTATTGGCATATGGATTGTTTGCCCCATAGCACTCACCGTCACGGCCATGTTTGGCGTCTTCGTCACCAGCGCGGCCCGCGAAATGTATGGCACCGCGATTTGGCAGCCAATCAGCTTGTTGCTTCACATCCAGCAAGTCAACTACTCTAGCGCAGCCCGGGCTGGTACCTTCTTTGGAGGACTTGGATGGTTCCTCAGCCAACTAGCCGTAAGAAAACCTATGCAACAATCAAGCGACCTGCCAGCTGACTTTGGACTGCAGGTCAACGTATCTCTCAACTCCGTCGCGGCCGGTATGGACTTAACTTCCGTCGCACCAAGATATCTCGATGCTCGGCGCGGTGGCTTCCTGCTTGCCACTGTAGGGTTTGCAGTATGCCCCTGGAACTATGTCAACTCTGCTTCCACATTTACTACAGTTCTCAGCTCCTTTGGTCTCTTCATTTCTCCTCTGATTGGCATGTACATTGCCGACTTCTGGATCATCAGGAAATGCAACTGGAGAGTTCCTCATTTGTATATAGGAAATGAGGAATCGATATATTGGTACAGCAAGGGTTTCAACTGGCGAGCATTCCTGGTTTGGATAGTCATGGTTTGCCCATCATTGCGTAAGTCCGCCGCCCACCCTTCATGTGCATTCTGATTCATCGCTAAACCCCGCGTAGCTGGATTTTACATGGCAATCACTGGTAATGATATCGGAATGCCGTGGAAGCGAATATTTCAGATCACGTTTTTTGTCGGTAAGTATGAGCCTACCAATACAACCCTCAGGATACAAGATTGACTTATTTTTCTCACCAGGAATGGTTGGTGGTTTCGTTCTTTATACTGCTGTCGCGCTCGTCTTCCCAGTCAAGGATGCGACGAGTCACCAGGAGTATGACTGGTTTATTGAGGAAAATTTTGCCATCAAGGGTCAAGAAGCATTCGACTTTGGAGAAACAGGTGAGGGCACTGGTTTACCAAACGAGAAAATCAATTCGACTGCCGCTCCAAAGTAGACACATGTTAGATGGGTTCTATCAAGCTGATGCCAAAGAGTCTCATCTATGTAGTCAGACTTAGATTTGATCATCTAGCCGCTTGCAATGCAGTCCGATGACAATTTGAAGTGCTTTGGCTTTTTCGTATCTTGCAACATAGAACTAGTAAATTAGACTACTCCATATTATTTGGTTATTTTTACGCTCACTTAATCTGGTTGAAGTAAATGCTGTTACGACTAAATCATCAAAGTTGGTGTGTTCAATGTAGCCTCTGGGGGCTTAATGTGGATTAAATCAAGTCTTCCATTCACCAAACTGATATCATTCATCTTTCTGGAAATAAATCTTTTATTTCAGCTATCTTCAAGCGCATCCTACTTGCCACACTTCCTCGATGTATCCTCCCCTCACTTTACTTCAATATCGTAGCTTGCTTTGAACTTTCTCAGTATATGCTCCTCGACCGTAATAGCATTCTCATCGCTGCTGCCATCCAAAGGCCGCAATTTGAATGCCATGTTTCCACTATAAAAGAATGGAGCGCTGTAGCGGTGATTGTCACCGGCGTTGATTACTCGGTGAACGGCGCTACGATACGCCCCACGTGTCCACCCACAAAGGAGGTCGCCGATATTAACAACAAAGCGATTGGCGACGGCCGGAACGGGAATCCAACTATCCGTCGGAGGGTAGAGGACTTGGAGTCCTGTCTGCTCAGGCTGTTGCAGGAGCACCGTTATGCATCCAAAGTCGGTATGCGCTCCAGCTTTGAGAGGTTTGATGTCAGTCATGTGCTCATCCAGACTAAGCATTCGGAGGATATGGTCAATCCAAGTGTCTTACCTCCAAGCTGTCTGACATCTTTGGAAAGCTGCGGAGGATAGTGAAGTAATCTCACGTTCGCGACAGGCTGCAGCATAAAGTTATCGAACATCTTTGAGTCGTATGGCAGACCCGAGATAAGGATTCTCAAGAGCAGATGTGCAAGATCAAGCATCCTCTGACGATACTCATAGACGGGGTCCTGAAACTTTTCTCGGGGCAGTGCTGGCCAGAGATTAGGACCCTGGAAAGTTCCCGGCCCTTGGATCATTACGCTCAATGTCCTCGCCGATATATATGCCCTAGCTGTTGTTAGTCGTACTGCAGATGGAACCTTTGCCCAATTGCCAAACCTCTTTCAGATCAGGCAGCGTATCATTCTGCAACTGCTGACCCCCGATCACTTCATAACCCCTTTTGGAGGATCCCAGAGCATGCTCCATGCCAACCTTTTGCTTCTCCTCCAGGGGCAGATCGAAAAATAATTTGGCACACTCGAGCACCTTGGTCTGAAGATCTAGTGGAACACCATGGCCCTCAAGCTGGAAGAATCCATAAACTTTGCACGCATCGCTTACTTGTGACACAACAGCATCTCGATCTCTTTGACTCGAGGTCGGGTCCAAGAATGGGCGGATATTGATGAGCGGAATCTCGTAATTTGTCATGTCAACAGTTGTTCGGTGTGTATGAAAGTATATACCAACTGCGATTTGCAATCCATGTTAGGCACAAAATCAAATACTTCGAGTACGATTATCTGACCCGGTTTACTACTTATTGGATCGGCGCGGGGCGGCGGACGGGGTCCGTGGTGGATAGTCGGGGGACCCGACGGCTGGGCTGGCGCTGCCCGTCGGGTGAGGTGATGCTAGTCCCGGTATCAGTCTGGATAGCCGTTTTTGCTTCATTAAGTACAGAGTATTATGATTTTTTTTTTTAGCCATGCGAATGGTCACGAAGTCTTTCGTCATGTTCTTTTTATGAGAAGCAATTACCTTCCCAAAGGGGTTTTTATATAGTGCGGAAGTCTAGTGTGTTGTACTCTCGGCGAAAAATTGTAGACATCATCAGGGCAGCTTTGTTGGGCCTGTTGGTAGATCAGTGTTTGCAAGCATGCACTTTGTGTACGTTAGATAGTGAATGGTATGTGTTTCACGACATTGGTTAGATAGCAGGGCTGATGCATTTGAGCTAGCTGATCTCTTTTCAGCACTAAAGATGCTGGGACAAGCATTTTCAATTGCTAGTTCCTCGGGTCCTTTTCTCAACCACTTTTCCATTTCTTCTCTTAACGCGGCAGCGACAAGACTATATGATGAAAGCCCGAGGGCCGCAAGCAAATGATCTTTGTCTGAGATTATGATCATCAGATGGGTAGAGCCCGTCCCGCTACCTCAGGCATTTGAACCATGAGGTGAGCCATTCTGACGATATATGTTGGGTGTTATGTTTCTTCCTAGATTCCAGTCCTCAGTCTCCACCACTAATTCTGGTTTCGAAAGCCAGGCCTTTGCTTGACAATCCTTGTTGATTCGATCCAGCTCGGCCAACTCTTCCTCTTCAAGCACGCTTTTCCAGGCCATATAGAGAGAGCTCACGTAGCATAAGCCAATTCTCATGCTCCGCGATTTCGCCGCAACGTCGGGAAAGCATTCATCGACTCGCAAAAGACCATAAGCCAGCATCCTTAGCTCGCACCAAATAGCGAATCCGCGCCGCCGGTAAAAGTCCCACGGAACGCGCTGCAAGGGGGAACATTCACCTCTAGCAATATATTGGAATTGGTTGCCGTAGACCTGCGAGAAGGTCTGTGTCGTTGCCGACTTGAAGCATTCGACTTCCAAGACATCCTGTCCGGAAGGGCTTGGTACGGGCCAGTCTTTGTAGACATGGTAGATGATGCGGTAGTGACTTCGACAACTGCTTCCTCCATACTCTCGGTATAATCCAGCACCGTGTAAACAAGTTCTTTTTCGAGACACATATGCTGCTCAAAGTAGGGCTCGTCCTCTTCCTCGAACATGTCTACAAATGGCCACTTCCGGGAGTACTCCCATCGGCGAATCTTCCTCCAGCCTTTCAGACGTCCAGCACGTTCGGCGGCCTTGAGGTCTTCAAACAGCTGCACCCGCCATAATGCGCGAAGAACTCGTTGTTCTTCGCACCACGTAGGCGGGCCTATGTTGTGCTTGTTCACGAGGACGGTTGACGGCTGCAACTGCCAGGCACCGACGAAGTTGAAGGGGGCTGAGCCGCGGAATTCACTCCTCCAAGTAAAGTCCGGGTCTTGGTCTGCTATATGCATGGGCTGGAGGGAACGGAAGCGGGTCAGGTATGTTGACAGGCAGCCTATCATCCGATTTTCGTTACGGACATGGCTGGCAAGCACCCCACGGAGGATAGAGGTTGGTACCACCACGGCATCGTCACTACCGCTACTGAACTGATTCGCCAGCCGCAGCGGCGCCTGAGTCCACTCATGAATATCATCACGGTACTCCGTAGTTTCATACAAGTACCATTCATGGAAGGTGTCGAGATTGGTGATGGCCTGTGGGAGGCTAGACCGTAAGCAGGCGGCCATGCGAATCATGGCGCAAGTGTGTTTGTGAATGGTTCCCGACACGAAGATTGCCTCGATAATTTCGGCGCCGTATCCATCGAAAACGCGGGCCGCGACTGGCGAAGCTTCCAGACAATGATGAAGAGACGTGGGATCGGGAAGCTGTTTGAGGATGGAAAGGGATATCTCGGTCGGGAGACTCTCCCAATGCGGTTTGTGCGCTGACATGCTTGCTGAGTTGGCTCTAAGTGAGTATGGCTCTGAGTGAGTACATAGAAGCGTCAGTTTGACGGTATGAGGACTACCTACCTGGTGGTTTGGGTTCCTTTCAGGTTGAAAAAGTGTTATGATTGGTTTTGATCACCCTAGCCGTTTGGTAATTGGCTGTCTGACAACGACGAAAATTAATGTCTTGCTCGTCACAAACAGAGATGAGGTATCTCTCTTGATTGGCAACAGGAGTTGTTGCCTTTGAGCTGTGGTATGTGAGGCTAGGCAGTTTTATTGTTGCTGCCAAATCAAAAGGCTGTGCCAAGTGTGTTGCTCTTTCCTTCTTCTTTTTTTTTTGTCACTGACCGTTTGTATTCTCGCGCGCCCAAGTCTTACTTCCTGCCGCTATAAAATGTGGGTCAATCGTAGGAACCTCCAGCTGCTCATCACCCTACCTGGCATGAAGCCACAACAAAACCCTTATTTCTCAGGGTTCTCAGGGTTCTCAGGGTTCTCAGGGTCTAGGTTTGCACGTCGATACGTCAGTCAAAATCAGGTAGTCATGTCGAAAGTCCATGTCCACATCTCCAGCTCAGGGTAACGTGCAGGTACAGGTAAACGCCTCAGCCTCACCATAAGGTAGGCTTTACCCTAGGTATAGCTTACATTTTAATCAAGCACGTCGATTGGGTGCGGATAAGCACAAGAGACCAGTACGTCAGGGAGAAAGTGAAGTTCGACATGAACCATTCACGCCAGCAAGGAGAAAATATTAAAAGCTTCAGGGATATCAAAGATGTGTATTAGCATAAACTCACGGGGCAAAAATATTTAAATATGCTTAGGAAACCCGTTTTATCTTCCTTGGTGGCATTTTTTAAGCAAATCGTGGAAAGAGGCGATACACCGTAATAAGTCACGACAAATTTGTAAGCATGTTTGCATAAAACAACCTTTGCTATCATAAGAGAATAATTCCCGATCCACACTGCTCCAAAGCCTCGAGCCAATGGATACGTTGAAAGCGTTCGTCGTACTCGGACCAGATAGTGTCAACAATTTGTAACAAACTGCTGCTCGCTCTGTGTGGAAGTTTTCGCTGAAGAATCGCAAGCCGAGTCCGAACAAAACGACGCGCCTTGCATATCTCCCAGGTCAACGGCGGCAGAAATCCATACCCATAATGAACAGTGCCTGATCTGGGATCTTGTAAATATCGTGGCACTTGTGCACCTTCTGTAACAGATGGACAATTAGCCTGACCAGACATTGACATCGAATTGGGATCGCAGAAAAGCTCAGGATCCTCCCTGGTGGTGTAGTTCCAGGTGAAAGTCTTTTGCCTCTTTGCTGGGCACTCAAGACCCGCAGCAACAGAGAGGAAGAGTAAGGCATGAATAGAAAGCGAACCCGATTCAGGAGGTATTTGCTCAAGCAGAGAAACCAGCTGCAGGGCAGATGCGACGACATTGTCTGCCTGGAATTTCTCATTTCTGATTGTCTCATGATCACTGAGCTCGGATACTATTTCGGGGAAAGCCAATTTGAGCTGTAGAATCCCGGCTAGGCGATACGCTTCCGCGGTCTGCACCAGATGGGCAATGGGCGTATTGTCATCTTGTGTATGCACCGGGAACCCTTGCACTTCGTCCATGAGGACAAGCGCACCAAAGTCCATAGAATTGAGCTCTCTGTATAACCCGTGCGCTATCGATAGATCGCAGAGTTTATTGCTCAGTTCTGTGACTGATGGAGGGTTTGGGGATTTGAGTTTTTGACACATGGTAGTGCGACAGAGAGCCATCACTTGTCCGAAGATGTCAATCACTTCATTGGATATGCCACACCAGGAATTGGGTCGGCTTCCCAGAAGAACATTAATAGGGCCACAAGCAGGCTCGTCGTAAGGAACTTCAGGAGAAGAATCATTGGTCATCAACTGGGCCGCTTGGCGGAGCCTGCTTCGCCTTTGCTGCTGGTTTCTGTGAACTTTCATGTATGTTGGGCCTCGACCTTCCGCAGCAAGAAGCATCTTCCAGTAAGTAAGTGCCTGGCAAAAGTATGCATAAACCAGAGTGTCTGCTGTATCGGGGTCTCGTCTCCAGTAGCAAAGTAATTCGCGAGCGATATCTAGCCATGGATCATCTTCCATAGATGAAGATGCTAGCCAACTTGTAGATGTACCAATACAAAAGACGGCAAAGATTAGATCAGTTACGATTTGGCCTTCAATCGAGTTTGCAGTCCGGACTTGCGTTAGAGTGCAGTTGATTGCCGAGATAGCTTTCGATCGGAGGGTCAAAGAGGTCTCGCGGAGTTGTGGCATATCCTTCAAAAGACAGGCAATTGACATGGCCTGCATGGTATACATGACAGCTTCGGCCCTCGCATGTGCATTTTTGGCCAGGATTCGATTGAAGTTAATGTCGGAGTCAAATGTGGACCGTATTGGACAAATGTAACAAAACCAATACTCGATTAACATGGTCGGCAAATGTGTTAATCCGTGCAAAGACCTGGAGATTGATGCAGCAAGCATGTTGCACTGATTGTCTGGCAGCACAAAGGTCTTGGTGGTCATTGGCGTATCCCGCGACCAGTCCCAAGGCCGGCCAGCATCTTCATCGGTTCGTGGGTTCAGAAACTCATCATGAGTATGCCAGATGTCTGGAACGAAGCCTAGAACGTCGCAATGCTCAAGAGCCTCAGGACACTCTGTATCCTTAAGTGGTGCATCCGATGCCACCAGGCAGTTCACTAACGGCGCTACGATTTCACTGCACCCTTCGTTGTTGCGTAGCGAAGTAGCGTCGGCTTGAACCTGGTCCTGCGGTGGGTTGCTAACTGATGTATACTCCTCGGATTGTTCGTGTTTCCTCGACCAACGCAGCGGCTGCTTCTGGGATCCAGGGCATTGAAGGCCAATTCGTACACAATTTTCACAAGAGGGACGTTTCTCATCACATTTGACCTATCGGTTGTCAATTCCAAAACATTGTAGTAGTGTCTGTGAAGGTACACTTAACCTACCCGCCGAGATTTGCATCTGGCGCAGCCCCTTCGAGATTTGGCTGTGCCTTTGCGTGTACGCTTGTTTTGGGCTAACGGGCGATCCATCGTCGACGGACGAAAGCTGTATCTTTAGAATATCTATTAGAGAAGCCGTATTCATGGGGTATATCTAAATGAACGGAAATATGACGTGGAGTGCTGCGGGGTTGCATATTTACGTGCTGTGGAAGGGGTTAGCGCTATCTTTGGGACCCTAGCGCCCAAGAGGTAGCTGTTACCGTAACAAGCCACTATAGCCTAGCGAGTTTCTAGGCAATAACGAAAGCAATTGGCCGGATGATGACAGACTGAGGCAGTCCGACATCCAGGATAACTGGGATTAGCAGACTCAATCCTTACATTGGAACTCTATATTTCATCATTGTAAATAAGAGACTTCATCTCACACTAATGCATCACCTGTCGAGTCTAGATCAAAGATGATTTCATGTAGCAATTTCAAGAATTTGAAGCAGGACGTCGCTTTTAAATGTTCAGTGTAAGAGTACAAGAATTTGTGCTCATGCAAACTTATTTTGCAAGACGCGAAGCTTGCTAAAATAAGGGTCTTTATCGACATAGGTGCCTCTCAACCACCTCGGCTTTCCCACGTCTGCCTTGTCAAACGCTCGTCTAGAGTGCAGTGTCCTTGTATTGTCAAACAAGACACAATCCCCTGGTTTCATCTTGCGCTCGAGAAGGTACTCGGGGCGCTGTAGCAAGGCATTGAACTTCTGAGCGGCGTGGTGCCACCGCTCGACCTTGTCGTTCAACTCCGACAGAGGCGAACCATCATCATTTGCCCATGACGGTTCCAATTGTGGGCTGGAACGCTCATTCGAAAAGGGAGCAAAGAATGGTGGCCCCCAGTTGATCTTATCCATGCAGCGAACCAGCAAAGCCGCCACGTCTTCAGATCCCAGTTCCTTGCCGCAGGCCTTGGAGTAAGCCTTAACGTAATCTTCGACACGATTGTACGTCGCGTCACCGATACGAAGGGGTCGCAGATCAATGACAGTCTTGGTCGTTCGATATACATTAGAGTCAGCATGGTTGTAGTGGTAGTTGACGGGCACAGTCGCCAATATATCAAACGCCGACATATCCGAGCGGAACAAGTCTACTGCTGCAAGGTATGCATCTGCAAATACACTCGCCCCGCCTGAGGATGCCGACTGGATGCAATGTAGAAGTTGTACATGAGGAGGCTGCTGGAAATAGAGTAAGTCGGTATGGAAACCGAGATCTTGCGACGTGTATGCCGCGTTGCTTGCCGCCGGAACTGTACGGACTGCGAAGGGTAATTAGCATGAGCGAATTGAAGATGGATTCGATTACTTACCGTCCCACGTGTAGCCGTAGAAAGTATCTTTGCAAGGCCCAATACGTCTAGCTATGGTGGACACGGACTCTTCGATGCCGGGAGCATTAGTTACGAAAGCTATCCCAGCAGTCTGGAGCTGATTCATGAGCTTGTAAACTGTTTCATCGTCTTGCATGTATGCCTCGTAGTCGTAGTCGGGCGAATTCAGAGGCCCCTTGGTCCACAAAGCCGGGAGTTTCAAAGAGTCCTTTGGGCAGTCGGGATGAGAACCAGACTGGCTAATCTCTCGTAAATCCGCCATACTGATGTTTGTAGTATGTTCTTCATTGTACCCTGGTACATCATTGTTCCATCTGATGCTCACTGAGTCCGAACCAGTATTGCATACCACATCTCTAGCTTCGATATCGGAAGGAATGTCTGCATTTGAAAATAGCCTTTGTCTTGTCGACACATGCACACACTCTGGGCATTGACAGGAGTCGCGTAGGAGGATAGGGGCGAACTGAAATATTTCCCCATCGATTGGAATGCTTATTCGCCGCGACTTCGGGCCGTTCGAGAATTGGTTTTCGGGTTTCGATTCGGCTGCAGTGCTAAAACTTGCTACAGAATATGAACGAAGTATAGTAGAGTTTCTGATCAGAAAAGATGGTGCAATTTGCTTCTGCTACCACCCGACATGTGAGTAACGATGTTTTGAACATATGAGTCTGTCGGTGCTATGGTATTTTGTAGCCGTACTCACGTTTTGCATGGATGTTTTGCATGGCATTAGCAAGCCTGATGGCTGAGAAGATGACAATCGTCTAGCAAAAATAAGCGGTCCTTTTGATAGCAAACTTCTTGGCCCGAGCCTCAGCGCTTTGGCGATGTGAATGTTTCGTGTGTACTGCATTGCACGATCTTGATTTGGTCATGACAATGGAATAACTTGATCAATAGTGAACAAGGTGGAAGACATAAGATGATCATTTGGTTCTATTTGTACACAGCATGTCTCTTGTCCTGCTGCGTGGAACATGTTACTGTAGTGTAAATGATGAATGGTCTCCTTTCACTCCATATTGTTGTGTAGAGACTAGAATGATGAGGACAGTACACTCTCTGTTCGCTGCAGACTGACGCCAAGTCTTGCCGTTTTGGGAATAGAGACCCAGAATCAAGGTGACGGGTTGAGAGAGTCTTAGCTGTATTCGGCCAGAAAATACGACGTGCATTAGGTCGAAATAGTTGGGGATGTCAGCAACAATATGATTGGTTGTGACAATAGTACAAATGCACCTTGCCTGGTAAGGTATCGTATTCGATTTCTTCATCGGTCAATTGGTAGTAGATGCGGTTATACGATTCAGCACATGTATGCCTCTTTTCCCAGAATTTTCATGTTTCACATGCATTGTTTGGGAGACCAAGGAGAATGTGAACGTCAGGGGGTATTGATATCGTGTACAATTAACTATTCAAAGGCCCAACGTCAAATGCCTGCCTTGCGTGGCGATTAGCTAGCCGATAGGGCATATTAATACAGAGTCGCCTGCACATCCTCCACATCATTCATTTTTACATTTCAAGCCTCTTCTCTACGTGCACAACGTTTGTCTTTTTCTGTCTACCATTCTCGACTGGCTGTCAGTATCGACAAGAACAAACATGGCCTCCTCTGCACGATCTGATGAGACCTTGAAAGAGAAAAGAACACCTTTGCAACTCATCTCTCAAGGTCCCTGCCTTCCTGGAATTCCTCAGCATCCTACCTTTGCTTCACAAAGGCAATGGATGCTAGAGAAAATGGCGCTCGCCTTTCGTGTTTTTGCACGCCTAGGGTACACCGATGGCATGGCCGGGCATATTTCCGTGCGGGATCCCGAGAATCCTCACACTTTCTGGACAGTAAGAACAATGAAAACCGTTTCGAAAGTACTCATAAGACTTGCTTACACCTTCTTAGAACCCCTTGGCAGTGCATTTTGGCCTATTGAAGGCAAGCGACATGATCCTTATTGACTATGAGGGCATTCCAGTTGGCGGTAAATCGCCCATGCCTGCTCTTCGGCGTTTATTCTGCATCACTGAACACACTTCAACAGGGAATACGAGTCGTCCGGCAAATGCTGCAGGTTTCCTTATCCACAGCGCTGTTCACAAGGCCCGGCCAGATGTTGTGGCTGCTTGTCATACCCACAGTGTCCATGGTATGACATGGAGCGCTTTTGGCCGGCCTCTAGAAATGCTGACACAGGATTGTGCCTACCTCTACGGCGAGGCCCAGGCTGTTTTTCACGTGCGAGATGTTCCCGCGTTTTATCTTTGTATGCAATGAGATGCTGATAGAATGGCAGGACTTTGGCGGTGTCGTGCTCACACAGGAAGAAGGGGATCGCATCGGCGCAGCGCTAGGTACGTCTCGGATTATCAATCATTTGGATCTGATGAGAATATCAACTGATCCGAGACCTAATTGAGTAGGCGCAAAGGGCAAGGGCCTGATCCTACAGAACCACGGTCTTTTGACTGTCGGCACGACCGTCGATGAAGCTTGTTTCTTGATGACATTGATGGAGCGTGCTTGTCAGTGTCAGTTGCTGGCAGAGGCCGCAGCAGCAAATGGACTGCCAAAAGTCCTAATTTCGGACGAAAGTGCAAGATATACATTTGAAAACTCTAGTGATCCGGAGACACTGTACTGGGAAGGCCAACCGGATCTACAATATGAAGAATACATGTGTGGGGGGAAACATCGGGAATGACATACAATGCCTGCTTGGGCATCGGATACAGCTCATTTATGATCACAAAAGGCATGATATATAAGGGTGGCATCGTGTGTTGCGCCGCCGTGATGACTTGGAATAGGCAAAACTGTGCCAGTCTGAACAGTCTTATATGCACTGAATGTGGATATATGCCATGAGCTCGTCAATCCTGCGAGACTCACAGCTCTGGGAGGCGTGGTCTGCTCTAAGGGGGATGTTCCCCACGTTGGAAAATATACAAACAAACAAATATCCTTGTCTCAAATTACACCCAGCAAAATCCATTTCTTTCTAGTAAAAAATAATAATCAATTTCTGGTCAGAATAAAGAGCGTGTATTGAGAACAGAAATTCAAATAAGTACGGTGACCAGCAAACTTGTCTGAAGCTTAAGGCTATGTATTGATCTACTACGCTCCGGTCCTTACGTGGTGCTGCTCTGTTGAAGAGCTATAAAGGAACATCAAGAAACATCATTGGTAGTATTGATGACCAAGCCTCCATCACTTGATCCTCAGCGGCTGCAACTTCTGTGAAGTCTCCGCGGACTTTTCAATGTCGAAGCCAGTAGCAATGCTGTTTGAAAAGGTATTAGCATTCGCAAACAAGGCCAAGATTTTGGTTATACTGACAGTTCTTCGAACTCAGGGTCCTCGAGGGTGGTCAGGTCGTATTCAGTACCGTTGGCCAAGACCAAGGCATTCGGTCGCTGACAGTTGGATGCTGCACCACCAGCCCCCTCAGCTCGCTTTCGGCCAACAAAGTTGTAGCCAGCGCCCGTGTAGCGGAATCCATTGGAGCGATTACAAATCCAATCATTGCCATTGTTGCCCGACACTGTCTGTAGGCGGTTGCAGTTGTTGCCGTCATAGCCCCTGCCTTGAAGGTTCCAGCCCGAAGGAATGCCGCGGACAGCAATGGACTGGTAGGGACTGCTGCTGGTCACAAATCCGCAGCACGTGTCCGGGTTCAAGCCGTTGCAGCGAAGGGAGTCGTCTCCACAGTTGTTGTTGGTATGAAGATAGAGGTCAATGGCTGAGGCCGTGGCGGCCAAGCTGAGGAGAGTAGCGAGGAACTTCATTGTGGGCAAGTGAGTTGATATGGTGAATTGAGTGGGAAGATGCTGAATGATGAGGCTATTGAGGTTGTTTACATTGTCAGTCGGGTGGGTGGTCCGCTCTCTTTATACTTTGATTTCAATTGATGGTCGCACTCATTACAGGAATTGTTTCCACCCCTACTGTGTCTTTTACCTAGGCTTGCTAGTTGGATTTGAACGGCAGCGTTGCTGCCATCCCGATTCCTTGCTTGTCTAACATATGTTACGGTGGATCAGCTCAGTCTGATGAAGTGCAAGCGGTATTGGAATCTCACGTCAGAAGTCTTGGCCATCATGAAAGAAATCAACTGCCGAGGAAATAATTGTCGTGGTTCGTGAAAAGGGGATGCAATGACTAGTCGATGTTATATAAGCTAGGGCGAAGGTCAAGATACCAACTTCGGGGCACTGGATTCTTGTTCAAATCATCCCAAGTTCAAGGCAACTATTCACCGGTCAATCATGGAAGACTGTTGATTAAGCGCGCCTGGCATTTGAGCCTGTCAACAATAGGCGGGAATTGGTGCTATGGCCCTCTAGCTAAGACTCAGGGCATTGATTTTACTTCATTAGCTATTCATCAATAATGAAGATTTGCCAAGCAGATACCGCGATTTACAGCCTGATGGCCAATAGAACGATATAGGCACACGCATATAGTTGTGGTGACAGGAATTTAACTCAGGACATGCACAAGACTTTTTTACGTAACCACATATAGTGTACCAAGTTAAATAATTCCGTGGACTTTGAAATCAGCATTTAGTGGCGTACTTTGAGACTTTACACGAATGATGCAGGATGAATCTATCTGAGCTACCAGACATGTCAGCTCTTGATGCAGGCATTATAAGTATCTATAAGTGTCTGGAGTCATGGTTTTGTGCCGGCGTTGTTGACGACCTAGACCCGATACTTATGCCCATCCACTGCGAGCTTCAAATTGTGGCAGCGCTCGAGAAAGGCCAAATAAACAGCATGGTGATAGCTAGGTGATTGAACACGCCTCAAGAGAACGACGAATCTAGCCCGGAGACGAAACGGGATGATGAGTTTCTTCAAGTTGTTTTCAATATTGACAAAGATGAGGAGACTGGTGATTGTACGGGTAGAGATATCAACAGAAGCGATCTGTACCTGAGTGATCCATCGGTCAACTATATCAATTATGGGCCAATATATGAATATGTTGTCCCATTTGGAGATATTATGTTTAATTAGCAACCTCGAATGATGTACGAATAAGCTCGGAAATGTATAGCGGTATCCGTATGTACGAGAGATCCGCCACGGGTCGATCTTATTTCAAATCTAGCTTTGTACACCGTCAGATGTCGGTGCCACAATATGCACGCACTTTGGCACCCTCTCATTATTAGACGCCAGCAAAGTAGTTTAAACGTATTTACTGTCACAGCCTTACTCTGGATATACGAACAGTGCATTGCGACTAATCGGCTATTTTAAGGTTAATTTGGTCGATGCAGGGGTAAAAAGTTACAAAAACGTACAAGTGTAGCGGACTTTTGTCTCATTGGTGCGTCAACGAGCTCAGACTTCCAGACTATTCTCTGCATGCCCACGTCAGCCCTCGCACTCGCTTTGGCTTTCCTTTACCTATCATGCTTGCTTAGTCCAGATAGGAAGCCTTGCCACCGACAGTCCGTATTACCCGCCAATCTGGAGTAGCCTGTGGGCACCTCATGGATAACCAGCGCATTAGACCTAGGCTGTGGCTTTTGGTCCTGTGACAACGGTCCCCCCCCCCCAAAAGTGAATTGAAAAAAAGATTTGCTGGTCTCTCTGCGGCCAAGAGCTTGTGAAACCCCTCGATTACTCACTCGTAGTAGCCCACGCCTCCAATCAGATATTACCTCGACGCCAAAGTACGTTTATCGAGTCTTTCTTGACATGAAGGATGACCATGAGTCTGTGAACAAGGCCTGGGAAAGCCGCAAGGGGTCTATATTCCACCTCTATGTCGAGTGCGGAGCCACGCTGGATCAGTTAATGTCTCAATTGGCACACGAAGGCTTTGCGTCGACGTAGGTTTCCCTCTTGAATCAAGACTTTACAATCGCTAATGCAATGCAGGAAACGGCAATACAAGAAGAGGCTCAAAGAGTGGGGTTTCCATAAGAACATCCGTCGGGGTGATGCTGCTCAAATGCTCAAAGTGCGACACATGCGCGCAGTCCAGGGTAAAGCCACGGTTTTTGAAATCAACGGCAGGCCAACCGATATCGATACCTACCTAAAGCGGACTCGAATCTTTTCTTCGCGTTCCCGGTCCTCGCATGATATTACTACAGAGCTTCCGCGCTACATTCGGTGCCGGACCCCTCAGCCGATAGCTAGATCACTTGATGCGCCAGATACTGCACGTGTAGAGGAGCTGGTATTTGCGTACTACCGATCGCTGAGCCCGTCCGCTGCATCTCTCTTCCCCCGGCCCCAAAACCCACATGTCAAACAAATATGGGGGCTTGTACAGCTGTTGAAGAATCTACACCGGGCTTCCTGGCTCTTTTCTGAACGCCAATATGCTGTTGCCGGCTCTCTCGCACGTTTGGCTTTTTCACAACTGGATTCACTACATGATTCAGCGTTTCCAGAATTCATACTCGTGGCCCTGTACACGTCTAGCATGTGTCCCATTAGCGGGGATCTTGTCCTTTCCTTGTGGCGTTATCTCGCGGCTCGCGCCAAAAACCTTCACTCGCAAGAGGCTTTCACCACCAAGCTCACGGTGGAAATATTCGAAGTCCTTCAGAAAAGAGGTTCAGATATATACTCTCGACTCATACCAGAAGTCATGTTGAGATTACACGAGTTGGACACAGATGAGAGGGATATGCAGATAGCTTACGACTTTATTGGCACCATGAATATGTGCATGGATTGGGAGAATAAGAAGACTCTGAAGAGTGAGATAGGACGTCTTATTCGCAAATCTGTTGAAAGTGGCATACGCGTAGTCACCGACGCCCCAGGCAGGAAAGCTCTCGAAGCCTACGCGCGCGCCCTCGAGGTAGCATCGTCCACTCCGGAGCAACAACGTCAATTATGTTTCAGCAATGCTAGTCAATTGAAAAGCCCCCCGACGGCATTGCTCAGTGAGTGGATGTACTATTCATCACTTGCCAGGGAAGAACGAAGCCACTGCGCCGATCAAGATTTTCGAGGCAACCCACGACTCGCTCTGGCATGTTCTTACCTCGAAAGATCTATTCTTGTGTGGCTTGATGAGGCAGAACCCGAGCCACACATAATCATGGACCTTCGCATGTTGGAAAGATGGCGTCTGCAGTTTGGGGATGTCCCCCGGGCCATTGCCGCCCGTCTAGATTCTGAAAAGACAATGAGAGACTTTGTCCAACGCTGCAGAGGAGCGATTAACTGAGAGGACTAAAGTTAACTTTATCTGTTGGATCACGGGTAACATAAGCCCGGGTAATGAAATGCCTTCTAGCTAGTCCAAAACTTGTTGCTATGGTTGTGATCGATGTTTTGATAGTGTTAAGTATCTTGGTGATGAACAATTTTGCAAAACATTTGCCCAAAGCTTGAATTTCTTGAGTGAATTCGGGAATAATGTTAGTGGCACTATATGCAGCGGCCCGCAGGCGGGGTGCAGCGTAGATGCAAGTGATCAATTCTTTGGCCCGGCAGTTCTCCATCACTACTGCAACGCTCAAGGACGAGAGTCTTCGAAGAATTGTGGGAACTTTTCAAAACGACCACATGATGAAGCATAGCAAGGTTCCCCGCGCATGGCCTATTGCATTTATACTACTACTTGGAATACATTATCCGTTGATCTCAAGGCGGTATTGAAGCACCACACGCATGTACTTCCGGCCATCAAAGCAACAGCATGATGTACATATATCAAGACATTTCTTGGCCAAGCAAGTCAAACAATGTCTAATGAAATTCTTATCAAATTATCTGTATTGTGACGATAAGCCAATCTGTTTGTCATTAAAAATTCCAAATTCTCACAAAATGAGAAACCATATGGAAGCCGGCTGGTTCTACTCGGGAAAACAAATCAAACAGTACTTCCTGACGCGATTTACCAGTCTGAAACCTCCAAAAACAAAAATCCGCAATCCCATTGCAGTTCTTCGCGATCTCGATCGTCATCAATGGCTCATGTTCACCGTGGGTCTGCTAGGATGGGTCTGGGACGCATTTGACTTCTTCACCGTGTCCTTTTGCCTGACCGAGATCGTCGCCGAGTTCAAGACGACAGACACTGCCGTATCGTGGGGCATCACCGTCACTCTGATGCTCCGCTCCGTCGGCGCCATCATCTTTGGCGCCTTGTCGGACCGCTATGGCAGGAAATGGCCCATGATTATCAACCTGGGGCTGTTTATCATCCTCGAGCTCGGGACGGGGTTCACGCAGAATCTGTCGCAGTTCTTGGCGGTTCGATCCCTCTATGGAATCGCCATGGGAGGCTTGTACGGTCCCGCTGCTGCTACGGCTCTCGAGGACCTGCCGTACGATGCGCGTGGTCTGCTCTCGGGCGTCTTTCAGACCGGGTATTCCATGGGATATCTGCTAACGGCTGTGTTCTATCGTGCAGTAGGTTTTGTACAAATGATTCATCAAGTACCTTGTGCTGACTGTATAGCTTGTACCAACCACGGTCCATGGATTTAGATCGCTATTTTGGTTCGGTGCTGGACCACCCGTCCTCATCATTGCGTTTCGTTGGTATCTGCCCGAGACCAATGCATTCTTAGTCATGAAGGCTGAGAGGGAGGCTACGCTAGCTCATAAGAACGAGGGAAGTGACAAACATGCTTCTCGTGCATGGCTCAAGGAGTTTGCGTCGGGACTCAAGTCAAATTGGGTCTTGTTTGCATACTTGGTCATTCTCATGACTGGGTACAACTCTTCTAGTCACGGTAGCCAGGACCTATATCCCACGTTCCTCAAGAGTCGTAAGTACAGTCAAATGAAGAGCCGTTAACTCAATTCTTTGCTCATAATTTTCCAGAAGTCGGACTGAGCGCAACCGACGTGACAATAACCAGTGTGGTGGGGCAATTCGGTTCCATGATTGCCTCGGCCAGTCTCGGGTGGCTGTCATCTTTTGCCGGCCGCAGGCTCACCATGATCTCCGGATGTATCTACGGCGCCGCTGTCGTCCCAGCATACGTCCTTCCGCGCTCGAGAAAACTCATCGCAAGCGCCTTTTTCCAACAATTTGCCATTGGCTGGGTCTTTGGGCCGATTCCCATTTACCTGAGTGAGATGGCACCGCCGCAATTACGAAGTACCGTCCTTGGTCTCACGTACCAGCTCGGGAATCTGGCGTCATCAGCTTCCGTGACTATCCAGACCACTATTGGTGAGCGATTTCCCTTGCCTTCGGAGAATGGTGTTGCGCGCTACGATTATGGAAAAGTCATTGGCATATTCTTGGGAGTCGTGTGGGTCTTCATGCTTGTAGTCACGTTTCTGGGGCCCGAGATGAGCGAGGATGAGAGGGCTGAGCAAAGTGCCTCGGCCAACTATCTTGAGAACCTGAGAAAAGACGGGGTGAGTCTAGCAGAGATTGGAGTACTGAGGGCAAAGGCAACCGTAGAAACTATAGAAAAAGTGGAAACAGGGTCAAAGGGAAACTCTTCAAGTGTCTAAGTCACAAACAACCACGACTTCTCAAACAAATTCATATTCTCAAAACTGTGGAAATCCCAATTTCTTGTCCTCTTTGGGTTCCGTTTAAATGCCTTTGCCATTGTGTTTCCCTGTTTGGGGCACTATATGAGCTCAAACTCTTGAGGCGTCTCCTCCTTAGTCATGTGCCGTTTGAAAACAAATACCTTGCGTGCTTTGCGCAAGGCATCTAGTATGCCGTGACGAAGTACAATCAAAAAGATCGTAATGGTTATTGGTACGGAGATGGCCCAGTAGATGTAGAAATTATTCTTGCCTGCTTCAAAATCTCCGTTCATTGAGAAAATTGATGCGACAAAAGTAGACGGGACAATGATTGTTGCAAACATGGTCAAGTGGCCTGATGTGCGTGCCAACTTGTTTGCCGCTGCTGCTTGCTCATTCGCAATATTTGTCTGCTCATTCGCAATTTTTGTATGCTCATTCGCAATATTTGTCTGCTCATTCTCAATCTCTGTCTGCCCGAATGCCGCACGTTGGGACCACATGTCCATGTGTTCAGCCGCATTTGACTCCAGGTCGCGTTGAATTTCGTATAGTATCTTCCACGCCCTTCTCTCTTCAGTCAAGTATTTTTGAAGCCGGGCAACATGTGGCTGATCAGGCATGGTGGATAGGCTTTTCGCATATGATGGTTCGTCTGCATACATGCATCTGAACTTCCACATGATAGATACCAATTTCCTTCTAGTTTCCTGAATCTGCTGTCGGCGCGTCATCATGGAAGAGTATGATTCTCTGGCAGCCCTTCCCGTTTCGAAGATATCATCATGCCTTTTCTGATAGTTCTGGCGGTCATCTTTTAATTCCTTGCGGAACTCTTGAGCATCGTAGATGACTTTCTCTTCCCATGCTGAACGGATCAGATTTCGAATAACCATAGTTCCTGTGAATGGATCCTCGTTGTGCGGTGGGGGGAATTGTTCGTAACCTGTAACGGCTGCCTCTAAGATGTTCCGATGGACTGGCTGAGTAATGGTTTCAAACTTATTGTCACCTGCAATCATTATTTCGTATAGAATGCTCCGATTGCTTGGTAGTGTGTCTGGTTGTGGTGGTTCCAATAGTAGTGGTTCCACTTCATCCCCTCCCTGTGAAGGAGCTGGCGGAGAGCGCAGCCAAGTGTCGAAAGAGTCCATTAAGATGACCGCTGTGTTGTCTGATTAGCGATCATTCGTGGTAGATATGTAATCTTGCTGCACGTACCCGTCCATGAATCAGGCCCATAATTTCTTCCCCAATACGAGATGTAATTCCTCAACTCAATTTGTCTACTAAAGGACATTTTGGAAGTCTCACGCGGAATAGAACCAGCCGTTACGTTGTACTGTCCGTCCGGATTTTCATGACCTTCGGGTACTACATATCTTCTTGGTACTGGTATCTTCCAGTAGTTGGTATTCTGTGCCGCATATGTGCTGTCAATGACTCTCAGATCTGAGATTTCATCGCAATGGGCCAGAAAAAAATGAGGCGGAATGTTGAGCATCACTCCCAGATGCTCAACGACATCTGCTGACATATCCTGGAGAAGAATTACTCTTCGATTCGTCCTTCTCTCCGATCCATCTTTTGGGGTGTCCTCCATGTAATCAATCAGTTCCGTCGCGTTCGCAAAAGGGATCGGCTTGTGATCTCCCTCAAGCTCGATGATGCAGATCGTACCATCCGAACTGAAATCTTTGTACCACGGGTGCATGGTTTCACGCGGGATCATTGGGTTTTTGTCCTTGACAATGCTCAATGCCCGATCTCGATAGACAGCAATAGCGGCAGTGACAGCCGCATTATCGCTCCAATGAATTGTACCGCCTAAGAATATTTTAGCGAGATCGTGTCCTAAGTCTCTTGCGATGTCGAAAGATTGATACCTTGAAGATTAGGGTTCGTCATTTCGAGTGAATGTTAGGATTATGATCAGATTGGCTCGATAAAATACCACTGAAGCTTTTGCTTTCCTGAATTCTCTGGGTTTCTTCATCTGCAGTCCATAGAGTTCAGCATGGCTGATAATTCTGCTCGTAATAAATAGTATTTAGTTATACCAACTATAGTGAGACTACACCCGCTTCTAGTTTCACTACACGATTGGTCGGCGAGGTGGCTGGACATAGCTGTCTAGCTAAACTGGTCCTTGAAATTATATTTTGTGGGTCTACAGCCCTGTGACGACCAAAATTAGTGTATAAGTTGGGTATTTGCGTGTGCAGCAATGCACAGTCTCTTTGGCATGAATTTAAGCCAGCCCAGCCAGCTGAACCAGGAGGTGACAACTTTTCGCTTGGATGACTCGTGAATATGAATCACAGCTGCACTGGTGCTGATACTCCAAGTCTCCCAAGCCGACTAGATTTTCACGACATGGCCTCGAAAGAAAGACAAGCACTTGTGCCCAATTCTCATACGTATCAAGTTGGCTCAAAAAAGGCAAATGTTTTGGAGTGCAAAAGGTGGGATTCTCCATTTCCAACCATTCCTAGTAGATGGACTATAGGCATTTAGCAGACTCACCCGAAGGTGACAGTGTTCTGTTTTATTGAAGAATGGAGATATCATGGTTGGGAGGGCGACTGACCGCGACTCTCCTGCTTTGGGCTGGTTGTATAGCTCTTGAGCATCCCTATCGTATGTCCATCCATATAAGCACAGAAAGCGGATAAGGAACTTGTCTGCTGCTCATGTTTGCTTGTGCGCAGGTTCGAAGCATTACCCTAAATGTACCTACATACCCACCTACTTAGGGACCTACCTAATATTCAAGTGGGGCTTGCTTAACAAACCACCCAACCCCAGCTTGCAGCAAGCACTTCACCCTCGGGGAATTTCTCGATGTTGCCAACAGATAAGTAGGTAGATAAGTACACCTTGACTATGGTCACAACTGACCTTTTTTTTTTGTCTTTTATTGTTCCAAGTCGTGAGGCAATTTGTTGTTATGCCAATGAATCAAAGATGCTGCCTTCTCCTTACAGCGGTGCTGGCGTGGGCAGTTTCTCGCTTTCCCATTCCAAAGGGTAAAAGGTAGGCCAAAAGTACCTGTTCCATCTCGAGCACTTATGCCGCCGATGATCGAGGTCACATCATATGTCAATTGAGCATGCGGAGAATTACTTACCGCCGAAGGATCAGTGAGGACCCGATTATAATCAAAGGGGCGCCTGACGGGCTTCCGTATCGGGCAGGAGACAGAAGGTTTCTAGAAGACAAGGGCCACGCACCCCCTAGATACAGCACCCCCACAATTGCCGATCTTGGCTGAATACCGACAGAGTGGAACGGCGAGTCTTGATGAGTTGAGTGCCGCCTTGGCTGCGCCCATGTAACATCGTCTCATGTACATTTACACCTATAATGACGACAAGACGAATATACGTGTTCGCAATGACCACCTGCATTCTGTCTGATCTCGAAATGTCCTCCATGAGCCTTTACTCGGTCAATGTATCGTGGCAAAGACGTAAAGACGTTGCAAGTCTCAAAAATGCCGACCAGATACTGTCGAGAACACTCTTCAATCATGTTCAAGATGCCTATGGTCTTTCACGGGCAAGTGGACCGGGAATAACAGCTTCGACTATGTGAGTTCCTATCATAGCCATCCGCCTCCGCTTAGCGAAGAACTTACCAATGGGTGAGACGCTATATCGGGAAGTTGCAAAGACTCCCATGAATAAATCCATCTCACTGGCTGGAAGATATCCTCCCCAAACGGGACATTACATCGGAATCGTATGAGTGGCTTCCAATGAACCAAGTAGCCAAATAGCCAAGTAGCCAAGTGGCATGGCAAAAAGCTGGGCTATAAGGTACTGCAGCCCTACCCGAAGCCAAGGCACCTTGGCAATGTCGTCTTTGACTCGAATTCTTTGACAGAGCTGCTGTACTCGTAAAATTGCCGCCATCATGACGATGCACGACTACGAGACGGACAAGTCGACGACCGACTTGATTCGGCCTGCGACGAAGGATACCGAGCAGTTTGAACTGACCGAGGATCTCAAGGGCAAGATTCGTGTCGCTACTCGCAACGGCCCTCTTAGTGATGAGGAGGCAGCGAGGCGACTGAAGCTCTTCCGCCAGTCGGCACAGTATGATCCCAACATTCCCATCGAGGACCTCGATGATGTGGATCATGCTCTGCAGGAGCATGATGCCAGCAAGGAAAATGAACTAGTGCATGGCTTGGTTGAGGATAGTCCCTACCCTGAGTTGAGTACACCACCAGACCCTGAATCCCCCCAGAGTTACAGTGCTGATATGTCAATCTACAGGTCCGTGCAGCTGTCAAGAACTACGACGTCGATGTTCCCGCCAACACGGTTCGAGCTTGGGTGATTGGCATGACCATGACTACCATCTTCTCGGCTCTCAACATGCTCTTCTCCATGAGATCGCCGTCCATCATCATCACCTCGATTGTTGCTCAATTGGTTGCGTACCCCCTGGGCATGGGCTGGTCCAAGGTCATGCCCAGCCGACAGCTCAGCCTGTGTGGTCTCAAGTTCAGTCTCAACCCGGGCCCGTTCAACTTCAAGGAGCACGGCCTCATTGTCCTCATGGCGAATGCTTCCTATGGCTCTGGAGCCGGCTACTTTACCGATATCCTCACTGCCCAAAAGGCCTACTACGGCTTCGACTGGGGTTGGGGCTATGCCATCCTGCTTGCTCTGACCACGCAGTGTATCGGGTTCGGCATCGCAGGTATCGCGCGCATCTGGCTCGTGGAGCCCGCGTCCATGATTTGGCCCGCAAACTTGGTCAGCACCACGTTCATGTACACGCTCCACGACCACTCGAGGACGAACCCGGCCGAGTCAAACGGTTGGGCCATTAGCCGGTACCGCTGGTTCTTTTACGTCGGTCTCGCCTCCTTCTTCTGGTACTGGATCCCGGGCTATCTCTTCCAGGCACTCAGCGTCTTTGCCTTTCCGACCTTTATCGCCCCCGACAACGTCACCGTCAATCAGGTCTTTGGCGGCTGGACGGGCATGGGACTGCTTCCTCTGACCTTGGACTGGACTCAAATCGCCGGCTACTTGGGCTCTCCGCTGGTGCCGCCGTTCCACTCCATTTTCAACACGCTGATTGGTGTCATTGTCTTTTACTGGGTCGCCGCGGCCGGTATTCACTGGACGGGCACGTGGTACGCCGACTACCTGCCCTTTAGCGACAGCGGATCCTGGGACAATACGCAGAGCTCGTACAACGTGAGCCGTATCCTGACTCCGGACTTTGACCTCGATGTTGCCAAGTACGAGGAGTACTCGCCCTTGTTCTTGTCGACCACTTTTGCCATGAGCTACGGTCTCTCCTTTGCCGGCATTGCCTCTGTCATTGTCCACACGGCGCTCTTCCACGCCAAGGAGATTTGGATCCGGTTCCGGGACCGCGAGGGTACCTTGGACGATGTCCATGCCAAGATGATGTAAGTCGGCCATTGACTCGGTCCTCTCTAGCACACTGACTAACATGATCTTAGGCGCAAGTACAAGACTGTGCCTCAATGGTGGTTTCTGTGCATCTTTGTGCCCTGCCTGGCGCTTAGTTTCGCCACCTCGTACATTTGGCCTACGGGATTGACCTGGTGGGCTCTGCTGATTGCCGTCGTCATCAGCTTTGTCTGGATGATCCCCATTGGCATGGTCCAAGCCGTCACCAATATCCAGATTGGTCTGAACGTCTTCACCGAGTTCATGATTGGGTACATGCTGCCAGGGCGCCCTAATGCCATGATGATGTTCAAGACTTATGGATGTAAGAACTCTACTGCACCCTCTATGAAAAGAGTTGGATGGATAAGATACTAACGTGACCACAGACATTACCATGACCCAAGGTCTTGCCTTTGTTGCGGATATGAAGCTGGGCCATTATCTAAAGCTACCACCTCGCACCATGTTCTTTGGTCAGCTCATCGCCACAGTATGGTCGTGTCTGGTACAGGTGGCCGTCTTTTATTGTAAGTCCAAATGTGAGCCTTGAAAAGTCACATGAGATCGGCTGCTCATCATCGCATCTCCCAGGGGCTCTTGGCTCTATCGAAGGAATCTGCACCGCCGATGCCGTCGCCCGCTTCACCTGCCCGAACGGCAAAGTCTTCTTCACGGCCTCGGTCATCTGGGGTCTGATTGGCCCCCAGCGCATCTTTTCGGGCTCGGCCATTTACGCCAACCTCCAATGTGAGCTCTCCTTCCACTCTCAATACACAACCAAGAGCCCTGAAATAAGTCACTAACGTTCCGCAACACAAAAAGATTTCTGGATCGCCGGTGCAGCGCTCCCCATCATCTTTTGGTTGATCCAGCGCAAGTGGCCCAAGTCCTGGGTCCGCCTCCTGCACGCCCCCGTCATCTTTTCCGGACCCGGTTATATCCCTCCCGCGACGCCGCTCAACTACCTTACTTGGGGCGTCATTGGCATCTTGTTTAACCGCTTCATTCGCAACAAGTGGCGAGGCTGGTGGATGAGATTCAACTGTAGGTCATTTTCTTCTCTCTCTTTTTCCAGCGCAATGAAATCATATTGCTTGTCATCTAGTCACTAATCACTTATTTCTCATTCTTCAGACATCACCTCGGCCGGTCTAGATGCCGGTCTCGCCCTCTGCACCATTCTCATTGTGCTCTCCATCTCCCTCACCAACACGGCCGCGCCCGATTGGTGGGGCAACAACCAGGCTCTCAACACCATGGACTACAATGGCAATGCCTGGTACAAGACGGTAGACGAGGGTGAGACTTTTGGACCCGACTCGTGGTGATTGTGACCTTTTTTCACAGCAAAGATAAAAGATGTGGCTCACTTGCTGCAACTGTAGAGTGCAAACTTGACAAGTGTGAGAATATTTTGTCGATTAGGGATTTCTTTGTGTATAATTAGTTTTCAGAGGTAGGGAGGGAAAGACGCAGGGTAGTTGGGTAATCAAATCTTGGAAAACAATTCATGTTTGCAATCGCGACTAAGAATATTAATGAAATGAGTCAAATACGTGCTTCAGAAGTATCGACATGATTATCGAATAGTATCTGATGGGCTTAATACCTAACACCAGATGAGGCTTGGGTAAAATACAATCCTTGGGTTGCCCCGACATTTCTTTCCATGCCCTAACATGTACTTTACCATTATCATGACTCATAAATGCTGACGTCTTGTTTGCTGAAATGTATACATGGGGGGATTCAATCCGGGATGCTCTGGAAATAACTGCTCCTCGCCTCTTCCAAGATGGCCTTGTATTATGTCTTGAGCGAATCGGTGTATAAAATCCATGGGATTCACGTCTCCATGAAACCCCCCATGTACTGCGTGAAAATGCGCCTGTCTGGGATGCGTGTTTTGACCTCCTGGCGGGTTAAGCTCGGGCTCGAATGGATTGTGAGGACCAGGCAAGGGCCCTAGGTCAACCGGTCGCCAGTGTCGTGGCTGATTTTCGCGTCTGAACAGGAAGTTTGGAATATTTATTCCGGGGGGTTGGTTGAGAAACCCCGCCAAAGCACGTCCGCCCTCGTATATTGGTGGGTTTTCAAAGTATTTGCAATCTGTCTTGTGTTTGCATTGAAGGAAAGATTGCTCATCGTGGAAATATGTCGAGAGACACAGATAACACCATTCATGGCCACAGACACCTATTGCAACGTCAATAAATAACTCCTATTCAAAATGTAAGAGAAGAACAAGTAATACTTACAAGTGATGTGATCGCAACCGGTGAATTTGTAGACATCCTTATGGCACTGTGGGCAAGCTTTTGTGATTTCCTTGACCTTTTTCTCCGAAGCCATTTCGCCTCTCCGCTGGCGTCTGTTGCGTACATCAAACTCTTTGCAGGTTTCGCCCTTGTGCCATGGTAGATCGTGGTTGGCACAGGAAGAGGCTTTGCAGCTGTGGCATTTGACTTTTTGACAACCCGGACGAACAATCTGACCAGACTGGCAACGTGGATTCAAGCACCACTTGAAATCAGGAATATCTGAGACTGCCGCCTTTGTGGCCAGGTTATCATATCTATATTCAATGATTAGCCGGGACCTCATGAGAGCAACATATTTTCGCCACACAAACCTGTCGAACGTTTCTTTCCCGGCAAATGCCTGGACATCCTCAAAGCGCAGGAGCTGTGAACATTCGGGGCATCTCAGCCTATCCCAAGCCACAGTCTCCATGCTCGAGGCAATCCATTGACCAATACACTCCTTGCATGTATTTGGCTCATGCTCACATGAGCTGGTAATACAACTTGGCATCTCCGACACCCTTTTATCATCGCTGCATACCACACATGTCGTTGTCTGAGGCAGAAGCCATGCCTCTTCTACCGTGAATTTGTCTTCCAAGTCCCGCGCCAGTTCAAAGTCGACAGTCTGGCCAAAAGAAATGCGCCGCCGCCGATCCAACAGCTTTCCCTTACACACCAGAGTGAAATCATCAGAATCCACGCTCAGGCGACTAGAGGCGCGGTAGTGTACATTTGTCAGTAACTTGTGGATAAGCCAGTGCCTGAGAGTTTGAAGGTCGACCGAGGATCTACCACCAGGCGGGTGGTATATATACTCCTCGTTCACTCCTTTCATAATAAGGTAGTTGTATGCCGGAGCTATATCGATCCAGATTTTATGGCAGAGCCACGACTTGATCATGGTGGCCTTCCAATTATTTCCCTGCAAAAGTCCAGGTCTCAAGCCACCATGTGCCGATATTACGACCCGGTTGGGATCCTCGATGTCCAGGAGAGACGCAAGTAAGCATCTCAGCTCACCTATGGTCTCTCCTTTTTCCAGAGCAGTGCGTATTTGTGTGAGTTGCTCACTGTCCAAGTGGAGCCTCCTGCCCCAAGAGATTCTGATTGCACCTTCTCGGCCATCATTGTCGTCGCTTTCCAGAGCTCGATAGTATAGTCTAGAAACATTTCTTGGAATCTCGTCGCCCAACAAACGCTCGTCCATGAGGTAGTAGATGATCCGAGCCTCGCTTGGCACCGGCTCATCATCGTCATCGCCGTCAGCATAGCGACGCTTCAGAAAGTTCTCAACATGACTTAAGCATGTCGTTTCCTTTACCGCAATCCTGATGGGATCTCGCAGATCATCGAGATCAAACAACTCGATTTCTCTTCTCTCCGCCCTTTCGTAAGGCGGAGACTCGCCCTTCAGAGAGTGGTGATGATGAGCGCCATGAGATCTATGCGCTCGAGGTCGATGAGCCAAAGTGGTCGAGAAACTGGTCATGATGCAGCCGATCAATGACAATTTGCATCTGAAAAGTTGCTGGGCTTGTGGGACCACACAAAGGGAGCAAACTCTCAAATGTGCCGAGCCTTGTTGAGCGTGTGGTCAGGCAGTTTAATGTAGATATGTCTGCAAGAACCCTTCGGGCTTGGCGAGCTGATTGAAGCCGCAGCGCCGGCCGAGAGCTGCATATAGAGATTGTTAGTAGCCCTGGGAAACGCTCACACGGGAGCTGGACCGTGACAGCACACAAGGACCACGAGTGGTCAACGAGACAGCGACACGCATGAATGCAACGACAACCCAAGGGAAGCGAAGAAAAGGAAAAAGTGATCAGGCACGAAAGCGCTTGCAGAACAAATGTGGAAAGTGCAGAAGCATGAGGCTCTGATCACGCTTATGGAATTGGCCGCCTGCATATGAGACAAAGCTGACGAGGGGGGAGAGAGGAGGGAAAGTGGCAGGGCGGGGCAATCGAGATGGTCACTGGCTAAGAAAGCTTCCTCACCCTCTTCCTTCAGAGCTTTTGACTTGTCCTACCTTCTTTGCAACCACTACATTTCCTGCATGTATCCAATAACCGTTGCTCCCCCTCGCTCATGGTGGCGCCCGGGGTTGCAAGCAATGAGGAACGTCTCGGATGCATTCTTGGTGCCCTACTACTGTTGCACGTCAGGTGTCCGAGTGGGATGATGCCAATCCTTTTTTTGAACCTTGGATTGTGCGCATTTCATTTCAGAGTGCGACTTGGCGACGCCGAAGTTGAATGGTCGCATCTCTACCAAAGCTTATGCAAGTGATGATATATGTAAGTACCTTATTGCACGACTGTTTTGTCAGTCCCCGGCAGTTTTTCATGCTTTGGCTCTAATCTGCTCGCCGTAATGAGACATTGGCCAGGAAAAACTTGCTCTTTTCCTCCTCCATCGCCTTCTACCTGCATTTGAAGTCTAGCAAATCTAAACCTGAAATCTCCACCTGGTGCAGATGCAAAGATGACTTGTACATACATAGGATGATTATATAGAATAAACCTTGTCAGCTTCTTGACCTTTCAAGCTCTTTTCGAATGAGGCCAATTCTATGCTCAACTGGACAAATACCAATCACGCTGCAACAACATCCACACTAACCCCGTGCCCGCTGTAACAAAGGCAAAAGAGCCCTCCTTCATCCGGACGGTCCGGTATACCAGCAGCTCCGTGCCGTACAGGAACAGCACCCCGGCAAACGTAGCGGCGGCCAGGTCGTACAGGGCGGCGTTGGTGAGGGCGTACGCGGCGGACAGCCGGATCATGCCCGTGTAGATATTCTTGACGCCGTACACGCGGGCCAGCAGCCCCTGTTCCGGGGTCTTGACCGGGCTTGCCGGGCCGCTGAACGCCCGCAGCGAGGTGCGCGGGCTCTGGGCGTAGCAAACTGCTCTGCGGGGGTTGCATCAAGTATTAGTCATCTCTCCAGGTGTATTCACTGCTATTATTGATTTCTAGGAGTCACGGACGAGTGAATGATGGCAGAAGCGCCAGCCTTGGAGATTGCGTTAGTCGATAGTTCTCCCGGCTCCTATTTTCAATAGCTGGCCTATACTCACGTATATCAGGAAATACGGCAGCAAACCATCGTGCTGCGGAAGATATGCTGAGGCCATGATCGCTTTTGGTACAAGGAAGGTTTCTATCAGGACTTCATCAGCCTGGACTTGTCAAGATTCAGGAGGGTGATCACCATGGACATGTCCAACTAAGATCTGACTGCCCAGGCTAAGCCCTTTCCGGGGTCTCGGTGTCAACAGATTACCAACAGACAAGATGCATAGGGGGTACTTGGGCGATATCCTTGCATGAAGAAGATTTTTTCGAGACCGTTATGGTCTGTAGATATCTCAATACAACCAAAGATGACATGATCTGCAGAGAGAAAGTCGCCGCCCACAATTTGATGCTTCAATTGCCCCACGTATGACGGAGCAGACAATTATTCAAGCAAGACTTCAAACTCAAACTCCTTGTTCGGAAGCGCATACTCATCCCTGGTCTTTGGTCCACAAGAGCCGCTACCTAGACCATGATGCGCAGCATCAAGCCTCAGTACCACATTATCCGTTCTCTTCTTGTGCAGCTCGTGCGGGTGCGCCGCCGCCTCAACGTCCTTGACACGGTAATGTGATGCGTTGAAATCAAACAGCTTGCGATACTTCTTGTCCTCCTCGCCACTGTCTCTTTCCTCGAGATCCACGAATTGCGCCGTAATGGCCTCGCCGCTCGCGTGCGTAAACTTGACCCAGCGCGTGTCGGTCCGGTTGCCGCCCTCCTGCGGGTACTCGTACTCGGTCCAAAGCTTTGAGACCGTAGGGACGCCGTACACGCCCAGTCGCTGGGAGAGCTTCTTGTCGCTGTAGCTCTCCCCAGGACCGCGACCGTACCATGTCACGGCGTCCGGGTGGCCGTCTTGGCCGCCGGACCAATCGCTCGGCAACTCCATGCTGAGACCCATGCGCGGGAGCGTCCGCGGCAGGTTCATGCCCTTGGGGTTACCCTTGACACGAATAGCCAGTGTCCCCGAGGCGCTAAAGGTGTACGTGACGTCCAAGTCGATGGACCACGACAGGACTAGCGGGCGGAACTGCTGCTGCACCTTGACTGTAAACGTCTTTCCGTCTTCCGAGGCCGACCAGGAACTGCCGCGGCTGTACGTCTTGGCCAGATGCAGCAGTTGCTGTTTCCAGTCCTTGCCATCAGAAATTCCGAGACCCAGGTCGTTGTCGGTCGGAGCCCTCCAAAAGGTAATATCGGGACTGACAGCCAGAAATTCCGTAGATTTCTTGGCAAGAGAGCGTAGCTTGCCGTCAATGGGCGAGAATGTCCAGGTAGTGCTCGCAGATTTGATGGTCAAAAGGCTTGGGGTCTCAGTCACCTCCAACTTGGCAGATGGCGATGACTGAATAGCTGCTGGGATGGGGGTATTGTTGATGGGTATATCTTCCGTTGCAATTGTGAACAACTCTGGCAATGAAAGTGTCTCGGTACGCTGGCGGAAGTCGAGCTGCACAATTCCCTCTCCAGAGATTGTATGCGCTGCCGAGGGCAGCGTCAGTTCAGCCGTCTCCTCGGGGGCAAGACCAGAAGGCAGCTCAATTTCTCCCGATTGTATGAGCTTACCATCGTCGAGAATTGCATAAGTGCATACGACGTGGTCCAATGACAAAAAGTCATATCTGTTGATGATGGTTGCCGTGGTTGTGGTATAGGAGATAACCTTGATTGGCTCAATGGCCTTCTTGTACTCGAGCAAACCGGGTGTTGGTGTATGGTCCGAGAACAAGACGCCGTCCATGACAAAATTTCCGTCATTGGGTTCATCGCCAAAGTCTCCGCCGTAAGCGTAATACTCATCGCCAGTCTCCTTGTCCTTGGTCAATAGTCCATGGTTGGCCCACTCCCACACGAAGCCACCCTGTAGCTTTGGGTATTTGTAAAAGACATCGACATATTCCTTGATGTTTCCTGGCCCGTTGCCCATTGCGTGGATGAACTCGCAGAGCACCAAGGGTTTGGACTTGCTCTCGTCCTCAGCAAATGCAACAATCTCCTCAATCGCCGGGTACATGCGTGAGTACATGTCCATTGTTTCGGCATAGATGTCGGCTTCGTAGTGAATAGGCCGGCTATCATCATAGGACTTGATCCAGTTATACATGGCCTTGAAGTTCCTGCCAAAGAACGCTTCGTTGCCCAGTGACCAGAAAGTCACACAGGCATGGAGTTGGTCACGTCGGACAAGTTGTTGAGCACGGTCGACGTAGGCCGTTTCCCAGGCGGGATTATCGGTTGTCCATTTGGCAGCATTCGCTCGTGTTAGGAGCTGGCGCTGGCGGAAAGGAAGATTTCTGTCTTCAGGACTTAGTGCGGCATCAGCTACTATACGTTAGTATCGATTTGAAGTCTCTATGTGAGGATGGCAGATTCATTCGTCTTACCAATGGACTCGAATCCGTGACACTCCAGGTCGGCTTCGTCCATCACCCAGAACTAATAATCGTTCAGTATTCATCACGAATCAAGCGTACTAAAGTAGGTCCCGACTTACACCAAGTTCATCGGCAAGATCATAGAGGCGGACATCGCTAGGCTGGTGAGAGGTCCGGATTGCGTTGATGTTGTGGGTCTTCATCAGTAGCAAGTCATTTTTCATGAACTCATACGGGACAGCTCGCCCGAACTGAGGATGGTGTTCGTGACGGTTGGCACCCTTTAGGACGATGTGCTTTCCATTTACTTTGATGAGCCCGTCCTTCATTTCCACTTGCTTGAATCCGATGCGGTGGGCAACATAGCTGCTGCCGTTCAGGGATACAAGAAGGTGGTATAATGTTGGCGTCTCGGCTGTCCACTTGGATGGGTTTTCAACTGGGAATGAGAAATCGACAGAGCCTCCGAAAGCCGACCTGGTGGCTTGTGCAATGACCTTGCTCTTTGATGTGTCGAATAGCTCAACCTTGAGCTGCCCGGAGCCTGTGAGATCGACACGGACTTTGAGATCTGCGTTGACGTAGTCCTTGTCAAGCTTGGTCTGGACGAACAGGTCTTCGACTCTTGTCGTTGCCGGAAAGCCCAATAGGTATACATCGCGGTAGATACCGCTCATTCTCCATTGGTCCTACAAGTTGAATTAGTACCACCTTTTTCCATCTTCTCAATTGGTGCCTTCTCAAGGGCGAGTAATCTTACCTGGTCTTCGATGTAAGTGGCATCGCTCCACTGATAGACCTTTACTGCAAGGGTGTTCTCGCCGTTCTCGTCCACAACGCTCGTGATATCGAACTCTGACGGGTTTCTAGAGCCCTGGTGATATCCAATCTCCTTTCCATTGACCCAGACGTGAAAGGCAGAATCGACACCCTCAAACCTCAGTCTGAGCTGTGAACCCCGGAGAGACTCGGGCACGGTAAATTTCTTGACATATGATCCAGTCTCGTTGTCATCAAAGGGCACGTTTGGCGGGTCGACTGGGATGGGGAAGTTGACATTGGTGTAGTGAGGACCCTTGCCGTAGCCGTTGAGCTGCCACATGCTGGGGACCGCGAGATCGTCCCATTTCGTCGTATCAAAGGCAGGGCTCTCAAACCCCTCTGGGCCCTCGAATGGGTTTTTCGAGTGCTTGAATTTCCAGTTGTCTCCAGACAGTTTGTATGTCTTGGACTTTGTGATGTCATAACTCAAGGCATCGTCAGCCGAGCTGTACATATAGAAATTGGCACGCGGGGCTAGTGTATTCTTGTGAAGAACATCGAGATTGTTCCAGTCTGGCAGAGCTGCCGGGTGGACCTTGGCCGAGGACATTTTTCTTTCTTGGTCGCGTGAGGCTTCACGTTATTCACACCGTCGTCTCCTCCCTACAGCTAGAACAGAAGAGAGAAAAAGGTGAAGAACAAAAACACATGTCTTTTGAGCACAACTGCGTCCTTTTATGATTCCCGTCGGCTGTGTATCCCGACTAATACATCTCGTTCCGAGGCGGACCGTGGGGTAATACCCACCTCCCCACTAACGTGCTTGAGTGGTAACGTGGGATGAGGAGAACAACGGGCACTATAGGCGAGTTTTCCGCTGGTCGACAGGCACCATGTGGATTATCACCCATTAACACGCGAGACGGGGCTTTCAGCAAATTGCCAAGAACAACCAGCCTTCCACTATTTGATTAAATGTAGTGCATTTTTAAGCTGGACCGTATAAATTCTTGGCTACAATTGTAGAATCCAAATTTCTCGGGCACAGAACCATCATACCAATGGAAGCCCAAAAGTTGGAGACTGCCATCTGTTTGTGCAAAGAATATCGTCGTGCAGCACAAGTAGTTACAAAGTATTCATGAATATCTAGACAGTATCCGAGCAACAGTGTGTCACAATTCATTTCCCTGGACTATGTGGGCTGCCTATATGCAACCATTCAGCGAATTACATGCAGTAAGGACTGTCGACTGTTGCATCCGTGTTACCAGTCGTTTGCTGAAATACCAATCAGTCAAATGGTATCCTGCGGAGTGACTCCCCTCCGTTTCGCTTCTTCATTTCTTGTGCCGCAGCGAGACTGCTGGGCACCTTGATACCACAACAATCACCCCACGAGTTCAGTTGATGGACATGTTTGACGCCATTGTGCTCAACCATGATTGCTCCACCTTCCGCTTCATCTTCTTCTCGTGACACGCCAGCCTCGTCTTCCGTACTCATGCCCTCAACTGCGGGGATCAAAGAACCAAAGAGAAAGTGTTGCATGACGGGCAGCTTCCGAAGGACTTCAGCGACAAACATCTTCCGCATGCCGCCTTCCACCTTTTCCCAATTCTTGGCCGACGAAATGTCGTCCAGCATCGGACTGTGCCACCGTAGGCCCTTGACAGTCTTTGTAGAGTTGACAAAACTGACTTGGCCCAGATACATGAACTCGTCCCCAAATTCCTCGAGCGTCAATTCCTGATGTATAGCAAGTGGCGTGATGAACGGGTGATGCAGTAGTTGACTGGCACCGAATAAGAATGGCAGGAATTGATAGTCGTCGAGTCCCCAAACTCCATGGGAGCCAGCCGGCTCAAGATAGTAGGTTGACTGGATCGATCGCATCAACCCCAGATACCGCACAAACACCCGGAGGACAAGAGCCTGAAAGTCGGATGCCTTGATGATCTGTAGCTGATATAGACACAGGAGCCATATCACAAAGTTGAGTTCATGGCCAGATCCATAATCTATGCGAGTGCGATTGCCGAAAGACTGGAGTAGATATGTCTCAACTTCGGCGATCGCTTCCGGGGATGAGAGCCCTAGTTTCTGATGCCACGAAGCACTGGCAGATTTCGTCTTGTCCAAGAAGGAGCGGAAGAGCTTGTTTCCAAATCGCGAGCCTCCTGAATCATCAGGTGGTGTGGCTGCAACCAGGGTCTCGGCGTCGTCCAGAATAGAAAGAATGGCTTTGACGGAAGCACTCAGATCCACATCCTTGACTGATGAAATGGGAGTATCCTTGACCGCATCGGACAGTCCAAAGATGAAGGCCAAAATGAGCTTATATGCGTCGGACTCCAAGAACAGCTCATGGTCCTTCACTGAAAGTATCCTTCTAGAAGGAACCTGGTGGGATATCGAGGCTAGCTCTGGCGGTGACGGCAGTTTTGGTGTCTCTGGGATAGCAGTGGGATTCGAAGGCGGAGCTCGTCGCCGCCTTGGTTCCAGCTTGGGCAGTCTGTCCTTGAGATTAGGAATGGTAGAAGGTGGTGGATTTGTGGGCCGTGACTCGGCCATGATGAGTTCTGCTTTGAGGGAGCTTTACGAAGACGGTAATGAATTTGGACAGTAGTCGTGCTTGCTTTGAGAGACGAAGTGTCGCTCTGGGGTCGTCAAGGGATGGCCTTGCAAGGGGTTGTTGTGTCAAGAAGTGGCAGTTGAAAAGAATTAGAAGTTGATATGCACCTAGAAGGTTCCGTCAAAGAAATCAAGCATTCAACAATGAAGATGTGGTAAGCAAGTACCGTAGCACGGAGCTTGCGGTTGAAAATCCGATGCACGCCACCAAAGTAGAAGACGGAGGTGAGGAATTGCCCCGCGATTTTGGATATGTAACATTTGACAATGGCCCCGGTGCTTAGGTGCCTGCATTTTTACGCTAAGTGAGGGGAGTGGGCGATTGCAGCTGTGGGGCACAAACTTTTAATTGGGCTTGGCCTTGCAACTTCACCAAACCATTGCACAGAATCGAGTGTTTGTCGTTTCCGTCCAGCCTTTTCCTCACCTCAGGGCTACCCGCGAGGACTTGAAAAATTTCAGCAAATCTTCCTTCTTCTTCTAGTGCAACAGAACCATCACCTGGTCGCTCCTGAAAATGGCAGCCACCCATGAGCCAGCAGCAATTCTGTCGCATCTGCAGAGCGCAGACGGCTCAGCAACCTTTTCTTACGCTGGCTATACCGTCACTGGTGCTGTCAATGGTCCGATAGAGGTGCAAAGAAGGGATGAACTGCCTGAGGAGGCCGTCGTCGACGTTATCGTACGACCAGCTGCAGGGGTTGGAGGTACGATCATGGCATGACACCCTTGGCTCTGTAATCCAAGACTGACCGCGTCTTGATATATAGGAACAAGAGAACGCCATCTAGAATCTCTGCTGCAGTCCACACTACGCCAGATTATTCTCATTGGCAACTTTCCCAGGACACTCATTCAAATTACCCTACAGGTCATTGTAGCCCCGGAAAATGAGTATGTCAATACCAAGGTCACCCAAGCAAGCACAGTAGGTTACTTCCCTCCAATCTCGGTTGTCATACACATGATTGTACTAAATGTGGTTGTTAGAACTTGCCTATTCTTCCGGCCTTGATACAAACCTCTGTTTTGACCCTGCTATCAGCCGCCATTCCTTTGACGGCAACCTTGACATCTGCCACCTTAGCAGTCATGTCGGACAACGGAGACAGTACAACTATTGCCAACCCCACAGCTCGGGAAATTGAACTATCCAAGTCACTCCATGTATTTGTCTACACGTCCCATGACGAGCTTGTATTGAGCGAGAGCGAGGGCGAATTCACTTTTGAAGAGTGGTCTGGAGCCTTCGAAGCTGCGAGACAACAATGCTGCGTACAGTCTCAGTCGGAAGACGTGGACATGAACAATGATGCTGGTGCTGGTGCTGGTGCGGACCTCAAGGGGTTTACGCGATCAACAATGGAAGCACAGATCGCGTCCGACCTGCACTGGAAGTAGCATTAATATCTGACTCTCCGGATTTTGCTTCCGTTGAGTATCCGCCAGCATTGCGCAACACTTCTGAGATTTGCCTCGTCGTAGTTGCGGTCAGCTCAAAGCGGTTTGGTGTCAGCAGGGAACAAAGTTGATGCACAAAAGTGGACTGGTACAAAACAACTGCATCTCGACCCAAGGAACGTGGCATGCAGCTATTTTGGGTGCTTCTTGTGGTTTGGTGGCGTGAGAAGATCGCGGCAATCCTTTCATGCGTGCTTGCGGCGATCTCATGTGCCAACACAACATGTTTCGACAAGTTGCGCCTATCATGATGGGCATTACGATCATGAGTCGACCGCGAATCTGGCGATTGGCTACAGCGCAGATAACGACCATGCCTTTTGGTGGATTAGTACAGTCGAAGCGGCTCTTGCCACAAAGCATGCGTTTGAGTTTGCCCTTGTGGATAGGGTGGTGTTTCACCTTTGACCACTTATTGAAGTGGGAGCCAAGCGCAAGCAGAAGGCCAGCTCTGTTCGGACAAAGAAGACGACACGAAAACAACAGATATGGGGACAAGACGACTGGAAATTCATGGGGAAGCAAAAGGCGAGAATAAGTCATGATACTGCTAGGGTGTGCCGCATACCCATGATTTGAGCCAGTTGAAGCTCAATATCAGCGCGAACCCTAGATGGCCAGATGATGGCTTTTCGATAGCAGCTTGGCAGCTATAGGCTCAGGGATTTCTCAAGAAACACCGACTAGAATCAGCAGAATACCCGCCGGATATGTGTGATGACCACCAGGACAGCGCCTTTGCGGGAGACTTAATACAGAAATTCCATTCGTTCTGAAAACGAAGGCTTCAAACACCAGCGAATTATGCGAGATGTGCGCCCTGAGAAAGTGGGCCCTTTTTTCAAGGAGGCTCAAGGAGGCTCGAAATGCGAAACTAAAAGGTCTTGGCGGGATAACATGAGGTGGATCCTTTCGTACAACAAGCGGACTTGAGACGACATGCCACGCATCCAGCTTGCCAGCAGCCTTGATCATGGTGATTCTCGCTTGTGCATGTCCCCTGTCCAGGACGGCGGGAGTTGAGACCGATGCTACTGACGAACCCCCCTCGTTGACGGGTCTGCGCCCACGTCTATCTTACATTATGCAGGGAATGAGTGGCAGGAGAAGTCGAGAAGCAATTGCGAGACCACAGTCCCGGGATGTCCCCACTAAGCTGCCACTCTAGCACGGATAGCGGCAAAGGATGAGTATGGGGTTCCGTCCGTCCACAGATACGATGTCCACCAGACTGTTCCATCTTCTGCCTCTCGAGCTTCAAAGATGATAAGATGCTCGAGTCGTGCCCGTCTGTCTAGCTGTTTCCCCTTCTCTCGTTAGTCTTGTAGACCCAACCGTCGTCATATACCACCCTCCCCAACCCGCGGATGCGCAAGCAGCGAAGCAGAGCTCTGGTAGTTCTCGCAATTACCTAGTCAACCGTCTTTGCCTCTTCTGTTTGGTTCTTCTTTCTTTCACAATATCAATCCCCAAGTTTCAGTCCTTTGTGCTCCTCGGAACCTATTCCTTGGCATACGCCCGACAGCTTTGATAGCATTTTTTCGGATTTTACAATCTTATTTTAATTTTTTTCTGGATTACTATCAAACCTGAACTTGCTTTTCATCAACCTCCAACCGACGTCGACCCCAGACGAGTTATCTTTCGTTCCGCGGATCTTGAGCATTCTAGATCGACTTTCGCGGCCTTTTTACCGATAGATTTGCGCAGCAACAAGCATTGTGTGCAGAGAAGAAAGACTATACATTTACATAGACGATTCGTTATTTTCATTAGCAACATTCGCATTCGTATTCAAGATACCCCTTCGACTGCCATTTTTTCTTTCTCGAAATCTGCAGCGTCAGCAACCATAATCACCTTTCCTCGAGCCACACAACTATCCAACAACCAAGGTTACGCTGCAGCAGGGCTGACGAAATCATATCACATTCTTTGTCCAACCATATTGAGCTTGCGACAGTTGTGTAAGTCTAGCTCCATCACGGGAAGAAGCACATTGGCTTCCAATCGATTTGCCCAAGACAATCACATGTCTGGCTGCACTCGCCATTGGCTGGAAGCAGCTTGCCAGTCAGAACTCGGGCGATATTGGTGACTGACACAGGCTATAGTGTTCGGGACTTTCCAGACATTCGATATTCTTAGGCTGTGTAAAGGTTTCCTTCAGCCGCGCATCTCCAACTCAAGCGAATCATCTCGCTCTCCTTGTTTGTATTCTCCGTGTCAGAGAGGCTCGGAGAAGGGAACATAGGTTTTGCACTACCTTTGGGCTAGCCACAAGGAGTACACCACACATTTTACCTCACACCTCCCGGAATCCTGCTAGGTTAAACTCCAGGTAACCTTCTTCGGAGAACTGCAGTCAGCAGGATCGACAGATCGGTAAAAGTCCAGTTCTATTTCAGAACCACGCCTGCAGTACGACGAACCCAAGGTTGCATCAAGTTTCGGCCGGGGTTTTCGAAGCTTATCTCCTTGTCAATCTCACTTCAGCGCACCACAAGCACAACCTAGCCTCGGACAAAAATGGCGGGATTAGCAGTCACATCGCCTACAGCGATCCACCCAGCCCTCAGCACAGGCACCACAACCAGCTCGCCTAGCACTGCTGGAACCAGCCAAAGCAGCAATCTGACCGCCGGCGGGGCAACGTTCAAGTCCGACATTGCTACTGATACCACTGATGGTACCAATAATAAATCGGCATCCACTACCACCAATACCACCACTGCTGCTATTACTACTTCAGAATGTCCGCCCGGATTCCCACCTCAGTCCCTTCCCGACAACAACAACTCCCCCTCCACTTTTGCATCCTCACAAATTACCCCCTTCTACCCGATTGATCCGCCTCTGAATCACAACATCAGCAATGCCGAGCGGGACGGCGTCCTGCCTGGGCCATCTGCTTTAGGCCTGTCCAGCCCAATCTCCGTTGCCGGCGATCCGGTCCCCGATCCGGTTCCTACTTCTATGCGTGGACATCGCAAGAGCGCCTTGTCCATTGAGTCCATTCCACGCCAGACTATTATGAAAGCTTTGGCTTCCGTTGCTCGCAACAACAAACCTGAAGCCTTGTCCTTGCCCGGCATGTTGTCCGCACACTCAGGCGCCGAGGCCCGCCCCTCATCCTCTTCGTCGCAGCGGCTGGCCGACGCGCTGAATGAGCTCGCTAATCGCAACACGCCCACAACGGCTTTTCCTGCCCTGCAGTCGCCTTGCTTTTACCACCAACGCTTCGAGGATGCCGTGGATATCGACAAAGTCTTGGAGGAGATCAAGAATGACGATTGGATGTCGCATTCCCGGCTGGTTCAGACAGCCACGGGTGTGCGCGAGGTCTCAAAGCAGCTGCAGCGCAGACCTATCCGGCGCGCTGTGCGCAATGTTATGATTGTGACCAAAGCCCGCGACAATGAATTAGTCTTCCTCACAAGAGAATTGACTATGTGGTTGCTAAGGACGCCACGCTACGGATCTGACATTGGCGTTAACGTTTACGTCGACGCTAAGCTGCGGAACTCTAAGCGTTTTGGCGCCGCCAGCATCGTCGAGGATGATCCACGCTTCAGCTCAAAACTCCGCTATTGGTCCCCGGATCTTTGCTGGAGCCAACCAGAGAAGTTTGATCTCGTGCTCACCCTTGGCGGTGATGGCACAGTTTTGTTCACATCATGGCTGTTCCAGAGGATCGTGCCGCCCGTCCTGTCCTTTAGCCTGGGCAGCTTGGGATTCTTGACGAGCTTCGAGTTTGAAAAGTACAAGCATCACCTGAATCGCATCATGGGCGATGAAGGCATGCGCGTCAACCTTCGTATGCGTTTCACATGCACCGTCTATCGGGATGGTGCATCAGGCAACGAAGTGGAGGAAGGCGAGCAATTCGAGGTTCTCAACGAGCTTGTCATTGACCGCGGCCCTTCCCCTTACGTCTCAAACCTGGAGCTGTACGGAGACAATGAGCTCTTGACCGTCGTACAGGCAGACGGATGCATCTTCTCTACGCCGACCGGCTCAACTGCATACTCACTTTCCGCCGGTGGCTCGCTCGTGCATCCCGACCTTCCGGCCATTCTCTTGACGCCCATCTGCCCTCATACCCTCTCCTTCCGGCCCATGGTCCTCAGTGACACCATGCTGCTACGTGTGTCTATCCCTCGCAACTCCCGCGCCACGGCCTACTGCGCCTTTGACGGCAAGGGCCGTGTCGAGCTGAAGCAGGGTGACCACGTCACCATCACGGCGTCGCAGTACCCCTTCCCCACCGTCATGGCCACGGGGACTGAATGGTTCGACAGCGTGTCGCGGACGCTGCAGTGGAACACGCGGGCTGCCATGCAAAAAGGATTCGAGAACAACAAGAACGGCCACGCTGGTGCCGCCAAGGAGGAGGAGGAACCCGAGTGGGATATTGACACGGACTCGGCCTGCTACGCCAGCGAGGAGGGTAGCATCAGCGCGAGTCCCCTCAGGAGACAGATGAGTCTCCTCGGCATGTAAGAAGAAGGAGGAAAGATGATACAGAACTGGGTCAGACACACAAGACGAGAGAAGACGAGACGAGACATCTCACACATACGCATTCGATACCCTTACAGTACTGACCCTCTCTGACGGGCCATATTTGCCCCGATTATCAGCAAATGTGTCGAGGGCAATAGATTAAATACACATCAACCTAGACCTAGAAACAAATCATCGGCCCCGCCACAAGCTATCAATGATGAGAAGAAGAAATTATGAGATTACAAGGCTCGACGTTCGCTTTTTATTTCACATTACTTTTACATAAACTCGAGCGATTTGAAATTTGGGATAGTCAAGGTTTTGTTTAACAATCATTCATTACAACTGAAATGAACAAGATCGCCTCACAAGTCTCTGCACAACACTTCGATCAGATAGGAATACCTACTTTGGGTCAATAATCACGGTCGTTTCAGAATCAAATCCGTAAGCCAGTGTCGCTCATGTAGAACAAATGTATGCATCAACGTGTGTGAGAATTCATGAATCATTTCTGTTCTTAATCGTCATGTATTTCCTCCACTTTTACAAAGACAGCCCAGGATAGAGCGTGCAAGTATACACCCACGCACTCCCTGCTCTCTTATCATGTCCCTTGCCATCCATCCCCCAAGAACGCACGCAACGATGAGAGGTATATATAGCACAAGAAAAGTGGTTTCGTAGCCTCTGAAAGTTTCCCTCCCAAGTAAACCAAATGATCCATATTCCAACAAAGATTCGCTTTCCGGCTTTTTGAGTGATAAAAACATGCAAGACCAAAGAATGTCCCACTGATCAGCAACATGCAACCTTGCATGACTTTGAATGCTTTCAATGACATTCAACACACCAACACCATAAACTAGGGAGCAACGCGCATTTCGCTCGACAAAATTAATCTCCCTTGGTGTCAATGGAATCCTCATCGCCAGTTGCCTTGACTGAGGGCCAACAATCCAGCAACACAATCCACGTCACCCTTTTTGCTTGGGCTCACCTCGCCGCGCATGAATCTCTCAACCTCGTCGTTGCTTCTCCGCGACTTCTTTGCCGAGCCCCCTTCGTCTTCGCTCTCGTCATTTTCCGCCGCATCGGAGCCGCCGTCCTCAAAGATCACCAACGATCGTTCGGAACCCTTACCGCCTCTCAATCGTGGTGCTGGTGCTGTATTCGAGCGTCCACCGAGGAACATTCGCTTGGGGCTGCCCATGCTAATCGAGTGGTCCAACAAACGGGGTCCAGGACGTCGTGGGTTCGTGCCCTTATTTATAGTAGACATGGCTTCAGCAGTTATACGCGGGAGTGGCCGGCGTCGACCCATCGAGTTTGCATCCTTGCCTGGGCTCCAGTTCTCCTTGTCCGAGTCCCCTGAGGGCGATAAGACTTCTACTAGACTTGCTTTACCATATTTGTTGGCAGGCTCATACTCGTCAAATGCACGCTGGGGTCTCTCGAGAGCAGCGGCGTTGGCAATGCTCTGTAATCTTGCCACGCTGCTGCTGGATCGTGCGAGCTTGGGCTTCTTGTTGTTCAAATCGCGTCGGCCCAATGGTGTTGCGTTCCTCTTGGCACTGCTCGGCTTTGGCGCATTACCATGGCCTGGCATGTGTCCATGAACCAGGTTGGCAAGACTGCTAGTCTGACTGCTTGACCGCAAGAGAGAGATGGCCGCAACAGCCGAGCCCGACGACTCGTTCTCGGCAAGTTTGGTTAGCTCATCACGGGTGTCGGCATCACAGCAGGATTCCCAAGCTGATACATCTCGCGAGCGGCCCCTTGGTAATTGTGGAGGCAAGTTTGCTGTGAGGGCCGAGATGGGTGGAAGAGTGATGCCAGCCAATGCGCTTTTACTTCGCTGCAGGATCCGTGGCGCACGAACAGGCGGGAGAGTAGCTGAGATCATCGACGAAGATTGAATCTCCCGAGGTGGCGATTGCAGCGAATCCACAATCTCGGCCTTGCCCTCCAGTGAAAGCGAGATTCGGAATTGTGATGATGGTTTTGACGGTCGAGGCAAGGACTGAGACAAGGTTGAGCGTGGTGAGTCATTTGCTTCCGAATTTCCCGTTCCAATAAGGCTCTCGAGTCTATATCTTGTCAGTGAAAAGCCGGGGAAGAGGCAATCACCATGAAACATACCTCAAGGGCTCATGCCTCGATCTTTCTACACTTGAAGGGGCAGAGAAGGGCTCATTCGTGTGCCATCGGTTGGATAGATAACCGACACGACCAGGCAGAGATTGAGACAATGCTGAGCCTTCGCTGGCAACACGGTCATTTTGCGAAGACGGCAAAGACAACCTGGTTGAGCCCGGCTCAGAATGCCGTCTATCTTGCCTCGATGATTCGGCAGCGGCAACAATATCGCCGAGGGAGCCCCGGGGCCACTCCTGGGAGGCGGCATATGCCGGTAAAGGAGAATGTTGGGCCACGTCGGCGGAGCGCGTCGCCTCAACCGCGTCTATTGCCTCGGCAGCACTAAAAGACGGGTTATCTGATGACAGCATGTGCAAGCTGCCGCCAAACCTGAGCTGGGCAATCTCCTGTGGTGACAGCGGACGTGATTTCCGGCGGTCATTCTGGCGGCGGTTTTGGAACCATATCTGTAATTGAGAACGGTATCATGTTAGAAACTGGTCTGGTATCCAATTGGCCTGCATCAGAGACCAAGCTGCGAGAATGTAGACTGACCTGAACTTCCTTCTCGTTAAGACTAACGCGTTTTACCAAGTCCAGACGCGCCGCCTTATCGGGCTTTGGGTTGGCATTATACGCGGCCTCGAGAATTGCCTTGTCTTGGGTGCTGTAGAAGAGATGCTGTGAGTACCAATTCAAGTGCAGAGACCGCCTGGCGGGGCAATCCTTACGTGGTTCTCTTCCTCTTTCCCTTGGGATGCTTCTGACTCTCTTCGTACTGGGAGGTATAGCTGGTGTCGAGCTGGAAGGAGGACTCGAGGGAAAGACTGGAGGAGTCGGGGTTGCTGGTCTGCGAGCTCCGGAAGATGCTCTCCTGGCTGAGCAGGGAGGAGTCTTGTACAGCCGAGGCTGGAGAAGAGGTCGGCGAGGGGACGTGGGAGGACATGATTTTCGAGGCGAACGACCGTTATAGTAGATGCATCACTCGGTGGGGGGTTGCGAGGGACGAGTTAGAAACGAATGAAGTGTCCCTAGGTGTCCTGTGTTTTGTTATTATGATTATTGTTGTTGTTTTTGTTGTCGTACAGCAGAAGGATTCTCGTTGTGACGTCGAGAACAAGTGAGCAAGAGAGAGAAGGTCGACACAGTCTGTCTAGGTAGTCAAGCAAGTATTGCACGCGGCGTGTTTCTTGGCCAGACTGTAGAAGAGGGGGACGAGTGACGAGGAATGACGGAGACGAGGGAAGTGGAAGAAAAGACGTGAGGTTGGTGTTGAAGATGTATGTAATATGTATGTACGTGCTGGGATTGGAGGTAGGCAAGTAATAATGGTGGAACGCGGGACAGAAGCGTCAATCAAATCAATCAATTCAATTCATTCATCAAAATCACATATTATTACGGTAGAGAGACAGACAGCGGAGTCCCGTCTCTTTTCCCAGATCCCTTCCAGCCCCAAGTCGCGTGTAGGGGAAAAGAAGCTCAGAGCAGCTCATTTTTAGCTGCTGGACCCAACCCCGAAGCACGCTGGACCCCTGCCAATCCCCCGGCACCCGCGTCCTGACTGCGCGAGATGGGCCTATCACAGCGCGCCGGTGGGCAGCGTCCTTGCTGTATTCGGAAGTATGTGTACAAACCAAAAATCCGCCCCTCCACAGTCACGTCTACGTCGCGCTTTCTCTTTAGTTGACGTCCATCACCAAAGTGACGGCACGAAATTCTTTTTCTCGGGTGCTTCTCTTTCCCCCAATTGATCAAATTAAAATGTCCTGCTGCACTTCTTTTCTCAAGCCTGTCTCTCTTGCACATTGGCACTAGTGTATGTACATAATAATAATGCTACTAATAATGATAAAAACAACAAGTTTCAAAATGGGTCACTTGGGTCACTCTCGCAACAGAAGAACATAACAACATCTAGCTGGTTCCGCTCATAACAAAAACCATAACAAAACAACTTTTACCGACTGTAATACTATCATCATTTCCCAACACTAAGAAGTTGGAGGCGAACAAAAAAACAACATTCAATCATATTCATGAATGAAACCTGCGTCAAAACGCCTCATTCTCACTTCAGTCGCGACAGACAATTGGAAATGAGCATTTCACAGATTAGTATTACTCCATTGCGACAATCCGAGTACTTTCATGGACGTCCTTCTCTCTCTGTTTTCGCCCCTCTGTCTCCGCCCATTGTTTACTTTCATCACATACACAATACTGCATGTCTCTCCCAATAGCGCAGAGCTTAAGCCAACGCAAGGCCCCCAGCCAGCGAAGCAGTGGGTGGATAAAAAAAAAAAAAAAAAAAAAAGGCAGTGGCCCAGAAAAACCCTGCGACAGAAGAAAGTGAAACATGGGCAGATGATTGCCTCTCTCACACGCTCTTTTTCTCTAGTTGCAGGCTTCTTGCTTTTGTGGAATTTCCGGAGCTGGTCTTTTTCTGGACCTTTGCGAGAATATGATAAACGTTAAAACAGAGAAAACTGAATATTACCCCTGCTCAACTTAATTTAAGTTGATGGATGCATATGTATATATTTTCTCCCCCTCATGATGCGTAGGTAAGCAGGCTTTTTTTTGTGTCTCTACTTTACGCGTCTACTTTTGCAACGTTGGACCCAGCAACGCTGGATCCCCTCGTTGAGACATGTGGCTCCACCATACAGCTGAAAAAGTCAAGAAAGACGAGAACAAGAAAAGAAGAAAAGAAGCAAGGAAATGCAGTACGCGATAATCAAGGATGCAGCATTTGGTCTCTTCCTCGACGCGAATCAATGTGAGGTTTCCTCTTTTCAATGCACTGCGAATACGGCCCGTTGCGCGGAAGCATCCGAAGAGAAGAAGAAGAAAATCGACGATCAAGCAAAGAAAAAGCCAGCCCGCTGTTGTTCTTGTCTCGGATTTCCGTTGTCACCTTCCTGACCTCCAACTGCCTTGCACCAAAAAAAAAATAGTTTTATCATGGGTGGCTGTTCATAATAAGCTTTGAAGCTGTCCAGCCTCTGGCAGTGAAAAAGTTACCCGAGGCAGGGGTCTTTTCTTATTGTTATTTCGTTATACTGAAGCCAAAATCTAAAAGAGCATTCGTCTTCGCTCTTCTTAAAATTCATGGTCTCTGCACTAAACCACTAGCTCCAATGACGTATGCCGTGATATTCCATATCATATAGACTTTCACTATCACGAGTTGCCTGCCCAGCTGAGTGATGTCCAATCTTCTGCATATATGTATTGGCAGCGATCATGATTTCACCGGAAATGATACATTGCCACGAAGAAAGCAATCTGATATAGTAATATGGGCCCATGAGAAACACAACACATCATACTTTTCGCATACAAGCTTCACATGTTGTTCTTTGGTGGTATCATTCCGATTCGTCGATATCATGTCAGAAGTACGGCAGCGTAATAACGCCTGCCCTGGTAAACTCCGAAACCCCGTTGCCTTGAATATCCGCCTCCTCTCTTCATTCTTCTCATCTCTCTCAGAGACCAGCCAAGACACTTTGGATGCCTACACTCTTGGAGTCTTCCCGGTTGCTGACAAATACCTTGAAATCAGCTTTGGCCAATCTCTTTCCACTTCCTCCCGCACCTCCAGCGCCTCCAGCAGCAAGATTCCTGCTTCTTTCCTTCAGTGCTTCGGGCCCAATGATGAACAGATATCCGATCTCAGTCAGCAAATCCACGCTGGCCTCGACGTCCTTGCTCAGTGACCATTCTGCCTGCTTCAATGTGCCAACATACTTTGCGATATCTTTAGTTACCATGAGACCGCCGGCAGCGTTGACACGGAAGCGCTTGAAATGGTCGAGTAGCAACCTCTGTAGGGCCAGCGCAAGTTGATCGCCAAAATGAGATCGATTGGCGCCATCAACAGCCTGCGAGATAAGACCCACAGCACGGGTCAGGAAGGCGCATATATTGTCACATGTTGGGGTCTGGAGATTCTCCAGCACTGAATCGTCCTTGGGTAGAAAATCGACCTTCTTTTGATTGGCAAGCTGCTTTGTCACGTAGTTGGTTAAAACATCCAACGTAGACTTGAGTATGCCATTTGTCTTCTTCTCAATAGCTTCAATGCCCATCTTTGTCTGAGCTTCCATACTGCGACGAACGGTTGTGTTGGACTCGGCAAGGCGAATGAGAACCGTGGTGATGAACCGGGACATGATGCTTGTAATCGTGACAGCCGGACGGACAGATGGGAGATAGGCCAAGTCCGGTTCTGTCTTGACGTTCTCTTGGGAAGCAGCCTTTTCCAAGGCAGCGTCCAGAGCCGTCTCTACGTAGACTTGGCCCATATTGGTCATAAGTAGATTCAGCAGTACTGCCACATCTTTGGGTGTTTCAGTCTGGTTGCCCAGCTCGAGTGTGCGCCGGACACTTTCTGCGAGCCAGCGCATCATACGCTTGGCGTTGGCTGTGCTGAGAACGCCATCGTCCTCCGAAACCTCGATTTCGTTCTTGTTCTTGTCCGCGTCCGATACGCCACCAATTCTCAACATGAGAGCTTTCTGTGTCGGCGTCAAATCAGAAGATTCCAGTCGCTCTAGATAGGCATCTTTGGCAGACGCCATAAGTTGTGAGCCTTGTTGAGCCAAGGAAGCCATGAAACCAGTCGGTGCCTTTTTCCTCCTTGAATGATAAATGTTGTACTTGAACAGCAGGGAGTTGAATAATTCCTCCAAGCTCTTTTTCTCTCGCTCAATGTACGAGTTGCCGACCATGTAGGGAACGAACAACTCTTCCATCTGTTGGTCCAATGTTTGAGCAATCTGTGCTGTACATGGCTCGGGATTCTCTGTGAGGCCGTGTTGTTTGAGGTCTTCAATCAGAGTGCTAATATAACTCCTTGAGGCATGTAGGGAGCGCAGGAATGCAAGAGTAGATATAGTGTTTGCCTTGTCCAGCACCATCTCGAGTCGCTGTTGTATAGACTGCTGGAAAACTCTCTGGATGAACTTGGTCAGGACCGTCTCGTAGTATGGAAAGGCCCGCTTGATGATGAATGACTCTTCTTGCATGACGATCTTGACTTCATCGATAAGAGACTGTAGACTCGGCTCGACTCCAGGCGGATCTTGGTCCGGGTCCGCCAGCTGATCCCACGTTTCTCCATCCGTCGTGACCTCATCTGTAATGAGCTGATCGCGATCAATAAAGAATTGATGCTGGTTTACAAACACAGCAATGACACTCGCACCTCCATTGAAGTCATGAAGCACCTTGGCACATTCCATCATATCGTCAAAGTTTTGGCGTCGATAGCTGTTGTTAAACTGTTTGAGAAGATCTTGCTCCAAGGTCTCACAGAACTTTTCCAGCACCTCTCGGGTGTTGTGATTCGGTCTGCCTGCGCCAACTACGCCGTTTGTGACACCATTGCGATAACCATTTGTTTGGCCCCATGCTGCGAGATCCAGTCTCTGGCTGATGCGCATCAGCTGTTGGGCAATGACTGCACAGCGCACCTTGTTCTCTGCGCCGCCTTGTCTTCTGATGTCTTGGAGCGACGTGAGTTCTCCGGTTTCGCTAACCTCGAGCCAACATTGGATCAAGAAATTGGCATCCTGGGCTCGTCTCCTTTTCCTGTCAAGCTCTTCCAGCTTCTCGCCGATTTGTACGGCAACGTTTCCACCACCATCGGCACGATTTCCTCGATCGCTTCCATTGGGGTTGTTCAAAGTGATGTCCAGAGCTTCGAATGAGTCGATGGATTGGTCAAGCTTGCGACCTAGTGTGTCGAGTGTCTGATCATGTTGGGCCTCAGCGCGCCGTACCTGTGACAGAAGTTCGGATTCCTTCTCCTGGAGCTCTTCTGAGAGATTGCTGAGTCCTTGCAGTGCATCTACAGGCGGATTATTTGTTAGCAAATTGCTCGTGAAATACAATATCATCGGCCACGGGGACAAGGCATACTTTCAAATGTCCGGATCAGGGGTTTCGGGTCGAAGGCTGCTGTTGTGGGACCTGAACGACGATTCGCAACGCTTACGCTCTCAGCCAAATCGTCGACGAAATCCCGTACGATGAAGTCCTTGTTAGAGAAGTCCTCGAGGCTATAACTGGGTCCCTTGGGAAACAGAGCCCTCGAGCCCGACCCCGTTCGCTCCATGGGGCTCAACGGTTGGTGGTGATAGTAGTGGCTGTCGCATGAAGCATCATGAGCTGGTCGGCGTTGTGGCTGCTTTTACGGCGCTGCTGCCAAAGCGCAATGAGCAGTCCTGCGAGATTGCAGTCCAGTATCCGTTCGCCGATCGAGTAGTTCGTGGTTGTGCCAAGTCGAAGCAATCGCCGCCTTTGTCGTTGGTACAAGCCGTCGTGGAGGTACACAGTACTCTGGGTTACAGACAGCGTGGATCGAAAGAGGGACAGTTCAATGGATGCGCGGGACATCCCCAATGTACGTACCTATTATGACAGGGATCAGCTGCAATTCGCTGCGGAGCCAAGGCCAGCTTAGCCACACCCATTTGCTGCTGCAGGTCCGCTGAACTGCCTGTCGCCAGTGCACTAAACAGCCGCTAACCGGCTGGGTTCTGGGCACATGGCTGCCCGCCACAACCAGGGCGACGACGCATGTTTCCCCAAAAACTGACGTTGCACTTTCTGATGATCGCCAGCCTGCGATTGGCAAACCACCACACCTCCCGGAACCACACAGCTTGCTTCCTCGGCACCTCTTCCCTCAGCAGAACAGAGCTTCGCCTCGGTCTGTTCTACAAGCAGACGAGGCAAGACTTGCGTGGCTCAGATTCAGCATTATTACGTCTCTCTTTTACTGGCGATCTGTTCACACAATACTCGCAGACCTCTCTCTTTTTGCTTTCCGCCTGGAGAGTTTCCTAGATTCATATACTGCTGGATTCCTTCCATGGAAATCTCAAACAGATTATAGCAAGAATCTAGATTTTACCCACACAGCACAAACACCAACATGCCTTTCAGCGCGCAAGACACGGCTAGGTACCGTGAAGATGTGCGCAGTGACGGCAAAGCCTTGAAAGCCACAGAGCGAGAACAGCTCCTCAAGGTACGCCGCCAGACTTATACTCGCTAGCAATTACAAAACAAAGGTGATACTAATTTACTGACCGTAGCCCTACCTACCCTCGCCGCCCACAAGCCCCTCGAAGACGCAAGACAGTGAAGGTGTGCCCTCGAGATACAAGTCGGCAGAACCGTCCCGCTTTGGTGTCAGGGGATTTCTTCGGGAGCAGCTCTACAAGTTCACCTACGCCTTGATTCACATCATTTTCTCCTTCTACATCCGATTACGCATTGCATACCACGCTCTGTCGTTACATGTCGTCTCGGTCCTGAGCTACCATCACCGCACGCCCGAGTATATTGCCCGGGATGTTCGCACGCTGAAGAAGAAGCCAAGGCATGTCTCTATAATCATGTCTTTGGAGGAGGGCGGAAAACGCGGGGATGCCAAGGTGAAACTTCTTAATGACGTTGCAGACATTACGGCATGGTGCGCCTCGGCGGGCATTCCAATCTTGACGATCTATGAAAAGACGGGCATTCTCAAGGACAATATGGAGAGCGAACGTCGTGAAATATCGAGGAGGTTGCAAGACTGGTTCGGCAAATATCAAGCACCTGCTCTCCACATGCATTCGCCCAACATGCCACTTCTTGCGCCGCCCAACTACCGCAGCAGCGCAAAGGGCGGCTTTAATACGGTAGACGGCACGGTTTCCAAGATGGGTGTGAACATCATATCCGCCGAAGATGGCCGTGATTCTGTTGTGGATCTGACCAAGGTTCTTACCGAGATGTCACAGCGAGGCAAGCTTCGCCCAGAAGAGGTCACAATGAATGTCATTGACCAAGAGCTACGACAAGTCTTGCAGGAGCCTGATCTCCTCATCTCATTTGCGCCTTGGGTTGACCTGCAATCGTACCCGCCCTGGCAGATTCGACTTACGGAGATCTACTGCGAGCCTGACAACCAGGGAGTCAGCTACCAGGTATTCCTGAATGCGCTACGGAGATACTCGAGCGCTACTTTCAAGCTCGGAAAGTAGGACTGTTTCATGGATACATGGCGTGGAATAATGCTCTTTATGGCCACTGGCGTTTAGTAGATACCTGTTTGCGGGTTCATGGTTCAGAAATAATAGCTTGGTAAGCCCGTCAGGCACATATAGACATAATACCCATTTCTCACAGTCCTGGGACTTTTCACAAAACATGGTTTCGATTTTCTCAGGTTGTTGTAAACATCATGGCAACGGCTTGTCCCATTTTCTCATCTCTCGATTCACGGTATCCCACCTATACACCGGTCCCGTGCCTACATTGTAATTATAGTAGTTTTCGGTGCCGGCCTTGACCATTGCCCGTCGAAAAGTAATATTGATGCGGCCTCCGTCCTCGGCGTTCTTCCCAGAGCGTTTGGGTATTGAATGCAACCAGTTTGCCTGGGTTGTCCCACGCATCAGGATCATATCACCACTCCCAAGTGGCAATTTCAGCGGCTTTGCGTCCCCCTGCTCCGCGGCCACGGCCGAACTAGGCGTTTGGTTCGCCTTGGGCGGCGGCTTGTGCTTCATGTAAAAGTCACGGCGGGCGCCGAGGGAGAAGCTCGCAATGGCCGGGAGCGGGCCGAGGAACCGCTCATCATCGCTGTGATACGAGATACTGTCGGCGCCACCGGCATAGTAGTTGACGAGGCAGAAATTGAACTTGCAGCCCGTCGCGGCCTCGCAGCTCTGGCGCAGCGCGTCCAGGCACTGCGGTATTGGTCGCGGCGGGTACTTGTCATAGAACCGGTCCCCAACGACCTTGCGACCCGTCTTGACGTCTACAATGTCGTTTGTGGCAATGTCGTTGCTGTCGTTGCTACTAGCAAAACGGCTTGTTTCATCCAAGCCAAATACTGTCGTCCATCGCGGAGTACGGATGTGTGTTGATATCCCGCCCCTATTGATGTCGTACTCTACCCGGTAAAACGGCAAACTGCTCCGCAAGAACTCGAATAACTGCTTGGCTGATGAGCGTGGGAAATATGGCTCAAAGTAGAGAAGGTCTAGATCCGGCTGATCTGTCATGGATCGTCCTATACTCGACGGCAGTGATGGTAACTCATTGGATAATGGGTCGGGTAGGTGTGCTATTGGAAATGGATAGTTTGGGTGTTGGCTGTATTGAATCTAATCTTTTCATATCAGCGAGTATTTCTTATAAAAGTCATGGTTTGCTGCATAGTGAGATGAGACTATTGTCCATATTGTAGGTTGTCTGCTAACCCATGCTCGGACGAATTCTGTAGATGCTGCAAGCTCGTCTAAGACCAGCCACTTTCAACGCACATCACCTAGAACAGACATCATGGAGGTTGTTCTAAGGTGGAACATAGAAGAGAAGGGTGTGAACCTACAATGTCAAAACTACCAAAAACCTTGTCCTCATTCGCCTCACCGCCGACTATTGCATCTGTCGTGGAGGTACGAGCCTTTTTGACGATCTCATCTACATTGGACTTGGCCTTGGGAACCCCGAAGAATGCATCTATCGTGCGCTTCTTGGCAGACATGGCATATGAGCGTTCAGGGACTTTCGCGTTTGGAGAGTTGCTGTAGACTCTGTTATACGAGGTTGAGACTTTGCCTGGGTCTCAGAAAGGCCCGAGATCTTGCACGTCAAGAAGAGTCAAAAAGTTACTGCAGGTCAGCCACAAAAGGTGGCCAGGACGGTCTGAAGAAAATGTGCGACGTAGGTAATTGAGGTATCTCTAAACCAAAAGACCATGCCGACGAAAACTTGCATTTGCTTTTGTTTTATGCTAATTCTTCCAATTGCCGGATACTTGAGCGATGACGTCCTCGAAGCCTTTAGACGCGTGTGTAAGTCGCGTCGTTGCGCCAGTATTCTCATTCAGCCTTATGACGGCATATTATTAGTACTATAAAATTAGTAGCCTTGCACGTATGATCGGCAGTGGGTGAGGGGGACCCTGGCCGCTAAAATAAATTTTTTGGGGACTTGGTAGTGCTCCTCTCGCAGCCTCGCGATGGGGTCAATTCTGCGACCTAGATTATAGATGCCCAATTGTACATACGTTCCTTCTTTAGAGTACTTTTTTTCTTCCCTGGATAGACTCGGCTAACTCAAGGCTGGAGTATCTGCCTAGAGAATACGCACCTCTGGTCCATGTCTCTCATTTCCCGATTTCTTCGTTCGCTGTCCCCCAAATCCAAAATGAGCTCCTCGCCTCAGTCGGTCGAAGATCTCTTTCGCCCGCCGGTTCTGCGGCCGTTCACCGGCACTCTCGACCGTAGCCTCTTTTCAAGGACAATTCCGCTCGCCGCTGCCGCCATCAACGACGTCAAGCAGATTTCGCGCTTAAGAAAGGACCTCGCCCGGTCCAAAGAGCTCCTCAACGTCGAGCGTATCAGCCCGATTGCACCGCACCCGGACTCGGCGCAAGCGGCGCTAGGCAAGAAATGTCTACTGCTCGATCCTTTGTTCAAAGCCGGCGAGCCATCGACATGGGGAGAGGTCGTCAAGACGGCCTCCGACCAGAACGAGCTGGTCGTGGTACCCTATGACCTCAAGCTCGACTACGACTACTTCAATTTTGTGGACGTGATCACGGCAATCCTGCCCGAGGAGCTACATGGCGAGATCCCCAGCGGCTTCAATGTCGCGGGCCACGTTGCACACTTGAATCTGAGAGAGCAATATCACCCGTACAAGAAGATTATCGGCGAAATTCTGGTGGATAAGAACACACACATCCGCACCGTGATCAACAAGGTGGACAATGTCGGTACGGAATCCGAGTTTCGGACCTTTGCCTACGAGGTCCTCGCCGGCCCCGACGACATGGACGTTGAGGTGCGGGAGAACGAGTGCACCTTTCACTTCGACTACAGCAAGGTATACTGGAACAGCAAGTTGGAGAGTGAGCACACTAGACTCATTCGATCCTTCCAGCCTGGCGAGGTTGTATGCGACGTCATGGCCGGAATTGGGCCTTTTGCTGTCCCGGCCGGCAAGAAGGGTGTCTTTGTCTGGGCCAATGACATGAACCCAGAGAGTTACAAGTATCTCGACGAAGCCATCAAGAAGAACAAGGTCGGCCAATACGTCAGGCCGTTCAACGAGGACGGGCGCACCTTCATACACAAGGCTGCCGACTCGGTCTTGCAGGCCTCGGAGGCGGGCGACCACGTTATTGTCCAGCGAAAAGTCCGGCGTTCCGACAAGGATAAGCCTCTCCCGCCCCCGGACAAGATCGCGGTTCCACCCACGATCTCTCACTTCGTCATGAACCTACCCGCTTCTGCTTATACGTTTGTGCATCACTACCGCGGCCTATATGCCGGCAAGGAGAAGCTATTTGCGCCGCACACGAGCACCAAGTTGCCACTGGTGCATGTGCACTGCTTTGCGCTCAAGAGCGACGACGAGGTTCCCCTTTTGGACATTTGCGAGCGCCTCACGAGCGAGTTGGGCGTCAAGATGGTCCCGGGAGATGCCGAGAACCCCGGCGAGGCTAGCATCTACAATGTCCGCGACGTTGCGCCGGCCAAGCGCATGTTCTGCGCGTCCTTTAGAGTGCCGGCGGAAGTTGCGTTTGCGCCCCGGACGTGAACACATAACGTGTGAGAAAGATAAGAACATGCAAAAGAACCATCACGATGCCATGATGACGTTTTGATGATGAGTTTCCTCGGCCAAGTGCAAGCCACAGAGAGAAATTCCCGGTTCTGCCTTGCGTTATTCTTGTCGACGAGATACCTAACGCGGCATCTTGCCTGCCCATGCTCCTATGCGACAGCATGTGCTCCATATTTGCGCAGGGAGAGTGACAGGCATTATATGCGGGCTTTGGGCGACACGCTCAGCACGACTGTTTCCTCCCCTTGGGTTTCACGAATCACAATGCACGTAAAAAAGCTCCTACGCACATGTGACTATACCAATCTAGATAATCTAGATGGAGCCCCGATGCATATTGCGGCACTGCGACAGCGAGGAAACGGGCGAGCGGCCCCTTCCCGTCATATATTATAAGAAATGTCCTGCGCTGCCTGCCTCTTAAATGGGAAAGGGTCCCAGTTCTTTTAGCATTCGGCCCGCCCAGGTCATTTCCAGTGGAGTCTTTTCTTTCAACATGCATTATCTCGAGTAAGAAGGCCAGGCCTTTTTGCCTAGAACCTTTCCGTCTTCGACATTTCCGCGTCGCAAAAGCACCTCAGCTCCGCTGCCCAACCCCATTGTCCCGTCCGTGAGTCATCATGTTGTAAGAGTCTGTCATCCATCATTTCTGGCTTCGAGGCCGACCCGTGTCGTGTCGTGGCCTCGTCGTTCGGAAGAGGGGAAATAAGATATCTCGGTGGTACTCCGACTGGTGCAATCAATCAATCATTCAATCAATCCTCGGTAACGGGGGAAAGGCAACTCTGGGCAAAGGTGGAGAAGAGAACTAAGAAATGCGACCGGTCAGCAAACATGGAGGGTGCCAGTTGCAGCCGGAAATGTGGAAGATGCGACAACGTATTGTAGTGTATAGGACACCATACTAAGAACATACATGTTGCACAAGACAGCAGTTCATAAGGAGCCTCGGAGCGGCAGGCTATTCGTTCTTCCAAGAGTCTTGACCGGGACACGGAATGAGAGAAATACCAATCGTACACAACCAGTATTTACCATGATGTCCCTAGGGTGGAAATAGTCAATTGCTAGGATGTTGTTAACAAAGTGGAAATCATCCTGGTCTTACATTACCTGCTTCTCATCCAAACACATCAACCCTATGACTTACATGGACGATGTGACATGACGTGCACTAGTCAATGGGTATATCATGCGCATACCTCGATGGATAATGCGCTCTCCATTATAGTACATTGCAGCGAAACGCATCAAAGTACTACCATGACTACCTATGCTAGGAATTTACGCGATATGAGGAGAGACGAAAGAGGTTTCGTGATCATGTACAAATTCGCCGACATATCACAGCTTGCCGCCGCAAAAGTGGTAAGGAATGCGCCTCCATACACGACCGCGTTATCGCCGAATCGGAAACGTCATAAAAGCGAGAGATGCATCTCCTCGTGAACCCTTCCCCCTTTCAATGCAGTATCACCTCATTGTGATAAGGACACAATAATCATCATCTGCTATGAGCTCTTGATAGTGAACCGCGGGAGAAATCATGCAGGATTCCTTGATCACGCAAATGTAGCACAGATTTAGCTCCACCTTTGCCCCGACTATCAAGAAACAGCATAGTATCAAATTCGTTGGGGGGTGCACAGGGGGAAAAAAGGATAATACATCTCAACAAGACCAGACAAATCAAAATGGAGAAGTTGGCGATGCAAAAAAAGTATAGGATGCAGAGTGCGTATAGGGCCGGGGAAATAATTTACTAGATTGAAAAGAGGGTAGTTTTCTGCGTGGGGTTCGTGAAATGGTGGTGTGTGGTGTCAACGTCGGGTTCGTTGCCAAGTCTCGTTTTTTGTTCTGGCTTTTTTTCGTAGTGGTTGGTACAGCAGCCAGCAGCCAGCAGCAAGAAGAGGACAAAAAAAAAGGTTGCATACTTTGGTTGGTAGTAAAATTCTCCACCACGGCTCAAATTTCTGCGAACATGTCAGCGCCTCTTTTTTTTTATTTTATTCCATCTCTATTCTTCCAATGTCTGAATTGTCAAGGTGGCTGAAGTCCTTCTTAGCGCCTGGTTCTGGGACCCTGATCACGAGGACGGGCCACAAAACTTTAGATATCAAAGTGTATTTCTATACACGGAGAGGGGGGCGATCAGGTTGAGCTCGGTTTCAATTGCCAATGCCAACCAGCCCTCTCTCTCCCCGTCTGCTTCTCTCTAAACTCACGATATCCAATGACTATTCAAATGAGGAGCAATTCCAGTGAAAAAAGCTTACCATTACACAATGACGTATGTGTGATATCTGTGGTTGCTACAAGTATTAAGCTTGTTTTGAATGGTCCCGCGAACTGACCACAAGATGCTCAAGGCACACAGGTGATTAATCTGTAGTATACCGCACCAGTGAAGCATGTCAAATACTTTAATTATTCACCATTGTCATCATGCCACCACAAAAAAGAAGGAGTTTTTCAAAAAGGGAAGAATGCCACAGAGTAGTAGTGCCTTTATTGATACGAGCCGATTCGTCCGGGGAAGAGAATTAGACAAGGAGAGCTGTCTCTAAAGAGTCTATTGCCTTTTGAAATGTGTCCGGGTTGAGTATAAAGTGACTGGCTAATTCATGTCTGTGGAGAGTCTCGATTGAAAGCGGCGGCTTCCGAGTGGAAGAGGAGAAGAAAGAGTTTTTTCTCTCTCTCTCTTTTTTTGATTCTTCCAAACAACCCCTTCTCAATGAGAGAAGATCTTTGAGCAAGGATCTCACTAGATACAGAACTGGCGGTCTGCTCCTATACACCACTAAGAAGCATTCTTTGTCGTGGCTTTTTTATACGCACCTATCCAAAGTGTATAAGAGTTTTTTCCACAGACTAGCCCAGAGGTAGGAAATAAACGACTACCACTGCATCGGGGCAAGCTTCACCTTCTGGCGTTGGTTTAGAAGTGCCCTACTTTTCTAGTATACATACACTACTAATAGCTAATGCATCGCGGGTCCTTCCCCGAGAGGAGAAATCAGTCAGGTTAGTGGAGTCTAAATGCTGACTCTTCTTTGCCGATTTGTTGTCATTAGAAAGAAAATAGATAGAGACAAGAGAGACAGAAATATGTGTCAAGAGGTGAGTAGACGAGAATCATGGTGTGCGGTCAAGGGATGATGCATCATGTCTATACGCTCTCAACCCCGCAGGAAGAGTTGAAATGTCTCCGAATTTGTAGGTTCAATGTTGTTCCCTCGAGTCCCCTTCTGGGTCCTCATGCAGTAAACATGACGACGAGCTGGCATGCTCTGGTTGAAAGAAGAATCATGATCCAGCCTCCTCACCTCCGGGAAGTTTTCAAGATGCAAGTGTGGCCCGAGACGCAAGGGTTTGCTGCACTGCAGGCATGACGATCCGGTCGAGTGATTGCTAAAGCGAACCCACGACCGACCTCACTACATACTATCTGCTTGAGCTCGGCTTTTGCGCATTGATATGCGGTTTTTGGATATGATAAAGGGGGAACCTCAGCTCAACTTGCCTTGCTGCTCTATCAAGTACCTCTGTGCCCATGGCGAGGTTAATAAGGTACCTACCTACATACCTACCTAGCTAGATAGGTGCCCCCTTAATGCAAGCCCCGATTGACGCCATTGCGATTCATTCCAGCATGATACACTGGTACAGTAGCTTACATGCAAGTTGGGGGAGAGCTCTGCTGCTTGCTCCTGCTTGCCTGATTGCGTTGCTGTATGTTATCGTAAGCTGCTGTGCAACGATAGATGCATTGATGTCCGTTGGAATGTATCACATTCCTGGGGGGCCCCCGATGGGCGATTGACAGCTGCATTGTGTTACTGCTACGTCGATGGGCGGAAACCGGGCCCGTGAATTATCTTTCCGGTGAGACGTAATCATCAACAACGAGTCCGAGCTGAATAAGCTGGTTGGCAAATGGCATGATAGATAGTGTGGTAGTGTGCTATATAATATTAATCAAAATGTTCTCCAGCCACGCCCAGGGCGACGGACGCCCTTTGGCTGGATTGCAGAATAGACGCGGGCTTATTTGGTTGTAGACTGGATCTAGCCTTCTGGTGGACTTCCCCCATATAATAATAATACATTGCATGCAAATGCAGTATGCCCCAGATCGGGCCGGAGTCTGGAAGCTGGAGAAGCAGTCAATTCATTCATGATGAACGTTGGAAAAAAGGGGGCGCGTGCTGGACATTAGTCATTTGGGTCAGATGCCGGATCTTCGGTGTGGTGTAAGTGAGAACCAGCGGTGATGGTGGCAAGATGGCAGTTGTGTAGCGGTGCATTTACCTGCCAACTTGCCTACTAGAGGAGCAAGCAATGCAAAAGAGTTAGAAACACCAAGTACCAACACCATCACTGGCGGAGAAACCAGGCTTGCCAGGGGGTTCTTTCTTGAGCCCCGAAGATCGACACGGCCTGGAGTGTCGATCAGGGTCTTTGTCGGGAGTAGACCTTCTTGCTTCTTTCTTGCCTGGGACACGGACAGGGTAGTCGACACGCAACTAAAAAACCGAGTGCTTCTAGCCATTGAAAGACGATCTTGGTTGGTCTCGAAGAAATCCCGGGATCCCCCAAAACCTGAGGTGGCGATTTTGGCCGTGGCGTACAGAGAGTACATAGTGTACACACGAAGCTGCCAAACCTGCAAGTGTGAGGAGCACGCAAAAGACGGAACCAGTCCAAATCCCAGTCCCAGTCCCAGTCCCAGTCCCAGCCGCGTCGGCAAAGAGGTACAGATTACCGATACATTCCAACACAACAGCTTTTACCTTGGTAGGAGTTTTCGTTTGATCACCCTGAGATTTAAGATTATTTCTTCAAGGTTTATTTTCTTCATGTATATCATTCATAGCTTCTCGGACTTCGTAATCTGGGGAATGTGGACTGCGGCAGAGCAATGATGCACAGTAATCAAAAAGTGTAGTGTAGCCACGGGCACCCCACGCCTT